GCCTGAGTCTCAGCCCCCATCTACCCAGTCTATCCCAGTCTATCCCAGTCTGTCCCAGTGTATCTACCCAGTGTATCTCCCAGTGTATCCTAGTGTATCCCAGTTTCCAGTGTATCCTTGCGGCCCGGTGTCTCTGGGCCCGTATCCTGGCTCTGTCGAGCTGCTGCTGCAGCGGTGGCGGCGGCGGCGGCTGTTATCTAACACTGCGGAGGCCAAACTCTCAGCTCGGGGCTGGAGTGAATGTTACTGATGCGTCGGCTCAGCCTGAAATGCTTTTAACCTTTTCTGTCTCCAGAGAAAACGTGTTCAGAGCTCGGCTCCTCTCCAACCCAACAGCCGCTCAGCGCAGCACTTACAGGCTCTTTAAACCGACACACACTCGTGAAAGTCTTTGTTTTATAACTTTTAGACACGTTAGACAGGAAGTACAGCAGCAGCTGGACTCTAAAACTCTCAGAGTGTGTGAGGTAGATAATCCAGGCAGACGTTTCAGACAACAACAACATTTACTCTTTTGATCAGTCCGATCAGATCAATACCGTTGACCAGTTTCCTCGAAAATGAACTTTTTTTATCCTGATAGAAGAACTGCTCAGAAATCTGGATCTGAACTCTTTAATCATCAGTTTACAGAACCAGAACCAGAACCGGGTCACCTTGTTGCTGCTGAGTGTCCTGGTCTGATCTGAAGTCTCCTGTAATGATCAAACATCAGGTGAGTGTTGCCATGGTAACCCACCCACACACCCAGCTGAGCGACGAACACCACCTCCTAAAATCATTCACTCATCTGGGGTCCTGTGGGGTTCTACGGTGGCCCCGGAGGGTCAATGACACCAACATTTCAGGAAGACAAAAAATCAACGAGACATGAAAATATTTCACAAAAACATCAAATGAAATGTTAAAAAAAAAATCTGAAATTAATTTTAGAAAGAAAAATATTCCAGAAAACACAAAAAAATGTGAAAATATATTAAAAAAAAACACAAAAATCTGAAAATCATTTTAGATACCAAAAAAAAATCTGAAAATATAAATAGAAAAAAAAGAATTACAAAAATATGTTTTTTTAATTTAAGTTAATTAAAAAAAGTGAAAAAATGTTTTTTTTTATTGCAAATAAATCTTAAAAACTGTAATAATCTCAGATACACAGATATCTGAAAACTAAAAAACATGCAGACAGTTTTTTAAAACACAAAAATAATGAAGAAAAGAAAAAAATCAGTAAAGAAAAACTTTTTGGAATGAAGAAAAAATTCTGAAAAAAAGAACAAGCATGAAGAAGGATGGACAGAGATCCTGAGAGGATGTTTCTGCTCAGTCCTGGTCTCGGTCCCAGTCCTGTTTCTGATTCCTCTCTGACCTTCTTTAGCTCCGCCCTCCTGATGAAGGTCTCTCAGACCGTCTCCTGTAAGTCCTGAACCTGGTCCTGCTCTTCCTCCTCGTGTTTCTTCACTCTCACTGAACCGTCTGAAAACTGTTTTGCTGACAGAGTCCCGATGTGCAGATTTACGAGCTAACGTCTCTGATGGGAGCAAAGACAGACTTGAGATCAATAGATCAGAAACATGGAGATCAAACATGCAGCGGTCCAGACCAGGGTCCGGGCCTCGTGCTCCATAATCACATCAGCCCGCCTGTTTTCAGCTGATGGCCTCTCTGCTGCTGGTTAGTGGCTCTAATAATGGGCCTGGAGGTTACTGTAATCTCATTACTGTCCCAGTCAAACAGAGAGATAATGCACTGCTGTTACATCTTCAGTGAGTGCATTACACAGACCGACCTGCAGGGAAAAAACACACATCAACACGATTAACCTGCGAGGAAAACCGTGTCAGGACCTCATCATGGAGAAGAAGAAGAAGAAAGGAAGAAGGTTTTCTTCTTCTGAGAGAGAGAGAGAGAGAAGTATCCAACATTCAGGACGGAGACCAATGGAAAAGATCCACAAGAATAAATGAACAAAGAAGTGATCAAACAAACAGATTTGTGTGAAAACAGCAAAAACACTGAAGTGACAAAAAAACACGAGCAGCAGTCCAGAGCAAACTCAGGCGTGGAAACATCCCGATAAAAGCTGCAACGACACAAACACAACAGGGACAAGGCAGACCGAGACAAACAGACAGTGCTCCAGGCCTGTAGGGGGCGCTGAGCAGTGACGTCTTATCAAACTCTAACAAAGGCGACGTTCAGACTGCAGGTCATTCTGATGTTTTAACCATCTGTGACTCATATCTGATGTTTTCATCTCAGTGTGAACAGGTCAGTTCAGGTCAGACATTTGTGTTCATGAGGGTCACTTCACGGACACATTTGTTGTTGTAACGTGAACGACCGCACAAAAAGATCGAATTTGAAGAAAAACTCTGAACCTGCAGAGTGAGGGTAGCCAAAGTCAACACAACTGTGTATATAGATGTACGGACTGATTTCATCTGTTTTTACCCACAAACACCATCAGAGTGTCTTTTTATGTATTTATTTTGATTTTTCCAAACCTTTATTTCAGTTCTTCAGAAATGACAAACACATATTATTGAACATGAGGAAGCTGCATTCATTTGAGAAGAATCAAGACTTTACAGAAAAAGAAAAAAAAACAAAAAATTATAGTCCGGCATATAAAAATACATGATAGTTATAAATGATCAAACATTCAGTCCAGATCGTAGAGACGACCTCAAGACTTCGTAAAAAGTCAAAGTTCAAATCGCTTTTTTATTCGTTAGTCCAGTTAGGGTTTTAAAATAGACCTTCTATCTGAAAGTGAAAAACTTGCGACTGTGTGAACATAAAAACAGACCAGCTGTTCAATCTCTGTTTATTTAACGCTGCTAACTGGAGCTTTAATCAGCCAAAGAACCCGTTAAGATCCGTACACACCGGGAACGACGCAAACATACGACATCAAATTATGAAATATTCTGAGGCGAATTTTGACACGCCTGACTGTACACATCGAGCCCGATGCGATTTTGCGACTTTTCGGGGGAAAAAAAAAACAACAACGTGAAATCTGATTGGTCAGATGGACACACAGTCTGCGAAACTTTAGAAAAATCAACTGTGATCCGAAAAAATAAACGCTTGTATTAACAGGATACGGGTTCAAAAAAATAAAGACGTCTGAAATAATCGTACAAAAAAAAACGGTGTCGGTGTGAAAGGAGCTTTAGCCGTGCAGCTCCCTGGTGTCAGACTCGGGTTCGATAGTATCTACTCGCTCTAACTCTATGATTCCTGCTGTGAGTCCTGATATCAAACTCCGGACAGTTCGGCGTCTTTGCAGCGAACTTCACTCGTTTAGCTGTTTAGCCGAGGTCGTGTCGTTTCTGCGGATGAAGATCAGCTTCTGTGTGGGCGTGTCCTTTAGCTCTGTCCTGATAGGACGACACGACCTGATGTCAGGTTGTCATCGTGTCTGGAAACAAGCCGGTCAGAAGTCGTGAGAAACACATCTGAGATCACAGATGACGAACACTCGGATTATTCCGATATTACACGCTGTGGTCTTTAAAAGATAAATGTTTCCTTTAATGGTTGAAAAAGTCCGAGCAGTTAAAGTTGGAGCTCAGTTACAGGCACATGAAATTAAACGGGTTTTCTGCTCGCTCAGCGTGTGGACGGCGTGTTGACTCATGGTCCAGAGATCAGGAGGTGGATCTTCTGATGGATCTCTAAAGCAGGATGAAGTAAATGTTCCTGAGCAGGTTTGAAGCACCGACACTCGTGAGTACTCCAGCTCGGCCCACGGTCCTCTGGAGTCCTCCTGCATGTGAGATTCAGTCAAACCCGGGCCTCCGATGACATAACGCCGCTCCACTCTTACTTTTTCAGGCCGCGGTGGAAGTGACTCATGACCGCTCGTATGAATCAAAGCGGATTGTTGACGCTGTTTCATAACGCTCTTTATGTAAGGGGGAGCAGAGATGGAGGGCCCACTCCCACGGCTGCTCCGCCCCCCAGCTGCTGCAGAGTCAGACCCCAACACCTGACAGCTCCGGGTTCTCCAGGGACGAGACACTTTAGAGCTCGTCTATCTGACTTTAGTCTCTTTAGAGATATTTTTAATACTTTAAACTCAGAAACCTTCAACCTCCACCTTCATCCTGATCGTCTCCTAAACGGTCGTATCCTCCGATCAACATCTAGGACTGTTTTAGAAAGGACAACTGGAAATCATAGATGCTGCATCCTCAGTTTTAAACAACATCTTAAAGGGGACCTGCCATTAAAATGTAATTTTGTGGTTTTTTTGTGTCATATAAGGTCCATATTATGTTCGTCTTATGTTGTAAATGTGAAAACAAACCGTTTTGTCGTTTTCATTCTGTAAAGGTTTAAAATAAAGGAACGAGTAAACCAGGCCAATTGAAAAAGCCCGTCGGCGTTACGTTGCGTTGACCTTGCTCATTATTATTCACGAGCGCGTCCTCGGTGAGCCGCGCCCACTCTCTCGTTCTCGTATTCAGTCACAGCCAGAGCGAGACCCAGCTACCGCTGTATCCGCTATGGGTCTCTTCCAAACGACCGGTGTTTCCTTCGGTTCACTGCCGGGACAATGAACTTAAAGCCGGGCAGAATGAATGAGAAAACACCGCTGGAGATCTCCGGCTTCTTCCTCAACTTCCACCTCCTCTTCGGACTCGGGGTCTAAAATATATGGTTCAATACCTGCCGTTTTTAGCCTTTAGCATAAGGTGACCAGACGTCCCCGATTTCCGGGGACAGTCCCCGTATTGGATGATCTGTCCCCGGCAAAAGCTGTCCCCGAAAATGTCCCCGATTTAAGCGTTTCATGAATGAGAGCAAAAATGTTGCGTGTGGGCTCGAACAACGGTTATTACAGTAGCCGAATAGGTAGGAAGCACAAGTTAGCAGTCCTGAACAACAGTTCTTACGGGGTTATTACAAGGGGCATGCGCTGCTACTAAATAGTACCGAGACTTTGTCTGTGATCACACAGACCCTGCAGCCCCTGCACCGCCGCCGCCGCCGCACCGAATATCCCCGGATATCATTACAGACATCTGGGCACCTTACTTTAGCACACATTAGCATATGCTATTAGCATTAGCATAATAACAAAGGATAAACCGAAATCCGAACCTCCACTGCTGAGCCAATCAGAGCACAGCAGGCTTCACAGCAGCGATCCAATCAGAGCAAAGCTCATTACCATAAATGTTAATGAGCCAAAACCAGTTGGTTTTCCTGTAAGGTTTTTTAGGCATACTAAAACAAACCATCAAATAACTTTTCAGCTAAAATTATGTTGCAAACATGATCAGAGGACATCAAGGGTTATGAAAAAATGATAAAAATGGGGATGAAATTTTGGTGGCAGGTCCCCTTTAAGGTTTACCCTGAATCTCCTCCTTCATCCTGAACGTCTACTGAAAGGTCGTATCCTCTGTGTTTCAAACGGGCGGAGACGAACAAGTGAAAGGTTTTTAGACGTCATTTCACCCCGATGACACCATGGATGAGGAGATGCTGATTCTAGAAGTCTAGAAGTAGATTTCCTCCTCTGGAAGGACACAATCTACTGCTTATATGTCTATGTGTCTGTCTTTAGAGAGACGACTCGTTATCGTGAGATTGAACGTGAATCTGAGGGTTCTTGTGAGTTCTCGCGAATATCACTGTCCGTAAACCGCCACGATATTGACGCCGTTCCAGATCGGAGTCTTTCCGGAGGACCCCCCCCCCTCTAAGGGTCATGGACAGCTTCCAGATTCTGACTAAAACATCCGGATCCACGGAGGAAATCTGCTCTAAAAGGACCGAGGTGGACCAACACAGACCAGAACCAAAGCTTCACCTCCTCCAGAACCTCACCAGTCCTCTGAGCCTGTAGGAGTCCGTCCTGATGAGAGCGGGAAACTTCTTTGAACGTTCACAGGAGATGGTCGAATCAGCGCCAAGAACCCGGTCTGAGGGTGAGTCTGGCTGCCGTAAACCTGATCCAGCTGCTGTAAAACCCTCAGGTCGTCCCACGATGAGAACCTTCATCACCGTCTCCAGAGTGGACCACAGTTCAGCATTCGACAAAGTCCATGGAGCTGGTCGGCGGACTGTCCTCGGGTCCAGCACCATGGATCAGGAAACAGGTCACACATACTGATATGGTCTGGATCCCCAAGCGTCCCCCATGGTTTATGTTGACCCGGCTTTTTAGCTCTTGTCCGGTCTACCTCCGTTTTAAGCGCCCGTTATTCCTCCAGAGTCTCCGGTATTTACTTTGTTTTCTTTCTTGTGTCGGCAGTCGTGGCCAAAGGAGGATTCCGACAATTTTCCGAACTTTCTGGTTGGTTTCTACTGTCCGATATTGTAGCACGCTAACTTTGTTTGGGCTCCTGAACGACACGGGGGAGCAGCATTTTCTTGCTGACTGTTTTCTTGTTGACTGTTTTCTTGTTGACTGTTTTTGCTGACTGTTTTCTTGTTGACTGTTTTCTTGTTGACTGTTTTTTGTTGACTGTTTTCTTGTTGACTGTTTTCTTGTTGACTGTTTTTGCTGACTGTTTTCTTGTTGACTGTTTTCTTGTTGACTGTTTTTTGTTGACTGTTTTCTTGTTGACTGTTTTCTTGTTGACTGTTTTTGCTGACTGTTTTCTTGTTGACTGTTTTCTTGTTGACTGTTTTCTTGCTGACTGTTTTCTTGTTGACTGTTTTCTTGCTGACTGTTTTCTTGTTGACTGTTTTTTGCTGACTGTTTTCTTGTTGACTGTTTTTTGCTGACTGTTTTCTTGCTGACTGTTTTCTTGTTGACTGTTTTCTTGCTGACTGTTTTCTTGTTGACTGTTTTTTGTTGACTGTTTTCTTGTTGACTGTTTTCTTGCTGACTGTTTTCTTGCTGACTGTTTTTTGTTGACTGTTTTCTTGTTGACTGTTTTTTGTTGACTGTTTTCTTGTTGACTGTTTTCTTGTTGACTGTTTTCTTGTTGACTGTTTTCTTGTTGACTGTTTTCTTGTTGACTGTTTTTTGTTGACTGTTTTCTTGTTGACTGTTTTCTTGTTGACTGTTTTCTTGTTGACTGTTTTCTTGTTGACTGTTTTCTTGTTGACTGTTTTTTGTTGACTGTTTTCTTGCTGACTGTTTTCTTGTTGACTGTTTTCTTGTTGACTGTTTTCTTGTTGACTGTTTTCTTGTTGACTGTTTTCTTGTTGACTGTTTTCTTGTTGACTGTTTTCTTGTTGACTGTTTTTTGTTGACTGTTTTCTTGTTGACTGTTTTCTTGCTGACTGTTTTCTTGCTGACTGTTTTCTTGTTGACTGTTTTCTTGCTGACTGTTTTCTTGTTGACTGTTTTCTTGTCGACTGTTGTCTTGCTGACTGTTTTCTTGCTGACTGTTTATGTTTGAGTGTTTTCTTGCTTGTGTCGGCAGTCGTGGCCAAAGGAGGATTCAGACAATTTTCCGAACTTTCTGGTTGGTTTCTACTGTCCGATATTGTAGCACGCTAACTTTGTTTGGGCTCCTGAACGTGATCGGAGGAGGTGGAGCATCCGCCTCACAACTAGGGCCCGACCGATGTATCGGCGAGAAAACGCTTTTCTGCTCTGAGTTTGATTCATGATAAATTTGTGGAATATTACTGAGATGATCAGTCGATCTTCTTGTCGGCGTGAAGAGCAGTAGCCTACAGTATATCGAGTGTTCCTCATTTTGAGTTGGAAGTTACTGTTTGCACTTTAAACAAAATACCTCGTTCTTTTTCAGGATTTGAAACAAGTTTTCTGCCTTTAATTCTTGAAGAATTGTTTGAAAGTAAAAAAAAAAGTAAATGTGTAGATATATTACTTTGAATAACAAAATTTTAAAACTTCATAAATTTTTTTTAAAATTGTCCGATTATCAGCATCGGCCCCAAAAAATCCATATTGGTCGGGCCCTACTCATAACATGAGGGAGCAGTGTCTGTTCAAATGTTGACGACACAGACAGAAGAGAACACAGAGATATCGATATATTACCAAATAATCAATAACTAATAACTCTTATAAAACCTTAAAGTGAAGGAGGTGTGGAGTAACTCCAGAGGAGGTCCGTGAACACCTGTCCTGACTCTGGGTCATACCTGGTCATGATGTTCCTCAGAGATCCTTCAGTCTGGAGCAGAGTCTGTGTGTTTGTGTGATCTGATTAACACCACTCAGTTCGTACCTGCAGCAGGTGAAGCCTCCTGTCTGTCAGCTGAGAGCCTCTCTGATTGGTCTAATGAGTCCAGATGTGATCTGACATCAGAGGAGCGTCTGCAGATCTCCTTTGAACCAGAGCAGACTCCGAACTCATCAGCAGATCTGAGGACATTAACGTGGTTAGAGGTCTCTGATGAGGACGGACTGTTATCATCTCACCCATGATGGATCCTCGGAGCTCTGACTGGGTTAAAGTCAGCTGATTGGTCTAAATTTAACCGCAGGAAGTCTCCTGAAGAAGAGGAAGAAGATCAAAATCAGGAAAAGTGAAACCCTGCAGGCTGAAACAGAGGTGTGACGAAGTCCTGGAGAGTCTGGGACGACCAGGATAAAGACATCAAAGTCTCTGATGTAAGGAGTGACGAGGCTTTTATTTTGAAAGGACTTCCAGTCTGTGCGTCAGCAGGTCCAGAGAGGAAGTTCAGTAAACCAGTGATGCACTCTGTCTCACTCTGGTGTTCTGTAATACACTTAATTTGACTGTAGTTCACTTCATGCTGCTTTAGAGTCTTTTATTTGACTAGAATGCTCCTGATTCTTTAGGAATGCACACTAATTTGCAGTAATATATTTAATTATTCTGCCACCAGTGGCGATTGCTCTAAGACTGCAAGGGAAGCTCGGCTTCCCTTAAAATGTCACCCCCCCAAAAAAAGAAAAAGTGGTGAAATACGTACGGCTGTGTGTACATTTCATTAACTAAATACCCACTAGAAAGCCTTCATCTTTTGTTCAGACACTGTGATAAGAAGCTGATCATCACAGGTAACCGGCATAACTTCGTTCTCATTCATCCTCGCAGCGCCTCAGCGCTTCAAACAGCCGGACGCTGGGCTTCTGCTGACTTCAATGTGGAAGCTAAAAGTGGGTTGTTCCAGCAGCGAAACTAGACGCTCATTGGATAAATGCTGGGCTTTGTCCCGCCCAATGGAAGCTAAGCTTCACTGGAGTTCTATGGCGAGAGGCGGTCCCGACTTTCTCCCGGACTCCGTGCTTCTGCATTCATGATTGGATGAGCTGTCTGAGGCGAAATCCTTTTTTGATTGACAGCTAAACAAGCGAATCAGCGATCTTGAAGAATAAAACATCTACCAGAGCATTTTCCAAGTCATTCATTCCGTTGTTCTTAACTGCTCCGGAGACCTTACCGATCCTCAGCGACTTTTGTCTTTGTTAAAAACGACTGCCGTTGTGTTTGGCGACTCTGTTCTGTTACATACTAATAGAAAAATGAGCTTCCCCTCATTGAAAGACCAGCAGCCGCCACTGTCTGCCACAGAGTCAGTCAACTACTCTGAGTCCTTTAATTCACTGTAGTACACTTTATTATGAGTTAATGCGCTTTATTCCTCTGTACTGAACCGTTCAGCTGTGATGAACTTTATTCTGCTGTAGTGCGCTTTGTTCGTCTCTGCAGCTGTGGCGCCCCCTACCTGACGATGTAAACTCCCTCCTCAGGTTTGTTTTTCTCCTGATGATTGTTTTTGAGTTTTATGTGCCTCTCTGTTCTCAGACCTGACTGATTTGTTGTCTGCTGTTGTTAGTACCTGGTCTGTGTTTGTATTTCCTGTATTTGTTGGTAGACTGCAGTCAACACTCTTTGGGTTCATGAGGAGATTCTGGTCTGTGAATCTTTTTTATTTTTCTTTAAACATTTCTGATCTGGAGGATAATCATGTTTCTGTTCTTCAGCTGTAATTACTAACTTCGTTATTGGCTGATTTTTCTCTCCTGTCATGACCAGGTTTGAGGGTGAGTGAATCTGAAAGTGAAGCTACAGTGACCTCTAGTGGTTAATCTGTTAGTCTGTCCTTTGACTCCCTCTAGTGGCTCTGAGTTGTACAAACACATGGAGGACTTTACAGCTGAATTAATAAGAGAGTCTGTTTCAGGAGGGTTTTCTGTTTCTTTAGATCTCACTCATAGATCCAGATCATCCAGATCAGGATCTTTTTCTTATTTATTCCATTATCTGTCTGACTGTGAACTCTACGTCCCGTTAAGACTGAATATTTTACACTTTATCGTGTTGAAGAAACTCTTCCACTAAGTCTGGTCTCCTCTTCTCATGGTTCAGGTTGAACCTCAGTCGTAGATGCAGTGATGGACTGTGTTCCGATGGTTTTTTAAGTGATTCTGACCTCATGCGGTGATTTCCACTCCAGAGTCCTGTCTGTTTTTAAGGGCCTACAGCTGAGTGGACCCTTTACTGAAACCATCGATCTCATGTCTTCTTTGGGTAAAACCAGCCTCTGTTAGAAAAGTAAGAGTTAGGTGAACTTTAGTCGGTACCTGCAGGAACTTCTCCCTAAAACACAGGGGACAGTTGTTAGCTCAGTTTTATTGAGTCTGTACTTTGATTCTTATGACGTTTTTTTAAAAGATTTGTTTTTTTTTCTAAATCATTTATAATATAAAGTCATAATAAAATCATAATCAAAGCTGTTGATTTGCTGTTCTGGAGGAGAACCCCACGGGTCTCAGCTGAGTCCTGATCCTTATAACAACGTGGATCTGAAGAGACAAAACATTAGGGACACTTTAACCAGACGCTCCACAGACAGAACTTCCTCTTTATCAACACTTAATCCTTAAAACACCACGACTTTATTCTAATATGACTTTATTTTTAAACAATGACTTTAAACCAAAGATGAAATCATGACTTGGTTTCATTAAAACCAAGTCATGAATTACTTTAAAGATGTTTATGAGTTTTTAAAAACTCTTTTTTAAAAGTGACCGTGATCCTCCATCACAGTTTCCTCTGGTGTATAAATAAGAAAAAAGTGTTTGAGTCCAACTTCAAGGATTCAGGAACTACATTTAATTACCAGAAATAAAAAAATCACATCAACACTTTTTTGTGTTTTTCCATTTCCTGAAGTTTCTTTGTGTTTCACGGATTTCAGCTCTGTGCAATTTGATGTAAATTGTAGTTTAATGTAATGTGACCATTTTTAATCCAGTATTTTTGCACTTTGTGACGTTGTTTTGGTCATTAATCTTTGGTCTTTATAAGTCTCTGTTTGTAGGAACGTCCGTCTGATACCGACATGAACGAATCTCACAAACGTTCAAACACCAAAAACAGCGTTTAGAGATGGATGTTCAGAGGATAAATGTGCTGAGGAGACAGTTAGCAGCTCCGTACTGTCACTCAAAGAGACCACGCCCATGATTGGATCCACACATAAATTTGATTTTAAATATAATAATATAATAATATGATAATAACAGTGTTTATTAAGATACTCTGTGTAATATCCCACAGGACAAACTGGTTTTTGTAAACACTTCTTTCTCTTTATGGTTGGACATAGCTGATTTTTTAAACACTCTGTTCTGTGTAATTATCTTTATTTCTAATATTCTGCACTTTTTTTACTAACTGTTGCAATTTCTTATTTCTTATTATTAACTCCAATTTATATTCTCCTTCTCCTAATATTGGTATTTTCAAGAGCAAGTGTAAAGCTGTAATGACTGATAAATTCTAAATTCTGATTCTGACACCGCCTCTAGAGGACATCTGGGGAACTGCAGTTTTGAGAACTTCACTTTTTATCTGAGTAGGTTTCGTTTTTTTCTCTTATTTTATTTACTTTCTTTTTCTCTTTCTTACATAACACTTTTTTTATGGAAGAGGATTAGGGCCACTGGAAAAAAACGAAAGGGTCTGAAATATTTTTTAACTTCTTATCCTGAGATTAAAGTCAGAATTATGACTTTTTTTCTCAAAATAATTTTCAAAATAAAATAAAATATTTTTTTTTACACTGGAAAAAAAAGAGAAAAGGTCTAATATAATTTTAAAATCATTTTTCTGAGATTAAAGTCCAAATTCTGACTTTTTTCTCAGAATAATTTTTAAAATAATTTTCAAATTAATAATAAAAAAATTCCCCCACTGGAAAAAAAAGAAAAGGTCTGAAATAATTTTTTAATTTATTATCCTGAGATTAAAGTCAAAATTATGACTTTTTTCTCAAAATAGTTAAATAATAATCATAATAATAATAATAAAAAATATTCCCCTGAAAAAAAAAGGTCTGATATATTTTTTTTTTACTTTTTTGTCTGAGAAAAAAAATCAGAATTCTAACTTTAATCTCAGAAAAATGATTTTAAAATTATATCAGACCTTTATTTTTTTTTTTTTCAGTGGCCCTAATCCTCTTCCGTACCTTTTAGACACATTAACCTTTAATGTTTGTGTTATTAATGATCAAATCATGGAATCACGGGTTTAAATAATTCTGACTTTAAACTATTGTGTCTCTTTTTTTTTCTTTTTTTAAACAAACTTTTCCATTTTCAGGAAGATCCGAATTTTAAGTCTGTAGTCGTATTTATTCATTACTCAGAGATGTTTCCCTCAGAAAAAGGAGGATTTCTTCAAAGTTTACTCGGTGAAGTGGTCGATGAAAATAGATTAAAATGGGTAAAAATTAACAGATTTAGAGTCCGATTTAAGTCTCAGCTGTAAGAATAAAATGCAGAGAAGCAAAAACTCAGAGGCACCGAAACAGACAACCTCTGACAAAGCATGACCTCAAAAGACCTCCAAGTGTGACTGTACTCAGCCTCCTCATAGATTACCTGATCATCAGATGTTTGTTTTATATCTTTGTTTGATTTATTGGATTTCAAAGGTGTCGTCTCTGAGTGTTTTTGGGTGTAAGCCTTTAGTAAACAAACCACCATGGAGCCTGAGAGAGAGGCCGTACCACCTGTCCTCCTCCTCCATGAGGAGCAACAGTGCCGGAGCTCCAGCTCTCACCTGCCCGAACATGAGGCCTGATCGGCGGATTCAGGCTGAGGGCGGACGGCCCGGCTCTGGATCTCTGAGAGAAGAAAGAGTAACACAACAAACTGTTCCGTCCCCCTGCTGTGTGTGTGTGTGTGAGTGTGTGAGAGAGTGTGAGTGTGTGCGCCGACTTTCTCTCCATAGAGTTTCACTGAGTTTACATCCGGGTTTTTTCCCTAGGCAATGGGAGTCGCAGCACCGCCGTTCCTTAGGCAAAGTGAAATAAATTCGCCGCACCGACACAAAAACTAGTCCTCTTTTCGAACACATTTTCCGGGCGGCCGGGGTCGCTGATCGGCTCGATTTAACGAACTTTAACAGCGACGAGCATGAATATCGAACGCTTCGTCGCGGATAAACGGGGATTGGTGGGCCCGGTAAGTAGTTTTTGTCCCCCTTCCTCCAGCTCCGAGGCGCAGGGATCTGTGCTGTGCTGAGGCTGAGCTGAATGAGATTGAAGAAGAGTTCTTCTTGTTTTGTAGCTTCAGTTTCTCTGTTTTTACACAAATTTACTCAAACTAAATATAAAATACAGCAACAAAATAAAGCTCGGCGGGCAGCAGCGGGCCGGACTGTTTATCTGCTGTTATTCCACCGTGGATCGGCTTCTTATAGATATATATTTAATTAATCTAGAGGAGGACTGCTGCTGAGTAAGTGCACATTGGGCTTTTTAATTTCATAACTTTAATTTTCTCTCTTGTTGTCAAAGTTGAGCTGTGTGCGGCGGCCGGGGGGCTGTATCCGTGTGTCTGTGTGTGTTTGCGGGCAGGTGTGTGAGCTGTTTGCCGGTGTTGTTGTGTGCAGCAGCTCGTCTCCTCTCCGTGTGTGTTTTTCGGTGTGTTTAGCTGCTCTCTGTGTTTCTTATTCTAGGAGTTGATATTCTGGAGGACAAGGGGCCGATATACAACTTAGACCCACCAACGCCTGCCTGCCTGCTCGCTGTCACAAATTAGAAAGATGGCGTCTTTTGGGACACTTCCTGAGCGATTTTCTTTGATTTCCACGCTGGTTTTCTTTCACGTTAGCGACGTTATTATCGATCTTTGATCTAAGTTATTATCAGCGTGGCTGAAGCTGAAGCTGCTGCTGCTGCTCGGAGCGTTAGCCGGAGCGAGCTAACAGGATGGTTAGCATTAGCCGCTGCAGCTAACGTTTATCCACTTGTTCTGTGGGAACATTTCTCGGCGTCTCACGGACTCATGTCGGCGGTGAGGCGGGCTTTCGTGATTTTAGCAACACCGAGAAACACTCCACAGCCCCGACGAACGGTGTTTTTTCACCGTGTTTCGACCCCCCCACGACAGGGCAGCCGCGGCGGGTTTAGACGGGGAGGTTGGACATCCACAGTGAGCGCCATGGTGGTTTAATAAGAAGAAGAAGACGGTTATAAAACATTTATTTCACCGCCGACACACACACACACACTCACTCTCACGCTAAAATAAGAGTTTTCAGTGTTTCTGAGAAGCTCCTGGCGGCTCCCGTCTCTGTAAACCTCCATTTTAGCTCAGTTTCTCTCGGTTTCGGGGCCTCTGCGACGGCATGTGATGCTGATGGAAGTTTATCCAGACAACTTCATGTCCCACCCAGGGAGCAATTACTTCAATTAACCGGCAGCAGCGTGTGCTCAGAGCCGGGCCGCGGGGGTACGGGAGCGGGGCGGCCAGGGGCTCCGGGATACTACTACTACTACTACTGCTACTGCTGTTTTTATACACGAGTACACAGGGTTATGTATCAGGCTTCACTCCATCCTCATCCTCTTCATCAGGGACACATGGAGTTAGTCACAGAGGTCAGGCATCATATAACCTGTTTACATCACTGCTTCTGTACTGAGGGGGAAACTACTTTAACACAAACACTATTAAAGCTCCTGTGAGGAGTTTTTGACTGGGTATAAAACAAACTCAAATTAACTTTAATGCTTGTCTGTGACCACCAATCAGTACGTTTACATGACACTCGAGAAAACCGAATTATCGCCTTATTCCGATTAAGACCGAACAACTGAAGTTCATGTAAACATCTTAGTCCGACTATAATCAGAGGTTGAGAACTCGGATTGGAGTCGGAGAACTCCGAACTCTGAGGGACGAAGTTTAAAAGTCATTTAAGGGTTAAAATGATCGGAAATGAAACTGATTTTTATGGTTTTCAGATGATTTCAAACCAACTATGTCCAACAGGTTAGTCACATGACTCTGGAGTGGAAATCTCCGCATGGAAAGGACAGCTGGACTTAGTCGAGACGTTTCGCCTTTCAAGGAAGAATTAGAAATCGTTCAGTCCGTTTCCATGACACTTGAGAAAACTGAATTATCGCCTTATTCCGATTAAAGCTCCTTTCACACAATATTTTTTTCGAACCCGTATCCTGTCAATACAAGCGTTCACATCAGCGACGTTTTCCCGTCCTGCGATATTGCGGCATTTATTTTTTTGTATCACAGTCGATTTTTCTAAAGTTTCTCATACTGTGTGTCCACTTCTGACCAATCAGATCTCGTGTTGTTGTGACGTCAGATTCACCGTTATATCCAACATGGCCGACCGGCTGATTGTTTACGTGTCGGAGAACAGAGTGACTTTTAAAAAAAAAGACACAAACAAGATTTCTGATTTCTCATCTGACGATGGTTTGTGAGTTTTAACAGTTTGATAAACGTCTTTGTTTGAACTTTCATCTGCGCTAACGTAAGCTAACGGTTGTTAGCATAGTTTCATGTGTTTATCTTGTCGCCTTTGATTGGCTATAAGTGCTGACCGTTTGGCTTGAGCGTGTGATGACGTTTCCAGCTTTTCTAGCCAATCAGATGGGAAGGAGGCGGGACTTTCCCAGGGAAAATATTTTGTATTTTCGTGTTCTATATTCACATCGGCCCCGGTGTGTGAGAACCTTCATTCTGATTAAGACCGGACAACTGAAGGTCATGTAAACACTTTAGTCCGACTATAATCGCAGTTTGAGAACTCAGATTAAGACACCCAGATAATGAGATTGAAAGTCGATTTTCTCTACCATGTAACCAGCGTAGTCGGAGTATGACGCCACGTCCCTGTAACCCTGTATCAAAAACCCCAGAGTAGAGGAGTAGCGTTGGTCTCATCTTTAGAAAAGGTAGTAGAGGAGGACACGTTCACGTCAATAATTTGATTTTCTCAGCTGCATGTAAAGGAGGACAAGGAGAGAAGTCTGATTCAGAGAAAAAGACGAATTATGAGGTTATAGTCCGATTAAACTGTGACTGTAAACGTACTGAGTGACCACCGCTGTGTTGTTGTTTGAATGTCTGTAGTTACTGAGGTTCACCTGGAAAACAGCCTCTGTGATCTTTTCCACCACCATTATTGACATTGAAGAATAAATTCACAAACATGTGACAATATCAACAACACAGGAAGGGTCGCCACGTGGTCAACAGGGGACGCCCAAATCCTCACAGGAGCTTTAAAGCTTCTCTAGAAAGTTTTAAGCTGATGATGGAGAAAACTGAAACTGATGTTGATGTCTTTGGTGACCCTAAAAAAGCCAAACTAGACTATAAATAAGACGAGTTACTGTCTTGATATGGTGAGTTTAAACATCTGAACCAGTGGTGAGGGTTGGTGCTTAACAAAGGGATGAACCGCTGCTCTGAAAACTGTCTTCGATGGCAAAGAGTTCAGATATTTGAGTGTGTAATGAAAAGGGGGAAGGTTTTTTAGTTATGAAAAATGACATTTACATAGAGACAAACATCAGCACAGTCTGCTTCGTCATCAGGGAGAACCAAAACACTGAGAGAAAGTTCCTGACAGGAGCTTTAAAGTTGATGCAGGGAGTTTTTAGTTGATGTGAAAAAAGGAAAATGACTATGAAAGTCTGTGTGACCCTAAAAAAGGAAAACGAGATCATATATAAGAGAAGGGGGTGTTGAGGTGGAGTCACATTTAACATCTGTAACCAGTGGTGGGGGGTAGGTGGCAAACACAGGGATGAACTGCTGCTCTTTATTATGGCAAACAATTCTCCAGTTTGATCCTTTAATACTTCTACACGTTCAATCAGCAAACTCCGCTTCGTCCACAGGGGGCGCCACAGTTAACTCAAGTATAATTCCCTCACAGGAGCTTTAAGTTGGAAGCCTTTGCTTCTTTGTATTCCTATATTTTCTGTTTCTTTGTTGCTATGGGCTGGTAGGTCTACAGTGAAGTACTGTTATTATTTTTACTTACATCACTTTGATCAGACTGTGACCCAGAAAACTCCGTAAATTAAACCTCACTACTTTGAACAGTTTCTCTCGTTCTCTGAAAAGCTGTAAAATCTTCTCAGGGATCATATCTGTCTGAAGCGTTTGGCGCCCCCTGTTGACCAAGTGTTACGTCCTCTATTTGAACTGATGTTGTACAGACAGTGTGTTAATGTTGGCTAACTCCGGATCAGAACTCTGTGCTCTAGAAATTAAAGATGTCCTTCTGTTTGGGTGATTCGCACTTTATCAAAGTAACCGTCTCCTGCCCCCTGCTGGCAGTGTTGGACCTCTACAGAGAACTGAGTTTGCTTTTGTGGGTCACACGGAGACGTTGGTGTTGATTTCAGGCTGTGAAAAACTCCTGACTGGAGCTTTAACTCAGACAGTTCTCATCCTTCTGCTTCGATTTGAAACTTGTTATGATAACAACAACCTCTTTGTTTACTCCTAAACATCACTGTATTCACCATATACAGGAGTACCTCCATTGGAAGTACTTAGAGTAACTCTGGATACTTAGAATGATAATACTTATAGAGTTTTGGTCCAAATACTAGAAACACAGAGATGTGTTTGTGTTTTTGTACTTTGATTACACCGACTACAGAATGAAAAATGCATTCTTAATTTTTTTTATTCAACTCTCACTATATATTAAAGTACTTTTACTGCAGTAACATAGATATACTGCGGTCCTTGTAGTATTTGGCTCTTTCTTTATACAGAAACTATAGAATGAAGCTGAAATAGATGATTAGAAATTAAAAAACATTTAAGTTTGTAAAGTAAAACCACCTAATGTTGACCGGGTACATTCCTGCAAAGTAACAAACAGGTTGAAGTACTTTCAGCTAATTTTGGATACTTTAAATACATGAAAATATAACTGAATAAAGCTGTTAATATATAAACTATAACACTGAAGTTAATCTGTACTTAAACTGTGATACTGTATCTACTTTAATCTCACACTTATAAATTCAGATTTGTAATCTAACTTCTGTAGTTCACTGTATTTTACTGTATTTTACTGTAATACTTCAACTGCATTAAGCTGCTTATTCACACAACAACAAATGAAAACACTTTGACCAAACTACATGTAGCTGCACTACAGGAAAGCATAGATGATACAGTAAATGTGTACTTTTTATGATTAATAAGGCTGGTATTAGAAATCTGGAGTGTCAGTCTTTAAAAGAACTGGCTCAGTCGCCCCTAAAATCTCCTTAAAACTGGGTCAAACTGAAGTACGAGGTTCCTGCTGCACAGTCAGAACCAGAACCGAGTCAGTTTAGGAGAAATCATCATTAAAGGTCGATAAACCAACAGCACCAGACCGGCTCCAATAACCGAATAAACCCCAAACTTAACCTGTTAGTTTGAGAGTTAAAAGAGTTTTAAAGTTTTTAAAACAGGTTTGAGTTTTCAAAACTTGATTCAAAAGTTTTCAGACACTAAAAATAAGAGATCCAAACTAAGAGTCACGAGTTAGTCCTCCGTCTCTGTCAGCAGGTGTCAGTCTGTCAGTGTCCTGACGCTCATCTCTGAGTCATGGCGTCTTCGTTTCAGTCGATTCTCTCAGATTATTGAGTCACTTCTCTGAAACGAGCGCTGTAGTAATGTACAAATTTAGAAAATAGAAACCTGGAGTCTGGGTTTAAAGGAATCAAAAGTGACCAAAGCTTAAAAAAGAGAATTCATGATGTTAGAGTTTGTCTCAGTTTAGCCCTGAGCTTAAGGTTTTTTAAGTTTTGGTTCACATTCATGAAACTTGGTCAATTAAAACATTTTAAATGTGGAGAAAAAGTCTTGAAGTCAAAATACCCAGAATCACAAATCCAGAGAAAAAGTGACCAAAAGATCAGAGTGACTCAATAAAACAGTTAGTCGTCTAAATATGTGCAGATAAACGTGGTTTACCAACTTAAAATCAGCTGAAACAGAAAAGAAGAGTTTCATTGGAGTTTACAAAGTCATCAAAAATAGAGATGCATTCAAGTTCAGCTCAAAACCTTGGAAAAAAGAGCGCTTATATCTCCATGAGTAACACTAATAAAATCGATAAATCAGACTTTAAAACAGCCCTGAACTTTACCTGAGAGAGTTAGTGCAGCTTTCACGTCACAGAGGGAAGAGTTAAACTTTACAGAAATATGACTGAAACAAATGAAGAGAGTTAAAACAACTAAAGAGAGTAAAAATAACAAAAGAGAGTTAAAACAACTAAAGTTAAAACACTGAAGAAAGTTAAAATAACTAAAGTTAAAATAACAAAAGAGAGTTAAAACAATGAGAGTTAAAACAACTAAAGAGAGTTAAAATAACTAAAGAGAGTTAAAATAACAAACGAGAGTTAAAACAACTAAAGAGAGTTAAAATAACAAACGAGAGTTAAAACAACTCAAGAGAGTTAAAATAACTAAAGAGAGTTAAAATAACAAACGAGAGTTAAAACAACTAAAGAGAGTTAAAACAACTAAGAGAGTTAAAACAACTAAAGTTAAAACAACTAAAGAGAGTTAAAACAACTAAAGAGAGTTAAAACAACTAAAGAGAGTTAAAATAATAAAAGAGAGTTAAAACAACTAAAGAGAGTTAAAATAATAAAAGAGAGTTAAAACAACTAAAGAGAGTTAAAATAACTAAAGAGAGTTAAAATAACAAACGAGAGTTAAATCAACTAAAGAGAGTTAAAATAACAAACGAGAGTTAAAACAACTCAAGAGAGTTAAAATAACAAGAGTTAAAACAACTAAAGAGAGTTAAAACACTGAAGAGAGTTAAAATAACAAAAGAGAGTTAAAACAATGAGAGTTAAACAACTAAAGAGAGTTAAAATAACTAAAGAGAGTTAAAACAACTAAAGTTAAAACACTGAAGAGAGTTAAAACAATGAGAGTTAAATAACTAAAGAGAGTTAAAATGACTGAAGGGAGTTAAAAATGAGACTGAAGAGAAGGTCATGAATCTTATCTCCATGATAGACTCGGGTCTGTGAATCTGTTTTAGTGTGTGTGTGTGTGTGTGTGTGTGTGTGTGTTCAGGGTAGTTTTCACTAGTTTTCTTTGTAACAGTGTGTTTGTTTGTTGTGTGTTTCAGGGCAGCACAGAGGGGTGGAGTCCAGTCCCACAGCCAGGTGGTGAGTCCTGTCACATGATTCGCTCAAACAGAAACACAGTAAACTCAGTAATTGTAAAGTGTTAATGTGATACAGTAAATTACTGCCATAAATAATAAATAAAAAGTTAAATAAAAAGAAAAGTTCAAACTAGAAAGAAGTTTGATTTAAGTACAGATTTATACAGAGACCTGAAAGTCCTTCTGATGTCTGGTTTAAGAGAGAAGAACGCTTCAGTTATGATGATAATGTAGGAAAATAAGACACCAAACAACAACAACAACAGGATCCTGATGGGTTTTTACTGTTTTAATGTTTACGGTAATAGATGAGGTTAGTATGATTCTATTTTCATACGTCTAAATACTCATAAAAGCAGGACTACAAACATTTTCAGCGTCTGAATGACCTTCATAGTTATATCTGTGTCCACCACATGTGAAGACTTCTATCTACAAATAGAGATTACAAGTAAATATAAATGAGGGTACATATATGAGTATAAGTATAAAGTATATGATTCATATATCAGTATAAATGAAGATCACAGACACTCTCAGGTTTATACTTTTGGTTCTTGTGGAGTGTGTCCATGTTCCCCCCAGTAAAACCTCATGTCTGTTGTGTGTGTGTGTGTGTGTGTGTGTGTGTGTGTGTGTGTGTGTGTGTGTGTGTGTGTGTGTGTGTGTGTGTGTGTGTGTGTGTGTGTGTGTGTGTGTGTGTGTGTTTCTCTCAGCGGCACTTTAATGCTTCAGGTGGATGGTTTTCCTACTGGAGACGGTGTTAAGGTAAAAAAAAAAACAACCTCTGATGATCCCAGCTGTTCATTATGAAGACTGAACCTGCTAACACTGAGTCTACAGCTCTGAGGACACTTTCTGTGACCTTGTATGACCTTCACATGAACGTAGCAGCATCACACAAGGATGTCCTTATATGGGTGTACCTCGTGTTGCCATGACAACAGCAGGGAGTGCCGGTGTTGCTGATTTCTATTGAACTAGCTGTTTAGGACTCTTAACCTGTATTTCTGTTTGTTTGTGTGTGTGTGAGCAGGCTGATCGATCGGCTGGCAGACTGACTGGATCCATGATGGAATTACAGACGTTACAGGAGGCCCTGAAGGTGGAGATCCAGATCCATCAGGTACACCAGCAGAAGTTTGAGTGCAGCAGCTCACAGCAGGACAGAAGTTCAGTTTTTCGGCTCAGAGTGTGACTGAACCACAAACTGCTCTGAAATCTCTGATCTATTCAAAGCCACCAAACTCCATGTGAAAAACAGTGATTTTTACCTCACAGGACGTCATAGGAGTCAGAGGGCAGCGGCTGTCGTGAGAGTTGAGTGTGTTTGTGTCAGTGTGTGTTACACAAGTATTGTGTTGGATTGAAAGTAACCGTTACACTCATTAAAGTCACACAATAACTCAAACAAACTCACTTAACAAAGCAGCAACAAACCTGAGACTGCCACTTTCTTCAAGGTAAATTGACCGTTTTGTGAATGAGGTTTGGTGGCTTCAGGATAGAGCACTTGAAGAAAAGTTTCTGGTTTAAAAAATCATCTTTCTCAGAAAAATAGGAGGTTTTCTCTCTGTTGTGATCCTGTCTGTGATGTTGTCAGACTCTGAGGATGGTAATCTGGGCCAGAACTTCTGTTGGACTTCTGCACACGAGGGTCACAATGCAGATTATTTTGAAGCAGTGTTCTGAATCCGCCGCTTTAGACCCCAAATATGTTCAGAAATTAAAAACATGTGAATCAGAACAACTTTATATCAAACAACATAAAGTTCCACTCCCAGTAACATGTGACAGGATAAGATCGCAGCAACAAAAGGCCGATCAACGACGCACCGTAAAAACACTTCGAATGGACCTGTTTTAGTGCATCATAGACTCCTTTATAAAGCCGTATATCTGCGTCAATAATGACTCTTATTAGGGATAATGAGCATTTAGAACAGCTAATATGAATGAGTTTACTGCTTTATAAAGTTTATATGGTTTATAATGTATCATACTTTATCTTTTTACAACTTTACCCCGTCAGGAAAATGTCTGATGAAGACTGAGAAGATAAGATATAAGATAGACCTTTATCTTTATTAGTCCAACAGGAGGAAATTCTAAAACACACAAAGTCAATAAAAGAAATCAACATTTAGCCTGATATAATTAAGTTTTTGTGAATATATCTCAATCATCTGTTTAATACAAACACGATTATTGTTTATAAAAGTATTTTGTCGTTTACGCACTAGAAAGACGACGTCAAAGGTTAAAACACAATAGATATTTAAAGAATCAGAACTTAAAGCTCCTGTGAGGAGTTTTTTTGAATGCTTTTAAATCAACTCAATTTAATTTCTCGAACACGTTCAGGTCCGACTCAGAGCTCTGACTGAGGTCATGAACAACAATATGATCCTATTACATACACAGTTATTATGACTGTAATTAAAGAGGGAGACACCAACAGGGTTTATTATGAGACTGGATCTGCTGTCAGGGGTCCATCAGTCTGGTCCTGGTCCAGGTTTCTGCCTGTTAAAGGAAGTTTGGTGAAGTGTTTCCCTCCTGTGGTTGAGGACGGGGTGGGAGGGGGTCTGATCCTCCAGGATGGGGATCAGTCTGATCCAGACTTTACGTTAGGTCTTTGGTCTTAAAGTTCTTTATGTGCCAAAATCAGAGTTTGTAAATGAAGTCTAAACCATGTCTGAGTTGAAGTTTGCAGCAGCCTGCTGCTCGTAGTACCTCTCTGTGACCACCAGGGGTCCCTGTGATTATCCTGACTCGTGTCCTCATGTCCTCTACAGAAACTGGTTGCCCAGATGAAGCAGGACCCTCAGGTAAACCCTGACGCTCTCTGTGCTTGAACCACACCTGTACCTGAGTCTACACACACACACACGCAAACACACACACACACACACACACACACACACACACCAGAACCGAGAGTTGGTCTTAAACTCTTTTCTTTGTTGTTTTCAGAACGCAGATCTGAAGAAGCAGCTCCACGAACTACAAGCCAAGATCACAGCGCTGAGCGAGAAGCAGGTACAGAGAACCACACACAGACACACACACAGACACACAGACACACACACACACACACACACACACAGACACACACACACACACACACACAGACACACACACACACACACAGACACAGGCGTCTTTTCTTCTTCGTGGAGGATGTTAGAGAGCGTAAACTGAGCAGTTAAAGGATCACTGAGAGGTTTTTTTTGTTAATCTCGTCATCACTGTTCTGTCCGCGCCGACCTCGAATGCGTCGCTCCTTAAAGGGACTTTAGTCTGAGAGGTGGAGGAGAGGATCCTGGGACTGGTTTCTGTCAGAGCGGCTCCTCACATCTGGACGGTTTTGTCTCTGTGACGGTTTCGGACTCTGAGGACGGTCCGTCTGGTTTCTGTCAGCTGCTGTTTTTCCTCTGCTGTCCGGCTGATTGATCCGTTTCTGACCCTGGTTCTGTTTCTATCAGCAGCAGGTCTGGCATCAATAACAGACTCTGTGGATTCTGGTTTTAAAGTCCCGCTCAGTCCTGATCGGAGTTCTGACCCGGTCTAGTAAACGCTGGTACTTTGACACAGTATTGATGATATAAACTTTATTTTTGTGTCGTTTTCCTTTAATCGACTTTGATCGATTTGCTCTGACTCCAGGCGGCGTGGTCCTGAGCAGGGTCACCGCGTTTTTACTGCAGATTTGGAGCCGCCGTCGTTAAACCGGTTAAACCAGCGTGTTTGTGTGGAGACGTCGGCTCGTTTGTTCTGATTTTTTTTTGTCTTTATTTTTAACCACTTTGAGCGGGCCTCCTATTTTTATCTGCTGACTCTGCTTTAATGTCGCCCTGTGAAAGTCTTTGAACGTCCTCCTGAGAGAGACGAGAAGAAGAACTCGAGTCTCCTTCAGAGAGAGAGAGAGAGAGAGAGAGAGAGAGAGAGAGAGAGAGGAGAGAGAGGAGAGAGAGAGAGAGAGAGAGAGAGAGAGAGAGAGAGAGAGAGAGAGAGAGAGAGAGAGAGAGAGAGAGAGAGAGAGAGAGAGAGAGAGTTTGTTGACCTGCACACCTGTCTGACCGTCAGTCTGAGGGCGTTGGCTCCACCCACAGACCTAACACGGCGGTTCCTCCCTGAATTCTGCCCGCCCCTCTCTGGAGTTTTCCTGCTGAAGATTCTTCAGTGGTTTTAAAATCCTGTGGAGGTGAGGCGGGTTCGAGGCTCAGGAGAGGACTGACAGTAAAGAGGAGTTTTTACATGTAGATGAGCTTCTCCGCGGGCAAGATCCGACCGACCCGAAACCTGCAGAGGGATTATTGTTGTGGGGTCACAGTGAAAGACTGAAGGAGCCCCTGAACACGGCGCAAAGGTTTACTCACTTCAATCGGTTTGGAGGAGCAGGACTGGATTATCCGGATCGGGTTCAGGCAGGATGAAGCTTTGAGCTGCTGATTACACCTCACCTGTCTGTACGCACACAGAGCAGCCGCCATGTTTTTTTCTCGCTGGCGTAGACCGGCACTCACAAGACCGCTTTTAAACCGCCCAGAAGAAAGGAATCATTAAGATAAAATGTAAAAGATGTCGATGGATCGAACCGTTTAGAACCGGTTCTCAACAAGAACCGGTTCTTAACAAGAACCTTCTCAGCAGCAGCAGCGTGCTAAAAAAAAAAAACACCTTCAGAGTCGAAACGACTTTATGAGTCTGATAATTAATTAAATTAATATGTTCCTTTTTTTTTTAAAGTTTATTTTTTTTGACACCGACTGTTCTCCCGCTCTGACTCCGCCTTCATGTTTATCTTTATTCTCTCGGTAAAACCTGGACTTTTTTTTCTACTTCCTGTTGTGTTGTTTTGTTCCCGCTGAAGAGCGCCACACTTCTTGATTTTTTCACCTCTTCTTTTCACCTCCTCGGCGCCGACTCTATCTGGAAACCTCAGCAAATAAAGCGCCTGCATGTCGAGATTAGAGCGGGTTAAATATGCACTGTGTGTTTTCTGTGAAGTGTGCGGACTGATCCTTTAAAGACAGGCGGCGATAAGAGCGGCGAGGGAGTGTGCGGCGTGATAAAACGTCCCCCTGCAGCAGATAGAGACGCACATTATTAACTGCAGGTCAAACTGCGCCGAGCGAGGCGAGCCGGGCCGCTCTTCAGTCCGCTCGCTCTCCTCGCCGCTCTTCATGACGGTGTGCCACTGCATTAACTTCCTGCTTCAGAGTCAGGTGTTGCTAGGCAACAGATGGGCTTTACCTTAAGACTGTGGACTCTGCGTGCCGCTGTTCTCCTCACTGCTGTGAACTCCAGGGTTATTAGAGCCAATCAGAGCAGAGCAGAGGTTCTGACCCGAACTAAAGCAAAAGTTCTATATATGTATAAAAATAAAGGTAAAGAATGAAACATTAAAAGGTGTAAGAGAGGAGCTGTTGTGGTTTTTGTCCCTGACAGACTGACAGAGAGGATCCCTGCAGACCGAGAGCTTTAGGTTCATGAGTAACAGCTGATCCGTGGACAGACACACCAGACCACACTGAGCGGAGACTCCCAGGACACACACACGCACTTATTTCCGTGTACTTCGGTGTGATGCACAAATAATTTTGGGATCTGAATGAAAGTCAAAGTTTCAGGAGTCCAATCATTGCTCTTCATTTACCCCCCCTGCAGAAAAAGGTGGTGGAGCAGCTGAGAAAGGAGCTCTTGGTGAAGCAGGAGCCGGAGGCGAAGCTGCAGCTGCACGTCCAAACTCCTCCAGTTGGTGGCGACATCAAGCCAGCCAACCTGCTGCAGAGCCAGCAGATACCTGGAGGACTGCAGCAGGTAGGAAACAGTTCCAGCCGCACACTCAGACTTCAGACCAAGAACATTGTACCAAAGAGAACCTTTAATTAACGAAGACAAAAACTAAGAGAACGTGTAAACCAGTCAATCATCTTTCAGTAATATCTCGTTAGTTGTTGATGAGCACCTTCTGCTGTGATGAAATGTCTGTAAAATGTTGTAAAGTTCTCCCAAACACCGGCGTGAGGATCAGTTCTGTCCTGTAATCTCTGCAGCTCTGTCTCATGGGCTCATTTGACCCCCCGCAGACCCTGACGGTCACGCCGGTCCTCACCACGAAGACTCTACCTCTGGTGCTGAAAGCTGCCGCAACACCCACCTTACCTGGCTCTGTCCTGCCACAACGCCCTCCCACTGTCGCCATGGTTACCACAGCTATCACCAAACCCGACTCACAGAACGCCCCCATCAACCTGCAGGTGGCTAGCAAGCTGACCAATCAGAGCTCAGAGCCCGTGCGACTCGTATCAAAGAACGCCATGGTGGTAAGAGCCTCCAGCCCCCCCTGCTGCCCAGTCTTGTGTCATAACCTCCTTTAAAGTGACTTATTGAAGAGTTTGTTGAGGTAAAACTGAGGAGAGCTAATTCATACTTACAGCTGTGGGTTTAAAATTCTGCATTCAGGGAGTTTGAAGAGTTTGAAAAAGTCCCGACTCGAAGGAAGAGATGTTTCTCTGATCACTGATCTGCTCAGTCAGGCCGGGGTGTGAGTGGTGGCCTTCAGGCAGAAAAACCAACGCCAACTGCAGTTCCCAGACCAATCAGACAAACACCTTAGTGTAAGCTGACATGACAGTGTAGCTGCAGCCAAGTGGGCGGTGCAGCAGAGACAGACGTGACACTGAAACAGCAGCAAACTTCACAGCATGATGGCAGTGAGGCACAGACAGGAAGTCCAGTTTCAGACACACAGGCAGGTGAGTGTGACAGCTGTAGACCCGGGGCTGTTACACTGATGAAGTGTTTGATAAAGCTGCACACATGTCAGCGTAGCAGCAGCCTACATGTGTCAGGATAGCAGCAGCCTACATGTGTTCGCGTAGCAGCAGCCTACATGTGTCAGTGTAGCAACGGTCTGCATGTGTTCGCGTAGCAGCAGCCAACATGTGTCAGCGTAGCAGCAGCCTACATGTGTCAGGATAGCAGCAGCCTACATGTGTTCGCGTAGCAGCAGCCTACATGTGTCAGTGTAGCAACGGTCTGCATGTGTTCGCGTAACAGAAGCCAACATGTGTCAGTGTAGCAGCAGCCTACATGTGTCAGGATAGCAGCAGCCTACATGTGTTCGCGTAGCAGCAGCCTACATGTGTCAGTGTAGCAACGGTCTGCATGTGTTCGCGTAGCAGCAGCCAACATGTGTCAGTGTAGCAGCAGCCTACATGTGTCAGGATAGCAGCAGCCAATGTGTGTTGAGGTAGCAGCAGCCCACGTGTCAGTGTAGCAGCAGGCAACATGGGTTCGCGTAGCAACAGCCTACATGTGTTCGCGTAGCAACAGCCTACATGTGTTCGCGTAGCAACAGCCTACACGTGTCCGCGAGTGTCAGTGTAGCAACGGTCTGCATGTGTCCGTGTAGCAGCAGCCTACATGTGTTCGCGTAGCAGCAGCCTACATATGTCTACTAGTGTCAGTGTAGCAACGGTCTGCATGTGTTCGTGTAGCAGCAGCCTACATGTGTCAGTGTAGCAGCAGCCTACATGTGTCAGTGTAGCAACAGCCTACATGTGTTCGCGTAGCAGCAGCCTTCATGTGTCAGTGTAGCAGCAGCCTTCATGTGTCAGGATAGCAGCAGCCTACATGTGTTGAGGTAGCAGCAGCACATTTGTGTCAGTGTAGCAACAGCCTTCATGTGTCAGTGTAGCAGCAGCCTACATGTGTCAGCGCAGCAGCAGCCTACATGTGTCAGCATAGCAGCAGCCTATCTGCTGAGTTGAGTCAGTGTGACAGGAACCCTCAGGCCAGTTTCTCAGTGGGTCGATGGGTCAAAGTTACAACAGCTTTCCTGTGGGTGTGATATCAGCAGAAATGTCAGAGTAGCAGCAGCTGACCTGTCAGTGTATTAGTAGCAGCCGCATTAGTGTGGTAGCGGTTCTCTCAATGGCAGATACAGGCTGACATGTCAGATTGTTCATGAACGTGTGTTGTTGTGTCAGCAGCAGACCTGTGAGTGTAGCAGACATTTACCTGCAGGTCTAATGACAGCAGGTTTATCAGTGTAGCAGCAGCTCACCTGTTGGTGTAGCAGCAACAACCTCTCTGTTCCAAAGCACTGGACATGTTAGCATTAAAGCTACTGACCTGCAGGTGTAACTACTGCACAGCAGGCACGTGTGTGTAGCAGCTGCTTACCTCCTGGTAGAAGAACAAGGGGGTAGCAGCAGTTCACCTGTTGGTGTAACATACTGAATAGTGTAGCAGCGACTTACCAGTTGGTGTTGCAGCAGCAGACATATAGGTGTAGCAGCTGCCTGCCTGTTGGTGTAAAAGCAGCAGTGATGCTGAAGAAGCAGCAGCTGACCTGTTGGTCTGAGGGCGGCAGACTTAGGGTCGGAAGCAGTTCATCTGCAGGTGCAAAGAAAGACCTTATATCAGTGTAGCAGCTGCCTACCTGTTGGTGTAAGGATGATGGTGTTTTCAGTGTTTCAGGTGCAGGTGTGTCAGTGTTTCAGGTGTGTCAGTGTTTCAGGTGCGGGTGTGTCATTAGCACAGATCCACATCTGTTGTGGTTTTGTCTCAGGTGCAGGCCACCACCACCTCTGCCCAGCCAATCAAAGTTCCTCAGTTTGTCCCTCCTCCTAGACTGACGCCTCGACCCACCTTTCAGCCACAGGTGCGTCTCTGTAAGACCCGCCTCCAAACCCTAACCCCCTCAGATCAGTGTGTGTGGCCCACAAGAGGTGACTCGCTCGCTCTCCTGCAGGGGCCAGAAGTGCACCAAAGCAAACACTCATGCCTTGCTCCGTGGCACTAAAACATTGTTTGCTCTGTGCTGCCTCTACTCATCTCCTCTCCTCCTGTTGTTGTTTTTTTGATTTTCCGACTGACCTGTGATCGGGTTGTTTTTAAGGTTTCCTGCCTGTGAATGTGTGTGAGTGTGTGTGTGTGTGTGCGTGCGTGCGTGCGTGTGTGTGTGTGTGTGTTTACCTTTTGTGCTGAGGGCTTGTTTTCCTGCAGCTTCTTGGTATTTTGTGTTCCTGGCTGTTGATGTGTTTTAACCCTTTCAGTGGAAACATGTTGTTGATGTTGATCTGTGCTGAGTAATGCCACTGGGAGCTCTGGCTGCTCTGATACAAGGACGACTGTTAGAGTCAGCAGCACAAGTAAGACGAGAAAGAGCAGCAGTACAAAGGACATCCTCTGTGGGAGCAAAGACACGATCTGTAGGTGTAGTCATGGCTTTAACACGGAGTCGATACCCAAGCTTAGGGTTATTGTTATAGTTTGGGTTACAATGGTTGACAAATGAAAAAAGGGACAAGGAAAGAGGAGAGCAGGGAGAGGAGCAGGAGCAGGCAGAAGATTACAATGTCTGAAAAGCAGAGGGACGGGGTAAAGTATGATGAGAGGGACCAGAGACACGACGATAAGAAGCTAACAGTCTGGCAGGGCTTTTATGACTTTGGCCCTCAGGCTTTGGACAGAGAGATTACCATTTAAAGGCCTGTCTCTAATACAAGCCTGCTGCATTTAAAGGCCTGACTCTAATACAAGCCTGCTGCATTTACAGGCCTGTCTCTAATTGAAGCCTGTTGCATTTAAAGGCCTGACTCTAATACAAGCCTGCTGCATTTAAAGGCCTGATTCTAATACAAGCCTGCTGCACTTAAAGGCCTGACTCTAATACAAGCCTGCTGCATTTAAAGGCCTGACTCTAATACAAGCCTGCTGCATTTAAAGGCCTGACTCTAATACAAGCCTGCTGCATTTAAAGGCCTGACTCTAATACAAGCCTGCTGCATTTAAAGGCCTGACTCTAATACAAGCCTGCTGCTTTTAAAGGCCTGTCTCTAATACAAGCCTGCTGCATTTAAAGGCCTGACTCTAATACAAGCCTGCTGCATTTAAAGGCCTGACTCTAATACAAGCCTGCTGCATTTAAAGGCCTGACTCTAATACAAGCCTGCTGCATTTACAGGCCTGTCTCTAATACAAGCCTGCTGCATTTACAGGCCTGACTCTAATACAAGCCTGCTGCATTTAAAGGCCTGACTCTAATACAAGCCTGCTGCATTTAAAGGCCTGTCTCTAATACAAGCCTGCTGCATTTAAAGGCCTGACTCTAATACAAGCCTGCTGCATTTACAGGCCTGTCTCTAATACAAGCCTGCTGCATTTAAAGACCTGTCTCTAATACAAGCCTGCTGCATTTACAGGCCTGACTCTAATACAAGCCTGCTGCATTTACAGGCCTGATTCTAATACAAGCCTGCTGCATTTAAAGGCCTGATTCTAATACAAGCCTGCTGCATTTAAAGGCCTGTCTCTAATTGAAGCCTGCTGCATTTACAGGCCTGTCTCTAATACAAGCCTGCTGCATTTAAAGGCCTGATTCTAATACAAGCCTGCTGCATTTAAAGGCCTGACTCTAATACAAGCCTGCTGCATTTACAGGCAAAGGGACCTAACATATGTTTGAGGATTTAAACTAGTTGGAAATAAGGACGAGTCGGCCTCTATGATGTGCTGACCGTCATTTTACCTCCATGGAAACCAATGGGTGGTGTCACTGAGACTTCTTTATGAAGTTTTTCTTCTTTGGGAGTTTGCAGCATTGTTAAAATCACAGATGGCGTCCTGAACCTTCTTTGGTGTGTTAAAGTGAAGCAGCTGTTTAGCAAAGGGAGCGCTGGAATCATCAGCAGTAGTACTGTAAACGGTAGTACTTCGAGCAGTATTACTATAAAGTAGTAGTAGTATCAGTATTAGGTAGTATCTTCAGTATGAGTTAGCCGGAGGCAGAGCTCCACAGTGATGTTACCTGGCAGTGTTTGGTCGTATCTGTGCTGTTTTCTAATTGGCTGTGTATCGTTACCAGGTCAGGCCAAAATTGGCCACACCCACCAACGTCCCCATTGCCCCGGCCCCTCCCCCTCCCATGATGGCTGCCCCCCAGCTGCTCCAGAGGCCGGTCATGTTGGCCACCAAGCTGTCGTCCTCGCTGTCCTCCGCGGCGCCCATCCACCAGGTTCGCATCGTGAACGGACAGCCGTGTAGTAAGACCGGCTCCACCCCGCTGACCGGCATCGTCATCACCACGCCGGTCTCTGCGAGCCCCACCCACCTCGCCAGCCCTGCCCAGGCACCCAACCCCACCCCCATCCTTACCACGACTCCTGCTCAGCCGATCCAGATCAGCAGCCTGAACACTGAGCCCAAGGTAAGAAGGTTCCTGAGTCTTCAGGGTCTCCAGGCATGAACATTTGAACTCTGAGGGCAGGTGATGGAGGTGAACTCAGATTAGAGTCTTCAGATTAAAATCAGACTTCTAAACTCAGATAAGAGTTCTCAGATTAGAGTCATAGTCCTGAACTCAGATTAGAGTTCTCGAATTACAGTGAGACTTCGTAACTCAGATTAGAGTCAGATTCCTGAACTCAGATTAATGTCCTGAACTCAGATTAGAGTCTTCAGATTAATATCAGACTTCTAAACTCAGATTAGAGTCAAATTCCTGAACTCAGATTAAAGGTCTCAGACTAAAGTCAGACTCCTGAGCTCAGATTAGAGGTCTCGGATTAAGAGCTCTTGAATTACAGTGAGACTTCGTAACTCAGATTAGAGTCAGATTCCTGAACTCAGAATAAGGTCAGACTCTTTAATTTAGATTAGAGTTTTCAGATTAAAATCAGACTTCTAAACTCAGATAAGAGTTCTCAGATTAGAGTCAGATTCCTGAACTCAGATTAATGTCCTGAACTCAGATTAGAGTCTTCAGATTAAAATCAGACTTCTAAACTCAGATTAGAGTCAAATTCCTGAACTCAGATTAAAGGTCTCAGACTAAAGTCAGACTCCTGAGCTCAGATTAGAGGTCTCGGATTAAGAGTTCTCGAATTACAGTGAGACTTCGTAACTCAGATTAGAGTCAGATTCCTGAACTCAGATTAGAGTTTTCAGATTAAAGTCAGACCTCAGGGATTTGAGGACCACCATCACTCTCCTGTGTTTTATCGTCTAACTGACAGTCATTGAGCTTCCTCTCCTCCTTCTCCTCCTTCTCCTCCTCTTCCTCCTCCTCTCAGCAGACTGTTAAACCAGGAGGAGGAGCAGAGCAGAAGGCCATCGTCAGCCTCCCCTCTTCCTCCACTCCCCCGTTGTCTCCTCCTCCTCCTCCTCCTCCCAGACCCAAGAAAGAGGAGAACCCAGAGGTAGAGCAGGCAGACACTGACACACTCAGACAGACTGTCGGTCAGGTTTGGGATTATTAATCTGTGTTTTTATTTAATCTCCTTCAGAAACTGGCCTTCATGGTGTCTCTGGGCCTGGTCACACACGACCACTTAGAAGGTGAGTTCTTCATCCTCTCCACTCTCTGTTTGCTCTGATTCTGCTGCAGCTGCTCTCACCGTCTCTGCGTGAACTTGTTCTTGTTTTCAGAAATCCAGAGCAAACGACAGGAGAGGAAGAGGAGAACGACAGCCAACCCCGTCTACAGCGGAGCCGTGTTTGAACCCGAGGTGAGTTTCATTTTACTGCTCCAAACTCAGAGGAGGTTTTTCTTCAGGGTCTGATGATCCTTCATTGAGGTCAGAGGTCTCCTTCTTCAGGAACACCTAAACAAACGAACGGTCCGACTCAAACAGACAAGACCGAGTCTCCGGCTTCAAAACCGACTGCTCTCAGAATCCTGACTTCAGGTTTCTCTCCTCCTCCTCCTCCTCCTCCTCCTTCTCTCCATTCACACGTTTCTCCTCTTCTTCTTCTCTTGTGTTTCAGAGGAAAAAGAGCGCAGTGAGTTACCTGAACAGCCCTCTGCACCAGGGGACCAGGAAGAGAGGTCCGTATGAAACACTGACCCACAGGCCTCAGAGCCAGACTACAGACAGGTGGACAGGTGGACAGGTGGACAGGTGGACAGGTGGACAGGTGGACAGGTGGTCCAGTGAAGACAGACAGATAGGATGAGAAACATGAGAACAGATGATCGACAGCAGAGATCCTGTAGAAACAGAAAAGTCGAGACTAATGTGTAACTCTGTACTAACAACTCGCTGTAACACCAGCCCTCCTCCTGCTCCTGCTCCTGCTCCTCCTCCTCTTCTTCTTCTTCTTCTTCTCCTTCTCCTTCTCCCTCCCTCTGCTCCTGTTTCCTGTCGCTTCACTCGGGTTTAAAGCTGATTTATACGTCTTCTCCTCAGAGATGAAAATCCAGCTCAGAGGTTTACAGAGAGTGTGTGTGTGTGTGTGTGTGTGTGTGTGTGTGTGTGTGTGTGTGAGAGAGAGTTTGCAGCCTGAGCTGAACTCTGACTCTGTCACACCTGGATGAAGAGGTCTAAATCTGCTTTTCACACCTGAAGAGTCAAAGGAGCGACTTTAAGGAGTAAACGTGTAAAAGAAAAGAAACTTAAAAACAAACAAAAGACTGAATAAATCAACTGATAAAATATCCTTAAATGTAAAAAACACACGAGATAAATGTAATAAGAGTTTCAAATGTACTTTTATTTATTATAAAATCTTCTATAAATGAAATAAATTTAGTGTCAAAGATTTCAACCTGAATAAAAAAAGGGAAAAATGAGAAAATGAATCGATTTAAAATATCCAGAAAAACAAACATGAGCAGGAGTGAAAAATGATAATTGTAATTTTAGAGTTTAAACAGTTAGAAACAAACTTTATTTACATCTGTAAATCGAATACTTTCTGTATCTAAAGTTTTTGTAAAGAAAACTTCATTTTAACAAAAAAACACATTTTTTAAAATTTGCACAAACAGTGAAAACTTCTCATTTGTTTGTTTTTTTACTTCTTAAACTTTTAAAAGTTTCTACAGGATTAAAACTGAGGATGTCGCTCCTTTGACTCTGTAGTTCTCTTGTAGGAGCTGGTGAAAGGTATTCTGGGAAGTGTAGGCAGAAACTGTCGGCTAAGGTGATTTCACAGGATAATAGAGACCTGAGACACGTGAGTTTGTCTCTGTTAAAGTAGGACAGGTGAGAAGTGAAGGACAGGTGTGTCTGCTAACAGGACTGACTCTAATAACTTCAAACTCCTTAAAGCACTAAAACTGAACGACGGCAGCAGCTTCTGTTTCACCAGGTCACTCTGTGTTTACTGACTAACTGAACAAGTTTCACTCTTTCATTTCTCTTCATGTAACGAGAATATGAAGCCATGAAAACTCAACAGTGTCAGATTTCACCTCGTCAGGAGCCTGAATGAAGTTTCAGGTCATTAAAAGGTCCGAGCTTCAGTCAGAGACACCGAGGTCAAGGTTTCAGCAGGTCCAACACCCTGAGAGGGTTTTCATCCGTCTGAGTCCTGATCAAGGACCTGAGATGGATCCAGATCTGCATTTCCAAGTGGTCTGCAGAGAGACAAGGGTCCCCCAGCCCCGTGTAAAAACAGTCCTGACTCTTTTAGTCTGTGGAGAAGCTTTTGTGTTTCACCGCCATCTCTGAAACTCTCAGTAAGCGTGTTTACGCTGAGGTCCCAGAAACTCCTCATGATGTTTCTAAAAATGAAGATAACCTTCATGGCGTCCGTCGAACTCCGAGTTCTGGAGACTGTCATCATCGGTCCTTCAGTCTGTGAATTAGACTTTGTTCACACTGATGTTTTAACCATCTGTGACTCATCTCTGATGTTTTCATCTAAGTGTGAACAGGTCAGTTCTGATTGGTTCTGATCCGACCCTCTTCTGTATGTGGATATAAATCAGATATGTATCCGATGTGACTGCAGTGTGACGCTCAGGTCGAGTTCATCCGACCTTTACGTCATCAATATGAGACAAACGTCACCGTTGTTCGACAACACAAACAGGCGCAGAAATCAACGGCGGACGAGGGAACGGAGAACGTTGTGCGTATGAGGGTCACTTCACAGACGCATTCGTTGTTGTAACGTGAACGAGCGCACAAAAAGATCGGATTTAACGAAACAACCGAATTGTGCATCAGAACCTGCAGAGTGATTGAGACTAATAGACATCTGTTAAGATGGAGGACGCCCTTATTGAAGGCTGTCCCTGTGCATTGTGGGAAATGTAGTATTCTGTGTTGAGGGGAGTGTTGAACTCCTCCTTTCTGAAGCATGGACTCCCTGAACTCAGGAGGATCAATAAGTGGATCAGGTCTAAAGACCTGGGTGTCTCTGACTCCAGCCTGCGGTTGACCTCACCTGCACAGGTGAACTCTGACACTGGTCCGTGTGATGACTGCAGTAGGTTGTTGTGGTGCTCGGCTGCAGCTTGCACGGAGCCAGTCTCCTGCACTAACACTGCTGTCTGTGCTTCTGACTCCTCCTCCTCCTCCTCTTCCTCTTCCTCCTCCTCTTCCTCCCTTACCGCTCCCCTGTCTCATGCTAGCCAACGAAGACTCCCTTTCCAAGGTATGTCATACAGACTGTTTGTTTTTGCTTTCTTCCCCCCTCTCCATCTTTCTTTTTTTTCTTTGTTTTCCGTCTTTGTTGTCTGTCTCATTTCACCCAGGTCGCCCACCCAAATACAGCAGCGTCTCCGAGCTGGGCAGCCTCACCCCGACCTCCCCCTCCAGCCCCGTCCATCCCCTCCCCCTGCCCAGCCCCAGCTCTGGGGATGTAAGTAACGATGGGGGAGACGGTGACAGTTCAGAGGGTCGGGAGCCCCGTCACACACAGTCCTATTGGCCCAGTAGCTCTGTCAATCATTACACCCTGAGACCTCCACAAACACGTCCATTAATTTGTTGTCTCCATGTGATAATCATCAGTCATCATTGATTTTTACTTTGATTCAGCCTTACAAAGTGAACAGCATCCATGAACAGAAATAACCTCCAGGGGGCCCTCAAGAGCAAACGTGCTGCCAGGGAGACAGGCTCCGAAATCAAGAACTGGACAACTTCAGAGTAAACAGACCGACAACAGACCGACAACTTCAGAGTAAACAGACCGACAACTTCAGAGTAAACAGACCGACAACTTCAGAGTAAACAGACCGACAACTTCAGAGTAAACAGACCGACAACTTCAACAGACCGACAACAGACCGACAACTTCAGAGTAAACAGACCGACAACTTCAGAGTAAACAGACCGACAACTTCAGAATAAACAGACCGACAACTTCAGAGTAAACAGGCCGACAACTTCAGAATAAACAGGCCGACAACAGGCCGACAACTTCAGAGTAAACAGACCGACAACTTCAGAGTAAACAGACCGACAACTTCAGAATAAACAGACCGACAACTTCAGAGTAAACAGACCGACAACAGACCGACAACTTCAGATTAAACAGGCCGACAACTTCAGAGTAAACAGACCAACAACTTCAGACACCGACAACTTCAGAGACCGACAACTTCAGAGTAAACAGACCGACAACTTCAGAGTAAACAGACTGACAACTTCAGAGTAAACAGACCGACAACAGGCCGACAACTTCAGAGTAAACAGGCCGACAACTTCAGAGTAAACAGACCGACAACTTCAGAGTAAACAGACCGACAACTTCAGAGTGAACAGACCGACAACTTCAGAGTAAACAGGCCGACAACTTCAGAGACCGACAACTTCAGAGTAGACAGACCCACAACTTGAGAGTAAACAGACCAACAACTTCAGAGTAAACAGACCCACAACTTCAGAGTAAACAGACCAACAACTTCAGAGTAAACAGGCTGACAACTTCAGAGACCGACAACTTCAGAGTAAACAGACCGACAACTTCAGAGTAAACAGACTGACAACTTCAGAGTAAACAGACCGACAACTTCAGAGTAAACAGATCGACAACTTCAGAGTAAACAGGCCGACAACAGACCGACAACAGGCCGACAACTTCAGAGTAAACAGACCGACATCTTCAGAGTAAACAGACCGACAACAGACCGACAACTTCAGAGTAAACAGACCAACAACTTCAGAGTAAACAGGCCGACAACTTCAGAGTAAACAGACCGACAACAGGCCGACAACTTCAGAGTAAACAGGCCGACAACTTCAGAGTAAACAGGCCGACAACAGGCCGACAACTTCAGAGTAAACAGACCGACAACTTCAGAGTAAACAGACCGACAACTTCAGAGTAAACAGGCCGACAACTTCAGAGTAAACAGACCGACAACTTCAGAGTAAACAGGCCGACAACTTCAGAGTAAACAGACCGACAACAGGCCGACAACTTCAGAGTAAACAGACCGACAACTTCAGAGTAAACAGGCCGACAACTTCAGAGTAAACAGGCCGACAACTTCAGAGTAAACAGACCGACAACTTCAGAGTAAACAGACCGACAACAGGCCGACAACTTCAGAGTAAACAGACCGACAACTTCAGAGTAAACAGACCGACAACTTCAGAGTAAACAGACCGACAACTTCAGAGTAAACAGACAGACAACTTCAGAGTAAACAGACCGACAACTTCAGAGTAAACAGGCCGACAACTTCAGAGTAAACAGACCGACAACAGGCCGACAACTTCAGAGTAAACAGGCCGACAACTTCAGAGTAAACAGACCGACAACTTCAGAGTAAACAGACAAACAACTTCAGAGTAAACAGGCCGACAACTTCAGAGTAAACAGGCCGACAACTTCAGAGTAAACAGGCCGACGACTTCAGAGTAAACAGACCGACAACAGACCGACAACTTCAGAGTAAACAGACCGACAACTTCAGAGTAAACAGACAAACAACTTCAGAGTAAACAGACCGACAACTTCAGAGTAAACAGGCCGACAACTTCAGAGTAAACAGACCGACGACTTCAGAGTAAACAGACAAACAACTTCAGAGTAAACAGACCGACAACTTCAGAGTAAACAGACAAACAACTTCAGAGTAAACAGGCCGACAACTTCAGAGTAAACAGGCCGACAACTTCAGAGTAAACAGACCGACAACAGACCGACAACTTCAGAGTAAACAGACCGACAACTTCAGAGTAAACAGACAAACAACTTCAGAGTAAACAGACCGACGACTTCAGAGTAAACAGACCGACAACAGACCGACAACTTCAGAGTAAACAGACCGACAACTTCAGAGTAAACAGACAAACAACTTCAGAGTAAACAGACCGACAACTTCAGAGTAAACAGGCCGACAACTTCAGAGTAAACAGACCGACGACTTCAGAGTAAACAGACAAACAACTTCAGAGTAAACAGACTGACAACTTCAGAGTAAACAGACTGACAACTTCAGAGTAAACAGACCGACAACTTCAGAGTAAACAGACCGACAACTTCAGAGTAAACAGACCGACAACTTCAGAGTAAACAGACCGACAACTTCAGAGTAAACAGACCGACAACTTCAGAGTAAACAGACCGACAACAGACCGACAACTTCAGAGTAAACAGACCGACAACTTCAGAGTAAACAGGCCGACAACTTCAGAGTAAACAGACATGACAATAGACCGACAACTTCAGAGTAAACAGACTGACAACTTCAGAGTAAACAGACTGACAACTTCAGAGTAAACAGACCGACAACTTCAGAGTAAACAGGCCGACAACTTCAGAGTAAACAGACCGACAACTTCAGAGTAAACAGGCCGACAACTTCAGAGTAAACAGACCGACAACTTCAGAGTAAACAGACCGACAACTTCAGAGTAAACAGACCGACAACAGGCTGACAACTTCAGAGTAAACAGACCGACAACTTCAGAGTAAACAGGCCGACAACTTCAGAGTAAACAGGCCGACAACTTCAGAGTAAACAGACCGACAACTTCAGAGTAAACAGACCGACAACTTCAGAGTAAACAGGCCGACAACTTCAGAGTAGACAGCTGGACAAAGCTGCAAACGAAGTGAAAAAACACAAACACAGATTTAACAGGGAAATGCTGCCCATCAGGAAGAAGTGCTCCAGGCCTGCAAAGGGCGCTACACTTTGCGTAGGCCTGTGAAAGTGGATTCTTTGTGATCTGTTCATGAAGTAGTTTTAAGTTTTCTGAATTTGCAGCCTGTCTCTCCGGTTGGAGGTTTTGCAGACCGTTGCAGCAGTTTGCTCTTCTCAGCCGCTTTAATAACCACTACTCAGACACATTTTAACTCCCAAATATGAAGTAACTTCTCCTCTGTGGGCTCAGTCTATTAACACACATGTCCAGTAGACTGTAGAACCAATCCAGCTGTGAACTAAACCGAACCCGATCACGGTTCCTCCCCGCCTCGCCTCTCCTCAGGTGGTTGGTGGGGCTCAGTTGGGCAGGGAAACTGATTGGTCCAATTCTTCCTCACAGGGAGACATCCATGAGGATTTCTGCACTGTGTGCAGACGCAGTGGCCAGTTGCTCATGTGCGACACGTGTTCTCGTGTTTATCACCTGGACTGCCTGGATCCACCCCTGAAAACCATTCCTAAAGGCATGTGGATCTGTCCAAAATGTCAAGATCAGGTAACCGCAGCAGCAGCCGTGTCTGATCCTGAGTCAGGGGGAAGGGGGTACCGCAGTCCAGAGAGGGTCCATTAAGGGGGCCGGTAGATGTACTTGACTGTAGAATCTCTCCTGATGAACTTTGAGACTGTTCAAGCCTTTGTAAGCGTAAACATGATGCAGAGTTGTTTTTTTGTGCTTCTGTCTCATTCATTGTGTCAGCACAGATCTGCATCTCACATCCATTCACTCCATTACCTGTCCCTTTTTTCAGCCTCACCACAAGGTGGCGCTAAACTTAATCTCCCTTCAGTCTTCTCTGAGTCTCAGCCCATGTGACAACTCTGAGCTTCTGTCCCCAGATCCTGAAAAAAGAAGAAGCCATCCCCTGGCCCGGTACCCTGGCTATAGTTCATTCCTACATCGCTTACAAAGAAGGTGACGGTGGATTGTTTCCTTTACTCACAAGCTGCAGGCAGCGCAACGCCGAGATTAACGCTCTGGTTTTCTTGTTCTGTTCTGCAGCTAAAGAGGAAGAGAAACAGAAGCTGATGAAATGGAGTTCAGAGCTGAAACTGGAGCGAGAGCAGCTGGAACAGAGAGTCAAACAGCTCAGCAACTCCATAACAGTAAGAGACATAACAGAGATCCCAACAGAAAACATTTCTACACCGACAAAAACCACGTCTGAAGTCAGACGACGCAGCGGGGTTGAAACGTGAACTGGCTGCTTCTCGTGTCATCCAGCTCTGAGTTAATCCAAAGAAAAGAGACGTGCACAACACTGAACATGAGAGCTGGAAGCAGAACTGAGAGACCCTGCAGCTTCAGGCACGACGGGGTCTGGAGCAGCTGCAGAGCTTGTTGTCCCTGTGTGAACAGTGTAGTGTGAGCAAAGTTTACCTGCGCCCCCATCAAAACAAATCTAAAGTATTCTCTGAGAGAGGAGGGAGGTACATGTGATGACACACAGTAACAGCCTTTCTGGGGGTCTTGAAGGAGACACCTGCCCCCAAAGCGATTATCATCTGTTGGCTTCGTTGAAACTTCAGAACAGAAAAACAGAAGAAGCTTTTTCTTTTCATCGGTCCGTGCATGTCCAGTGGAAAGAACAAAAATGCAAGAAAATCTTAGATTGAAAGTTAATTCCTCACAAAGTATCTTTGATCGTTTCTTGAATATCATCTGCTGTCCGGCGTCACATCTAACTCCGTTGTCTTTCTTCCATCAGAAATGCATGGAGACCAAAAATACCATCCTGGCTCGCCAGAAAGAGATGCAGATGTCCCTGGACAAAGTCAAACACCTGATTCGCCTCATCCAAGCCTTCAATTTCAACAAAGCTCTGGCAGAGTCAGACGGTAAGGACGTCAGTGCCAGAGTCCAGGACAGAGCTGAGGGTGCAGTCGGCTCTGAAGCTGCATCAGAGGACAACTCTGCAGAGAAAGTAAAAGATGGCGGCTCCTCAGCCAGCAGCAACACTGACGAAAACGACAAACCGGAGGAGCACGGAGCCGCAGGGAACAACCAGACTACAGGAGCAACAGGAGGAGACGCCAAGAGCCAGGCTGTGCTAGAAGGCAGCACAGTCCCAATAACAGATAACAGTCCTGCTGTGGGTGCAGGGGCCGGACTCCAGCCCCCACCAGTCAGGGTGGGGGCTGGAGTCCGGTCGGGGGCTGACACAGGGACTGGTGTCCAGGCAGAGGTTGTAGCCAAGCCTGACACTGAGGCAGCTCCAGTTGTTGACATTCCCGCTCCCTTAGTGGTTGCGACTGTTGCCACAACCAACGGTACGACCGAACCCGCTTGTCCTGACCACAGCCCAGCAGGAGGCTGCACCACCAACACCACCACCAACTCTGAGAACAAGAAGGCTGCCGTCAACCCTCCAGAGACAGGGGTGGAGAAGAAACAGGAGGAGATCATTGACAGTGATGGCAGCAGCAGCAACAACAACAACAACAACAGCAAAACCTCAGAACCCTCCCAGCATTCTTTGCCAGCTCTTGTCAGCAGTTTGGACAATAAAAAGTAATGCTATGTCTCTTCAGTTGCGGGAATTCAAACATATATATAAAAAAAAAAGACTTTTGCTTGCACCGCACGGTGCCCTGAAGTTGCCAATCTGTATAAATGTTGTTTGTTTGCATTGTATTGTCAGACTGTGTCAATGGTAGATATACAGCCCAAGTCACATGACTCTGGGAAGATGTAGGCTGCTCCACCCACCGAGCTGGGACAGGAAAGCTTACATACCAGTGTCATCATGCCAATTAGTGATAGACGTCAGTGGTGGGAATGCTCAAAGGGAGATTTAATTCATCATCACACCAGTGTGTGCCTGTTTTATTGGCCCCTGTGTTCTCTGGCAGGATGGGGAATGGGTCAACATAGGTACTGAGACAACCGAGAACATGGAACCAAACATCTGTCAGGGGTAACTTGTCTAAGAAGCAGTGTTGTGATAGAGTATGCATACAGAAAAGAGAGCCTGTTCATACCCTCGTCCGAATGAACTTAATGTGAACAACCTCAAACTTCTGCCATTCCATGATCCTAGACCCCTAAACCCTAAACATTCCCCCATGAACCCAACTTCCCCTTGTCCTCATCCAGTTTCCCTGAATTCACCTTTTAATCAAGAACTTGTTCCATCTTGAACCAACCAAGACCGTTAGATTTCCTTTCCTTTCCCCAGTCCATCAAAAAGTGTACAAGAAAAGGTTCAGAATGCTTCATACAAACGTCTTCAGAAGCTGGGCATCGTAGAGATGGGGCTGGTCGCACAATCATCCGCTTCTGGACAAGGAAAGTCACCAAACCCAAAGGAAGGAATTAAAAGCTAAAATCCTCTATTTGATTATTTGTTGACAGCCAACAGAAAAAATCACAGATATCTTTGTTCTGTTGACACTAAATCAAGAATTCCCCTACCTGGTATGCCACCAAGAACCCTGGTCCCGATGCCCTTACTAGTCAGCAAAGTGACAACCCGCTTGTTGTAGGGAGATGTGACATGCAATGTATCCTAGAAATCAGGTTAACAGAGCACACTTTTGGCGGCCTCTTCCCAAGGACAATCATGGCGTTAAACTTCATAATCTCAGGTTTCAGTCACTGTTAGGGGATAAGACAAGCTTCATTTGAAGGCTTTCAACTCTGTTAGAAAAATGCTTCTAACAGCAGATCAACCAATGACTCAAACCATCAGTACTCTAAACCCAAATTAGTCAGTCACAGACTTACAAACTCTTTGTTTAAAGCAAGCAGATGCCTTTAGACCAATACACCAACTTTCAATGTTAATTTTACTCATTAATCCAGAAAAATCAACCAGTCCTACAGTGAACCTTCTTCCTCTAGTGACTTAAACCCAGCCAGACCACAGACTTTCCACCAGCAGCCCAGTTGTCGCCTGTATGGAAACCAAACTGTCAAAGTGTGAAGATGCTCCAAAACCATCATCACTGACTTAAACTCTTCATTGATTAAAAAAATGAGTCCTCCAACCACAGGAGACCAAACCAAAACATTTCTTAGTCCACTAACAATCTGTCCACTGTAAGATTTCAACCCTCTCCAGATGGACCAATGAGCAAACAAATCTCACCAACCAGTCTTCAGGATCCTTTTTCAGTCCACCCAAAAATCCAATCAGATCTCTGACACTAGAAAAGAACTAGTTAGTTTAATTTAGGAGCTGACCCTGTCTCGGTAGACCAGTGACCATCCAAGTCAAGCATCAAGTATCTTCTCCTCATGAGGCCAAGGGCAGTTACTTTGCTTGATCTTATGACAAATTCAAGGAACGTACAAGGAAAGTACTCAATACCTCAAACCAGCTTCCCTGACGGATGAATAGTGCAGCTCATATTGACCAGTAATCCCATTCAAACAAACAAACCAGTCCGGACCCAAGAACGGCACCCTTTCCAAACAAAAACCTCCAGTTCACCTCTGATAGAGAAGTCACCTAAAGAACTCCAGGACTTTTGATCTCAAGCATCTTATCATTTTACAGCAACAAAGGTCATTACCTTTCTCCTTGACCAATAGTAGCATCCCCCTTATGGTGACCTTCACCAAGAAAAGGTTCAGTGGATTTAGAGCCAACAAGTTAAACAAGTGCTGTGTATCAGTGGAAAATACAGGTTTCCAGAAAAACTCCTGCCTCTGCGTTAGTCCAAAGGACTTAAAGGTTCCAGCCCCCTTTCAACAGTCCATGGGGGGATCATTCCAATTCATTTTACAAGTGAGCATGCTTCACAGCTTGGAACTTACCTAAAGGAAAACCAGACCTTTTAATTGTTCCTTAAAAAGAAAACCTACTCTCCACAGTGTGCTAATGAACCAACTTGACTCACTGGAAACCCTAAAATTTTTAACCAGGCTTAAAGTTGTTGCTGCATACCCCTCCACCAAAGGGTATCTGTGACCCTGAACCCAATGATCTGAGAACTGTTCTCTCTTAAAATCCGCCTATAAGCAAACATTTCTTAACCAGCAATCCTCTTTAACTCCATCTGAAGCATTCTGACACCTTTAAACAAGAGTCCTCCATGTTCTCCCTTCTATGGAGCAATAGCAAAACTCCCCCCCCTGTGACTACAAGCTTAAAGTACTCTTAAAGTACCTTTACCATTTATCATCTTTTCAGAACCCAAACAATCCCAAATGAACTGACTACCTTTGCCAGTATCCAAACATTCACCTGGAACATCAATTCCAGGTCACTGCCCCTCCCCCTTTCCCACCTGTATCCCTGAGCTCGGCTAGAGGAATTGCTTGGGGTCAGAATACCCTTCACAGTTCACTGACAAACCATTTGCCCTTATTATGACACATATAGACCAGAATTATTCCTGAAACTACATCATTCCCCCATTCATGGACCATAAGCAAACCCTTTCCACAGGGACTTGCACCCTGATCTACCTTTTCCATTAAGCCCACAGTCCAAACCCCAGATATCCTCAAATTAACCAGTTACATCAACCAGTGACCAAACTTTCCTGACCAATCATCAGTCCCAGGTAACTGCGCCCTTATGATAAGACCTTATGATTTCCATTTAACCAATAGCCCAGACCCACCAACCCTGGATGGGGGAACTACTTTTGCTAGTGACCAAACTTTCCCCAACAAGCATCTATTCCGGGTAACTGCCCCTCCCCCACCCCTTCCCTGACCTGTCTTGAGCTTAGGCCTAAAATAAGCCAAGTATTGCAGTACCTTTCACGGTTTGCCAACAAACCTCCAAGTACCTTTTCCATTTGACCGACAGTTTCGGAACCCAAAGAATCCTGATTTATCTGACCAAACTTACCCAAACAAGTCCTCAGTCCTGGGTATTCTTCCTCTTCACCAAACCCACCCCTTCCCCACTTGTACCCAAGGGCTTAGATAGAAAAGATACTGAGTGTAGGAAAAGACCTCATGATTCAGCAACAAGACTAAAGTCCTTTTTCCATTTAACCACGGGTCCAAACCCCAGTCAACCCCAAACCGACTGACCCCCTTTCCACCTGTTTTCCCCGAGCTCAGGCAGAAAAGACGCTGAGCCCTGGCATTCTGCAGGTACGAAGGACGAGGACGAACAGGCCCGGTAGCCTAACAGATGTTTTCAGTGGTGTTGGTCAAGTGTAGTGATTGAGTTTTCATTCGTGAGTCAAGTGTGTCAACTGTGAGCACTAAATGTGAAGTTGCAATATTGCAATGTCAACACACACACACACAAACTATATCTGGGCTGTGTTTCTTTTTTATAGGAAAAGATATTCAGGTCTTCCTAGTCTTCAGAATAAGTGCTTTCTGTTCCTGAACCTGCTGGACTGGCATTATCAACACGAAAAGGAATCCTCTTTTTGAAGTGGTGATCTTTGCATTATGTACATTTTTGTTGAATCCTGAACTGCCAAAATGATGTTGTATCCAAATTCAGCAGGGACAAGTCCACTTACTGTATTGAAAGATCAAATCATTGGCGCTGTAAGATATAGATGCTACCATTTCAGAAATTGGAAGTTCCCAGATTGAGACAGGAGAGCTCGGTAAACAACAATAACAGTAAAGGAACTTTATTTTCCTTGAAATGGAGGGATTTGTCGTATGAACCTTCTCCTTCACATGGATCTCAAAGGACAATACCACAAATCCTGAGATTAAAGCACAAGCTTGCTGCATTACAAAGAAGTGCTGAAGAGCTTTTTGTATGTTAATATGGAATTAAACAGAGTATGCATCTCTTTGTTGTGATGTGACTTATCCCCACATTGCCAATATTTTTCTAGGAGGAAATACAAACCTCTGTCTGACATTAAGGCTCAAGTCTAGTTCATATTTGGAGGAGGAGGAGAAGGGGGCTGGCCTTGTGTCTCAGACTGTCCCCTCACAGTTAGACTAATGCATCTCTTTTCTTTCTGGAGCATGTCTGGGCTGAAATGTGATGCTGTTAATCGTTGGCTTGGTGGCTGTCAGTTCGGGTCTGTCTTTGTCTGGTGAACTGATCATGACTTCTGGCTTCTTGTTGGGTACGGGGCATTAACGAAACTCTGGTCTGTCCATAAACGGTGCCTCTGTTCATGCTTTTTTGTACTTTCTTTTGTTTCGCTTAAGATTCAGTCGTCCAGACACGTGCTCATCCCTGAAGGTGGTCACTTGTCTGAGCTTGTGTGCAACATGATGGTGTGGTAACATGACAGTCTTAAGGGTGTCGGCGTCCTCTCTAGACCGAAATAACCCGACAGATAGGAGATAAATTTTTATAAAAGTGGTTGACCCTGAAAGAGAAGTCCTCATGAGTTGCATGATGGTCCTGGTGTGTCTCACAGAAGCACAAGGACCATGAGGGCAGACTCAGGAGGAACTTTTTATTGCATCCAATTTTTTTACGGCCAAAAACAATAAAATATTTTCTTACGACCCAGAGAGGTGTCCTGTGCAGCAAAGTTGTGGTGCACACGGCTGTAGGGGTGAGCAGGTGTTTGGGCGGCTGTTACTGGTGTCTTTTTTTTTTTCATATCATACCGACTCTTGGAACTGAATCAGCATATCTGTCACAGCACGTACTTTCTTTTTACATCAGCTGTACAAACTGCCTTCATTCAGAAGATCCCAGAAAAAGAAAAGAGAGAGAATAAGTGTAACATGTCCACATGTTTGGCCACAGTGTTGTCTGATAAATGTCCTTTGTTTCTAAAAAAGAAAAAAGAGTTTAGCCATTTGAACACAGAAGAAGGAAAAGACGGATTTCTAACTGAAAATGGCAACTACTATGTCCCCAACTCCTTTGATTCAGTTGTTCTGTGTTCTGTTTATTTGTCTGCTGACTGGGGTGGATGGTCTTCTTCTTCTTCTTCTTCTTCTTCTTGTTTTTCTTCTTCTTTTTCTCGTGTCAGCGTGCGTTCACTCAGAGCAGAGCAGTCATCCAGTTTTTCTTTGAACGAGCCCGAACTTGTGTTCCAGACAAACTGGACCTTTCCCTCTGTACAGTAGGTACCTCGAGTGCCTTTTTTCAAACAGCAGATAATATTTGTCTCTTGACTTGCACTGTGACTTGTAGAACCTTACTAACCCTCCAAATGACCCCAACCCCAACCTGAACCCGGTCTGCCCCATCCCACCGAGCTCCCCCGAAACTCCGGAGCACAAACCCGGTCCCTTCACCTCAGGCTGCCAGTAGTCAATGCAAGTGGGAACTACATTTCATATTATGCCGTTTAGATTGACCAGATAGTGTTTTGTTGTTCTAGGAGTTGCCTTAAATGTGTTTTGTTTTCCTTTTTTATGTGATTAACTTTTAAATTAGGGATTTAAAGAAATCGCTGGAGACGCTCGAGGTCGTCTGGTGAGGTCGGAGGTCGTCCTGCTCCACAGACGGGTTTTAGGCGATGAGGTCTCGCTCGGTGTGACAGCCACTTGTTTTGTGATGCACTTTTGGTTTGACCAGTATTATTATCAGAGAGAAAAAAATGGGATCAGTTGGGAATCGTAGTCCTGAGTCTTTCTCCGGGAGCTCGTTTCTGTTTCCTCGGAGTCTGTCGTCGTCGTCGTCGTCGTCGTTCCCTCCGTGCTGTAGTTCTTCTTCTTCTGTGTTTTCGGAGGAGGGATGAGTTTGCTAAATCAGGTCATGTGAGCCGCAGCCTGTGTGCATAGGAATGAACAAACTAACCCGCACCCTGATGGGCAGACTTAGACCCAATTAGCAACATCTGTCCACTCAGTCTGGTGGAGCGCATGCCTTCTTATGCAAATTTTTATACAAGATTTGTCAAACCTTTTTAATATGCATTTGTTTTTTGTTTTTTAAGTTTTTTTTAATGTGAAACTCGAGTCACCTTTTCGTTCTTCGACCGGCATCCTGATGCCAAACGTGCAGTTTGGGTGTCCTACAGCCTGGTAGCCTCCACCTTAGAGACGTTTCTTCCTGACATCATGTTTTTTTTTACAGATGCTGGTTTTTAATTGGCTGATGCACCATGCTGAATGTTGGGATCCCAGCAGGGCTGTTCAGGGGGCTCAATCAATCCAGTCTTCATGTCTCTGTCGTGTCATTGTTTCCTCCGTGGAGAGAAGTTCACCGTTTCTATGATAGTGGAATTTATCCAAAGAACACTGCACATGTGCGTTTCTGTCGGGAAGCCTTTCTGTTGTCGGTGCATATCATTGGCTGTTGGTTTCTGCGTCAGCATTGTGTGCATTCGCCACGCTGGAAGAGGACCGTGTTGAGCAGCAGCTGAGAGGCGTGTTGGAGGAGGTCTTTTATGCATTCATCTCCAGACCCCTGTGTGTGGTGAAGCGTCCCGTAGAGTAGTTCCCTCCGACTCTTTACTTTTAAAGCGATCAAGTCATGATTGTGGCCTTCTAGTATTCTGTCAATACATGACATCAACCCGTCGTTACCTGCCGCTCGCCATCTCCATCCTGTCCGGACCCAACTGTACACCTGAAGCTTCTTACCTCATCCACAGCTGATTCCATTGGGGGTGTGTTGAGTGCAAAAAAAAAAAAGAGAGAAAAAAATAAAAGAAGTCTTTTTTTTATCTTCCATTTGGTGAGATGCATTGTAGCGATATGAATAAAGAAAAAGTTCACCTGGTGTGCTGAATAATGTGTAAATTGGTAATTACACAATCTGAATATTTGTATAATTGTTTGTATTTTTTCATAATGATTTTGGAAAGGAATGTGTTTATTTTTTTGACTTCTGTTCCAGATGTGTCTTCTGTTGGCCTGACATTGTGACTGGTCTGGTGGGATTCTTACCTCTGTATTGAGCCTCTTCTGTGATGAATTCTTTGTATGCAGTGTTTAGGAAATACTGTAGGGAACATGGGGAGGAGTTGATATTAGGAGCATTTGATCAATTTGTATTTATTTATTTTATCATTTTGTTAATAAATTGTGAAAAGCAGCAGGTCTCACCCCCTCTTTTTATCATTTGTAATGAACAGCTACAGCTGATAATATTAAACACTCTGCATATTTTTATTGAACCCAAAAAGCATCTGAGGTTTAAATTTTAAAGCTTAACAAACACCAAACACAATAAGTCCAAGTAAAAGAATTAGCCATGTAAGGAGCCTGTAATAAATAAAAAGATTATGTTACTGAAACATGTCAAATATAAAAACAATGTCCAGAATTAAAAAGTCCAGAAACCTTTTTAAAAATGTAAAATAAACTTAACGAACGTAAACCTGAAAGTCCACAGGTACAGACATCACATGACGGCAAAAAGGTTTTGAATAAAAAGATACTTTAGATTGAGATGTTTTCACCAGATGAAATATTAAAAGGCAAAAATATCTCACAGAAGGCAAAAAATATTAAAAATATCTCAAGAAATAAATTTTACCAAGCAAAATTTAATGAAAAGATCATTCAGAATTCCCCCCCAAAATTTCTAAAACTCTTAACATAAAAACAATAACATCATAAAGCCCAAAAATCTACAAAACAAAATACAAAAGAAAATGCAAAAAGACTCTTGTAAAAATAAAGACTACAAATACACAGAGGATCCATCAAACAAACATTCTCAAATATTTTTGAACACGATGGAATTTTTTATAAGAGGCAAAAATTCAACAATATTTTGACCCTTTGCGAAAAAAAATCCCCAAAGCCAAATGTAATTAGTCGAACAATTTTATGTCTTGAACACTTAAACTTTTGATAGACACAGAATTGCCCCACACACGGAAAAAGTCATTAAATGCAAAAAATATTTCACTGGACAGAATTTTAACACAAAATCTGCAAATCAAAATAATTTCATTAGACACGTCATTTAAAACAGAAATCTGAACACATTTGATGAAAAGTGTAAAAATCCAAATAGAGGTCCAAAATATCTAAACTGTCAAAGACCGAAAAAAAAAAAAAACAGCCCTAGACAGTGTCTTTTTTGTTTTTATTTTTTTTAATCAAAGTTAAAAACAGTAAAGCTCTCTGATTAGCAAATGTTCACAAACATCTTTCAAACTCTGACAGCTAAAAGTTAAGGAGCTGGAGCGCCCCCCTCTGGTTAAAAATGAGCTACAAAATACACATCAAGGAAAGAACCGCCTTTAATTTTCTGTCCCACACTCCAGTCCAGTAGGTGGCGGTAATGCGGTAATGCTCCATGTTGGGTGCCAACCGCCAATATAAGCAAGAAGAAGAAGAAAAACGCGATATTCCGGTTTCAATTTCCTCGGTGGTCAAACTCACCAGGACACCGAGTTCGAGTCCTTCCAGAGACGAATGTTGCTTCTCTAGTTCCACATGATATCCGATGAAGAGTGAGGAGAGATTAGTCAGGACAGCAGGACATATTGGTGAATATCTGCAAGTTTCCTGGTTGTGGAAAGAAACAGATGAAGTTTAACTCGGACTCTTTCCACAGATTACCGCTCAGATACGGTCGGACTTTAGTGAACCGGTGGTTGGTTGTTCAGAACATCGATGTTAACACACCGACACAGACTCTAAGACAGAGGAGTTATCGGGTCTGTGGAGCTCATTTCAACATTTCGTGTTTTCTACAGAATCTTCAGACCCAAAGAACCCACCCAAAAACTACCTGAAGAAGCTCGCCGTATTGAGCATTATTGGTTCCACTTTGCGCGTGGAGAAATACACCGAAGTGTGTTAGTGTCGTTCTGTCTTTGCATGGGGAGGGAGGGTCTAACTCGGTGTAACGGTGTGTGTGATCATGGCGTAAATTTATAGCGAAATATTCCTTTAATATGACGACAAGAAAACTGTATTACACCGTATTTCAGACATGGGAGCCGTTTCATGAATCACCTGTGTGTGATTTATTAAGTATTGCGTCACCCTGTACTCTAAGACAGCAGAGTGGCGCAGCGGAAGCGTGCTGGGCCCATAACCCAGAGGTCGATGGATCGAAACCATCCTCTGCTAAGAGTTTTCCACTTTTTTCAGAGGAGTCCTGCAGATTATGTCCATATATATATATAAAGAGAGCGAGAGAGAGAGAGAGAATATCTTCCGTTAAAAAGAAACTCGACTGAGGACTAAGAGATATAAATATGCTTTAATGTTTGTCTAATGCCACAATAGATTGTCAAAAGGCGTAAAGAATAACCACGTGTTATTGTTGTTGTTAATGTTAAACTGATTCTCAGTTATGTTCCTGCAAACTCAAGAACAATTTAACCATGAATTTTAATGAATAAACATTAAACAGATAGGTAGAGCAATGGGAAGAAGAGAAAAGAGGAGAAAAGGAAGAGAAAAGAAGGAGAAAAAAAAAGAAAAGAAAGGAAGAAAAAGAGAATGAACAAAATGCCTAAATAAATATGCTGTCTGTGGGGTCACTGGGTTGTTAAACAACGATATTTGTGCATTTTCAGCTAAATTGACGGTGTTTTCATGTTAAAACGTCATAACACAACACATAGTTGATCCATGAAGTAGTGCCTGTGATTGTAGAGGCTAAATACAAGTCAATAACCACGAGTCAGTGAAGACTTTATGCTGCAGTTCGTTCACTGTGATACAGCCAGCAGGTTTTTTCAATGGAAAACTCCAAAACTGTTAAATTACTTACCGTGGAAGACACCGGTGTCACCTTTGACTGCACCTGCCGTCACTGTCATCAGAGAGGTAGCGACAGCCATCTGATTGGTCGATGCGGAAGGAGGCGGGAGTTGAGGCAGAAAAAAATGTAGTTCGAAAAAAATGGAAGCCAAGGTGATTTTTGATTGGTGAGAAATCGAGAGGGGAGACAATCTGATTGGCAAGAAATTGACGGCTGTAGCGGGCGACTCTGCTATCGGGGTACCTGAGGTACCCCAGAACTGACCCCTAATGTACCCCAGAGGTCAAACTAACACTCCATTCCACCAGCACAGTGTAAACGACTGTCATGAGAGTTTACATGACAGTTTCATTAGAGTTTTTGACACCACTACGGCAAATAAAAAAGATGCTGCGCAGATTTTTAAAAAAAAGCCACAACAGAAGTTAACAACGCAAAAAAAGTGGCGTTGCAAAAACAAACAAACAAAAGTTATTGTGAAAATAAAAGGATGCAAATAAAAAAAAAGCCACGACTGAAGTGAGCTGCCGGGGACCAACGATGATGATGCACCGGTGTTTTACGACCTAGGCACAGAGGACGATATTGAGAAGATGTAGTGGAGGGTTATTGTTTCATTTTGCTTCGTGTGTCGTGTGGTTAGACCATGTAGCGCCTGAGTCGATATGTAGTGTTAGCTTTAGAAATAAGTACGCAGACCCAGAGCTTTTTTTATTATTGGTCCCTGGCAGCTCACTCCTGTTGTGGCTTTTTTTATTTGCATCCTTTTATTTTCGCCGTGAGAAGCTTTTTGTTTTTGTATCGTCTTTTTTTTTTTGCGTCATTAACTTCCGTTGTGACTCCTGTGTTTTGCATCCTTTTTTTATACGCAGCAGTGGCGGTTCTTGGCCTCCGTAACAACATCATGAGAGTAAAGTTATAGAAAAGTCAGTTACAAACAGACGTCCTTTATTCATCTGACTGCAGTCGTTTTTACACGATGAAGAACTTTTCTGGACCAAAGAGCGACACAACAACGATGAGGTGAGTTTATAGTGTTTCGTTTGTCTAAGTGAGTTTAGAGCCTTCACGCACTAACAGCCGTACTCCTAAAGTCAGTCTCAGTCCTGGTTTTTGGTCCAACTGTCTCTCTGCTCAGTGTTTTTTTTCAAACGTTCAGTTTTTTGTGATTTTGCGAGTCGATGAAAACACCTCGTCCTCTCACAGCTTCTCCACCAGCCTCTGGAACAAAGAAACCAGTCGCTGTCTGGTTTCCAGCTGGTCTGGGTCCAGGTCTGCCCCGGTCAGACTCTGGTAGAACCGGGTCTGCAGAACCACTTCTTTTTCTGCCGTCATCTCGGCAGGATGTGCGTTCACAGCGTCCCCGTCCCTCTCTCGCCTCCACAGAGCTCTCTCTCTCTCGAAATCCTCTCTCTCTCTCTGAACAAACACTCGGTCTCTCTCCAGAAACGCTCGGTCTCTGTCTAGAAAAGCCCGGTCTCGATCCAGGATCACCTGCTCTCTCTTCAGGATGGCCTGGTCTTTCTCTAAAGCGGCTCTGTCTCTCTCGACGGCCGCTCGCTCTCGGTCCAGACTCGCTCGCTCTCTCTCCAGCGAGCTCATGTCTTTCCTCAGCAGCTCTCGGTCTCTCTCTAAAGCGATGAGCTCTCTGTCGAACTCCACCTGTTCTTGCTCCAGAGCTCGCCGCTCTCGCTGCAGCTCCACCAGCTTCCTGTCCACCTCCTCCGCCTTCCTGACCTCATCTCTAGATGTGGGAGGAGTCTTCCTGGCCTCTGCGGTGCGGTCAGGTAGTAGGGTGGCGTAGAGCAGGACAGGCTGGCTGTTAATCACAGTCTGAGTCTGCGGTTGACACTCTGGGATGCTTACCTGGACTTTACTTCCTGCGGCTGAAACCACCTGAGGAGGATTCTCAGTCCGGTTCTCCGGTTTCATCTTTTCATGGTCGTTCAGCTCCAGGTCGTCCCCCAGCAGGTCCTCTTCCAAAGGCGCCATTTCAGAGAGGTCCAGTCCAGGTTGAGGTTCTCCCAGGACGAGCGGACTGTTGGCGAAAATGTTGTCCTCCTCTGTGTCCAGCGGGGAGGGCTGAATGATGTTGGCGGTCCCGGCCAGACGCCCCGTCATGGCCTCATCCATCAGCTGGAACCAGCGCCACGACTTTGGCTGGATCTGGTTCTCCATCCCTTCCGGAGGGTTCTTCATTGACTGCACAGAAAGAGGACGTGATCATTTAAAGAACCCAGAAGAGTCAAACTTTATTGAAACAGCAGCAGAGACAAAGAGAGTCTGTGGGTGGTTCTCCCTGTGGTTCTTGGGTCCACGTGGATCCGTCCTGTAGAAGAGTGAAGTTAATCCAGACTCACCCTGTATTTCTCCTTTAGATTTTCCCACCTCTTCTTCATCTGCTGTGGAGATACCAGCCCCTGAAGGCCCATCTCTCTGGTGATGGCCCTGCGGGAGGAACCAGAGTTCATCATCAGTCGCTATGATCCTTCTCTGTTAAAGGGACATTCTGCTGTAAAACTAATTTAGGGTCAAACCCACCGTAACACCGAGTTAGACCCCCCCCTCCAGAGATGAATGTTGTCGACCGCTTGCTTCTCTAGTTATACCAACTTTAGTAACGACCGCAGGATAGCAATACAGAGAGCCACGCCCCCAACCAAAACGCCACTCTATAGCCACAAATAATGCTCAGAACAGCACCTAACTTCATCAACAGGACATATAGGGTCACAGACATAGTACTAGACACCAAACATCTTTTTAACTTTGACTCATTTCTTTAGCAAAGAGACTAAACACAATCAAACACAATCATTTCTTTATCATTTCCATGAAGTAATAATCACCATATTAATCATTTTACAGACGCGGTAGTTCTTCTGTCTTAGCGTCTCGGTCTGATTGTATTTCCATGAAGAAATGATCATAAATGTTCTTCCTTGAGCTGCGGCACCCCGCTGTAGTCTGTAATGGACTGGCCTGAGGTCTCTCTACAAACAAGCGTCTGCTGGAAGAGAGTAGGTGAGTTGTGTTTAGTCTCTTTGCTAAAGAAATGAGTCAAAGTTAAAAAGATGTTTGGTGTCTAGTACTATGACTGTGACCCTATATGTACTAACCTCAGTAGAACATGGTGTAGTTCCGTTCAGTAACAAAACCTCATTAGAAAATTCGCTGATTTAACTTTACTGTGCTCTTGTTTACATATATTAACTCGACAGCACATAAATCCATACCTGTTAACAAAATCATGATTTTATTGATAATTCGGCTTCAAAAAAACACCTTTACCTTTTCATTTAACAAGTTTATTGGCCCAGCTTATAGACTACAGAGGTGGAGAAACGCCCCGCTTAAGTTTATGTTTTCTTAGGAGTTAGAACAACTCTGAATATAGTACTATGTCTGTGACCCTATATGTCCTGTTGATGAAGTTAGGTGCTGTTCTGAGCATTATTTGTGGCTATAGAGTGGCGTTTTGGTTGGGGGCGTGTCTCTCTGTATTTCTATCCTGTGGTCGTTACTAAAGTTGGTATAACTAGAGAAGCAAGCGGTCGACAACATTCATCTCTGGAGGGGGGCGGAGTCTAACTCGGTGTTACAGTGGGTTTGACTCTAAGTTAATTTTACGGCAGAATATCCCTTTAAGACCTCTGGTGCACCTACTGACCTCCCAGAGTTAAATTCAGAAGTGTTAGCAGCGAAACCATCAAAATGTCTTTTAGATCCAATCCCACCGAACCTGCTGAAGGAGGCTCTTCCTTTAATTCGTACGTCCTTACTTAGCTTGATAAATATGTCATTATTAACATTATATGTACCACGATCTTAAACCTCTCCTTAAAAATCCTACTCTTGACTCAGGCACCTTCACGTACTGTAGACAGATATCTAACCTCTAAAATCCCAGAGAAAGTTTTTGTTGATCAACTTTGTGATTTTCTTGATAACAACAGTTTTTATTAGAGGATCTTCAGTCCAGATTCAGAGTCCACCACACTGACTGACCTCCAGCCTCTCATGGCCGAGTGTCTCTTCCCGGTGAAGATGGCGTGATTGGTGGCTCGCAGCTCTATCATCATCCTGACCTGTCGGTCTGACACTGCAGAGACAGATTTATTAATTAGTCAGTTTATTGAACAGTGAATTAAAAAAAAACAAGAGCATGACAGAGGTATCTGAATAACTTTCAACACATTAACTGAGTCCTACAAACAGCAAGTAAAGAGTATTTTGTGTTCTGAGATATCCCATCTTTCACAACAGTAATATTTTCTTTATTTCACACTGGAATATTTAGAGTTCATGAGATTATTTTTGTTAAGAAGTGGCTTCACAATGGCTGTCTTTAAAAATAGCATTATAAAACGACCACAGAGCCCACAAAACATGTTTAAATTCAGGGTTTGAACTCTTCTCTGAGCATTATTTAACACTGATATGACTTCATTGAGTGAGTAATCTTCTGCAAACCGGCTAATAAAGTAACATTAACCTGTTAGCAGCAGGATTACGGTATAAAACCCTCTAATATGGTTCAAAACAAGCTCATTTAAAAGGTTGAACTCGTCCTGGTTCAACAAAAACCCATTTAAACTACAAACACTGTAGTATTAACCAGCCTCTCCATCTACGAACCCCCAAAGAGCCGCCTCACATACGGCCTTAATCCTCTCTTTAGCTGTGATTCTGTCAATACAACAGAAAGTATACCATCAGAATTAACAGGAAAACTTCTTTAAAATGACATTACTTTTGAAAGAGTTCTCCATTTCTCACTCTTGTCTCAGATCCCCCTCACTCCGAGAACCCCTGTCGTTCAACGGTCGGTGTTTCGCTTGAGTTGGTGACCCTGTAAACCGGAGACTTTCAGCCAAACGCGGTTGTCGTAGCTTCAAAACCGGCGAAATCCTCGATTGGATACCTTCAGTCTTTGGTTAAATACATATTTTTAACGTATATTATGATATTGGATTGAAATCAGATTCACTGGTGAGGACGCCGCGTTTGAACTGCTGCTACCACGACAACCACCGACGCCATTTACGCGGAGTCACCAGTTAACACGGTCACTATTTACACTGAAACACACCAGCGGGGACCGGAAGAGGACGAGATTCTTTTCTTCTCCTTTTATAAAATCGGCAAACTGAATTCACTAACGGCGCTTTTCCGCCGCCTACAGGCCATTTCTATTAAGCAGCGTTTTACATTGAAAAAAGGAGGATAAGTAAGATCTAAATGTTAAAGTTTTATGTGTTTTTGACATATTTCTTAATGTTAATGTATGTGAATGTTTTGATGATCATAAGATGAATTAAATAAACTCTTGATCACATCAGGACAACAGCATTTGCACCCATCTCTGAGCTGTGGTTTAGAATAATTCAACGATCACCAGTGCCCACTAACGCCCTCTGTTGGCGGGAATAAGACCCTGCAGGTTGAACCTGTTCAGCATCCCTGTCCAGCAGATTGGTCAAGCACAACATCCGGGCAACATCAACACGGGAAACGAGGAGGTTCTTTCAGCGTAAAAGTCTTTTTCCAACAATGACAAACACGTATTATTGAACCTGAGGTAGCTACATTCATTTCAGAGGAATCAAGAGAAAGAAAAGAAATACAAAAAACATTTATAGTCTTACATGCAACAATAGATTATAAAAATACATTACAGTTATAATATAAATGATGACGCTGGGATCACGGATCATAGTGAGGACTTCAAGGCTTCGTAGAAAGTCAAAGTTCGAATCGCTTCCTTATTTGTTGGTCCAGTTAGTGTTTTAAACTACAAGAAGTAAAAAGGTTTAACAAAAAAATACAACTTTGATCCATGTTCTTTTTTCAAAATAAAATTTAGTCTGTGTTCACACTGCAGGTCATTCAGATGTTTTAACCATCTGTGACTCATATCTGATGTTTTCATCTAAGTGTGAACAGGTCAGTTCTGATTGGTTCTGATCCGACCCAGGCTTCTTCTGTATGTGGATATAAATCAGATATGTATCTGATGTGACTGCAGTGTGGACGCTCAGGTCGCCGACCTATACGTCGTCAATATGAGACAAACGTCACCGTTGTTCAACAACACGTCCTGCTTTGTCCGCATGCGGGTCACTTCACGGACGCATTCGTTGTTGTTGTAACGTGAACGACCGCACAAAAAGATCGGATTGAACAAAAAATCTGAATTGTGCATCAGAACCTGCAGTGTGAACGCAGCCTAAATATCTCTCTTTTGCAGGTTTAGTTTACATTCAGACAATCTCTCTAAGTTCATATTGAGTAACTGTTACACGACAGAGACGCTGAAAATTGTGTAAGTCTACGGACTCACTGCAGGTTCTGATGCACAATTCGGATTTTTGTTCAATCCGATCTTTTTGTGCGGTCGTTCACATTACAACAACAAATATGGCGTCTAATGTGAACGGAATGCACACAGTGACAGTGAAGTGACCCTCATGAACACAAAGCACAAATTGTTTTCCGCTCTTGTTTGTGTTGTCGAACAATGGTGACGTTTGTCTCATATTGATGACGTAAAGGTCGGATGAACTCGACCTGAGCGTCCACACTGCAGTCACATCAGATACATATCTGATTTATATCCACATACAGAAGAGGCCTGGGTCGGATCAGAACCAATCAGAACTGAGCTGTTCACACTTAGATGAAAACATCAGAGATGAGTCACAGATGGTTAAAACATCAGAATGACCTTCAGTCTGAACATAGGCTAAATTAGACAGAGAAACAAACTTAAAATTAAAATATTATTAATTCAAACAACAAGACTTATTAGTATTTATGTTGCTAAAACTATGTTGACTGTTTTTTAAGATGTAAATATTTGTTGTTTAAACACATATTCTTAAAAAAGAGAGCTAATAAAGAAAATTAATAAACCATCATTTCCGTGTGGGTCTGAGTGATGCTCATTGATCGTGTTTTCTGTTTTAGTTCCATGAACTTAAAAAAAAAGTATATTTATCATGTATTTATTTTTCATTTAACTTTCTTACATCCTTTCTTGTCCTTGCACTACACACTGTACTGGAGATATTCATGGTGAAAGTCTTTTATTTTGAAGGTATACACCGGAAATCTCCCTAAACCCCTGTAACACCTTGACCACGGTGTTGATGATGGTGTTATGAAGAAGCTGATGGGTTATAGATGGAGGCCGTGTTTTGTATTTCGTCGACATAGATTAAATCACCTGTAAAATCAGAAATAATCGATTATCGTTCAAGAAGAACTTCCGCTTCCTGGAAAGGTACGTGACCAGGTAAGATCCGCGTTTATCTGTGTTTACCTGCAGGGACTCCGAGTAAACAACACACAGCTCTGTGATAGAAATGTGATATTAAATCTCTCTAAATGATATTATATAAACACTTTCCTCCGTTTATTTATCCCGCGTTTCCGATTCTCGATAATTATGACAGAAGTTAAAATTTAATCAATAATTTTCAACATATTTTCTCAGTTTTACCGTAAATGATCCTTACAGGAAGATGTTGTGAAAGAACTAAAGTACACAAACATTTCTCTACATATTCAAAGCGTTATACATTATTTATTACTACAGGTGTAAAGGTTTACCTGAGTGGACTGTGTATAAACATGGGTGTTATTCCCAGGGACGGTCTTACATAAGGCAACACTAGGGCCCTGAGTTTCTGGGGGCCCCCTAAAACCCCTCATACATTTGTGGTTCATCGAGGTTTAACTTATTTGTGCACATGATTTATGTTTTTGATTAAAATCCATTCACTGAATATCAGCAGAATGCCTATCATCAGTCAGCGCTACAGTGGATCAGTCCATCTTACTGCGCCTGGAAAAGAGGGTCCGATCGATAGTTGAACCTCAGATCGAGGAGGAACGATGCGGGTTTCGTCCCGGTCGCGGAACTACAGCTCAACTCTTCACCCTTGACTGGGTTCTTGAGGGGGGATGGGAGTTTGCCCAACCAGTCCACATGTGTTTTGTGGACCTGGAGAAGGCCTACGACCGGGTCCCTAGGGGGATCCTGTGGGGGGTGCTCCGGGAGTACGGGGTGGAGGCCGTCCAGTCCCTTTACCAAAGGAGCACGAGCTCGGTCCGTGAAGCCGGCTGTAAGTTGGACTCGTTTCCAGTGAGAGTTGGACTCCTCCAGGGCTGTCCTTTGTCTCCGGTTCTGTTCAGAACCTTTATAGACAGAATTTCTAGGTGCAGTTGAGGGGTCCAGTTCTGCAGGCAGAGGATCCCGTCGCTGCTTTTTGCGGATGATGTGGTTCTTCTGTCTTCATCGAGCAGTGACCTTCAGCTCTTGTTGGGGCGGTTCACGGCCGAGTGTGAAGCGGCTGAGATGTGAATCAGAACCTCCAGGTCCGAGGTCATGGTCCTCAGTCGGAAAAAGGTAGATCACCTTCTCCAGGTCGGAGGGGCGGTCCTGCCTCAAGTGGAGGAGTTCAGGTATCTCAGGATCTTGTTCATGAGTGAGGGTAGGATGGAGCGGGAGATCGACAGGCGGATCGGAGCGGCGTCAGCAGTGATGCGGACGCTTAACCGATCAGTGGTGGTGAAGAAAGAGCTGAGCCGTAAGGAGAGACTCTGGATTTACCGGTCGATCTACGTGCCGATCCTCACCTATGGTCATGAACTTTGGGTAATGACCGAAAGAACAAGATCGCAGATACAAGCGGCTGAAATGGGTTTCCTCCTCAGGGTGTCCGGGCTCAGCCTTAGAGATAGGGTAAGGAGCTCGGACACTCGGGAGGCGCTCAGAGGAGAACCGCTGCTCCTCCACGTCCAGAGGAGTCAGCTGAGGTGTTAGAACGCCTTCTGGACGCCTCCCGTTAGAGGTGTCCCACCGGGAGGAGACCTCGTGGCCGGCCCAGGACCAGGTGGAGGGACTATATCTCTCGCCTGGCCTGGGAATCCCCCCTGGACCCGGATGAAGTGGAAGAAAACGACGACGAAGATATTAATAAATTTGGGACGGCAGCAGCTCAGGAGGTAGAGCGGTCGTCCGATAATCGGAAGGTTGACGGTTCGGTTCTCACCATCCTGTGTCCGTCCGTTGTGTCCTTGGGCAAGACTCTTGACCCACCTTGCTCCCACTGTGTGTCCTCCGCTGGTGTGTGATTGTGAGTGTTGACTACTAAGGTAGTTTACCACCACCAAGTTGTGACTGTGTGAGCGAGTGAAAGAGCTTTGAGGGTCTGATGGAGCTCATGTTCATGTTCAGACCTTGATGCAGCTTCAGCAGACCCACCGTTATTTTGTTGTTCATTATCTGATGTGCCGCCCAGTGTTTCGTTCTTCTCTGTTCCTGGATAAATAATTTAATGATTCTTTTGGCTTTTATTCTGAAAGGTCAGCTCTGCCTCCTCTAATGTGTGTGTTTGTGTGTGTCTGCAGCATCATGTTAGCCAGAAAAGGCCTCCTGCCTGACGGTTTCCTGTTGACCCGATTGGCTGAAGACCAGAATCAGCGGAACAGGAGCCGCTCAAGACTCCAAAGAGCCCGCTTTATTACAAAGTCCGGATCCTGCAACGTGGCCCACAAGAACATCAGAGAGCAGGTACAGCGAGCCCACGACACACACACACCTGTCTGGGTTTGTTTCAAAATGTTGGACTGACCCTTTAAACGGCGTGACTGTAAGTCTAAATGTGGTGGTCTCGGCGGGTCTCAGGGTCGGTTCCTGCAGGATGTTTTCACCACCATGGTGGACCTGAAGTGGCAGCACTCCTTCCTCATCTTCACCTCAGCCTTCCTCTGCTCCTGGATGCTGTTCGCCATGATCTGGTGGCTCCTCGCCTTCGCTCACGGTGACCTGGAGCCTCGGGATCCCAACGAGCCAGGCCCGATCCCCTGCGTCACCGCCATCCATTCCTTCACCTCGGCGTTCCTCTTCTCCATCGAGGTCCAGGTGAGAGTCCGTCTCTCTCTCAGTTCAGTCGCTTTAGTCGTGTTTCGTTTCGTTGTCCATGAACGCTGCGTCTGCTGCAGGTGACCATCGGATTTGGAGGCCGTATGGTCACAGAGGAGTGTCCCGTGGCGATCACCGTGTTGATCGTTCAGAACATCGTGGGGCTGATAATAAACGCTGTGATGCTGGGCTGCGTGTTCATGAAGACGGCGCAGGCGAACCGCCGAGCAGAGACGCTCATCTTCTCCAGAAACGCCGTCATCGCTCCTCGAAACGGGCGACCCACCTTCATGTTCAGAGTCGGAGACCTGAGGAAGAGCATGATCATCTCCGCCACGGTCCAGCTCCAGGTCAGGCTGCTGATGACCACATGAGTCATTGTGTCAGAGGGTTCTTCAGAGCAGAAACAACGCCCTGATTTAACGCTGCATCCTGTCTGCAGGTGATCCGGCGGACGGTGACGGCGGAGGGCGAGGTCATCCCGGTGTGTCAGCTGGACATCCAGGTGGAGAATCCTCTGCGGAGTAACGGCATCTTCCTGGTTTCTCCTCTGATCATCAGCCACACCATGGAGAGAGGGAGTCCTCTGTACGAGCTCTCCGCCCAGTCCCTGGCGACCGAAGACCTCGAGATCATCGTCGTCCTGGAAGGTACCGACCCAGTTATCAGTAAAACTTCTGCAGGATCCCCGGGGCCCTTAGCCGGGTCCTGAAAACCCCTCTGAGAAACTGAAATAAGATCCTCACAAACATTAGTCTGAGTCTGAGAAGAGATCGAATGAACTGGACCCAGAACCTTCAACCCCTCGGTTCCTCTGAGCTGACAGTTCTAAAGTTCTTATTTTTCTTCATATAAAATAAAAACTCGGTGTCTCCTGTAGTTCTCTGTCACTTTAGCTCCGCCCACCCTCCTTTGTCGGCCAATAGACTTCCATTAAAAACAGGTTCTTTGAGCGTGTGTTTACGGCTCCATAACAACATATTAAACCTTTTCTCTGCAGTCAGTCGATCAGCAGGACTCTAAATCTGACTTTCCCACAGTAGCCACGTTTACATGCAGACTTTTTTCTCATTCGGATTATAATCATCCCGATTGAAGCTCCCAGGCGAACTGTTTACATGGAAGCGATCTATTCTGATCTGGTGTTTACATGTGCCACGGCATTCAATCGGAACAGCTATTTACAGACACGTGATACCTTCAAACATCACGTGATTGATTGATCACGTGATCTCCGACGCAGACCAGTGCATCGTGCTCTGCTTGGAAGCCGCCATCATGTTTCCATGTGAGTCATACGTCACTGCTTGTTTACATCAGGACAGAGCATGCGCAGACAGAACCCAGCCTGACAACTTTCCGATTCACCGTTTACATGACAGGATTTTGCTTTTAATCGGAATGGGAAAAGGAAAATTCTACCCCTGTGAATCGGAATGAAATTCCATTCGGAATGGGCCTGTTTATTCCGAATGAGGTGTTTATATGGAGCATTTTCATTCCGATTGGGCTTCTAATCCGATTATATTCGGAATATTTGGCTCCATGTAAACGTAGCTAGTGAGACAACAGACTGAGCCGCACATCATTTTAATTCTTCAAGTCTTCATTCATGGACTGAGAGAGTCTGAAGATTCATCCACTAAACATCATCAGACATGAAGGAAACTTTACATGACACTAGATCTGGATGTCTCAGAGTGGGACATGTGTGGAAGGAGAAGTCTGTGTGCTCCTGTGTGTGTGCACGGGTGAGAATCTGCCTCCATGTTTAGAACCGGGCATGCCGTGAGTTTTTACAGCCGAGAATCTGACGTCCAAGTTCTGCAGTGTGGGACAAAGAGAGGGGGACATTTGGACAATTTCAACTTTGTCCTCAGTTCAGAGCAGGTGGATGGACATGCATGAGGATGAACAGGTCCTTCAGATCATCAGGGGAGAAGATATCACATCTCAAATCAGCAGTTATTTTTATATCAGAGTAATCAGGGTCAGATTTTAGTCAGAGGAGGATAAACACTCAGAAATGATTCTATCTTACAGAGATCTGCTGATTTTATATGTTTATATATAACATTAATTTATTATGAACACATGAATTTGATCGTATTTGATTTGGTCGAGGACGAGGTTCGAGAAAAGGAGGTGAAAATGTCGAGTTTTTCTGCTCCAACAGACTGATCAGAACTTTATCAATAAATATGACATGATGAACAAAAACTGACAGAAAAGGAGAAAAACATCAAATTTATTATTGATTACTGTTTTAATGATCAGAGCTGAAGGTGTTTCAGAGATTTGAGTCAGAAAAAGTTAAAAATGATGGTTTTAAGAACTCTGATCTGCTCGTCTGGTTCGGGGACGAAGTCGTCTGGATGGAGCTTCAGACGAACAGGAACTAAAGGGTTAAAGGTTTTTGAGAAACTCTGCTGAGACCTGATGAACCTCAAACACTTCTGCTCCATTTACAAAAACTACAATCTTCTCTGTGACCTTGAACAAGTTTTGTGTGAATTAAAGAAACTCTTTCATGATCTAAAGGAAATTATGGGAAAAACTTGCAGAGACCCTTTGAAGGTTCTCCAGAACTTTGAGGAAACTTTGGCGAGCCCTAAAGAACCCTATGAGTCCAGAGTCCAGAGGATGTTCTGCACCAGAGACCGACTTCTTTGTTCTTGGATTATGTGGAGAATCTAACCTGACTCTGTTCTCTCTTTTGAAGGTGTGGTTGAAACGACGGGGATCACCATGCAGGCTCGGACCTCCTACACCCCTGACGAGATCCTGTGGGGGAGGCGCTTCGTCTCCATCATCACGGAGGAGGACGGGCGTTACTGCGTCGACTACTCCAAGTTTGGAAACACGGTTCCCATCAGGATGCCGTCTCTCAGCGCGAAGGAGCTGGACCAGACCAGGGGAGTCCAGGACGGGGGCTCTGAGCCCAGCTTACAGGGCTGGGGGCTGGTCCGGGCCGGCCGGGGAGGCTTCCGCAGAGGAGGCCGGACCTGCGACGGCGCCGCCTCTCAGCCTTGGTACGCCCAATCAGAGAAAGCAGAGGGAGAGGTGGAGCAGAAGGGACAGAAGAAGAAGGTGCAGCTGGAGGTGATTGGACGACAGATGGAGGAGGACGGAGTGGAGGAGATGAGCGAATGAGCGCGTGCGCGTGCACACACACACACACACACACACACACACACACACACACACACACACACACACACACACACACACACACACACACAGTCAGTTCACTTTAGTGTTCCTTTAAAGGAGCAGTCCACTGTTTTCTAACCCGGGTCCAGTTTTTCATCTGACCCAAAGTCCTAGAGCAGACATGTCCAAACTGTCCCACAAAGGGCTGCAGGTTTTTCTCCCAACCAATCAAGAGCATGCAGTCTGACCAATCAGCTGTCTGCAGACTGAGATCAGCTGATGAAATGAATCAAGTCTGGTGTGCTGCTGCTTGGTCGGACGAAAAACCTGCAGCCACACCGGCCCTTTGTGGAAGAGTTCGGACATGCCTGAGTGTCTGAAGGTCTCCTGCAGGTGAGCTGGTCCTCCAGACTCTGAGAGTAACAGTCCGAGTCTAGATTATCTGAGTCTAGATTATCCGAGTCTAGATTATCTGAGTCTAGATTATCCGAGTCTAGATTATCTGAGTCTAGATTATCCGAGTCTAGATTATCTGAGTCTAGATTATCCGAGTCTAGATTATCTGAGTCTAGATTATCCGAGTCTAGATTATCTGAGTCTAGATTATCTGAGTCCAGATTATCTGAGTCTAGATTATCCGAGTCTAGATTATCTGAGTCTAGATTATCCGAGTCTAGATTATCTGAGTCTAGATTATCTGAGTCTAGATTATCCGAGTCTAGATTATCTGAGTCCAGATTATCTGAGTCTAGATTATCTGAGTCTAGATTATCTGAGTCTAGATTATCCGAGTCTAGATTATCTGAGTCTAGATTATCCGAGTCTAGATTATCTGAGTCTAGATTATCTGAGTCCAGATTATCTGAGTCTAGATTATCTGAGTCTAGATTATCCGAGTCTAGATTATCTGAGTCCAGATTATCCGAGTCTAGATTATCTGAGTCCAGATTATCTGAGTCCAGATTATCTGAGTCTAGATTATCTGAGTCTAGATTATCTGAGTCTAGATTATCTGAGTCCAGATTATCTGAGTCCAGATTATCCGAGTCTAGATTATCTGAGTTCAGATTATCTGAGTCTAGATTATCTGAGTCCAGATTATCTGAGTCTAGATTATCTTAATCTGAGATAGAAGTTTAACGTCCTAAAGTTCATGTCAGCAGAGTCTTCCTCCTCGTCTCTCCTGTGAGTCAGAGTCTAACCCCCGACCTCCACCTCCATCCTGATCGTCTCCTAAAAGGTCGTATCCTCCGATCGTAGCTGATCGTAACCATTCAAGTTAACGTGTCAATTTACACCGACTTCTTTCCGTTCCTCTGCGGATCGCCGGACTCCTCAGCTGATCACAAGAGTTCTATTTTTTCTGGACGCCGGAGCATGGCGGATAAATTCAGCACAGATTAACCCGTGCTGGAAAGGAAGTCGGGCACAGACACAAAATAAAACAAGAGAATGTCCGGTCCCTGAACTGTACAGAACCTAACAGAGAGTTCTAGTTCTTGGTCTAACTGGACCCACAGGAGGATATTTTGAAGTCAGCTCCAGGTTGACTATGATGTCACTTCCTGTTTTCTTCCACTGTTGAGAGCCTCCCTGGTTCCGGTCCATTAGGACTCTCATGGTCCTGATGCTTCAGACAGTGAAGGGTTAAAGTGTCTGAAAGCTCTGATGGATTTCTCAGTAACTCGGGATGTGGGGAAGGAAGGAGGTGGAGCAGAACCGCAGAGACCCACATGGTCTCATCAGTCAGAGGAGCGGAGGCTCAGATGGAGGTTTGATCGTCTCTGAGCCGGATCAGAATCAGAACCAGAGAGGAGCTGAAACAGGCGGGTGGACGTCATGCTTAACGCTTCATTTCAGTCATATCTCCTACAGACAGCAGCTTCTGTCCACAGACGTCCACAGACGTCCACAGACGTCCACAGACGTCCGCCCTGCTGAGCTCTCGTTTACAGTCTTCTCTCAGGACTCCTGTCCGGTCCCGTGAAGCCCAGTATTTACAGATGTTATTGTGTCCTATAAAGTCCGGTGTTGTCCTGTTTGTCTCATAAATCATATCGATCGATTGTATTGATCATGAACCTTCATTATAAAATGTCCCTCCTGTATGAAGTCGCTCTCCGTCTGTACTCTTATTTATGTCCTTTAATAAATCGATTGTTTTGTAGTCGGCCTCTTGTTTGTTTTTGTCCTTTCAGCCTCTAACTCCGCCCACTTCACTCTGTGATTGGTCAGCTGTGTGCAGGTGAGAAAAGAAAGCAGAGTTCAGTTCTGTTTTGTCGTCGCCGTTGTCGTTGTTTTCTCCCGCTTCATCCTGGTCCGGGTCCTGGAGGCAGCAGCTTCAGGAGGGAAGCCCAGACGGCCCTCACCCCGGACACTCCCACCAGCTCCTCCTCCTTTGGGGGGATTCCCAGTCCAGGCGAGAGATATAGTCCCTCCACCTGGTCCTGGGCCGGCCACGAGGTCTCCTCCTGGTGGGACATGTCTGGAACTCCTCTAACGGGAGGCGTCCAGAAGGCGTCCTAACCAGATGCCCGAGCCACCTCAACTGACTCCTCTGGACGTGGAGGAGCAGCGGTTCTCCTCTGAGCGCCTCCCGAGTGTCCGAGCTCCTTACCCTATCTCTAAGGCTGAGCCCGGACACCCTGAGGAGGAAACCCATTTCAGCCGCTTGTATCTGCGATCTTGTTCTTTCGGTCATTACCCAAAGTTCATGACTAAAGGTGAGGATCGGCACGTAGATCGACCGGTAAATCCAGACTCTCTCCTTACAGCTCAGTTTTTGTTGTTTTTATAAAAGTTATTTAACACTCGTCAATCATAAGAAGCCCCGCCCCTCAGTCCTGCCCAGCTTCAGGGCCTGTGTCCACTAACGGAGCTTTTACGTGGACGTTTTTAAAGTGTCAAAAACTGCGGAATCACACTGACCTCTACGGTCCAGAAATAAAATAACACGACTCAGACTGTTACCGTCATTTAAACCAAAGATTAGAACCATAAACTCGTTTCACTGAGGGAACATGTCAGCCAAACGAAGGAGACGCCCGTTCAACCAAACCGGTGTGTCGCCCCCTGCAGGATTTAGACAGACTGCAGGTTTTAGAGAGATGATTAATTATTATGACAGAAACTTTGAAACGAATCAAAAACCTGAATTTGACACAAAGTTTTGATTTTCTTGTTTTTATTGTTAAACTGGTGAAAAAACATGAAAATTAGCAAACATGAGAAACCGTTGATGAACGATGAGACCTGAGAACCTGTGAGCGCTAACATCATCATCCACCACCTCCACGTTTAGTTCGTGTTAACAGAGACTGTGAAGCCCGGCGTCCTGCAGCTTCTTTCAGGTCCAGCACCACCAGCTGCTCAGCAGGGACCCCACCAGCGCCAGCATGGACGTTGCCGTGGTAACGGCGTTGCTGGAGTTGCACAGGTTGCTGCTGCAGCATCGGTACGTGAAGCCCGAGATCGCCGGGAACATCTGAGTGAGACGCGAGTTATCGCAGTCGGTGTACCTGATGCACTGACGGATGGTTTTCCCACCTGGACACACAAACACACACAAACACACACTTATAACAAACAACAACACAGAAAAGTCACACACATGCAAACACAAGTTCTCCTGAATTCTGAAGGATGAAGGTTTGTGACCCACACAGGATTATCTTTAAAACAGAGGGATGAAAAGAAGCTCGTAATCTCCACACCTTCATCCTGCTCCTCTCAACAATGTCCTACAGGAGAACTTAGAGGAGGTCAGCGCCTCCTGCTCCTCTAATCACAGACGAGGAGAACTGACCTCTTTCACTCAGAGATATGCAGGAGTCCTCGTAGGTGCACTCCTGAACGTTCTCACAGCGCCCCGTGTAATCGGCACACTTATAACAGCGAAGTCCAAAACCTGAAGAAGAAGAAGAAGAAAGAGGTGACCTTCAGCTGGACCAGACCTGCAACAGTCAGAGAGCTGAGGAGAGCATCTCTGATCTAAGAGTGTAGCTCTATGTTATCTAATGTCAGATCTATAAGTGTAGCTCTATGATATCTAATGTCAGATCTATTAGTGTAGCTCTATGACGTCTAATGTCAGATCTATGAGTGTAGCTCTATGATATCTATTAGTGTAGCTCTATGTTATCTAATGTCAGATCTATAAGTGTAGCTCTATGATATCTATTAGTGTAGCTCTATGATATCTATGAGTGTAGCTCTATGATATCTAATGTCAGATCTAAGAGTGTAGCTCTATGATATCTAATGTCAGATCTATTAGTGTAGCTCTATGATATCTAATGTCAGATCTATTAGTGTAGCTCTATGATATCTAATGTCAGATCTACTAGTGTAGCTCTATTATATCTATTGTCAGATCTATTAGTGTAGCTCTATGATATCTAATGTCAGATCTATTAGTGTAGCTCTATGATATCTAATGTCAGATCTATTAGTGTAGCTCTATGATATCTAATGTCAGATCTATTAGTGTAGCTCTATGATATCTAATGTCAGATCTATTAGTGTAGCTCTATGACGTCTAATGTCAGAGCTAAGAGTGTAGCTCTATGATATCTAATGTCAGATCTATTAGTGTAGCTCTATGATATCTAATGTCAGATCTATTAGTGTAGCTCTATGATATCTATTGTCAGATCTATTAGTGTAGCTCTATGTTATCTAATGTCAGATCTAAGAGTGTAGCTCTATGATGTCTAATGTCAGATCTATGAGTGTAGCTCTATGTTATCTAATGTCAGATCTAAGAGTGTAGCTCTATGATGTCTAATGTCAGATCTATTAGTGTAGCTCTATGTTATCTCACTTCAGATCTATTAGTGTAGCTCTATTATATCTAATGTCAGATCTATTAGTGTAGCTCTATGTTATCTAATGTCAGATCTATTAGTGTAGCTCTATTATATCTATTGTCAGATCTATTAGTGTAGCTCTATGTTATCTTATGTCAGATCTAAGCGATGATCTAAGTCAGACAAACCAAAAGGATTTTAAATGCGCCTTATAGTGTGAAAAATACTGTTTTCAGTTTCCACTATAACCACCCCAGTTCCTGTGAAATCACCGAGCAGATCAAAAGTTCCTGTTTAAAGTCCCAGTGAGGAACTTTTGGGTCTTTGTCTGAGTTTAGCTGCACTGATGACGTCCTGTTAGTGTCGGGGTTCAGGGTTCAAGGATTTATTTCAGCAAAAAGGACCAAATGAAAAGAAGCAACAAAAAACGACCTTAAAATGTCCAACCCAAAAAATCAAACTAAAGAAACTGAGAAAAAATCACGAGGACACCAGAGAGTCAAAGATCCAGGATCAGACAAACACAACAAACACACAATGAACCAACAAAGACTGAGGGGAACACAGAGACTACACACACAGGTAAACGAGACACAGGTGAAACAGACGAGTAATTAATGAAGGAGGGAAAACGAGAAACACAAGGAATCAACTCCTACAAAATAAAACAGGAAATAAACACTAAGATCTAAAGAATAAAACACTCAGTTCGTTTACAGTCTCAGTTTAATCGACTAAATTCATAATTCGTCTTTTTCTCTGAATCAGACTTCTCTCCTTGTCCTCGTTTACATGCAGCTGAGAAAATCGAATTATTGACGTGAACGTGTCCTCCTCCCCAACACTAGGGGGCGATATGGGTCTTTACAACCGTCAACAACAACAGCAGGTCGGTGTCAGACGTCAGAAGTGTCTACAACTGCTGCTGGGCATTTTGGAGAAACAAGAAGATGGAGCATCGTACAGCGTTGTTTTTGTCCGACATGATGGACGCGCTACTTTTTCTAAAGAGGAGACCAACGCTACTCCTCTACTCTGGGGGTTTGTTACGGGGTTACGGGGGCGTGGCATCATACTCCGACTACGCTGGTTACATGGGAGAGAAAATCGAATTCCAATCTCATTATCTGAGTGTCTTAATCTGAGTTCTCAAACTCAGATTATAGTCGGACTAAAGTGTTTACATGACCTTCAGTTATACGGTCTTAATCGGAATAAGGCGATAATTCGGTTTTCTCGAGTGTCATGGAAACAGACTGAGTGAGAACAGGAGGTAAACAGGGTCAGACTGAAAACAGGACCGGACTACAGGGGAACAGGAACACTCAAGAAAACACCTTTAAATAACAAAACCAGTGAGAAACTAAATGAACAGATCATGACAGGAGGACGTGGTTCAGGGTTTAGATATCAGGATCGTGAAGTCTGGTCCCGTCCTGAAGAGACTTCTATAAGAGTCCCAGTCTATGAAGGTGAAAAACTCCTTATAGGAGCTTTAATAGCAGATCAACTCAGATCCATGTAGAGGATCAGACTACAGACTGAATTTACATCCAATCTGATGTTTGTGTTTGATAAGGAACTAAAACTGACCAGAGTTATCTTCTATTAGACATGAGGGACATCAGGTCTACACTGGAAACAGGAAAACCAGCAGCAGGTCCCAGACTCACCCACATGGACCATCCCGGAGCACAGCAGCAGGAACCAGAGTCTGCGCGGCATGTCGTCTCCGTACAGGTGAACGAGGACAGGTGTGGACGTGTGTTCTGGTCGAGGTCCGGTCCGGTTTAGTCCACTGTGACTCCGATCAGCGACGGCAGGCGAGTGAGACCAGCTCTTTGTCCCGGAGACCACAAAGCCTCCCTGTGTGTCCTGATCCTCCTCCTCCTCCAACAAGCAGTCAGACAGTCAGTCAGTCAGTCCGCCTACAGCTGTGTGTGTGTGTGTGTGTGTGTGTGTGTGTGTGTGTGTGTGTGTGCAGGAACATACTAACATTATAGATCTGCTCTATATAGATGTACACAGTCAGCCCTCAGTGTTGTTTCACACTCTGACCCGGGTTCACCTTAAAGACACACTCCCCTGTAGGGGAGAGCGGGTTAAGATGATCCCATAGACTGTATATAGAATAGACGCTGTCTGTCTCCTCACGGGGTTAGACATTAGACATCATAGAGCTACACTCATAGATCTGACATTAGATAACATAGAGCTACACTAATAGATCTTACATTAGATAACATAGAGCTACACTAATAGATCTGACATTAGATAACATAGAGCTACACTAATAGATCTGACATTAGACATCATAGAGCTACACTCATAGATCTGACATTAGATAACATAGAGCTACACTCATAGATCTGACATTAGATAACATAGAGCTACACTAATAGATCTGACATTAGACATCATAGAGCTACACTAATAGATCTGACATTAGACATCATAGAGCTACACTAATAGATCTGACATTAGATAACATAGAGCTACACTAATAGATCTGACACTCCGAGGACAGCGCCCTCTGGTGACGGGCTGCAGTATAGGTCATTTCAGACACAGCTGATGTCTCTGCACTTGCCTCTGTCCAATCAGTGGACCCGTTTATTTGGGTCGTTTTCCTCAATCTGATTGAAATCAATCGGATTAAGTGAATCTGATTCCATCTGTTTACATGACCTTTAAGTAAAGAGGTCCACGTTCCGTCTGCGTTTGCAGCCCCAGCTGAATCCGACTGTTTTTTTTACACTCTGACACTGTAAGAGAAGAGGAGGTGCACTTCCTGCTTCCTGTTTACCTGTAGAAAGATGGATCCGCGTCGGGTTTTGTTGGGGACCCTTATTGTGATGTGGTTTCATTTATTTGCGGCTCTGAAGTCACAGCAGTTAATCGCCATGTTTGTTTTCGTTTGGGCGCGCTCTGCTCCTACGTATCACGGAGCGCCTCTCTGTGAACCCGATCCGCTCCACTCCGGATTATCGATCGGCGTAGACTCTTACAATCCGACCCGAAATACAATCAGATCTGGTGAATCAGATTGGCTAATTAATCAGAAGGTGTTTCTATGAGACATTCTGAATCTGATTGACCTTTTTGGACCCGTGTAAACGGGCTAATACAGATTCAATCGATCAATCAGAGCTCTCCTTATTATCCTTCTTTGTTTTTCACGTGCGACATCTTTAACGTCGACTCTCTCTGCGGCCGTAAACATCGTGGGAGGAGGCGGGATGTCAGGACCGCGACTCCAAATGTCAGATTTAATGCCTGGAAAGATTTTGGCTTCATCTTTGTGCAGAGGAGGCGGAGGAGGCGGAGGAGGCGCAGAGGCATTTCTACTTTTGGAGAGGAGTCAACGGCACGGACGCTCAGAGCGTGACACCGACGTCCAGCTTCCTTCTTCCCCCGACCATGAATGAGAGTCACGGCGAGGGGAAAAACCACCCGACAAAGTTCAGCAGAACCGAACCGTGACCTTCTCTGAGCCACAGAGGAGAACTTCAGAAACTCTCCTGCAGATGGTTTTCACAGTTTCTGTGAGACTCTGAGGATCTGTGAGTCCTTCAGTCCGTCCTCCTCCTCCTCTCTGAGACCGTGGCGTTGGTTTGGTATTTGAGTTTTTATGTTTCTGCAGACAGACGCCGCAGAGGCGTGCACTGACACGTCTGCTCTCTCCATCCTCAGTTCCTCCTCCATGAAGAGCTGAGAAGGTCTGAATAAATCTGGTTTCTGCTCAGAGTCGGACTTTGATTACAAAGAAGAGTTTGGATTCCAGATCTTACTTCCTCTTTTTTCTGCTGTATGATTGTAGAAATTGAGCGAATAGATCCTAAAATCAGTCGACTCTGAAATAAAGCGAGTTTCTGATCAACAAACTTTTAGAGACACAACCCCAAATACACACCAGGAGACCAGCAGCAGGTGAGGACAACAGTGAGAGGAACCAGAGAGGAGGAAACACGAGGGCGGGGAGACGGACGCCGTGTAACGCTCAGGAAACAGGAAGTAGAAACAACGACAATAACAAAATAAAACAGGAAGTGACTAAAAAAAGAAAAAGAGGAAAATGAAAACAAAAGACGCTCAAAACCCGCTGTAACCTCAAAGTCAGTCTGAACTGCAGTTCCCTGAGTGTCCACCAGAGGCTGTCTGCAGAAGCACTGAAGACCACATACACACTCATTCAAAAGTCCGTTTCTAACCCCCACTTCTCACCGCGTTCAGAACCATCACAGAGGGTTACAGAGAGCAGGAGGTTCTCCACGGTCCGGTTCTGTCTTTGAACGGGTTTTCATATTTCTGAGAGTGAAACCCTGAGGAGATCTTTTCTCCTCTCAGTCCGGGTCTCTGTCAGACCGGGAGCGTTCTGAAACAGACCCGTCTCTGCAGGACCGGGTCGGCCTGAATGTGTGGGTCATGAATCAGTCCCAGGGCGCGACGGTGTGACGGTCCGAGCGTCAGCTGCTGCACACAGAGGAGCGTCTGTACCAACATCCAGCTGCCTTTTGTCTCCACACAGAGACGGAGACGCTGATGAATACACAACACACCAAGAAAGACCGACACTGACACCACCCTCCTCCTCCTCCTCCTCCTCCTCCTCCTCCTCCTCCTCCTCCTCCTCGGTGTTATCGGACTTTTAACAGTCCTCAGTCTTGGTTCAGGATCTCCTCTCACAGAGTTCAGGTCTGTTTCTGCTCCACACTTTCATGTCCTGCTGCGTCTTTAAGGCCCTAAAATACAGTTTGGTTAAAAAACACCAAAAACTGGAGCGGCTCTGAAGCTCTTAGTTCCAGATTCGAGTCCAGACGACCTGAAAAACAATAAAAACAGAAATAAGACGCTCTGAAGTCGTCCGTGTTGTTTAGACTTCAGGCTTCGTTAGACTTTCGCAAAGAGATGAAGCGTCGTCGTCGTTTTCTTCCGCTTCATCCGGGTCCGGGTCCTGGGGGCAGCAGCTTCAGGAGGGAAGTCCAGACGGCCCTCAGCCCGGACACTTCCACCAGCTCCTCCTCCTTTGGGGGGATTCCCAGACCAGGAGAGAGATATAATCCCTCCACCTGGTCCTGGGCCGACCACGAGGTCTCCTCCTGGTGGGACTGACTCCTCTGGACGTGGAGGAGCAGCGGTTCTCCTCTGAGCTCCTCCCGAGTGTCCGAGCTCCTTCCCCTATCTCTAAGGCTGAGCCCGGACACCCTGAGGAGGAAACCCATTTCAGCCGCTTGTATCTGCGATCTTGTTCTTTCGGTCATTACCCAAAGTTCATGACCATAGGTGAGGATCGGGACGTAGATCGACCGGTAAATCCAGAGTCTCTTCTTACGGCTCAGCTCTTTCTTCACCACCACTGATCGGTTAAACGTCCGCATCACTGCTGACGCCGCTCCGATCCGCCTGTCGATCTCCCGTTCCATCCTACCCTCACTCATGAACGAGATCCTGAGATACTTATACAGGCTATGTTCGGCCAGTGCTGGAGTACGCTGTCCCAGTCTGGCACAGTTCCCTTACTGCCAGCCAGTCAAATAGTCTGGAAAGAGTTCAAAAACGGGCGAGCAGAATCATTCTGGGCCAGCGGTACATAGGATACACAGAAGCTCTCCACACTCTCAAATTGTGCTCCCTAGCAGAGAGGCGCTCTCAACTATGTCTTGATTTTGCCAGAAAGCTCAAATGAACGAACACAAATAAAAAAAAAAACAAGGACACAACGGAAATTAACGAAGCGAAAAAAGAGAAAAAAGAAATACGCTGTAAAATAAAAACAAAAATGAAACGGTGCAGATTAAAAAAAGTCACGACAGAAGTTAACATGCAAAAAAATAATAATAATAATTACTGCGAAAATAAAAGGATGCAAATAAAAAAAGAAGTCACAGTGGAAGTTAACATGAAAAAAAAAGAAACCAAAGCACGCTGCAAAAAAAAGTCACAATGTAAGTTAAAGACGTAAAAAAAATAAAATTCAGAAACTGGCTACCCCCACTTAGGAAAGAGATCTCTGGACGACAAACACGGAATGGAGATGACCTGGACACCCCAACATGCCGAACTGAGAGATATAAGAAATCACCAATCCCATATATATGTGCAGGCTGTTAAATGAGAATGGTGTTTAGCTTTTTAAGTTTTTAGGTTGTTGCTTCTTAAGCTGCATTTTATATTTGAAGTTTTATTTTTTGTAATCAGCAAAATAATTCAGTGTTTTTAATGGCATCTGTCTTTTTTAAACATCTGTGATCATGCTGAAAGCTGAATAAACATATAAACATATACCTGAACTCCTCCGCCCCGTAAGAGTCATCTGAAATAAACATTACTGTGAATAAACTCGTCCTGTTTTTACTTCCTTAGATGTTTTAAAATTCAAAGACCTGGTCGATTAAATCACAATAAAAAAACTTAAACCCTAAGAGGCTGTGGAGGATTTCAGAAACTGAAAATCTGAACAAATGTCAAATTTTTCTGTTTCTGTACAAAGGAGTGAAAATATGAAACGACTGTAGAAATGAGGAAATATCGAACTCTGGTGAACTTTCAGAGACTTCAGGAGAATCATGTCTGATTATTAAAGTGTAAACATGTTCATGACTCCGTCTGATTCAAGTGTTGATATAAAGAGAGAGTATATCTGTATAATGGACTCAGTGTACGGGGTCGGTCTTCATCACTCCCTCCTGAGATAATTCACACCTGTGCCGTCTGTCCGTGAACTCACCTGAGACCAGGTCCAGGTCCTCTCTCTGTGAACCTGAACCCTCTGTTCTTGGAGGTCGGTGATGATGATGACGATGGTGAGGATGATGAAGAACGGGTCGGCCTGCAGGCAGCTGCAGATTCTGGTCCACAGTGACCCAGCAGACGCCGGAGCACAAAGACGGTCTGATTCAGAGCGGACAGCGGACAAAGAGGTCCCAGTTCCCCCGTCAGCCGGCGTCCTTTCACTTTCTGTCAGAGCGTGAAAACAGCAGAACAACGCGGCCCACAGACCCAGACTTGGTTCTGGTTCCTCTGTCAGGAGCGTGGCGGGGAGTCGGATCGGTTCCTGCTCTTCAGTTTCCGTCCTTTTCTTCAGACGTCAGTCCGAACAGCAGGACGGTCCCGGCTCTCTTTTGGAGACGGAGACATTCATGGAGTCCTGCTGAGTCCTTCATCAGGGACTCAGGTCATGACCCCTGACCTTTGACCTGCTGCTGTCATCAGCTGGAACAGTAAAGAAAGGTTCTGGAGTGGGTTGTGGACGGCCGGGTCTGACACCGACCCGTTTAATGTAAATAAAAAAAAGTCAGGACGGAAGTTAACAACGGCAAAACAACAAAAACAAAAACGAAGAACTCGGCAAATAAAAAAAAAAAAAAAGACAAGGACACAACGGAAATTAACGAAGCAGAAAAAGTGAAAAAAGAAATACGCTGTAAAATAAAAACAAAAATGAAACGGCGCAGATTAAAAAAAGTCACGACAGAAGTTAACATGCAAAAAAAAAAATAATAATAATTACTGCGAAAATAAAAGGATGCAAATAAAAAAAGAAGTCACAGTGGAAGTTAACATGAAAAAAAAAAAAAGAAACCAAAGCACGCTGAAAAAAAAAAGTCACAATGGAAGTTAAAGACGAAAAAAAAAAAAATTACAAACTGCAAAAATAAAAGGATGCAAATAAAAAAAGGTGCTACACGGTCTAACCACATGACACATTAAAAAGTTTACGAGTGAAATTAATCAATAACCTTTACACTTCTTTGTTCGTCTTCTCGCCATCGTCTTATTGGTCCCCGACAGCTCACTTCCAATGTGACTTTTTTTATTTACATCCTTTTATTTTCACAATAAGTAACTTTTTTTTTTAAATCGTCACTTTTTTTTGCGTCTTTAACTTCCGTTGTGGCTCCTTTCCTTTTGCATTTGTGTTTATTTGCAGCAGTGGCGGTTCTCGGCCACCGTACTTTCTACATGTTTAAACACTTTCCTCTAAATTTGATCGAAACATGAACTAAAAGTTTTTATTTCCCTTTTAAAAAGATCTCCTCTCCTCTGCAGACAGGAAACTCTGTTATGAAGGACTAAAGTGAATCTGAGGTGAACTCAGTGGTGATTGCTCTAAGACTGCAAGGGAAGCTCGGCTTCCCTTAAAATGTCACCCCTCAAAAAAAAGAAAAAGTGGTGAAATACGTACGGCTGTGTGTACATTTCATTAACTAAATACGCACTAGAAAGCCTTCATCTTTTGTTCAGACACTGTGATAAGAAGCTGATAATCACAGGTAACCAGCATAACTTCGTTCTCATTCATCCTCGCAGCGCCTCAGCGCTTCAAACAGCCGGACGCTGGGCTTCTGCTGACTTCAATGTGGAAGCTCAAAGTGGGTTGTTCCAGCAGCGAAACTAGACGCTCATTGGATAAATGCTGGGCTTTGTCCCGCCCAATGGAAGCTAAGCTTCACTGGAGTTCTATGGCGAGAGGGCGGTCCCGACTTTCTCCCGGACTCCGAGCTTCTGCCTCCATGATTGGATGAGCTGTCTGAGGCGAAATCCTTTTTTTGACTGACAGCTAAACAAGCGAATCAGCGATCTTGAAGAATAAAACATCTACCAGAGCATTTTCCAAGTCATTCATTCCGTTGTTCTTAACTGCTCCAGAGACTTTACCGATCCTCAGCGACTTTTGTCTTTGTTAAAAACGACTGCCGTTGTGTTTGGCGACTCTGTTCTGTTACATACTAATAAACAAATACAATTATGATGTAGGCCAGAAAAATGAGCTTCCCCTCATTGAAAGACCAGCAGCCGCCACTGGGTGAACTCATGTCTGATCTGTTAAAGAATCGAAGTGGAACTCTGTCAGAGACACGAACAGACACGGACAGAGGCAGACTCCAGATTTAATGGCTTTTAAGGTGTTTTTGAAGCATTTTAAAGATAAAAAAAAACAGAGAAGTGACATTTTCTTTTGGTTGATCTGAGAACACACACAGAAGAGTCAAACATCTCACACATCAGCAGCTTAACGCCGACTCCACACAGTCCGCAGATCAAGAACATCCAACCGAGAAGCAGCTCCACAGACGAGACGCTCCCACAGTAACAGAGGGGTTTACACAGGAAGAAGGACGTCATGCAGATAATAATCATCATCAGAATAATAATACAGACATGCACAATTAAAGTTCAAAACAAACAAACAGTTTCCAACGTTTTCAGGATTCAGACTGAAGTTTACAGACAAAAACCTTTTTCTGTCTTTTTGTTGTTTTGGCATCAAAATATTTTTTAAAAAGTGCAACAAACGTCAGGATGACTCCTCTGAGGACATCGATCCTGCAGCAGGTAAACGGTCTGCAACATCGTCCCTGATGGACCAAAGTCTGAGGGTTTTTGACCCTGATGGGCTCAGGTAGTTCTTCAGAGTCTGTCAGAAAACTGTCTGTCTCTGTCTCTGCAGGGACCCTCTGAGAAGAACTACCTGATTCTGTCAGTAACCAAAAACTGGAACTTTTACAGACAAGGATTCTGTTGCAGTCATGATAAAACATCCAACATGTGGCTTTAAGATCATCTCCAAACTTGGAGTCTGTGTGCAGACCGTGTTCATCAGGTCATGATGGGTAAAACAGAGTCACCGAGGACCTGCTCCAGCTTGGCTGACATCAACATCAACATCAACTCTTAAAGGGATATTCCGGCATGAAATTAAGTTAGGGACAAACACACCGAAACACTGAGTTAGAAGGAAAATTAATGATCATTTCTTTAGCAAAGAGACTAAACACAACTCACCTACTCTCTTCCAACAGACGCTTGTTTGTAGAGAGACCTCAGGCCAGTCCATTACAGACTACAGCGGGGTGCCGCAGCTCAAGGAAGAACATTTATGATCATTTCTTTATCATTTCCTTGAAGTAATAATCACCATATTAATCATTTTACAGACGTGGTAGTTCTTCTGTCTTAGCGTCTCGGTCTGATTGTATTTCCATGAAGAAATGATCATAAATGTTCTTCTTTGAGCTGTGTCACCCCGCTGTAGTCTGTAATGGACTGGCCTGAGGTCTCACTACAAACAAGCGTCTGCTGGAAGAGAGTAGGTGAGTTGTGTTTAGTCTCTTTGCTAAAGAAATGAGTCAAAGTTAAAAAGATGTTTGGTGTCTAGTACTATGGCTGTGACCCTATATGTACTAACCTCAGTAGAACATGGTGTAGTTCCGTTCAGTAACAGAACCTCATTGGAAAATTAGCTGATTTAACTTTACTGTGCTCTTGTTCAAATATATTAACTCGACAGCACATAAATCCATACCTGTTAACAAAATCATGATTTTATTGATAATTCGGCTCAATAAAAACACCTTTACCTTTTCATTTTACCACAGTAGAAGTTTATTGGCCCAGATTATAGACTACAGAAGTGGAGAAACGCCCCCGCTTAAGTTTATGTTTTCTTAGGAGTTAGAACAACTCTGAATATAGTACTATGGCTGTGACCCTATATGTCCTGTTGATGAAGTTAGGTGCTGTTCTGAGCATTATTTGTGGCTATAGAGTGGCGTTTTGGTTGGGGGTGTGGCTCTCTGTATTTCTATCCTGCGGTCGTTACTAAAGTTGGTATAACTAGAGAAGCAAGCGGTCGGTAACATTCATCTCTGGAGGGGCGGAGTCTAACTCGGTGTTACGGTGGGTTTGACCCTAAATTAATTTAACGTAGGAATATCTCTTTGACGTTCGGGGCCCCCGTCAGAAAACCAGCTGTAAAAAAAATAAAGCTAAAGCGTCCGTCCTCTCCCATCTCCGCTCTGTCATCCTTATTCTATCAAGTTTAGCTTTATTTACAGCAGCTTGAATAAAACAATATCAAAGTTTAACTTGTTCTCAAAGCAGCACTTCATGCAGTCATAATATGAGTTCAGCCTGAGCTTTGGCTTCAAGGAGACTGAAGTGATCCCAGTCCACTACAGGAGCTGAAAGGATCGGAAGTCTTTCATTTGCAGCAGAAAACAGCGTCACTAATATGGCAGAGCAGGGCAGCACCTTTGTTTTCAGGTCTTGCATTCAAGCGTTACGGCACAATCATTGAATCCGAGGAAAAATACTCTCTTAGAAACAGACTCCAAAGCTTTTACAATAGTTTGTACAGTACGTATATATATGTACAGGGAGTGAGGCTCAGGGCTGTCTGCTCTTCTCATAGAAATATAAAACCTTTAAAAACCCCACACTGGTTTTTTTTCCTCTCAGGCACTACAGAGCGCAGACGTTCACTTTGACACTAAAGGATTGTTCTTCACGTATAACTGACTTTTTCTTCAGCCAACAAGTGCTTTATTATTTAGCCGAACAAGAGCAGCCTCGGGTCGACAATGAAGGCAGTCAGAGTGTGAAGACGACTTCGACCCCCCAGCCAGTCTGGATCAGTATTTACAGACTCTACGGGTCTGGATCTGAGTCTGAGAAGTGGTCTGGTTTCTAGTCCAGGCAGTGTAGACTGTTCAGGTACAAACTGAAGACCTGACAAGGAAATCCGTTTCTTTTAAGGGTTGAAATGAAGCCAGAGTGACGCCTCAGTAGGCCTGTCACGATAACAAATTTTGCTGGACGATAATTGTGCTACAAATTATCGCCGATAAACGATATTATTGACACCGTTTTTTAAATTATAGATAATGATATTAAATGGCATAATAATGCGAGTGCACCGTGTCAAAAGTGATGAACTTTAATTTCACCCACGACGAAGACGTAACGTTGACGAGCTAAACATAAGTCGGAGATGACTAAAATGTGACGAGACGAAAGTGCGTTTACGTTGATGGGACGAGACGAAAATGACGAACAGAGTTGCAAAACTCAGTCAGTTGAACGCTAAACATACAGGAGCAGCTTCAGTCCGCTCTGACAGCTCTCATCAGCCTGCTGTGCTCCTCCAACACACAGACACACACGCACACGCGCACACACACACACGTGGAGTTTTGTGGTTGACGAAAACAAAACTGGTTTAAAGCCGAAATATTCCCACACTTGGGCTGTTGCGTTCGGTTTAGACACCAAAGCTGTCGTGTTCATTCTGTTTGCTTGCTTTTCACTCACGACGCTCACTTGCAGCACTGTATCCAAAAGTCTGTGTCTGTGTGCCTGTGCGCGCCTACGTGTACCTGCGCGCGCGCCCCCCCGTGACAAAGATACTGAATGACTGACAGGAGGGTTCACTAACTCCGTTCATTCCGCTATAGAGCCAACGCCCCCAGGTGCCGAGAACAATGCGCAGAGTGAGACCTCTTCTCTCATCCAGCGTGTTTGGTAGCGAGAGAGGAGGAAAACAAACGCACGTCAATTATCGAGGCTGGCAAAATGACCGACCTCGTTTTTATTTATCGAGCGATAAGGCGATTTATTGATTATCGCGACAGGCCTACGCCTCAGTATAACTGAGTGTTTACAGTGAAACTGAGACTGACGGTTAACAGAGGAGTGTTGAGTCAAAGTCACACACTCTTTAATTACTCTGACCGTTAAAACCAAGACTAGCTGTTTGGCCAGAATGATGTCTCTGTGTGACTTCTCCTTCACTGTGTAACTGAGACTCACCAGGAAGATGATGGTGAGCCAGAGTGAAGCCTCTGTGTACGTTACTTTGAACAGTGAAACTGCGACTTAACTGGGTAGAGAGGAGCCTGTTTGTTACTTCACTTTAATCAGGGAAACAAAAAGAGGGTTCGACACTGAGCCAGAGTGACGCCTCTGAGAAATGAGCTCTTTACAGTGAAACTGAGACTCCACAGAGACAGACTCAGAGTCTGAGGACAGGTTTTTGTCTCTGTGTAATTATCTTCAGTAAATCAGAGACTCAGCAGAGACAGACTGATGTGGACCAAAGTGAAGCTTCTGCGTAACTTTGACTTTACAGTAAAACTGAGACTTGAGATCGATGGTAGCTGAACAGCGAAACCAAGACTCCCTGTAAACAGACACTCCTCTGGGGGTGTAACGGATTAAAGATGGTGTCTTTTATTTTGGAGGGGTGAAGGTCTTCCTCATGTTCTGGGCTCATGGTCGGTATGTGTGGTCGGCCTGTATCTGGTCATATTGAACTTTGACCTCTGACTCTTGGGTCTCTGGTGTCGTTTTTCCGTTTCTATGGTAACTTCCTTTTCTGTAGGTATTTTCACGTCTTTGAGCCTCTCAGTATTTTTGTGCTTGTTTGGTCTCTGGCAGGTTTTTTAAGTCCAGTTTCGTGGTCGTTCCGGGTCTCTGAGGGTTGAGCTTGTATTTCATCTCTGTGCAGGTTTGATGTTTTTGGGGTTTAGTGTATTTTTGTTGTTGTGACTTTTTTTGGTTTGATTTTCCGTTTTTATGGTCGGTGGTTTCGTATCCTTGTCGTCCCTCGTGTCTCTTTGTGTCTGTTCTGACCTCTCTGTGGTAGTCCTGCTACTTTGGTCGGTTGTGTTTGTTTTACGTTCATGTCGGTGGTTGTTTCTCGTTGGAGTCTGCGTCTCTTGTTGTGTTTGTTTTGTGTCTGTTTGTAGTTGTGTTGTGACTTTCTGTGTTTTATGAAGAAAGCGATTCCAGTGCGCCCCTCAGGCGTGAGCGTAGTAGACGCTCTATGTCTGTGAAATATGAGACCATCGTTTGTGTTTCCTCTAATAAGCAGAGCTTTGTGTCGTGTTGCGCCTGTTGGTCTTCCTGTCATATGTCAGGATAAAACTCGGTGTTAACGTCGACACTGTGCAGGACAGACTTCTGATCAGTGGACGACATCCTGTTCAACACCTCAGCTGACAGAGAGAAACTGCTGCCAGACTTCTCCTCAAACCAGCTGTCCAACGCTCGCTTCCCATCGAAGTTAGCGATGGGCGGTCCATTAACCGCCACCGTCAGCAGGTCGTTCATCTGCTCCAGAGTCAGCCGAGAGCGGTTGTTCTTGCACATCTTCTGCAGAGACCCTCTCCCTTTGTCGCAGCACGCCGTGGAGCTGGGCAGAACTCTGACGACCTGCACGATCCGATTCAGCAGAGGGAACCGCTGCTTGTACCTGCAGATATGAGCGATGACCTCTTTGAAACCGTTCATACTGAAGTAGTCTGCTTTCAGATCCTTCCACTCCCCCACCAGGCTGCCTTTGGCCTCCGTCCTGGCCAGACAGCCCTCTTTACCGATCAAGGGAATTGACTCCAGGTGGTTAAATATCATCTGGATTTCTTCCTCCCCATAAGTCTGTAGGTCCTCCCGGTCACGAGGCCAGGTGGACAGGTCCAGGACCTTGCAGGCTTTAGCAAATGAACGGCTCTGTAAGTCCAGCCTCTGAGACAGGATCCCCTGGCTCCTGTTGCAGATCTTTTCTCGGATGGACTGAAACTTGGACTCTGCAACTCGCAGGTTCTTCAGAGCGATGCCGTTGAAAGTTTCACGAAAGTTTTCCTCAAACTCCTGCAGATACTCTCCGGGGCAGTCCACCAACTGTCCGATCTCAAGGATAGCATCTTCGATCTTGGCCTCCACCTGCGACACCAGCAGGTACTCTCCCTGGAAGGTAAAGGCTAACCGTGAGAGAACAGCTATGATGTCCAGGAGGAAGTAGATGAGCTTCACTGACTGGTAGTCCATGAGGAACTGTAGGAGGGTGAGGGCGATGGCAGCAGCATCAGCCCTTTGTGTCTGGCTGCTGATCTCCTTCAGATGTGCAACCACCTCTAGGTAGTCTTTGATGAGGGCATTGAGGACGTTGGGTTCTCCTATTATCCATCGAATGGCTCGAATGTCTCCAAGGAACTCCGTCTCCTCGGACAGCGTTGGAGCAGTGGATCGTAGCTCCGCCATCATGCGAGGCGAGTAGCGGTAGAAACTAAGGAGCTGCTTCAGGTTGTTTTCCAGATCCTCCAAGCAGGAGAGCTCCTTCCCACTGATGGCATCCAGCACCTCCAGGTGTGGCCGGTGGATCATGATCGGGAGGCAGAGCATCCAGGGAAAAGTCTTTTGCACAGCGATGTACAGGTTGGCTCTCAATCCTGAAGAAATGTTAGTGCCGTCTACCCCCAGACCCACCACAAGCAAGTCCTGAAATCTGAGACCTAGGACCCCGAAGGCTCTGTCCATGGCCTGAAGGTACCCATCCACATTGGCCATGCTCAGTCTTTGCAGGGACAGGAACTCGGTGTTTGGGGAGCCTTCATTGGTGATGAACTGGACGTAGACGGCCACCATGTCTGAGAAAAGGTCATCGTTCTGGGCATCCATTATGACACTTAGGAAGGGGGACAGGCGCATCTTCTCAGCCAGGTCCTCCCTCAAAGCCCGGGTGATGTGGTGGACAAGGATCTGGCAGTCCCCCTCGTTCATGTACTGGTCCACCACTTTGAGCTCACACCTCTTCAGAAGCTCTGCAAGTGGACGGAGGTCAGAGAAGGGCCGTCCTTCCAGGGCCAGATGATACGCTGCGTTGAACAGAAGCATCATGTTCTTGCACATCTCCTCCGTTTTCTCCGGGTGCATCCTCAGCTTGTACAGCTGCAGACACTTCTTATGGAGGTTGCTCTGGCTGTGCAGCTTGATGGTGTGGATCTTAAACTGCTTAGAGCCGATGATAAAGGCGGAGGTTCGAGATGATTGGACGGTGTACTGGCGGCAGACGTGGCACCACATCTCGTTGAGAGTTGGCGAGTAGCGAAGGAACCAGAACTTTTTCAGCCACTCCTGCTTGAAACGACGAATCCGTCTGCTTCCTCCAGAGGAAAGCTTCGAGGAGTCTTCTGGAGAAATCACAAGATCTGCTGCAATCGACTCATCAGCAGAGTCTACGTCCTGGTCATCTTCATCCAGGACCACCTGAGAGGGGGTCAGGGGCTCCATTCCTGCAAAGACAAACAGATTAGTCTTTTGAGTCGGTTTGTTTGAATCAAATCAGTTTGAACTACGATCTGTTCATCATGTTATAAAGAGAGCTCTACACCATCTTTGGATTGTTTTGTCTGCTGGTCTGAGTCTCACCCAGGTCAGTAATGAGATGTCCCTGAAACTACTGGATGAACTTCTTTGAGACACGCCGACAGAAGGATGATCTTTAGTAGATCCTCAAACTTTTTAAAATGAGACCTCTTAAAAACACTGAGATGGATTTTGGATCTGACATAGTTTGAACCAGGAGGAAGAGGCAGTCTCGAACTGAAAGACGGTGTGACAGGTCCAAGACTTAATTTTCCAGAACATACCTTGGAAGTCTTCGATGGGGCCTTGCTCAGGATGGGGTGGGACTTGGATGTTTTGGGACTGCTGATCTTCTGACATGGATGCACCAACAACGTCCTCCTGTTCCCCTCTGAGACGGGACAGCTCCTCTTCCAGCTCCAGGATCCTCTTCTTCAGTTTGACACAGTTGGGGCAGAAGGAGGTGGAGGGTTCCTCTCCGCTCTGGTTCTCCTCCTCTTTCTCCTCCACTTTCAGGTTAGGAACACTAAAGCTTCCTCCAGTCGACCCTGAACCAGGAACTGCGGTTTTACACTCAGCAGGGTGAGATGACTTGCCAGAGTCCTCAAGGGAAGCCTCCAGAACGTCTTTGAAGATGAGGTCGATCTTCTTCCTCTTGGCAGGCGGTTGGCCGTCTGGTTCTTCATCAGGTGGTTTACTGGGGCTGGGTTTGCCCTGCAGCGCTGACTGCAGGCACACAGATTTGAAATCCTTCTGAATGTTTGGCAGGACGGTCGGCTTCTCTGTACCTGGAATCAAACAATCAGTGGAAACGTCATATTTATCAGAAGCTCTTGATTCCAGAGGTCAGTTACAGAACAAACCAGTCTCTGTACTGGGAGGCCAACAATTTTCCCAGTGATACAGCACTGATCAGTTACTGCTGAGATCCTGCAGACAGCACAGGAACAGGTCTACAGATCGTAGAAACACAGAATAGACCAGCATGGCCACCATCAGCTGCTGTAGGATCGTGTCTGTTTGACCCTGAAACAACGAAATTCTAGTCCAGACTGGATCTGAAACAGGATCTTCTTTCAGGGGCACAGGTGTAGACTGTCTATAAAGTGATCTAACCTTAAACTGTAAAAGGTCTAGGCTGGTCCTGGACTGGTTCAGATCTAATAGTTATGTTCAAAGCAACACATCTGGACCAGTCCTGTACCTGTACTGGCCAAAAAAGAGCTAAAATGGACCCGGACTGGTTCTAAAATGGGTCAAACTTTTTCTGCATCAGGTCTAGACGGGTTCCAGAGTGGGGTCACTTTAGAAAGATCTAGCATTTTTCTATTCTGTCTGAACTCTTAGCTGTTGCAGGTCTAGGGCAGTCCCTGATGGGTGTACTCTGTTACCAGAACAGGTCTAGACTTGCTCTAAAAAAGCTTTAAATTCCTTCTGCAAGAGTTTGAAACTAGTTCTAGACCAGTGTAGACGACCCTGAAACTGGGCGGTCCCTAAATTCTTTCAACTCTGCAGAGAAATGGTCTGGATCGCTCTAAATCAGTTTAAAGATACTGAAATGGGTCTAGACTGGTTCTGCACTGGACTAGGCTGGTGTTTGAAGAGGTCTAGTCTGTTTCTGAGCAGGGTCACATTTCACTGTAATAGTACGCCTGGTTTTAGACGAGTCTGGACTATGTTTAGGACCGGTCTGAAATATTTCTGGACTGGTTTTAATTTGTACTGAACTGGAGCTGAGAAGTGCCAGTAACAGTTCCTGACTGGTGTGAGTTTTTCTCTGGGTATAAACTGGTTTAAATTTTTCCTAAATGGGTCCAGACTAGTTCTAGACTACCTCAGAGGATCCGTTTAGGACTGCTCTGTTCACTTTTGTACTAACAGCTTCAGAATGGTTCTGACTGTCGTTTACAGAGGTCCAGCGTGGTTCTAGTGCTTTTCCAAGTTCTCCAGAACCAGTGTTGTTTTTGGCAGGCATTTCAGATTTAGTTTTAGTCTTCGTCATTTTGACGAAATGCTTCTTCGTTTTAGTCCCATTTTAGTCATTTCTATCCTTGATAGTTTTCGTCTAGTTTTAGTCCGACGAAAACTCAAAAGGTTTTAGTCTAGTTTTAGTCGACGTAAAGGTGCGTTTTGAAGTTCGTGGTGTTCTTTCCCGACAGCTGTGGCTCCATAACTGTCGTCTGTCTCCCCGTCTCCGTCCAAGACATTGTGTTTTATTGTCACTTGAACTGTATCTGAAGTAGGACCAAAAGCATCCCTCTTTTTTCGGGCCACCGGGCACCGCTGCTGTGCCTGCCGCCACGGTGTGTGTGTGTGTGTGTGCGCGCCTCGTCCACCTGCCGCTCTGTGCATGTGTATGAGTGTGTGCGCGCAGCTGTGCGCGAGCGAGGCTTTTGGTGCGTGTGTGATGGGGGCGTGACTGTTAGGACAAAAAAAAGCATGTTTTGAAACTTTGTTCGTCCACCTAATAACAATTTAGTCTCGTCTCGTTCTCGTCTGACAAAAATGAATACAATTTTCGTCACATTTTAGTCTTTACAGAGCTTTGGTGACGTTCGTCTTAGTCTCATTTTCGTCAAGGAAAAAAGGGGTCTGACGTCGTCATTTAAGTTTTCGTCCTGCCTGACGAAAACAACACTGTCCAGAACAGGCCTAGACTGACCCCTTTACTGCTACAAAGGTTCTGGACTTTGATTCTTTAGATCATTTGTGGTCAGGTGTTGTATTCTCATGATTTTTTTATGCTCCACTCATGATGGTGGCTTTGAATCTGAACAAACTTCGATGTTTGACACTTTGGGGAAAAAGTAAAAAAGTTCAAAACAAAGAAACCAACTTTCAGAAGTTAAGAGCTGCTGACAGAGACGTGCCGGCGGACTCAAACTGCTTTATTGTTGTTGAGCGTTCACTATCTGCAGAGGGATCTATCAAAGGCCACGAGGACGCCAATCTAAGACACACAGCTCTGAATGAGGTGGCAGCACCCCCTGCTGGAGGTTAGTGTTCATTGCAGTGGTTTATTAAACCGTCTGAGGACAGGACCAAATCTGACCTGGGTTCACCTGAGTTCACCTTGACCACAAACCCATTTACAAAAGCCCTGATCTCTCTGGATGAGGTTTTCCAGGAGGTCCTGTGAAGGTTTATGTTTGTTTTTGTGATGGGGTCTGGTGGTTTTGAACAGAGGGGTCTAACATCCATCCCTCCTTAGACAATCATCTGATGTCAGGAGGGATCCTTCCTGTATGAGACATTTTATCGACACTATTTTCAGGGTTTTGTTTTGTTACTCGCAAAATCACCACAAGGGGCGCTTCAGGTGAATGAGCAGGTAAACGCTACGAAAGGGACTCAGGTGAAGCGGTGATCTGGGGAACGGGAAGATCGCACGGTTTTTACCGCTAACCTCCGAAAACCACGACCCCCATCACGTAGAGTTGGACGTATCTGTCCTTTATTGTTTGTTTTTCATTTAATCAATAAATGGGAAAATTATATCTCAACAGAAACCTTTGATTGGACATTGGATTGTACTGGAAGTGCGTCAGAAACACCTCACTCCCGCACCCAGACAGTGAGTAAAACTCAGGTCAGCGTGGTCACGACACTTCCTCTTACCTGTCTGCAGGTTGCGGTGGATGCTCTCCTGAGAGACGCAGTGCAGTCGTTGGATGTAGTCGTCACTGTACCAAACCCTCAGCTTCTCTCCGGCCGCCAGAGTCCGACACACTCTGAAGTAGATGTTTTTACGGTGCTGAAACGCCGTCAAGTTCCTGTCACTCTCCTCAGACGAGGTGCGGACATACCTGCAGGTCAAACCCGTCAGTGGAGACGACTTTAGAGCACGCTTCATACAGTGATGGAAGGATCCGAGGAGCTCCGTCACTATGAAATAAACAGGTTCTCCTCTAAAACACACTCAGACCTTTCCTACATTTCCCTACAACCTTGACATGGTGGGAAGCACCTGAGTTTTCCTGTCGACTATCATCAGCTGTGTTCAGTCTCAGTGTCATGACCAACATCCTTTAACATCTACAGAGACTCCAAACACCTCTGTTGGTCCGGTCTTTGCCTGTTCAGGGTCAGAAAGTTCTGCTGACATTAGAAAAACAACGGTACCGCTAATTCGACGAAAAAAAAAAAAAGAGGGGTACCTCATCCAGTTGGCTTTGGTCTCATCGCTGCCATCGATGGACTGATAGGTGCTGTCAAAGTCAACGACCTGGAAAAACCAGAGAGAGTCAGGACACTGAACTGGGCCGCACTGGTTTACATCAAGGACTGAACTATGTCCGGACTGGTTTCGAACTGACAGACTTTAAATGGGTTAAAGAATAAGAACCTGTGTTTGTTGGGGACCCTTCTTGGCTCAGTGTCAGGTGTGATACCTGACTTAATCTTTCATATGATGGTACTTGGTTCAACAAATGCAACTCTTTCTTTTTTCTGAAAATTCATGTAAAACTACAATTGTCTGGCCGCCCTTTTGATTGTTTCTTTACCGTTGTTTGTCTTGTACAGTTTTGTAAAGTTTAAAACTGAAAATAAAGTATAAAAAAAAAAAAAAAAAAGAACCTGTGTTTGTAGGAACCGTCATTTAAAGGGTTCTTCACAGAGAACCAGAATTTGAACGGGTCTAAAACAGGTCTTGAACGGGTTCAAAGTGTTGCAGCAGGTCTGGACTGGTTTCTAACCCGCTGCAGACTTGTTACCAGAACCTTCTCGGCTTGGTCTAAGGTGGTCTATTGTGTCTATAAAGGAAATATCAGATGGTTTTAACTTTTGTAAATGTTCACCAGAATGTTCTGGACTTGTTCTGAACTGGTCTTGAACTGGTTGGACTTACTATCCAAGAAAAGAAGCCGGAGGATTTGTCCTTGGTCACCAGATCCCCCTCATATGGACCGAACAGCGCCCCCTTGGGGATGTTTGGATCCAAGCAGCGAACGTCCACCTCCTCCCCCTCTGTGAATACCTCCAGGCCTGATGGGGCGGTGAGCGCCGCCCTGTTGGCTGACCCTGGTGTTGCAGGTGTATCAGGGATGAACAGCGGGGGCCCGTGGGCCGGACACTCGTTCTGGAAGTAGTTCTGACACTCCTCACAGACTGGAGGACATTTCAACAGCAGGTTTAGGTTTTCAGACCTTCACAGAGTTTAGAGCAAATGTAGATCTGATGTTTGGATCTGAAACAGATGTTTGTGGCTTAAAGGGATATTCTGCTGTAAAATTAATTTAGGGTCAAACACACCGTAACACCGAGTTAGACCCCCCCTCCAGAGATGAATGTTGTCGACCGCTTCCTTCTCTAGTTATACCAACTTTAGTAACGACCGCAGGATAGAAATACAGAGAGCCACGCCCCCAACCAAAACGCCACTCTATAGCCACAAATAATGCTCAGAACAGCACCTAACTTCATCAACAGGACATATAGGGTCACAGACATAGTACTATATTCAGAGTTGTTCTAACTCCTAAGAAAACATAAACTTAAGTGGGGGCGTTTCTTCACTTCTGTTGTCTATAAGCTGAGCCAATTAACTTGTTAAATGAAAAGGTAAAGGTGTTTTTATTGAGCTGAATTATCAATTAAATCATAATTTTGTTAACAGGTATGAATATATGTGCTGTCGAGTTAATATATGCGAACAAGAGCACAGTAAAGTTAAATCAGCTAATTTTCCAATGAGGTTTTGTTACTGAACGGAACTACACCATGTTCTACTGAGGTTAGTACATATAGGGTCACAGACATAGTACTAGACACCAAACATCTTTATAACTTTGACTCATTTCTTTAGCAAAGAGACTAAACACAATCAAACACAATCATTTCTTTATCATTTCCTTGAAGTAATAATCACCATATTAATCATTTTACAGACTCAGTAGTTCTTCTGTCTTAGCGTCTCGGTCTGATTGTATTTCCATGAAGAAAATGTTACATACATAACATAACACAACATAAATGTTCTTCCTTGAGCTGCGGCACCCCGCTGTAGTCTGTAATGGACTGGCCTGAGGTCTCTCTACAAACAAGCGTCTGCTGGAAGAGAGTAGGTGAGTTGTGTTTAGTCTCTTTGCTAAAGAAATGAGTCAAAGTTAAAAAGATGTTTGGTGTCTAGTACTATGGCTGTGACCCTATATGTACTAACCTCAGTAGAACATGGTGTAGTTCCGTTCAGTAACAGAACCTCATTGGAAAATTAGCTGATTTAACTTTACTGTGCTCTTGTTCGCATATATATTAACTCGACAGCACATATATTCATACCTGTTAACAAAATCATGATTTTATTGATAATTCGGCTTCAAAAAAACACCTTTACCTTTTCATTTTACTACAGTAGAAGTTTATTGGCCCAGATTATAGACTACAGAAGTGGAGAAACGCCCCGACTTAAATTTATGTTTTCTTAGGAGTTAGAACAGCTCTGAATATAGTACTATGTCTGTGACCCTATATGTCCTGTTGATGAAGTTAGGTGCTGTTCTGAGCATTATTTGTGGCTATAGAGTGGCGTTTTGGTTGAGGGCGTGGCTCTCTGTATTTCTATCCTGCGGTCGTTACTAAAGTTGGTATAACTAGAGAAGTAAGCGGTCAACAACATTCATCTCTGGAGGGGCGGGGTCTAACTCGGTGTTACGGTGGGTTTGACCCTAAATTAATTTTACAGCAGAATATCCCTTTAAACTTTGGGTCATTCATCATAAGAAGCTCTTGAAGCTGAAGGAAAGTCAGAACTCACACCAAAGGTCCACCGACTGCTCGCTCATTTTGGAACCATGTTTGTGGGAATCTGCATGTCGTCCACTTCAATCGTCTGCAGACAGAAACAAACGAACAAACAGGAACAACCATGTGAGCTCATCTACGTCTGACAGACAGGCAGAGACAACCTCAGTCGGACCCCGGGCTCATTACGGTTTACCATGATGGGTCACATGATCATGTTTAGGATAATAATAATGAACCAACAGAAAATAACCACAGCTCTGCCGCTTCGGGTCTTTTAGCTCTTTGTTCTGGTATTTGTAAAGTACAGTAGCTGAGAACCGCCGCAAGAAAAAGAAACTACAACGGAAGTTACCGATGGAAAATAAAGTGATGATGGAAAAAAAATAAAGTTACTTACTGTCAAAATAAATGGATGTAAATAAAAAAAGCCACAACGTAAGTGAGCTGCCGGGGACCAATAATGATGATGCACCGGTGTTTTACGACCTAGGCACAGAAGACGAGCAAAGAAGTTCATGGAAACGTTATTGTTTAATTTCACTTCGTAAACTTTTTAATGTGTCATTTTTTTTAGACCATGTAACACCTGAGTCCATATGAAGTTAAACTGAAGCTAACTCTACACCGACATCCTCCAGGTCAACTTCATATGGACTCAGGCGCTACACGGTCTAAAAAATGACACATTACAAAGTGAAATTAAACAATAACCTTTACAAAAACTTCTTTGCTCGTCTTCTGTGCCTAGATTGTCAAACACCGGTGCATCATCATTATTGGTCCCACACTCCACTTCTGTTGTGTTTTTTTTTTTTTTTTTTTGTTCATCCTTTAATTTTTGCAGTAAGTTTCTTTTTTTGCGTCATTAACTTCCATTGTGGCTTCTTTTTATTATTTGCATTCTTTTTAAATTTGCAGCAGTGGCGGTTGTCGGCCACCGTAGTAAAGACACTCCACTGTTACATTATTTGATGGTCAGGAGTTAAAATTATTTCCAAAACCTCCAAATATCGTCTTTATAAAACAGAAGAGTCTAAAATGTGGATGTTCAGAGACATGAGCACTCATGTTTTCTCTCTCTGACTCTTAAATCTGTTTGCAGACTTTGATTTCTCTCCTCATCAGGTTTAATAATCTGAGATATTCTGAGTTTGGGGGTCAGATTATTCTCTGCACATCCTTCATTTTGCATCAGTGAGACTATGATCTTTGCAGGAGTTTCTTCAGACATCTGAACACCTCCTCAGACAGACTGAGGCTCCAGAATTCCTGCTGAACTCTCTCAGACATTTCCAGGTCTCAGTATACTGAGATAATCTGAGTTGAGGGTCCTGGTTCTGATCTGAGAGCAGTCCTGCGGGAGTCTGCTCCGACCACAAACTCTGAACCAAACTTTGGGTGTCCGTGTCCAACGATAATCCGTGAAATGGTCGGATTTGTGAATTTCCTGCGGCTCAGTTTTAATCTGCGCCACTCTTTCTCCTCCTCCTCCTGTTTCGATCTGCAGACATCTGGCAATCTGCCTGCTGTTTTCGGAAGCCATTTTCGCTGGCCACTGTGGCGACCGACACGGACCCACCTTCTGCAGAGACGCCGCGGGGACACGGACCCTCTCTCCCGGCTGAGCTCGGCTCTGTCCTCCCCGGCCGCAGAGCACCGACCCCCGGCCGTCAGCTCCGCGGCTGCCCGGCGCAAAGTTTTCCGTCAAATTTCGCAGCGACTCAGTCGCCTCCCCGAGCTGTGACCACCATTTTTATCACAGGAAATGACATGGAAAACGGAAGAAAGACATTGCGCAAAAATTAAAGTTAACAGCGAGAATTTGATGCCGGAGTTTAGTCTGACAGGGAGGACAGACGGACCCTTCTGGACTCACCTTCTTACCTGCGAACCAGGTCCAAGAGTGGGGGAGCGAGTAGGGGAGACCGGGGTCTGCTGCAACACTGCGTGCCTGTCAGTTTCCCAGGGACTGTCTAGACTACAGAGTCCAGGTGGTTTTACATTAGACCGGATAAATACAATCTGGTTCATAAACTGGATTTCACACAGACTCTGAACTCAGGGAACATTTTTAACTCTGTGAGAGACGGGAACTTTTTCAGCAAACTTCAGCTCTAATTATCACGTCAATGTGAAAGAATTCAGTTTTTTACAGTGTCATTAAAGGGATATTCCTGCGTAAAATTAACTTAGAGTCAAAACCCACCGTAACACCGAGTTAGACCCCCCTCCAGAGATAAATGTTGTCGACCGCTTGCTTCTCTAGTTATACCAACTTTAGTAACGACCGCAGGATAGTAATACAGAGAGGTCTGAGTCACAGCCATAGTACTAGACACCAAACATCTTTTTAACTTTGACTCATTTCTTTAGCAAAGAGACTAAACACAACTCACCTACTCTCTTCCTGCAGACGCTTGTTTGTAGAAAGACCTCAGGCCAGTCCATTACAGACTACAGCGGGGTGCCGCAGCTCAAGGAAGAACATTTATAATCATTTCCTTGAAGTAATAATCACCATATTAATCATTTTTCACTGCAGACGTGGTCGTTCCTATCCTGCGGTCGTTACAAAAGAGTTTTATACGATCAAGTCATCTGTTTACCATGTTTGATTTTTGCACTGTGGGCTGGACAGAAAGGTCTGTCTTTGTTTACAAAATGGCAATAAAAACCTTGAATTCTGAACACTAATGTGCTAACGATTCTCATTTACAGTCCGATAATGATATTATTATTGATACTTTACAGTTACCTGGTTTAAATTAGGAATACTGATCGATTAATTGATTTTTACCTGCTTATCATGGCGGACTAACGTGTTCTGAACAACGATGCTGCTGAAACACAAACCTCCAGACTTTGAATAAAAACTGACATTAATGGTTTTCACAGCCTTCACACTATATTTAATGGTTTTAATGGGAATGACAGGAGATGTTGCTCCTAAACCTGGAGATGTTGTTCAGCATCGATGGAGCCTTCACAGATGTGGAAGGTCCCCATGACATGGACTCTGATGATCCCCAGACCATCAGGGATACTGGATTTGGACTGTGAGCTGATAGCTATTCTGAAACTGTTGAAGTGTTCGCTCACACAGTCTCTCACAGAGTCCAGAACCTCCTCCAGCTTTCCTTCTGAGGAACTCCACCTCTCTGAAGGTCCGTCTTAAACCCGGTCATTTGACTAACCTGATCGAGATGTTCCACCAGCTGTTTTTGTAAACATTACACAACTTTGGACCTGTTTGGTTCTTCTATCAGAACTTTGGACCTGTTTGGTTCCTCTCTATCAGAACTTTGGACCTGTTTGGTTCCTCTCTATCAGAACTTTGGACCTGTTTGGTTCTTCTATCAGAACTTTGGACCTGTTTGGTTCTTCTATCAGAACTTTGGACCTGTTTGGTTCCTCTCTATCAGAACTTTGGACCTGTTTGGTTCTTCTATCAGAACTTTGGACCTGTTTGGTTCTTCTATCAGATCTTTGGACCTGTTTTGGTTCTTCTTCTGTAAGTTTGTGTTTTTTTGTTTCCTGGGTCAAAATCGTCAAAGTTGCTCTGAAATAAAACGAAGGATTGAATTCTCAACATTTCTTACTGAACAGCTTTTACACGTTTTTTTACCTTCTTAGAAAAAAAAAAAAAAAATCACATTAGCAGCAACATGTCGTCACAGAGTTTACAGGAGAGTCAGAGCGCCCCCTGCAGGACATGTTCCTCTCTTGTATCGGAGTCGAGCTGCTGCAGCTGCAGCTGCTGCTCCTTGTAGAACAGCACGTTGCGTTGGTGGTTCATGCTGTTGTTGTGCACCTTGATCACGTCCATCTTGAAGCACTTGGAGCCGCGGATCATCCCCTTGTTCCAGTGTTTCTCGTCCTGGTAGAGGCGGCAGACGTGGCACCACATGATGTTGAGGCTCGGAGAGTGCCGCAGGAACCAGAAGGTGCTCAGCCACTCCTTCCTAAAACGAGGTCGACTCTGCGTCGGGACTTTCATGGAGAGTTTGCGGTTCTTTGCTGAAAACTTTGGGCTGATCGGACGACCTCCTCCTCCTCCTCCTCCTCCTCCTCCTTCTTCTTCTTCTTCTTCTTCTTCTTCAAGAGGCCCCGCCCCTAAAAACACAGACGGACAACATACTTCAGATACTGGGCTAACATGAGCGTCCTCCAAACTGTCAGGAACCTTTTAAAAGAGAACATGAACTGATGAGAACCTCCACTAATGAGGTCCAAACTGAACCATGCAAACAGGATCCAGAACCACCAGAGACTTCTCTGGACCCGAGTCCATCGTTCAGAAAATCAGAGATATCATTTGTATAATAAATGGAACAGAGTGTAGATGGTTTAGGAGGAACAGCTGAGTTTTTCAGAGAAGACCTTCAGATGACCTTTGTGGACCTCTGGTTCTCTGTGCTTGTTTAGGTCTGGGTAGTGGACCTCTGAGGGACTCTAGCGGTCAGCTGATCACTGAGCAGATCTTCACAAACCTCATTCAGAAAATAAACATGTAGAAACTCAAACCTCTCCAGAACTCACAGTCAGGCACTTCCTCCTCTATCTGAGCTGGCTCTGGACTCTGTGGGACCTGGTCTGGTTGGAGGGGGGCTCTGTTGGACACAGACCGGATGTCCTCCTGTCCTCCTGAGAGCAGAGACAGCTCCTCCTTCAGCTTGGAGACCTTCTTCTGCAGCCGTACACAGTTCACGCAGTATGAAGACGAGTCCTTACTGGAGTCCTTCACGGGTGAAACTCTGATACTCGGACCCTCAGGATCCACATCAATGGGAGGCTGTGGGGTCTGCAGGGTCCTGGACCTGCTGATGTTCTCCAGAGATGAACGGAGAGACTCTCTGAAGAAGTCCTGCAGTAAAAACCAGAGCATGAGTTCACTCAGGGTCGTTTAATGATCAGGTTTAAAGGGTTAACGTGATTAAGGATCATCTCAGCGGCTGTTTTAACCCCACAAAGATGGTCTAGAAGTGAAGGGAGCTCTCACTCTGTCTCACTCTGTCTCACTCTGTCTGGGGAACAACTCTCAGAATATTTGGACGTTGTGATCGTGGTTCCTGACAGGAGAACGTTTAAGTTCCAACAACAACAAATAAATGAAGAAAACCGTAAAAGTGCAGCTGAAGCAGGTGAACGTAAACCAGCCCGGGGGTGAGGTCAGGGACTCAGCTGGACGCAGGACTCTGGGGTCAGACTAGTCCAACACGAAGCCGTCAAAGAGCAGACCGAGCCCAAAATAAAGAGCAGGCAGTCTGCATTTCAGTTTTTTAACTTTCTTTTTAATTAATCATTTTGGCACGGCTAAAACAAAGCAGACAATTATAATAATAATAATAATAATAATAATAATAATAATAATAATAATAATGATAATAATAAAAATGTTAATAATAATAATAATAATTATAATAATAATGATGATAATAATAATGATAATAATAAAAATGTTAATAATAATAATGATGATGATAATAATAATAATAATAATAATAATAATGATAATAATAAAAATGTTAATAATAATAATAATAATTATAATAATAATAATAATAATAATAATGATAATAATAAAAATGTTAATAATAATAATGATGATAATAATAATAATAATAATAATAAAAATGTTAATAATAATAATTATAATGATAATAATAATGATAAAAATAATAATAATAATAATAATAATAATAATAATAATAATAATGATAATAATAATAACAATAATAAAAATGTTAATAATAATAATAATAAAAAATGTTAATAATAATAATAATAATGACGATAATAATAATAATAATGATAATAATAATTATAATAATAAAAATTTTAATTATAATAATTATAATGATAATAATAATAAAAATTTTAATAATTATTATAATAATAATAATAAAAATTTTAATAATAATAATAATAATTATAATAATGACAATAATAATAATAATAATGATAAAAATGTTAATAATAATAATTATAATAATGATGATCATAATAATAATAATTATAATAATAATGATAATGATAATGATGATAATAACAATAATAATAATAATAATAATAATAGTAATAATTAAAATGTTAATAATAATAATTATAATAATAATAAAAATGATAATAATAATAATTATAATAATAATAATGATGATAATAATAATAATTATAATAATAATAATAACTATAATAATCATAATGATGATAACAATAATAATAATAATAATAAAAATGTTAATAATAATTATAATAATAATAAAATTATAATAATAATAATACTAATAATACTACTACTAATAATAATAATAACTATAATAATCATAATGATGATAATAATAATAATAATAATAATAATAATAATAATAATAATAATAAAACTATAAAAATGTTAATAATAATAATAATTATAATAATAATAAAAATGATAATAATAATAATACTAATAATACTACTACTACTACTAATAATAATAATAATAATAAAACGATAACAAAGGTCGTGAGTGTGGGGAGTTAAAGGATTAGGAATCTGCACATCAGTGGGAGATCTGCTTCGACCAGTTCTTATCACTGTCCACTCAGAACCAAAGAACCAGCTGAGGGAGGAACTCTTGACCAGAGAAGGACGAAGGATTGATACCAAGAAAACATTATTTAGGATCCAATTCAAGTTTAATACCAGGGAACTTCTCTGTCTGAGTTTGTATCAATATTTGAATAAACGTACATGTCCACATTAAATGAAAATATGTCCCTGGTTGATAAAGACACGTCTTGAATGCTGCAGAGGAGGAGTTTTCATATTTCCTACATATTTCAGGAGTCATATGCAGATTATTCCTTATTTTATCTAGTGTGTTTCCTGTGATTTTGTCTCAGTAAACTTTGTTCCAGGTCTGGTCTTCTAAGCAGACACCAAAGTCTTTTTACCGACTATTTTTATTCTTAAATAAAGTCTTATTGTTCATAAGAAACTGCTTATATACACGTGTCGTCACTCTCTTATTTTTGCAGCTTTCATTCTTATTCTCTGAAGAAGATTCAGCCTGTTAACGCGTCAGTCATGTGGAACAGAGTTGAAGTAACTCCTCGACTGTGAGAAAACACACATATCTCATCAGTTTAAGTTCTTAGACTTGACTTTTTCTCTTACTCTGAAGTCCGCCTCCTTCCCAGCATGCACTGCCTCCTGGTGCGTCCGGTTTGCAGGATGCTGCGTGCTGATTGGCTGATGTTTCAGCTCTGACAGCAGCAGAGCTCTGACTTCTCTCCAGGGACGACCCGCCGCTCTCGAAGGACCTGAGACCCCAGAGTAAGAGAAAAGCCCGGTCAGAGGTCGAACTCTGAACTCCGCTCCGATGTGAAGAAAGGCGACGTTTAATTCACGACATGGAAGTTCGGAAACTACCGACATTTAAGGAGATTACAACCCGAATCTGACAGCAGGAGCTTCATCTCTGCAGACCCTCTGAGGAAGAGGAGGAGCAGGTGTGATTCTTGTTCTTAAACATCAGCTGAGGACCACAGCGTGACCTTTGACCTTTGAGTCAGAGAAACTTTACCTCAGAGCGACCTCTGAGCCGACGCTTCTCATCCTTTTATCAGTGAAGAAACTTTAAAACGCTCACTCTCAGCCGCCTCTTCGTCAGTGTACTCACCTTCTTCAACTCCTTCTCCTTCTCCATCTCCTCCTCCTCCTCCCGTAGTTCTCCCCTCCAGAGGTCCAGAGTCGAAGCGGTTCTTCTTCCCAGTCTTCTCCCGCTCCTTTCTTTTATGCTTCTCTGGTCTTTTCCTCGACAGTTTGTCTCTGACGGACGGGAGACGGTGCTCAGGTCGTGTCTCGGCGTCTTCGTCGTGACCCAGCTCCAGTGAAGGGACCCAGTCTGGATCTGACTCCAGCATCTCGTAGGCTGGTTTACCTGCAGACAGGTGAAGAATCAACGAGACAGGACTGTTGGTAACTCTGTGTGAAGTCGACTTAAGGAGTTATTTAGACTCAGTTTATCCTTTAAAGGTCAATATGTCAAAATAAAGTTATTTTGTGTTTGCAGACACTGTGTTAAAACACAGAAAACTTATCAATACCTGCAGTTACTGGTTCTCACCACTATGATAATAATAATGCATCAGATTTCATAAAGCGCTTTATCAGAGACCCTCAAAGCGCTTTACATTGGATACATCATTCATTCGCTCACACAGTCACACTTTGGTGGTGGTGGAAACGTGGCTGCCATTCTGCGCCTACGGCCTCTCCGACCACCACCACACAACACTCACAATCATACACCAGTGGAGGACACACACTGGGAGCAAGGTGGGTTAAGTGTCTTGCCCAAGGACACAACGGACAGACTTGGATTAGGGGGGAATCGAACCGCCAACCTTCCGGTCATTGGACGACCGCTCTACCTCCTGAGCTACTGCCGCTATGAGGTCAGTCAAACGGGTTCTGATGGCTGTAGGTCAGAGTTTCCTCCTGACTCTCCTGGATCCTGTCCTGACGGTTCTTTCTTATTTCTATCATGACTCAGTATAAACCCAAAGAAGCAACATGGACGAATAAAACACGGATAACTGATGGAAATCTGAAACGGCCATCACACTGAAGCTTTGTCCCATATAAGGTATGAAACTCCCCGCTGTCTGTCCTCTCCGACAGGACTGTCAAAGAAGAACCAGCAACTTTACAAAACTCGCAAAATTCTCCAGAACATTCACAGATACACTCCTGACAGAAGAGAAAGGGAGGCCATCATCGCTGTCGTTCCATGTCCGGAACACCTCAGCTGACTCCTCTGGACGTGGAGGAGCAGCGGTTCTCCTCTGAGCTCCTCCCGAGTGTCCGAGCTCCTTACCCTATCTCTAAGGCTGAGCCCGGACACCCTGAGGAGGAAACCCATTTCAGCCGCTTGTATCTGCGATCTTGTTCTTTCGGTCATTACCCAAAGTTCATGACCATAGGTGAGGATCGGCACGTAGATCGACCGGTAAATCCAGAGTCTCTCCTTACGGCTCAGCTCTTTCTTCACCACCACTGATCGGTTAAACGTCCGCATCACTGCTGACGCCGCTCCGATCCGCCTGTCGATCTCCCGCTCCATCCTACCCTCACTCATGAACAAGATCCCGAGATACTTGAACTCCTCCACTTGAGTCAGGACCGCTCCTCCGACCTGGAGAAGGTGATCTACCTTTTTCTGACTGAGGACCATGACCTCGGACTTGGAGGTTCTGTTTCACATCCCAACCACGAAACAAGGAATACTTCACATTGTGTTGCACTGCTAACCACGACAAACATCAGCGGACCTCTGGGAAAACGCGAGGGCGACAACGACAACGACACCAAATACCGATCAAAACTAGACGTTGAAAATGAACTGAGAGCGTCGGTCTCACAGCTGGACCAAGACTGGGGAGGATCTGTGGCTCTGAACGAGCGCGGTGTAGCCACTGACTTATTTTAGAAAATATTTTAAAGACGTTACTGAAGTTTTCAAATCGTTCATCCTCAGAAATGCAGAATTTACAAAGATGGTTCAAAGATATTTCTGTTGTTATTTCTGCTCAAGTTTCATTGAAGTAAACTGGATAAACAAAAGCAGTTTGTGACAGATGGTGTTTTTTTTTATACATTGACATATTTCTCATTTACATGTTGACGTGAACAGTCAGGCGTAGACACTGAGTTCACCTGTTACTGAGAGAAACTAAAGGAAGGGTCCAACATGACGAAGAAAAGGAAACTTCTATAACACGTTCACTGAACCATCATTCGGGCTTCAACCTCTTCATTCGGATGTTTCTGTGTGTAGTTCAGGTGCTGCTGTGAGAGTCGGTAAAAATGAGTCTTGTATCATGAAGACTGACCGGAGTGGAAGTGTCTGGAGCACACCCTCTTGGATTTGTGGATGGAGCTGAAGGACATGTTGCCGACAGCAGACACCCAGGCGGCCCTCCTCCTCATCGTCAGCGCCGACACTTCGCTGCCTTCGTGCGCCCTCCAGGCGGGGAAACAGTAGAAACTCAGCCCGTTGTTCAGTTTCCTCCCGAGGTCGTCGTGAGAGCGCCGGCCGCAGTTTTTGACGCAGCAGCAGTTTCCCGGCATTATCACCTAAAGAGGGACAGAGAAAGACCGAGAATGAACATGACGATCAAGTCCAGGAAGAAACGTTTGACTGTTTCTGCACCGTCTCCGACATAAACTACGGTCTGTGGTCTCCGTGTGCAGAAAGTTCAGTCAGTATTTACTGAACACCGTCACAAATATTTCCAAAACCAGTGAGTTGAAACTGGGTGAAAATAATGTGATAAAAAAGCACTTGGAAGTTTAAAGAAAAGCGAACGATGACATGAAAAAGTCCCTGAAAACACAGATAACAGATACTGAAGTGACATTAACCAAGACTGATTGTTTCTATTTCACCAAAAAGGTCAATAAAATTCAGTTTAAATGAATAAACAATAATTATCCTGCTGCTGAAATGCTAGAAGCTTTAATTCTGAAGATAACCCATGTGTTTGCGTTTTTTTGTATGACAGAACATGAAACCATTGAACACTTATTCTTGTCTTTGAATTTCCCTCTGGGATTAATAAAGTACCTTCTTACCTACATACGATGTTTAACGATGGTTAAATATATCAATGATTCTTTAACAACTTCAACTATTGATCTGTATGGATGGTCTGTCAAAAAAGAGCTGCAAAATTGGAAATATGGATTAAACACAATTTTCCCACATTCTTGACTATTTATCAAACCTTCCTAACTCTTTAATTTACCAGATTTTCATGGTTTATTAAGGATATTTTGAATAACGGTACTTAAGTTTACATTATTATCCTAGAGGAAATCTGCAGACCTCATTCTAGTGGGACAGTAATAATACAAATATGAGATGATCTCCTGGGCCAGATTTGGACCCCAGGCCGTGAGTTTGACACCTGGTGGATACACGGCAGAATTACAGCAGACCTGCCAACATTTAGGTATAGATTTTTGTGGTTGTTTTGAGGTTCCCTTGTATCAGCTCATTATGAGAGTATTTGTAATTAACTAACTCATCCAAATAAGTCAAAGTAAAGCTGCAAACCTTTTTGTTTTAACAAAAACAAATAATAATAAAAAATAACAACTATGATATAAACTTGTTTAGTCCACTAATATTAAAGTCCTCCTCTGTTCTCCATGATCTCTCTCCTGTATGAGGCTCTCTGAACATCTGTGTGTGAAATACTGTTTTAACTTTATTAAAGCTCTATTTTAACTTTATTAGAGCTCTATTTTAACTTTATTAGAGCTCTATTTTAATATATTAAAGCTCTATTTTAACTTAATTAGAGCTCTATTTTAACTTTATTAAAGCTCTATTTTAACTTCATTAGAGTTCCATTTTAACTTTATTAGAGCTCTATTTTAATTTTATTAAAGCCCTATTTTAACTTTATTAAGGCTCTATTTTAACTTTATTAGAGCTCTATTTTAACTATATTAAAGCTCTATTTTAACTTTATTAGAGCTCTATTTTAATATATTAAAGCTCTATTTTAACTTCATTAGAGCTCTATTTTAACTTTATTAAAGCTCTATTTTAACTTTATTAGAGCTCTATTTTAACTTTATTAGAGCTCTATTTTAACTTTATTAAGTCTCTATTTTAACTTTATTAGAGCTCTATTTTAATTTTATTAGAGCTCTATTCTAACTTTATTAGAGCTCTATTTTAATATATTAAAGCTCTATTTTAACTTTATTAGAGCTCTATTTTAACTTTATTAAAGCTCTATTTTAACTTCATTAGAGCTCTATTTTAACTTTATTAAGGCTCTATTTTAACTTTATTGGAGCTCTATTTTAACTTTATTAGAGCTCTATTTTAACATTATTAAAGCTCTATTTTAACTTTATGAGAGCTCTGTTTTAATACAATTACAGCCCTGTTTTAACAACTTTGGAGCCGTTTTAACTATATTAAAGCTCGGTTTTAAGGATATTAAAGCTCCAATTAAACAACATCTAAGCTCTGTTTTAACAATATAGAACTTTTTTTTTACAATTTCAGAGCTCTTTTTTAAAAAATATTAGAGCTCTGTTTTAACAATATTTGCGCTCTGTTTTAATGATATTAGAGGTCTGTTTTAACAATAATGAAATACAGCACTCTTTTATCTGAGGCTGCCCTGAACGCATCACTCCGAGACGCTGAAAGATTATCAACGTAAACATTAGATCTTGTGTTTGTTTCCCTTTTATTAGAGTGTTCATTTCACTACGAACGCTGTTTAAATAAAGTTTACAGCTTCAACCTGAATCATCCGAAACTGTTAATCTTTGAAACACGACAATCTTTGGACGAATATAGAGATCGGATTCATGAGTGAAGGTGGACCATCAAACTACGGGAGAAGGTCTGAAATACGGGGGAAAAGACGGGAGTGTCGGCAGGTCTGATGGTAATAATCCTCAGGTTAACTCAATCATGTGGATTAAACTAGGAAATGTCTGTCCGCCGGGTGGAATCTAGACTTACAGTCAGATACAGAGGTGAATGAACTATATCTGATGTATTACCTTCATATTCTGAGGACCTCCTTTGTCTGGATTTGGAGAACACTGCAAACCTTCAGACTGCTGTGGGAACTGATCCCGTGACTCCGTGGTCGTGATTTCAGAGGTTACTCCCTCAGGTTCTGGTTGTTGACATCCTCGCAGGTGGAAATCAAACGCCTGCTGCTCCTGTCGTTTCCTCGGGTGGACTGTACTCAGTTTTTTCTCGGGGCTTTCTGTCTGTCTGGGTGAGAAGATTGTGGGCATGGCGCTTGGCTTTAGTCTCCGTTTGAAACCATCCGAACCCGTGAACTCTCTCCAAAGTCTGTGTCGGTTAAAGATCAGAAAACAGTCCGGGGTGAAGTGGCGAGAACATAACCGCGGGTCCTGTGGAAGTTCTGAACGTCCACAAGCAATTTTCCACTCCAGTCTTCTGTCCCTGTCAGTGGGAAAACAGTGTAGACTCACATCGCTCCCTCTGTTTCCCTTTGACTGAAAACTACAGCCTGAAGCAGCGCAGTGAGGCATCAGTGCGGAATATTAGTGAAGACCGGAAGTAAACAAAGCCACAGCTAACAGCAACTCAGCATGGCGCAACCAGTACATGTCACCAACCCAGCATGCATTGCGCTAGCAAAACAATGGGTACGGTCGTAGGTTACATAGATATCCATAAGAAAGTCTAGATGACTCGCTGAGGTGGAGTCACCGGCGTTCCTACACGGCGGCCATCTTACTCCAGTATACCATTCTGGTTCTCTCTAATGGGAGGTTAGTAATCTGATCAAAAATCCTCTAAACTCGCTGAAATCTTGACAGATTTACAAATGGTTTAGTTGATTACAGACCTTAATAACGTGGCTGTGAGTCGGGATGTTTGGACACATTAAAATGACAGATTTGAGAAAAAAAAGATATACCGGTGAATCAGATGTCGTAACAACACGCAGTCTGATTGGTCAGAAGTGGACACACAGTCTGTGAAACTTTAGAAAAATCTACTGTGAAACAAAAATAATAAATGCTGCAATATCGCAGGACGGGGAAACATCGCTGATGTGAACGCTTGTATTGACAGGATACGGGTTTGAAAAAAAATATCGACGTCTGAAATAGTCTCACGAAAAAAATGCTCCCGGTGTGAAAGGACCTTTGATTGTGAAGCACAGTTATTTCATGGCTATTTGCGTGCGCAGTGGTTAACTTTGAGTCGCTTAGCACGAGTTATCAAGGCTGAGACCACAGCTGAGATTTTAATTTCTTCTATAACAGTCTATTTTTTTCTTTTAAGTGTCAGTCTTTGTGGATGGTCTTGTGTGCCCTATGTTCCATGCCAGCCACCCTCAGACACATTCTCACAGGGTGTAAAACCAGTCTCACCCAAGGACGGTATACATGGCGTCACAACCAGGTCCTAAAAGTCCTTGCATCCACTCTAGAGGACAAACGAGCTGCCACCAACTCCCTACCACCACCAGCATCCAACCAACAACCGGCAACTACCTTTGTCCGTGAGGGGGCTAAGGTAGCCAGAAGCTGCTCCACACCATCTGAGCGAGGCCAGCTACGCCTAGCCTGTGACTGGAGGATGATGGCTGATATTGGCCGACAGCTGGTTTTTCCTCCAGAAATTGCTACAACCACCTTGAGACCTGACCTGGCGCTGTGGTCCCCTTCCCTAAAGAAGGTGTACATCATCAAGCTCACAGTACCCTGGGAGGACGCAGTGGACGAGCCGTATGAGCAAAAACACCTACGCTACGCCGATCTCGCTGCTGAAGCACAACACCGTGGCTGGAGCGCTGAAGTCCGCCCAGTGGAGGTGGGATGTAGAGGATTTGTGGCAAGATCTACCACCAGACTGTTCGCTGACCTGGGAGTCAGAGGCCAGAACCAGCGCTCAGCCATCAAAGCTACATCGGAGGCAGCTGAAAGAAGCAACCAGTGGCTTTTCATGAAGCGGAAGGACCCCTGTTGGGCCCCGAAGTAGCAAGCCCTCAGGTATGCGGTCAGCTTCGGCTTGACTCAGGGAGTAGGACGCCCCTGCCTTGCATAGTCCCACGAGAGAAGGTACCATCTATCTCGTGACGAGTCTGGACTCACACAAGCACAGGTCTGATCAGCCTGTAGCTGGCCACCTTGGGGAGGGTGTATAGTGTGGAGGCCGAAACATCCCAGGAACCAAGGCTACACTACTGATGATGCGTATCCAGCTCCCATTCTCCATCATTCATCACCAAGACGACAAGAAGATGTTCTACCATTCATCACTCTTAAGTATGTGCTCGCACAAAGGAATTAACATCTTATCCTGTGTTTGATAAACTTATCAGCTGTCTAACTTGGCTAACAGACTCGCTGTGAGTGAGACCAAGTACATATTACAAAGTTGACCCAGTAATTTTACATCAGTTAAAGAGGCAGAAATGCTCTTTAGTTTCAACAAAACTGAAGTTGTTCATGATTTCCAAACTATTTGGTTTGTTAAAAACATCTAAAATGGAAACATGAGGCAGAAATTTAGATTGAAAATAAATATTTATACATGTTATTGTTGTATGTTATTATACTTATCCCTGTAATAGAAATATTACTAATATAACAAACATGTAATGATTAAATGTTTAATATATAAATGATTTCATATAAAGGGTTCAGTTCTGGGTTACATCAGGGGTCAGTTCTGTGGTACATCAGGGTTCAGTTCTGGGTTACCTCAGGGTGCAGTCCTGGGGTACATCAGGGGTCAGTTCTGGGGTACCTCAGGTACATCAGGGGTCAGTTCTGGGGTACATCTGGGTTCAGATCTGGGGGACCTCAGGGTTCGGTTCAGGGGTACATCAGGGGTCAGTTCTGCGTTACATCAGGGGTCAGTTCTGGGGTACCTCAGGGTTCAGTTCTGGGTTACATCAGGGGTCAGTTCTGGGGTACCTGTACCAGGCGATGACCCATGTCCAAGCTAGGGAAACTTGATGCAAAATATTTTGTCCATCATAAGGAGTCTGTTTGAGCTACCCTTAGTCTGATCCCTCCTCCAGGACCTGTTTGCTATGGGAGACCCTACCAGAGGCATAAAGCCCCCTGGCAACATAGCTCCTGGGATCATTGGGACACACAAACCCCTCCACCACGGTAAGGTGGTAGCTCGAGGAGGGGACTTTTTTTTTTTTAAATTTTTTTTTTTTTTTTTTTTTGGTAAAAAAAAAAAAAAAATCTGGGCGAACCGGAGCCTCCCGGAGTAAACCCAATACGACAGGGGGCGCTTTGGGGGTGATACGTATGGGGTGTGTGGAGCTGGGTGTATTTTACGGGTAGGTGACAATGTTAGCGTGTGTGCTGAAGTTTAGCATGTTGGGTTTAAGCTGCAGAAGCTTGTTGTTGTCTTCCAGCTCTTTGATCCTCAGCTCCGTCTGTTGGCCTCTGAACGCGTTGAACTCATGCTTGCTATCCAGCAGATCCTTGGTCAACCTCCTGTTCTCTTTCTGTTCCTGTTGGAGCCACGTCCGAGCGTACTGCAGCTTAGCTCCATGCTCCTGGCTGGAGAATTTTTCTTTTTGGAGTTCAAGAGCAGCTTTGTCTATCTTCAGCTGCAGCTCAAAGCTCTTCTTCTTCTCCTCTTGGAGTTGGTCTTTGAGTGCTTCCAGTTTGATGTTATTCGCGATCTCTTTAGCCTTGAGCTCATCTGTCATGTACTGCAGTTTGCTGTTCTCCATCCTGCTGTCAAAGCACTTGCTGCTCAGTTCCTCTTCGCGCTCAGAGAGACTGCGGTATTTTGACCACATGTGGTCATAGTCTCTCCTACTTGCCACTAACTGAGTTCTGAGGTTTGTCAGGTCTCTGGAGTCCTCTCTCAGTTGGATATTAGAGGCGTCCAGAGATTTGGCCGCGGCCTGCTTTTCACTTTGAAGAGCAGATTGCAGATGTTTCTCAGCAGCCAGGCTCTTCTCCAAAGCCAGCTCCTTGTCAGAAAGCTCCTTCTTCAAAACCTGAATCTCTCTGTCAGCTCTAATGAAGCGATCCCTCTCCTCTTCCAGTTTGCTGCTCCATTCTTCGTCACTCCTCTCCTTCTTGGCCACCTTGAGCTCAGCCTGCAACCTGCTGATCTCAGAGGCCATTTGGAGCTTTTGAAGAGCCATCTGAGTCTGGTGAAGCTCATCCTTCAGACTTTGGTTCTTAGAAGCCAACTCTTTATTCTGGCTGGTCAGGTGCTCCAGTTTTTCCTCCTGCTTGGGATCACAAACCGCTTGGTCCATCTGCAGAGATCTGGTTTTGTCTCTTTCCTCTCTGAGGTCTGAGGCCAGCCGATCAGGTTTGTCCCTCACCAAGGAAACGATTTGGTCTTTCTCCTTAATTGCATTTTGCAGATTTTCCAACATTATCTGCAGAGATGCAATTCTGTCCCTCAGCGCTCGGATCTCAGCTCTGCTCTCAGCTCTGCTCTCCTTTAACTCCTCCTTCTGAATGTGACTCTCCTTCAGTTCCCTCTCCAGTTTCTCCACCTTCATGTTGTGTCCTTCGACCTCTTTTGTCATCTCAGACACCTTTTCATCCTTCTCTTGATTGGTCTGCAACAAGGCCTTCACTTCGGCTCTGAGGCTTTCCAACTCCACATCTTTCTTCTCCCCCATCTCCTGCTGCTCAGAAAGTCTGTCCCTCAGCGCTCGGATCTCAGCTCTGCTCTCCTTTAACTCCTCCTTCTGAATGTGACTCTCCTTCAGTTCCCTCTCCAGTTTCTCCTCCATCATGTTGTGTCCTTCAGCCTCTTTTGTCATCTCAGACACCTTCTCATCCTTCTCTTGATTGGTCTGCAACAAGGCCTTCACTTCGGCTCTGAGGCTTTCCAACTCCACATCTTTCTTCTCCAACTCCACATCTTTCTTCTCCAACTCCACATCTTTCTTCTCCAACTCCACATCTTTCTTCTCCCCCATCTCCTGCTGCTCAGAAAGTCTGTCCCTCAGTGCTCGGATCTCAGCTCTGCTCTCAGCTCTGCTCTCCTTTAACTTCTCCTGCTGAATGTGACTCTCCTTCAGTTCCCTCTCAAGTTTCTCCACCTTCATGTTGTGTCCTTCGACCTCTTTTGTCATCTCAGACACCTTTTCATCCTTCTCTTGTTTGGTCTGCAACAAGGCCTTCACTTCAGCTCTGAGGCTTTCCAACTCCACATCTTTCTTCTCCCCCATCTCCTGCTGCTCAGAAAGTCTGTCCCTCAGCGCTTGGATCTCAGCTCTGCTCTCAGCTCTGCTCTCCTTTAACTCCTCCTTCTGAATGTGACTCTTCTTCAGTTCCCTCTTCAGTTTCTCCACCTTCATGTTGTGTCCTTCAGCCTCTTTTGTCATCTCAGACACCTTTTCATCCCTCTCTTGATTGGTCTGCAACAAGGCCTTCACTTTGGCCCTGAGGCTTTCCAACTCCACATCTTTCTTCTCCAACTCCACATCTTTCTTCTCCCCCTCCTCCTGCTGCTCAGAAAGTCTGTCCCTCAGCGCTTGGATCTCAGTTCTGCTCTCCTTTAACTCCTCCTGCTGAGTCTGAATATGGAGCGACATGGAACTAATTTGCTCTTGATCGCCCTCAATGACACTCAATGTTTCAGCGAGGGTGGCTACCACCTCCTTTTTCTCAGCCTCTACTTTTTTGTTTTCTTCACGCATGGATTCAAATTCTTCCCTGAGAGTTTTGATCAGCTGATCGTTTTCTGCACCGCCCAAACTGGAAGTGCTCCGATCCAGCTCTGGTTCATACAGTTCCTGGTCCTTGAGGTATTCCTCCTCTTCCTCCTCTTCCTCCTCTTCCGGGATAACATCAGGACCGGTACTTCTCTGATCCAGCTCTGGTTCATACAGTTCCCGGTCCTTGAGGTATTCCTCCTCTTCCTCCTCTTCCTTCTCTTCCTCCTCTTCCTCCTCTTCCGGGATAACTTCAGAACCGGTACTTCTCCGATCCAGCTCTGGTTCATACGGTTCCCGGTCCTTGAGGTAATCCTCCTCTTCCTCCTCTTCCGGGATAACTTCAGAACCGGTACTTCTCCGATCCAGCTCTGGTTCATACGGTTCCCGGTCCTTGAGGTAATCCTCCTCTTCCTCCTCTTCCGGGATAACATCAGAACCGGTACTTCTCTGATCCAGCTCTGGTTCATACGGTTCCCGGTCCTTGAGGTATTCCTCCTCTTCCTCCTCTTCCTTCTCTTCCTCCTCTTCCTCCTCTTCCGGGATAACTTCAGAACCGGTACTTCTCCGATCCAGCTCTGGTTCATACGGGTCCCAGTCCTCGGGGTATTCCTCCTCTTCCTCCTCTTCCGGGATAACTTCAGAACCGGTACTTCTCTGATCCAGCTCTGGTTCATACAGGTCCATGTCCTCATCCTCAGATACCTCCTGTGCTGCCTCAGAGCTCTGTTCATCCACTTCTGGGAACACTTCAGATGGATCAGTTCTTAAACCGGAAATGCCCTGATCCAGCCCTGGTCCGTACAGGTCCATGCTCGACATATCAGCCTTGAAGGATTCAGATACCTCCGGTGCTGACTCAGAGCTCCGTTTGTCCACTTCTTTGTCAGTTTTCCCCAGCAGGAAATCATGGCCCGTCTCTTTATGGGAGGACTTCTTGGATACTGTTAACGGTGGAAGAATACCACATCTTTTCAGGGCCTGAGCCAGCTGCAGAGCAGCCGGGCATAGAGCCCTATTATTTAATAGTTTGTTGTCTTCAAGCCTGTTCATCTTCTTATCTGCAGAAAAAGCTCGTTGTAAATCAGAAATAGCTAAGCCTGGCTTAAACCTAATTCACTAAACTAGCTCTTGGTCACTGTGAGTGCTGAGAGTTCTTTAGAATGATGCCTGAGCAATGGTCCTAAAATAAACTTCAAAGGCATCTACATCATCAGTGATGTCATCAGAGTTGCCTTTGATGACATCACTGATGACGTCACAGTTGACCACGCCCCCTTTTGGGTGAAAGCTGTCCTTCACCAATTACATCAGAATGTCACAGTTGTGTCCTTGTGACATCACAGATTCCATTAGAATGTCACAGTTGACCACGCCCCCTTCTGGGTGAAAGCTGTCAATCAAAATGAGTGGCAGTAAATGGGAATTCTGTCTCTGGCAGCTCAATAGTCTAAAATAAGAAAACTGTATTAACTATTGAGAGCGGTTACATCAAGTCTTAGAAAGAGTTTTGTTCAAACAATATGCAGTACCTGTTTTAAACCAGGATACCTTACAGTAAATGATGGAAAAATGCTGTGAGTCATTCCCTGTCCAGGAGTCTATCTGTTATTTGACTGAGGAAAGAGAGGAGCAGACTTACTGCCAGACTTTGCTCTTCTTCTTTGTCCGGATGTATTTGTCCTTTTAATTCATTTTCTTAAAAATACATCTAAAACACTTTGCTCTCAAAGATAACAGTTATTTTTAGATTTTACTGTACATGTTTCTTTTCTTTTTTGATAGGAATCCAAATATTCCATTTTTAATTTTTAGACAGCTGGACAGTTACCCAGAGTCCCCGAGGAGACGTTTTAAACACACAGATCTCTTTCCGCCTACATTCACAGACATTCAATTATTGGCTCAAGTTTGTCATTTGTTCGGACCAGTGAATTGTAATGTGGGCATTATACCTCAGCCATCTCACAGTATTAGTATCAGCATTTCAGCTGAATAACGGACTACTGCTTGACTACCTTACTACTTCGAGATGAACCTTCGCCATGGCTCATGACTGGAGTAAATTCAACCCAATGAAAGTACATTGTGCTGTATTCTTTTACTAAGTCAATCATGGCACAATCATTTAGCATTTTTTGGTTTATTCAAAGAAAAATGCTGCTACATCAGGAAGGTTTGACATTTGACTGTAATGCTGTTGGAGACTCCACATGATCTAAAAACAGATTGTCACAGAAACACTCTAAGCATGTCATCTCTCCTCCTCCTTCAGCTGTCCCAGAATTCTCCTTTGACTCGGGCAGCGCTGTGAGATATCAACTCGGAGGAGGCGGCAGCTCTCGCCACACTCACATCCAGCTGCGTCTGAGGACCAGAGCCTCCTCTGGCACCTTGCTCTCCGTGATGTCCCGGGAGGCCAATGAGTACATCATCCTGAAGGTCAGTAACTCAACGTTTTCCTGTGCACATAGGTGGCAGCACAAATGAAACAGACACAAAGCATTATGGGAAGACTGTTTGAAAATATGTTGACATTTGCTTCACTTTCAGATCGCAGACGGTCACCTTTTCTGTCCGGTCCAACCTTGGTGATGGAGCCAACGCTCTGCGGCTCCCTGGTCAGTGGGTGGATACTGGGCAGCGGGTCCAGGTCAGCCTCAGTCGCCATGACAACCTGTCCACTACCGCTGGAGCAGGGCGGAGGCTCTCGGGAGGTCCAGGCCCGACTAGGAAGCCGGAGAGAGATCGTAGTTCACCCCGCCAGCGTGATGGTCGGTAACGTGTCGAAGAGTGGAGAGAAGACGACTTTCAAGGTGGGATTCAGATCTGATACAAACTTTCCCGCGCTCCTGTTTTCAGAGATTTTTACAACATGAACCTCTTTTGTGCATATTTTTAGAGTTGAAGGAGTGATGTTGGCAGTGGCGCGCACAGACATTTTGCGGGGCAGGTGCTCAGTGAAAAATAAGGGCACTTTGTGGGGCATGTAGAACTGACGGCTGCCTTATTATAGCAGTGTGAGTTTAAAAAATAAATCAACATTACAGGCACATGTTGAATGTAAGTACATATTTATTTATGTCAGTATCTTTATAAAATGACTTTGTTTCACACGATAGCACTGATCAGTCAATCACTATAGTTGTATGTCTTCAGAATGAACGCACATGGAGAGGTTTTAAGCAAGTTACAAGCTACAATGATAGATTATCTATCACTAACGTGGATTTGGACGGAGCTCTATTTTAATATATTAAAGCTCTATTTTAACTTCATTAGAGCTCTATTAACTTTATTAGAGCTCTATTTTAACTTTATTAGAGCTCTATTTTAACTTTATTAAAGCTCTATTTTAACTTTATTAAGGCTCTATTTTAACTTTATTAGAGCTCTATTTTAACTTTATTAAAGCTCTATTTTAACTTTATTAGAGCTCTATTTTAATATATTAAAGCTCTATTTTAACTTCATTAGAGCTCTATTTTAACTTTATTAAAGCTCTATTTTAACTTCATTAGAGCTCTATTTTAACTTTATTAGAGCTCTATTTTAACTTTATTAAGTCTCTATTTTAACTTTATTAGAGCACATGTTGAATGTAAGTACATATTTATTTATGTCAGTATCTTTATAAAATGACTTTGTTTCACACGATAGCACTGATCAGTCAATCACTATAGTTGTATGTCTTCAGAATGAACGCACATGGAGAGGTTTTAAGCAAGTTACAAGCTACAATGATAGATTATCTATCACTACGGTGGATTTGGACGGAGCTGAAAGTTTGTTTTCATTTGAATATGTTTTATTTTAAAATGTCATCTCTTTCACATACAGCTGCTACATCATGCCTTTCTTGTTCTCCCTCATTTTGGTCATCAGACAGCACTTCTGATTCTGTAACTGTGCATGGACTTGGTGCTGCTATGGACTCTGCTTTATCTGTCCATGAACCTGGAGATTCATCTATCTCAAATTCTTTGCTGGTCGTTGGTCGACTGCTTCCCTGCTGTAGCTGCCGAGAATAGAATAATAATAGTTTTAGTAATAGTTTTAGTAATAGCCTATTAAGGTAAATACAAGATTATTGCAAGCCTTGTAACATAGAAATAACTTGGTTGGTACAAAATAATCTCATTAGCTAAAATAGCGTAAGGCCTATTTTAGTCCGGCCAAACCACTGTGTGTAGTTCAAATAAAATGTGGACAGCTTCTAAGATATTTCAGTAAAATCAGAGGAACAGTTCAACTTCAAAATCTGAGCTTTAAAATGCTCTAAACAGTGAACATGACTCTTGACTCTGACCTTTCATCTGCATCTTCATCATCCTCCTTGCTGCTGGTGGATTCTTTTATCCAGGAGAGTAGAGAGCTGCTCCCCTGGGCCGCCTGCTGTAGCTCCCCTTTCTTTCTCCCTTCTTCTCCTCTCCTTACTGCAAGTGTTAATTATGTGGCCTAATGTAAACCTACACAATAGCCTACTACCTAAATATTTATCTTAAGTAAGTATACTGATAGATTCACATGCTGTAGGATACCAATGACAAACTCTACCGTAGGTCATCATCATCACGTCATATCTATCATTGATTTAGGGTAGCGTCTAGCTTGTTAAGCGGGTGAACAGTCGGCTTCTTTATGCCAAGCTGTGTGGCGTTGAGACAGGCTACTTCACAACAGAGACAAATAAATGCAAGTTACAGCTCGGCAACTGAGGCGTAGGGGGAAAACAACACACTCAACTCCATTCATGTATGTGTTACCTGGCTGGTGGGCAGGGGAGGAGCCGAGGAGGTGTGTTTGGGCTGCAGCTGTGCACTGTCGCGCCTCCATTTGTGTCCACTCTGCGCGTTCACGTTGACAGAGGTGTGTGCGGGTAGGATGGGGGTGGAGGGAATATTAATTGGGGCATTATTATCACACGCTTTTAATCGATGAGCACTTGTAGATAATCATGTCAGCATGGGCCACAAAAGAAAAAAAAAGGGGGTGGGCACCTGTTTGGTCCAGAGGGCAAAGGGCAGGTGCTTTAGAGAAACGTAGTGTCTACCTGTGCACGCCACTGCTCTGAATTGACAATACAAGAACCCTACAATGTAAAATGAGACCATGAGCACCGGGATAAAAATATAAAATAGGTAAGAAAGTAGAGTAGAAAGCAGGAAACAGGATAGTAAATATAAAAAAAGATGATAATAAAAACAAAATAGAATAGAATAGAATAGAATATTCCTTTATTGATCCCCCATGGGGGAATTTTCTTTGTCACAGCAGCATCACAGACAAAGTGCAAAAATGCAGTTATAAAAATAAAGATCCTAATATCAAGAACTTAAATAAATGAAATAATTAAGAAAAAATTTAGAAAAGGGGAGAAGAAAATAAAACTATCGACAATATACACAATTTAAGTACCAGAAACAAGTGGTGGTTTGAGTCCAGTTTTAGTGCAGGTCGTTGTAAAGTCTTATTGCAGAGGGGAGGAATGACCTGCGGTAGCGCTCCGTCTTGTAAGGTGGGAGTCTCAGTCTGCTGCTGAAGGAGCTGCTTAAAGCCCCCACAGTCTGGTGCAGTGGGTGAGAGGGATTGTCCATGATGGATACAAGCTTTGCTAACATCCTCCTCTCACCCACCTCCTCCAGGGAGTCCAAAGAACAGTCCAGGACAGAACCGGCCCTCCTGACCAGTCTGTTCAGTCTCTTCCTGTCCCTCTTGGTGCTCCCTGCCCCCCAGCAGACCACTGCATAGAAAAGTGCAGATGCTACCACAGAGTCATAGAAGTCCTGAGCAGAGTCCTGCACACTCCAAAGGACCTCAGTCTCCTCAGCAGGTGGAGACGACTTTGGCCCTTCTTGTACAGAACGTCTGTGTTTGTTGACCAGTCCAGTTTGTTGTTGAGGCGGACACCCAGGAATCTGTAGGACTCCACCATCTCGATGTCCAGACCCTGGATGTTCACTGGAACAGTCTGAGGTGTCCTCCTCCTGCGGAAATCCACAACCATCTCCTTTGTCTTAAAATAATAATGACGGTAATAGTAATGATAAAATGAAATAAAAAAAATGAACAGGAAAAAACAATAAAACCAATAAAAGGCCTAAAAGGTTAAATAGGAAAAGATTATCAGTAAAACAAAGACTAAAAAGACAAAGTTGAAACAAGATAAAAGAGATAAAAGAAAAATGAGAAAAGACGGCATCACATAACAGCAAATCTGGAAAAATGAGTTTTAAATTTGACTTAAACATTTGATAACTATTAAAACAAACCTTTAAAAAATTAGAGCAAATGAAATGAGATCAAAGGTAATCGGGTCAGTTTAAAGAGTTTCTAGTTAAGACAGCTGTAGTTTTTAGGACATGTCAGGACTAATATTTCATCTTCAGGGTCTGTGATTCTGAGTTTAGTTTTTTCTTTATTTTCTTTAAAAGCTCCAAAGTTTGAGAAACTCCTCACACTCTTGTGAGTGTTTACAACCAAACCCCGCCCCTCCCGCCCGGGCTGCCAGTCACGTGTTAGAGGGCAGAGCGGGGTGTTGTTATCAAACGCACCCCCCCTCTCACAGCAGAGGAAACGGGATGCAGGCTAGTAACGGAGACGGTAACGGAGACGGTACCGGTCCCTGTTCGCCGTTTTCTTCCCTCCGGTGACGGTGACATAGAGTCGGGTCATCCAGCTGAAGTCGGTACAAACCCGGGCTGACAGGAAATGGAGTTTGTTTGTGGCGGGAAAGACGCTCTCGGTCTGTTTGATGTGTAGGTTAGCCTCTGAAGCTAACTAGCTTTAGCTTCGGAGCCCACCCGCCGCTCGCTGACAGAACCGTTAAACCCGAACCGGAGCCGAACCTGTCAGGATGGACGGAGAGGAGCTGCTGTAGGAGAACCGGAGCCGGTAAATGTGCAGGATGCGCTAACGGAGGCAGTTAACATCAGGCCAGAATACCAGCACACCTCTACCCCTCCTTGTTTCCTTCCTTCCTTCCTTCCTTCCTCCCTATCTACCCCCAGCACTACAAACCCTTCAATGATCACAATGGAGTCCGCCCTGAACCCCCTGCCTCAGTTCACAGAGAACTCCTACAAGAGTAAGTAGACCGCCACCACCTACAGTGTGTGATCAGCTGTTCACCTGTAAGGGCTGACCTCTGACCTTTGTCCACCTGACAGTGACGGAGGAGGACGTGAAGAGGCTGATCGAGTTCAGGGCGTCGAACGAGGCGCTGTTCACGGGGAAGAGGAACTCGGCAAAGATCGCGTGGAGGTGAGTCGCTGGACGGTTCGTCGTCTTAATGTGAAGACAAAACAGTTAGAGCTCCCCCTGCTGACCGCCGACTGCAGAGCCCGCCCCCTCCATGTGAACAGATGGGCTCTAAAACCTCAAACCACACAGATAAACGTCAGTGTAGGACATTATACTGTCCTGAGTAATGTCCGAGTGTTCAGAGTCTGACAAACTTAGTCTGAGGGGGAAACAGGAGGATATAAAAGAGGGTCAACACCATGATTGACAGCTCTGTTGACCAATGAGTAGAGGAGTGTATCATGAGGATCATTTCCATAACAAGAGATTCTGAAGTAGGAAATTGGGAGTAACCCATGTTGTGCATATTTAAACACTCTCAGTGGTCCTGGCTTGAGCATTCTGACCCCCGACCTCCCCCTTCATCCTGATCGTCTCCTAAAAGGTCGTATCCTCCGATCGTAGCTGATCGTAAACATTCAAGTTAACGTGTCAATTTACACCGACTTCTTTCCGTTCCTCTGCGGATCGCCGGACTCCTCAGCTGATCACAAGAGTTCGTGTTTCAGGAGGATCGTATTTCACACCATGCAAACGGGCGGAGACGAACAAGTGAAAGGTTTTTAGACGCCATTTCACCCCCGATGACACCATGAGTCAGATTTCATTTATTTGTCATTGCACATGTCAAGGGTACAGAGCAACGAAATTGCTGTCCAGTTCGACCCTTCCAAGAAAACATCAAAAGACAGACACATACAGGAGGGACAGGAGCGGGAGGAGCTGACGAATCGCCACAAGGGCGCGCCGTTTTCTTAGATGGGGAAAAAAAAGGAGGACAGGGGTCCGTTTCACGTAGGTGGTTCAACAAACTCTGAGTTAAATCCTTAACTCTGAGTTGATCTACTCTGAGTTAGGAAACTCTGAGTTTCCGGTTTCACAACACCTGATTTGAGACGGTTTTAACAACTCCGAGTAGTTTGACCTGGAGTTAAGCACGTGCACGCCAGACATAAACAGCCAGCATCTGTGGAGCGCAGATTCAATGATCAACCAATGGAAACAGGGAGAAGGAGGGGGCAGCAGCAAGCCAACAGCGAATGACAGCACGTTTTTAAAAGAACGTGCAATACAGCAGCAGCTGCAGAGGAGAGGGAGAGGGCTTGGGAGGAAATCGCTGCTCGCGTCAATGCGTAACTTTAAATCTAGTCTTGTGCAAACACAATGACAGACTGTTGCAGGGAAACTGCTTGAATCATTTTGATCATGTTTTACATTGTCAAGTAAGTATTAAGTGGCAGTTTGATCCCTTAGAAAATGCTCTTTTCACACTCAAAAATGAATTTTACTCTCTTATGATGTTCCGTTAAATGATTAGGAATATTAAAATAACTCTCAGTATGTAAATGTACATATATTAAACTAACACACACTACACTCAATATTAGACTTTCACTCAGCAAACAGAAAGAGGGCAGATGCCAGAAAAACGGGTGGTGGCCCAGCAGCCCCACCTTTAACGGAGGCAGAGGAGCTGCCCCCCCCCCCCCCCCTCGACGATTTTAACGGAACATAATAAGAGAGTAAAATTCAGTTGTGAGTGTGAAAAGAGCATTTTCTAAGGGATCAAACTGCCACTTAATACTTACTTGACAATGTAAAACATGATCAAAATGAGAAAATGCCGATGTCTCACCAGGTTAGGTTCACGGAGTCTGTTACTGTGGTAACTGACCGCGAGGTTGAGTTACCTCTCTTTGTGAAACAGGTTAGAGTTACCCCTCTCTCCCTGGTTTAACTAACCCTCCTTTGTGAAACGGAAAACTCAGAGTTTCCCTGATTTCAGGGTTAACAAACTCGGAGTTTCCACTAAACCTGCTACGTGAAACGGACCCCAGGAGGGAAAAAAAGGAAACTTCAGACTCTGCTCCTTTGAAGTAGATTTCACAATCTATTGCTTATATGTCTATGTGGCTGTCTGTATGGAGACAACTCGTTATTGCACGATTGAACGTGAACTCTTTTGAGTTCTCACGATTACCGCCGTCTGTAATCCATCACGAAATTCGCCTCATAAACGGAAGGAATTGGATGACGGTGAAAATCGCTGCCGTTCTGATTGGATGGTTGTTGATTTTTTTGGTGTGTTTTTTTTCTCAGCACCATCCTGAAGGGTCTGGGTTTGGAGGGGAAGCTGACTGCAGATCAGATCGCCAAGAAATGGGACAACCTGCGGACGAAATACAAGGTGAGACTCGCTGTGCAGGAGTGTGTGATGCTGCTGTAAATGTCACTTTAGAATGAACGACCAGCTCAGACTGCCGCCCCCTGCTGGATCAGAGAGGTATCTCTTCATGTTAGCTTGTGTTGTGTTCAACTGTGACCCTGCAGCGTTGAGCCGTCGTCACTCTGAGCTCGCTCCTTCAGCTTGTTGAGTGATGGGTTTTAGTCTTGTTGCTTCCTCCAGGACCTGAAGCAGCCCTACCAGGGCCAGGACCACATCGGGGGGGTGGTGGAGTCGTGGCCCTGGTTTCACATCATGGACGAGGCCATGCAGGGTCGTCTCTACAACAGCAACCTGGTGCTCTGCCCGGAGAACGCCAACAACAACAACAACAACCACGCCCACCGCTGTAACAATAACCAGCAGAACCAGGAGAACACGGACATCCTGGAGTTCCTCATCAAAACCGAGATGGAGGACACGGTGGCTGCAGAAACCGCAGAGGATGACGGGATGGTTCACTCGGAGGCTCCGCCCACCGAGGGGGTCCCGATGGGCTGGAGGAGGATGAGCGAGTGCTCCTATAAAAGTAAGCAGAGCAAGTCTTTAGTTCTGGTTCTTCTCGCTGAAGGACACTCAGCTCTTATTGACGTGGTTCTGGTCCTTTTTGAGGGTTCAGCTCTGCGTTAGTCCCTCCAAACGGCCTCATCTTCACGTCTGACAGCTCCGTCTTTTTCTTCTAGTGTCCGAACAGGAAACGGAGCGAATGATCAAACTCCGGGCCGCCAACGAGGCGCTCTTCACCGGCAGGAAACACTCAGCCAAACCAGCCTGGAGGTGAGGGAACTTTGAGATGTTTGGGTTCCTCCTGAAACCTTCTTGACTTGGACAGTCTTTAAGATCATCTGTGTGCAGACTCTGGTTTTAGGAGGTTTGATAGTTTTTAACTCTGTGGACGGCTGAAGGAGTCTGAGGAGGTTTGAAGTCACTAAACTCAGACTCGGCTGATATTTGAATTGGTCGTTTGAACCTTTTAAATCCGTTTGATGATTTTTTTTTTTATTTAGTTTTACAAATCCTAGTTTACAATTTAATCAAAAGGAAGCTCTTCACACATCTATAAAATAAGACAGGCGTGATGGAGAAAAAAAGACCAAAATGTAACAAAGGGATTCCCGCACACTCTCCAACTTGCAATCAATCATTTGTTTTCAACGTTTTGGTACAAGACCTTCATCAGACAAAGAAGAGAGGCCATCTTAAATAGGGAGTGGTCGTTTCTCCATGACCAATCCCGTTCTCAGGCGTAAACACAGAGGGACAAGATCATCATCATCATCATCATCATCATCATCATCATCGTCGAGTAATTTGACCAAAGAGACAGAAAATAAACAACCAAACACTCTGTGTGACGTCCGTCTAAAGAAAATACCCACATGTCCAGGAGAGAAATCCAGAAATCCAGAACGTCGTGAATCGATTATAAATAAATCAGTATTTAAAAGTATGTTTACACTGTAAGTTAAAAACAGATGAACAAGTCTCCATATTTAGTAAGAAAGGGCACATCGATTTCTCCTCTCCTCTTCCTCTTCTCTCTTCCTCTCCTCTCCTCTCTCCTCTCCTCCCCCCTCTTCTCCTCTCCTTTCCTCTCCTCTCTTCTTCCTCTCCTCCCCTCTCTTCTCCTCTCTTCCTCGCCTCTCTTCCTCTCCTCTCTCCTCTCCTCTCCTCTCCTCTCTTCCTCTCCTCTCTCCTCTTCTTCCTGTCCTCTCCTCTCCTCTCCTCTCTTCCTCTCCTCTCCTCTCCTCTCTTCTCTCCTCTCTTCCTCTCCTCTCCTCTCTTCCTCTCCTCTCCTCTCCTCTCTCCTCTCCTCTCTTCTCTTCTCTCTTCCTCTCCTCTCTTCCTCTCCTCTCCTCTCCTCTCCTCTCTCCTCTCCTCTCTTCTCTTCTCTTCTCTCTTCCTCTCCTCTCCTCTCTCCTCTCCTCTCCTCTTCTCTCCTCTCTTCCTCTCCTCTCCTCTCCTCTCCTCTCCTCTCTCCTCTCCTCTCTTCTCTTCTCTTCTCTCTTCCTCTCCTCTCCTCTCTCCTCTCCTCTCCTCTTCTCTCCTCTCTTCCTCTCCTCTCTTCCTCTCCTCTCCTCTCTTCCTCTCCTCTCCTCTCCTCTCTCCTCTCCTCTCTTCTCTTCTCTCTTCCTCTCCTCTCTTCCTCTCCTCTCCTCTCCTCTCCTCTCTCCTCTCCTCTCTTCTCTTCTCTTCTCTCTTCCTCTCCTCTCCTCTCTCCTCTCCTCTCCTCTCCTCTCCTCTCCTCTCCTCTTCCTCTCCTCTCTTCCTCTCCTCTCCTCTCCTCTCCTCTCTCCTCTCCTCTCTTCTCTTCTCTTCTCTCTTCCTCTCCTCTCCTCTCTCCTCTCCTCTCCTCTTCTCTCCTCTCTTCCTCTCCTCTCTTCCTCTCCTCTCCTCTCCTCTCCTCTCCTCTCCTCTCCTCTCCTCTCTTCCTCTCATCTCCTCTTCTCTCTTCCTCTCCTCTCTCCTCTCCTCTCCTCTCCTCTCTTCCTCTCTTCTTCTCTCTCCTCTCCTCTCTTCTCTCTCCTCTCCTCTCTTCCTCTCCTGTCCTCTCCTCTCTTCCTCTCCTCTCCTCTCTCCTCTCCTCTCCTCTCCTCTCCTCTCCTCTATTCCTCTCCTCTCCCCTCTCCTCTCTTCCTCTCCTCTCCTCTCCTGTCCTCTCTTCTCTTCTCTTCTCTTCTCTTCTCTCCTCTCCTCTCCTGTCCTCTCCTCTCTTCCTCTCCTCTCTCCTCTCTTCCTCTTCTCTCCTCTCTTCTCCCTTCCTCTCCTCTCCTCTCTTCCTCTCATCTCCTCTCCTCTCCTCTCCTCTCTCCTCTCTCCTGTCCTCTCCTCTCCTCTCCTCTTCTCCTCTCTTCCTCTCCTCTCCTCTCCTGTCCTCTCCTCTCTTCCTCTCCTCTCTCCTCTCTTCCTCTCCTCTCCTCTCCTCTCCTCTCTTCTCCCTTCCTCTCCTCTCTTCTCCCTTCCTCTCCTCTCCTCTCTTCCTCTCCTCTCCTCTCCTCTCCTCTCCTCTCTTCCTCTCCTCTCCTCTCTTCTCTCCTCTCCTCTCTTCCTCTCCTCTCTCCCTCTCCTCTCCTCTCCTCTCCTCTCCTCTCATCTCCTCTCCTCTCCTCTCCTCTCCTGTCCTCTCCTCTCCTCTCCTGTCCTCTCTTCTCTCCTCTCTTCCTCTCTTCTCTTCTCTCTCCTCTCCTCTCTCCTCTCCTCTCCTCTCCTCTCCTCTCTTCCTCTCCTCTCTTCTCTCCTCTCCTCTCCTCTCTCCTCTCCTCTCCTCTCCTCTCCTCTCTCCTCTCTTCCTCTTCTCTCCTCTTCTCTCCTCTTCTCTCCTCTCCTCTCCTCTCCTCTCTTCCTCTCCTGTCCTCTCCTCTCCTCTCTTCCTCTCCTCTCCTCTCCTCTCCTCTCCTCTCTTCCTCTCCTGTCCTCTCCTCTCCTCTCCTCTCTTCCTCTCCTCTTCTCTCCTCTCCTCTCCTCTCTTCTCTCCTCTCCTCTCTCCTCTCCTGTCCTCTCCTCTCTTCCTCTCCTCTCCTCTCCTCTCTCCTCTCTCCTCTCCTCTCTCCTCTCTTCCTCTCCTCTCCTCTCCTCTCTTCTCTCCTCTCCTCCCCTCCTCTCTCCTCAGACTGTTTTAAACGTCTGTTGTCTACCTCCTTGAACCTCCCGTCTCTCCTCCAGAGCCATCCTGTACGAGCTGGGCCTTCAGGGGAAACTGACCACAGATCAGCTGGCCAAGAAATGGGACAACTTGAAGAGGAGATATAAGGTGAGTTAGTCCAGGTCCGTGAGCTCACCTGAGTCCTGATGCTCCTCAGAGCCGAGGTGGTGAACCGGTCGGAGTATTTTCAGTCCCAGTCCTCGTTATAAAAACGACCCTCTCTGCCTCCATCAGGAGCTGAAGTTTCCCGCTCGAGGCGTGGAGACAAACCCCAGTTCATGGCCCTGGTTCTACAGAATGAACGACGCCATGGAGGGACGATTTGCCGGGGCGGCGCCCATCCTCACGCCCATCGTGGAGTCCGAAGACGAGGACTGCGAGCCGCTGTCGCCCACGCCGAAGAAGCGAGCGAGGCGGAGCCGAGGGGGGATGGCCGAGTTCCTGACAGAGTCTGAGATGGACCTGCTGGTGGATCACGAGGAGAAGAACGGATCCACGGCTCTGGGAGAACTGCACCGCATGGCCGAGTTCTCCTACAAATGTGAGAAGAGCGAGCGGGAAAGTCCGATTCTTAAAACAGAAACGCCATCAGGTCATAATCGGAGGTCGTCTGTCCGTGAATGATGAATGTTAACCTCTGACCTCCCTCACAGTGACAGAAGAGGACACCAGACGACTGATCGAGTTACGAGCCGCCAACGAGTCTCTGTTCACCGGGAGGAGGAACACGGCCAAACCCGCCTGGAGGTAAAACCAGGAAACCAGGGAGTCCAGACCCGAATGAAAAACCGTCACCGTGTCCGGGTCATGGTCAGTCATCAGAGGTCCAAGTTCTGATCAGTCCTCTTCTGTGTCCTCAGGGGGATCGTGAAGGAGATGGGTCTGACGGGGAAGATCACGCCTGACCAGGTGGCCAAGAAGTGGGACAACCTGAAGACCAAGTTCAAGGTGACAGACTGGTTCTGACCGGTTCTGGGGTCAGAAAAGATCCAAACGGTTCCTGGAGGACCCGTCCTAAACTAATCGTCCGTTTTTCTGTCTGCAGGATCTGAAGTTTCCTCCTCGGGGGATGGAGGCTCAGACTAACCCCGCCTCCTGGCCCTGGTTCCAGCTGATGAACGACGCTCTGGAGGGACGGCTGGCGGGGAAAGCTCCAAGAGTGACGCCGGTGTGGAGCAGCGAGGAGGACGGCGTGTTCGGCGCGTCTCCGCCCCCCGACAGAGACTGTATGCTGACGGAGAGGAGCAGCGTGTCCGAGCTGGAGAGCATGGTGGGCGGGGACAACGCCGAGACTGACGGGAACGTGACCTACATCGACGCCAGCGGGGAGGAGTGCTCCACCCCCTCAGACCTCACCTACAAAAGTGAGACAAAGTCTTCTGCTCCTCCTTCTTCACCTCCTCCCCCTCCCCCTCCTCCTCCCTCCCCTGGTTTGATTCGTTCATGAAGGTCTGATCTCTGGTGTTTGGTGGTTGCAGTGACCGATCAGGACACCAGGAGGATGATTAAACTCCGAGCTGCCAACGAGACGCTCTTCACAGGGAGGAGAAACGCTGCTAAAGCTGCGTGGAAGTAAGTTTGGAGCGACTCAACTCTTTGTCTCTGATTCAGGTTTAATGAAGTTGTTGCTCCTCAGACCTGTCCGCCATGTTCTGATGAGGATTTTCTCTCTCTCTCTCTCTCTCTCTCTCTCTCTCTCTCTCCCTCTCTCTCCTCTCCTCTCTCTCCTCTCTCTCTCTCTCTCTCTCTCTCTCCTCTCTCTCTCTCTCTCTCCCTCTCTCTCTGTTTCTGTCTCTCTCCTCTCTCTCTCTCTCTCTCTCTCTCTCCTCTCTCCCTCTCTCTCTCTCTCTCTCTCTCTCTCTCTCTCTCTCTCCCTCTCTCCCTCTCTCTCCCTCTCTCCTCTCTCTCTCTCTCTCAGAGCGATCCTGAAGGAGCTCGGTCTTCAGGGGAAAGTCTCCACCTACCAGATGGCGAAGAAATGGGACAATCTGAAGAGGAGATATAAGGTACTGCGGAGAGAACAAACAGATCATGAACCTCCTCAGAGCTCCTCTCATCCTCTTCATTTCTCCTCTACTCTCTCTCCTCCTCTTATTTACTCACCTCTCTTCCTCCTCCCCTTGTCTCCTTTTTCCCTTCTTTCTTGTCTCCTCCCCTTTTTTCCTTTTTTCCTCCTCCCTTGTCTCCTTTTTCCCTTCTCCCTTGTCTCCTCCCCTTGTCTCCTTTTTCTCTCCTCTCTTGTCTCCTCCCCTTTACCTCCTCCCCTTGTCTCCTTTTTCCCTTCTCCCTTGTCTCCTCCCCTTGTCTCCTTTTTTACCTCCTCCCCTTGTCTCCTTTTTCTCTCCTCTCTTGTCTCCTCCCCTTTACCTCCTCCCCTTGTCTCCTTTTTCTCTCCTCTCTTGTCCCCTCCCCTTTACCCACTCCCCTTGTCTCCTCCCCTTTTTTCCTTCTTTCCTCCTCTTTTGTCTCCTCCCCTTTACCTCCTCCCCTTGTCTCCCTTTTCCCTTCTCCCTTGTCTCCTCCCCTTGTCTCCTTTTTTACCTCCTCCCCTTTTTTCCTTCTTTCCTCCTCTTTTGTCTCCTCCCCTTTACCTCCTCCCCTTGTCTCCTTTTTCCTCCTCTCTTGTCTCCTCCCCTTTACCCACTCCCCTTGTCTCCTTTTTCTCTCCTCTCTTGTCTCCTCCCCTTTACCTCCTCTCTTGTCCCCTCCCCTTTACCTCCTCCCCTTACCTCCTTTTTCCCTTCTCTCTTGTCTCCTCCCCTTGTCTCCTCCCCTTTACCTCCTCCCCTTACCTCCTTTTTCCCTTCTCTCTTGTCTCCTCCTCTTTACCCACTCCCCTTGTCTCCTCCCCTTGTCTCCTTTTTTACCTCCTCCCCTTGTCTCCTTTTTCTCTCCTCTCTTGTCCCCTCCCCTTTACCCATTTCCCTTGTCTCCTCCCCTTTTTTCCTTCTTTCCTCCTCTTTTGTCTCCTCCCCTTTACCTCCTCCCCTTACCTCGTTTTTCCCTTCTCTCTTGTCTCCTCCTCTTTACCCACTCCCCTTGTCTCCTCCCCTTGTCTCCTTTTTTACCTCCTCCCCTTGTCTCCTCCCCCTGTCTCAGGATCTGAAGTACCCCCCTGTCGGGATGGAGAGTGCGGCGGACGGCGCCTCCTCCTGGCCGTGGTTCCACCTGATGAATGAAGCGATGGAGGGCCGCCTGACGGGCAGCGCCCCCCTCCTCACCCCCGTCACCCAGGATGACGATCAGCACCCTGACCCCGCCCCGAGACATCGCTCCCGAGCGGCCCCTCCCCCGTCTTCCGTCTCAGACTTTGTACAGGAGGCGTTCATCGACGGCGGGGACCAGCGAGGCCCCGAGGTGTGCGAGGGTCCGCTGGGAGGACTGGAGAGGGAGTGGGAGGTGGTGGAGAGGGAGAGGGCGGCCCTGGAGCGAGAGAGGGAGATGGTGGAGCGAGACCGGGCGTCCGTGGAGAGAGAGCGGGCGGCGGTGCAGGCGGAGCGGCTGTGGTTAGAGAGAGAGCGAGCAGCCGTGGAGAGGGACAGGGCGATGGTGGAGCAGGAGCGAGCGACGCTGGGGAGAGAGAGGGAGGTGCTGGACCAGAGAACACTGATGCTGAACTCTGTGGGACACTCGGGTCACCTCAACGCCCTCATGTAGACCAGCAGGCAGAGGGGCGTGGACTGTCCCTGATCTGAGGTGGAGGTCTGGATCTCCTGATAGGAGGAGGAGGAGGAGGAGGAGGAACCCGTCTGGTCTGTGGAGGAGACACGTCCAGGTGTTGGTCCTCCACAGGGATGATGATGCTGCTGCAGGGCGGAGTTCAGGTTCAGAGGGGAGGGGGCGAGCGAGCAGGAGGGCTGCACAGCCGACAGTTTGATCATCTTCAGAAGGAGGATTCAGGACTGATCCCAGACCTGAGACCCGGGTTTGAGGGGTCCTCTGAGGAGACCTCCACCTCTGCAGGTACGATCATCGGTGACCACAGTGAAACTGAGAGTAAAAAAAAACACACGAATCATTTTAGAAATGAAACGGCGGTCAGAGAGAATCAGGAAAAGGATCTCAGATATCACCACAGATCCAGTATTGATCATCTCCATCACTGATTGGACCTTTTTGCTGATCAGCTGTGACGAATAAGAACAAGATCTCACATCCAAGTGCCTTAAAGCTGCAGTTTCTTCTGTCTGACCAGCAGGGGGCGACTCCTCTGCCCGATGGATGATCAAACTTGTTGTGCAGCTCTGCCTGAGGACTGTTTTGATTGGAGCGTGGAGGTTTCACCTGAGCTCCTCACCTGGACTGATGATGAAGGAGTGAATCCAGGTCAGAGAGCGGAGGGTGAACCACATTCATGAGCAGTTTCTCATTCTTCTATTTATTTACACACACCTTTTGTATTTTTATTTAAAGCTCACTCCTGTGTGCTTCTCTCACAGGATAAAAATCACAAATCTGGTTTCACTAAAGTCCCTGTTTGCAGGTTTTTGAAGGACCCTCAGAGACGCTCTGGACCCATGTTTTTTTCTGCCTTTGTTGAACCTTTAAAGGACGGAGCGGACTCACCTCTCTGTCCTGATGCCTTATTTTGTATTTATTTAACATGTTGAAGGAGAGTTTATTCATGAATGTTTCCACCAATCACAGGTGAGCGTGTGACAGAATGTAGCCAATAGGTGGACTCGGTTAAAGGAGCTTAAAACAGTGAAAGAGAAGACGATCCCCTAAAACCCTCAGCTGTAACATAAACATGATGAAAAACCCCAAACTGGCTCCTCTGCAGAGATTTCCTCTGGACTTCGGACTCGGTCTCGGGTCCAAAGTTTACGTTTTCTGTCAAAGATGTTTGATTTGAAATTAAACTCATCGATCAAAATGTGGTCGTTCATGTGGTTTTTAACTTCTTTAAAACACTTGTCCTCTTCACAGTGCTCTAAAGGACGATGAAGCTGAAATGCAACAATGAATCTGTCTTGAATCTGGATCAGGCCGATTCTGATCACAAAATCCGCTTTAATATTGATCTGGATCAGATGATGCAAAGAAAATCAAAGTGATCCAGATGAAATCTTTTACAGATCACCAAATCCAGATTCCAGCCGCTCAGAAGTGATCAGATAAGACTGCAGGAGGAGACGATGGATTACAGACTCGACCGCGTCATCCAGACTCATCTTCTCAGGCGGCACAGGTCCTTGCGGTACAAAGGCCCGGGGCCACATGTGGCTCCTCGAGGCACACCCTCAGTCAGGAATCCAGGTGCTCCTTCACACGCTGATCAAATGCTGTTAAACAGGCTAAAAGGTTTCTACTGGCACAGGTTTAAGTCATTGTCAAACCCCTAACGAGTTTTTAATTGTGTGCCGTTTGATTTTCTTCTCGACTGCGTTTATTTTTACAGCGGAACCAAAATCTAAAAATCAGTTTAAACCAAACCAACTCTTCATTTTTCTGTAGATTAATAAACCTGAAAAATTAGAGCGACACAATTAAAAAGCAGTACAAGCAACTGTATTTAAATGCATCATGATTAAAATGCACCAGAGACTGTACCTATCATGAATAAGTGATAGGTACAAATATACACACGTGGACAAAATTGTTGGTACCCCTCAGTTAAAGAAGGAAAAACCCACAATTCTCACTGAAATCACTTGAAACCTACAAAAGTAACAATAAATAAAAATTTATTGAAAATTAAATAATCAAAATCAGCCATTACGTTTGAAATGTTGATTAACATAATTATTTAAAAAAAACAAACTAATGAAATAGGGCTGGACAAAAATGATGGTACCTCTATAAAAGATTGAAAACTATTTGACCAGAGTGACATGATTAACTCAGGTGTGTCCTTTAATTGACATCACAGGTGTTTCCAAACTCATAATCAGTCAGTCTGCCTATTTAAAGGGAGACAAGTAGTCACTCTGCTGTTTGGTGAAAAGGTGTGTACCACACTGAACATGGACAACAGAAAGCGAAGGAGAGAATTGTCCCAGGACATCCGAAAAAAAATTATAGACAAACATCTTAAAGGTGCAGGCTATAAGACCATCTCTAAACAGCTTGAAGTTCCTGTGACAACAGTGGCTCATATTATTCAGAAGTTCAAGACCCACGGGACAGTAGCCAACCTCCCTGGACGTGGCCGCAAGAGGAAAATTGATGACAGATTGAAGAGACAGATCGTTCGAATTGTATCCAAAGAGCCCAGGACAACCTCCAAAGAAATTAAAGGTGAACTCCAAGGCCAAGGTACATCAGTGTCAGATCGCACCATTTGTCGTTGTTTGAGCCAAAGTGGACTTCATGGGAGACGACCAAGGAGGACACCACTGCTGAAAAAAAATCATAAAAAAGCGAGACTGGAATTTGCAAAAATGCATGTTGACAAGCCACAAAGCTTCTGGGAGAATGTCCTTTGGACAGATGAGACCAAACTGGAGCTTTTTGGTAAGGCACATCAACTCTATGTTCATAGACTCAAAAACCAAGCATACGAAGAAAAGAACACTGTCCCTACGGTGAAACATGGAGGAGGCTCAGCAATGTTTTGGGGCTGCTTTGCTGCATCTTAGTGTCAGAAAGCTTGGTCTCAGTCGCAGGTCATGGGTCTTCCAACAGGACAACGATCCAAAACACACAGCCAAAAACACCCAAGAATGGCTGAGAGAGAAGCGTTGGACTATTCTAAAGTGGCCTTCCATGAGCCCAGATCTGAATCCCATTGAACATCTGTGGAAGGAGCTGAAACATGCCATTTGGAGAAGACACCCATCAAACCTGAGACAACTGGAGCAGTTTGCTCATGAGGAGTGGGCCAAAATACCTGTTGACAGCTGCAGAACGCTCATTGACAAATACAGAAATCGTTTAATTGCAGTGATTGCCTCAAAAGGTTGTGCAACAAAATATTAAGTTATGGGTACCATCATTTTTGTCCAGCCCTATTTCATTAGTTTGTTTTTTTAAAATAATTATGTTAATCAACAATTCAAAAGTAATGGCTGATTTTGATTATTTAATTTTCAATAAATTTTTATTTATTGTTACTTTTGTAGGTTTCAAGTGATTTCAGTGAGAATTGTGGGTTTTTCCTTCTTTAACTGAGGGGTACCAACAATTTTGTCCACGTGTGTACATCAGTGGTACCCAAATACATCACAAGCAGAGTACAAAGAAAAAAACAAATGTATCACACCTGTAATTAAAATGCACCTGTTAGAAAGAAGCTAATGCACCCCAAATTAATCTGAGCGGACAATAAATGCACTTCACTGTGATGAACAAGCTAACAGTCATATTCGATAACAGCCTCAGAAGAAAGACGAGAATGTACCATGAACCCATAAAAACCATGAACACGTTATCTACGATGAAGAAACAAACTGCTGTTAAAATGCATCGGACTAAATACAGGTGTAAGTAAAAACAGCACTGTTAAAATACGCCCTCATCTGTAACAAGGTAAAGGAAACGCACCACAAACTAAAAATAAACAAATGCTTTAAACTGCACCACACCTAACATATGAGTCAATCATCTGTGGTGTTTGTGTTGGCTGTTCCTTTTACCTGAAACGAACTTCAGAGAAGTCAGACTCTCAGAGACTCTGTCAACTGTCTGCAGATGTTTCCTCTAAATCACCGCGGGACTCAACGGTCAATGGTGTGGGCGTGTCATGTTTGGATTGGGATCATTTACCTGATGTTTCTCCTGATAATGATTGGCTGTGAATTTGTCTTAGATATAACCGGTAACTGTCTGGGCCAGGACACACTTGGAAAAGAGGCTTTAAAACGCAGCGTTGTTTTTTCCTGGTGCAATAAGAAATGTATACATCACTGTTAAAACGCACCAACCCAAATATTTAAAGTAATCGCAACAGTGTTAAAATGCACCCTATTTACAACATGCTTAGGTAAAGAAATAAAATATACGACTTTAAAACATGCGTTAGCAATAATGTCACTGTTGAAACGCACCATTTACGCTGATGCACCATTTATGTTAAAATGCACCAACCAAAATACACAGATTTGTAATCAGAACAGTGTTTAAATGCGCCAGTGATGAAATAAACAGCCAACACGCCTCAAAGTAAAATACAAGTTTTTGTTAAAATGCACCAGTTAATACATGGCTGTTTAATGCACTGAACTAAAAACATGATTTGAGCAAATACATCACTGTTGAAATGCACCAACCTTAATGTAAAAGGTAATCGCAACAGTATTAAAATGCACCCTATTTACAACATGCTTGAGCAAACCAAATGAAAGACATCGACTTAATTACATGTGGAAGCAAAAATGTCACAAAAATTAAACGCACCATTTACGCTGATGCACCATTACTGGTAAAATTCGCCAAGTACACAAACTAGTAATCAGAACAGTGTTGAAATGCACTAAACTAGATACATGACGAAATAAACGGCTAACATGACTCAAACGTAATTCATGTGTTGGTAAATATGTCTTTGTTAAAATGCACCAGTTAATGCATTGCTGTTAAATGCACCAAACTAAAAACATAATTTGAGGAAATACATCACTTTTAAAATGCACCAACTTTACTGCATGAGTATAGTTCTGATAAAAGTTGACAAAGAAGTTAACAAATGCACCAAAGAACTTAAAAACGCACCCTACGTATTATTACACGCTTGAGTCAAAGCGTAAAAATGCAAGAATACATGATTAATAACTGTAACTGCGTTCAAAGTGAATCGTTAACTCAATAAATCAAGAAAACAAATCAAATGCAACGCGCTAATGCTGCATAAGTAAACGCATCACTGCTAAAATGCACCACAAAAAAAAGTTATGATACTTTATTCCAACAGTTTTAAAGGCATCAAAGTTAATAAGTCAGTAAAATACGGTAAATGTGCACCGTGATGAAAACATACAGAAGTACACGAAGTCAAAGGGTGCAGCATGCACCAAAAAATGCACTGAGGTATGTCGTCACAGCTAAAATGCACCAGACTTAAATGAGTGAAGTCATCTCTGTTTAAAAGAGCTGGAGTAAATAGACGTCTGAGATAACACGTCAGAGCGTTTCAGAGAAGGAGAGTGTCGGTAAATGACAGGAACAGAGGTCAGAGGTCAGGACAGTATTACTCACCTGAGTCCACACAGCAGGATTTTACTGTCAGATATTTGCTGTTGGGTTTTATGAGGATAGTTCAGGTGTGATGATTCTGGAACACACCTGCTTCATTATCAAACAGGATGAGAGGATGAAAATTACAGGTCAGCCTCAGCCAATCAGCTGATGATACACCTGCAGATGAACATGTTTTACTGTCTTAACTCCTGCTGACCTCCCTGTGTGTGTGTGTAGGTGTGTGTGAGCAAACAGTGTGTCCATGAAGACAAAAGGGGACCTGTCACCTGTTGAGTAATCCTTCATGGTCTTTTTAATTCATCAGACAGACGGACTCTGATCCTGGGAGCAGCTGATTGGTCACCATCAGGCTGAAGAAGGAGGAGGAACAGGAAGAACCTGTTTTTTCCCTGGATGGTTCAGGTACCTGAACGCCTCCTGAGAGTCACAGTCAGCGGGACGGCTGTCAGGGACGGGATCACTGCCAGAGTGGGTGAGTACAGCTCTCTATTTTAATATTTCATGTTGATATTTTCAGTGATTTTTCTTCGATAGAGAGGAGATGATTCTGGTTGTCGGGAGTCGATGATCGAGAAAACTTTGATAAACTTTAACAGCCTCTTATAAATACACAGAGCTGCAGAAAACACAACTGGAACATCTCCACCAACTTCTCTTCATAGTCATTAAAAAAATTAAACAGTTTAATTAATTAAACAGAAAATCAGCAGATTCAAATCAGGACAGAGAGAAAATCTGCAGGCAGGAAAAACAACAAAAACCACCGAAAGTGAAATAGACAAGATATGAATGTGAGAAAACTGGCATTACTGCTGAGTGTGTGTGTGTGTGTGTGTGTGCGTGCGTGTGTGTGTGTGTGTGTGTGTGTGTGTGTGTGTGTTTGTGTGTGTCCTTAATTGCTTTGTGTTTTTCTTTCACAGGTTGAACAAACATGTTAAACAGACGATATTTTTTCAGTCCAAGTAAGTTCATGTGTGTGTGAGTGTGTGTGTGTGTGTGTGTGTGTGTGTGAGTGTTGGTAAGGAGAGAAGGAGAGAGGAGACAGAAGAGAAAGAGAGAAAGGGGGGAGGAGACAGGAGAGAAGGAGAGAGGAGAGAAGGAGACAGGAGACAGGAGACAGGAGATAAGGAGACAGGAGAGAAGGAGAGAAGGGGGGGAGGAGACAGGAGAGAGGGAGAGAGGAGAGAAGGAGAGAGGAGGGAAGGAGAGAAGAGAGAGGAGAAAAGGAGAGAGGAGAGAAGAGAGAGGAGAAAAGGAGAGAGGAGACAGGAGAGAAGGAGAGAGGAGAGAAGGAAAGAGGAGAGAAGGAGAGAGGAGACAGAAGAGAAGGAGAGAAGGGGGGGGAGGAGACAGGAGAGAAGGAGAGAGGAGAGAAGGAAAGAGGAGAGAAGGAGACAGGAGATAAGGAGACAGGAGAGAAGAGAGAGGAGAAAAGGAGAGGGTAGACAGGAGAGAAGGAGACAGGAGAGAGGAGATAAGGAGATAGAAGAGAGAGGAGAGAAGGAGACAGAAGAGGAGGAGACAGGAGAGAAGGAGAAAAGGAGAGAAGGGCGCAGGAGAGAGGAGATAAGGAGACAGGAGAGAAGGAGAGAAGGGGGGGAGGAGACAGGAGAGAGGGAGAGAGGAGAGAAGGAGAGAGGAGGGAAGGAGAGAAGAGAGAGGAGAAAAGGAGAGAGGAGAGAAGAGAGAGGAGAAAAGGAGAGAGGAGACAGGAGAGAAGGAGAGAGGAGAGAAGGAAAGAGGAGAGAAGGAGAGAGGAGACAGAAGAGAAGGAGAGAAGGGGGGGGAGGAGACAGGAGAGAAGGAGAGAGGAGAGAAGGAAAGAGGAGAGAAGGAGACAGGAGATAAGGAGACAGGAGAGAAGAGAGAGGAGAAAAGGAGAGGGGAGACAGGAGAGAAGGAGACAGGAGAGAGGAGATAAGGAGATAGAAGAGAGAGGAGAGAAGGAGACAGAAGAGGAGGAGACAGGAGAGAAGGAGAAAAGGAGAGAAGGGTGCAGGAGAGAGGAGATAAGGAGACAGGAGAGAAGGAGATAGAAGAGAGAGGAGAGAAGGAGAAAAGGAGAGAAGGAAACAGGAGACAGTAAGGAAGGAGAGAATGAGAGTAGGAGAGAAGGGGAGAAGGAGAGAAAGGATAGAAGAGAGGGAGAGAGGAGATAAGGAGACAGGAGAGAAGGAGATAGAAGAGAGAGGAGAGAAGGAGAAAAGGAGAGAAGGAAACAGGAGACAGTAAGGAAGGAGAGAATGAGAGTAGGAGAGAAGGGGAGAAGGAGAGAAAGGATAGAAGAGAGGGAGAGAGGAGATAAGGAGACAGGAGAGAAGGAGATAGAAGAGAGAGGAGAGAAGGAGACAGGAGAGAAGGGGGAAAGAGAGAAGGAGGTTTAAGTCCCTTTATTTCCCATGATTCTTCAGTGTCAGGGTCGGAGATTAGATATAAATATATAATTATTGATGAGGTCATCTCTGTTGTACACACACACACACACACACACACACACACACACACACACACACACACACGCTTTGTGCTTTAATCTGGAGTGTGTGTGAATCCACTTCTCTTCTTGTGTCTCCTTGTGTGTCTCCTTGTCTCTCCTTGTCTCTCATTGTCTCTCATTGTGTCTCTCCTTGTCTCTCATTGTGTGTCTCCTTGTCTCTCCTTGTCTCTCATTGTGTGTCTCCTTGTGTCTCTTGCAGGGTTTCTCCTGTCTCTGCTGGTCTTGGTCCCTGCAGGATTGGGTCTTGCACACCTCCTGCTGAAGCTGGCTGTCTCATCTGGAGGTACAGAAACAGCTGAAGGGTTTTTAAACACCTGATCTAAAAATCGGATTAGCTCGTCGTTCCGACTCGTTAAAATTCCTCCTCTGAGCTGAAGTTGGACTCAGTTCACCTCTCTGAATATCGTTTCCAGATCGCTCACACGTGTCTCTGTTTCTTTCTGGAACATTCAGTCCAAACTGAGAGCGAAAACACGAGAAATGATAATGGAGGAGAGTTCAGTAGAAATGTGTCACGGCAGCTAACCCCCAATTTTCACTGTTCGCCAATTTCCACCAGACCCATTTGTGAGGCGAACGGTGGAAATTGACACATTAACTTGGATGGTCACGATCTTTTCGTAGACGTTCAGGATGAAGGTGGAAATTGGGGGTAAACCTTGAGATGTTGTTTGAAACTGAGGATTCAGCATCTATGATTTCCAGTTCTTCGTGTTCGATTTTGATTTTGATCCTCAGAGGAACAGAAAGAAGTCGGTGTAAATTGGTTGGTGCTCCTTTAGTCTGAAACCATGTCTTGACCTTCTGCAGATGTAGGTCCACATATAAGACCTGGAACTTTAGTCTCACAGTGACTCAGAACCTCTTTTTGTATTTCAGGTTCCTTATACGAGGACTCTGGCACGCCCAAAGGGTTCATTAAGAACCCCGCCAAACGCCAAGGTCAGTGTCCAACTCACCCTGAAAACGATGAACGAGTGATCAAAAGGAGGTGTGGCTCATTCATGATGTGTTTCCTCTCCAGCTGAGTCATGTCCACAGAAGACGTGTCCTGATGATTACTTCAGTTTTTACATGCAGACTGGAGCCGCTAACGTCGTGCCTCCGAAGATCTGCGTCCAGAACCATCTGTAGGTGTCTCCTCTAAACGAAACTCTGTCCCAGGAGATCGGGTTTCATTTTGGATGAGTGTGTATGTGGTTTCTGATACCTCTGCAGCCTTCCCCCATGTGGGCACTAAAGGAACTGCAGATATGCAGGGCTTGACACAAACTTTGTTCACATGTTCTCCTAAGTTGAAAAAGTAACACAAAGAACTTTAGGGATCAATGAAAACTGATCAATAATGTTTGTCTTATTGATCGACCTTAGTGCTATTATTAGAAATCAATTTTAGTTCTTTTGGTCACATGACAGTGAAGCTATTGAAGGAAAACAGCCTTTTCTGAGAACATCAACCGGTAACTTATTGACGGTCCCTTATTCAACACCGACGTTGACAGTGAGGGTGTCGAGTAGATTTAACCGCGCTGCTGTTGTTATTCCCGGTTATGGAGAGTGAGAAGACACCGGTAGATCCTCAGAGAATGTCCGTCAGATATCCAACCTGAAACTAACTTCACCGCCGTATTTACAGGAAAATATATCCAACCTGAAACTAACTTCACCGCTGTATTTACAGGAAAATATATCCAACCTGAAACTAACTTCACCGCCGTATTTACAGGAAAATATATCCAACCTAAAACTAACTTCACCGCCGTATTTACAGGAAAATATGTCCAACCTGAAACTAACTTCACCGCCGTATTTACAGGAAAATATATCCAACCTAAAACTAACTTCACCGCCGTATTTAGAGGAAAATATATCCAACCTGAAACTAACTTCACCGCCGTATTTACAGGGAAATATATCCAACCTGAAACTAACTTCACCGCCGTATTTACAGGAAAATATATCCAACCTGAAACTAACTTCACCGCCGTATTTACAGGGAAATATATCCAACCTGAAACTAACTTCACCGCCGTATTTACAGGAAAATATATCCAACCTAAAACTAACTTCACCGCCGTATTTACAGGAAAATATATCCAACCTGAAACTAACTTCACCGCCGTATTTACAGGAAAATATATCCAACCTGAAACTAACTTCACCGCCGTATTTACAGGAAAATATATCCAACCTGAAACTAACTTCACCGCCGTATTTACAGGAAAATATATCCAACCTGAAACTAACTTCACCGCCGTATTTACAGGAAAATATATCCAACCTAAAACTAACTTCACCGCCGTATTTACAGGAAAATATATCCAACCTGAAACTAACTTCACCGCCGTATTTACAGGAAAATATATCCAACCTGAAACTAACTTCACCGCCGTATTTACAGGAAAAATATATCCAACCTGAAACTAACTTCACCGCCGTATTTACAGGAAAATATATCCAACCTAAAACTAACTTCACCGCCATATTTACAGGAAAATATATCCAACCTGAAACTAACTTCACCGCCGTATTTACAGGAAAATATATCCAACCTGAAACTAACTTCACCGCATTTACAGGAAAATATATCCAACCTGAAACTAACTTCACCGCCGTATTTACAGGAAAATATATCCAACCTGAAACTAACTTCACCGCCGTATTTACAGGAAAATATATCCAACCTAAAACTAACTTCACCGCCGTATTTACAGGAGAATATATCCAACCTGAAACTAACTTCACCGCCGTATTTACAGGAAAATATATCCAACCTGAAACTAACTTCACCGCCGTATTTACAGGAGAATATATCCAACCTAAAACTAACTTCACCGCCATATTGACAAGAAAATATATCCAACCTGAAACTAACTTCACCGCCGTATTTACAGGAAAATATATCCAACCTGAAACTAACTTCACCGCATTTACAGGAAAATATATCCAACCTGAAACTAACTTCACCGCCGTATTTACAGGAAAATATATCCAACCTAAAACTAACTTCACCGCCGTATTTACGGGAAAATATATCCAACCTGAAACTAACTTCACCGCCGTATTTACAGGAAAAAAACATTTGATGATTTTTTGTATGCGCACATGTGACCCTAAATACATTTTACGATTCGCACACGTCTTTTTTTAGTCGTAAATGAGAGTGAAACGGTCTCACTGTCGAGACCTGTTTTTCTGGCACTTTGTGGAAACACACTGAAAACCACCCAAACAGCATTCCCCTGCTGTTCCAGGTGTGGTGGGTCTGTCCTGTCACCACCCTCAAATTTGCATCGTTCCGATCTCAATGTTTGTTTCCTCATTCTCCACATTTCTGCAGCACGCCCGCTCTCCCTGCAGCGCTCTTCTCTTCTCCTGGTGTTTCTCATCTGCTGCTCTTGTTGTGTTAAAGTCTGTTTCGACTTTGTGGGTCTGCAGGTCTTTTCTAAGTTTGCAGCAGAGAGTGGTCTAGACCTCACTGCTCTCTGTTTACATGCATACTATGTCACTATACATGCTTGTATATTATCTCTTTATTTTTACTTATTTTATCTATTGTTTATCTCCTCCTTCTACTCTATCTGCACAGGGGTACTGTGACAAAAAGCAATTTCCCCGGGGGGATTATTAAAGTATTTCTGATTCTGATGCTCCTCATGTAGAGCGTCCCCAGATACACTCCTGATCAAAATCTTAATTTTTGAACTGGTCTTAAGACTTCGATCAGGAGTGTATTTCGGTTTGGACTGAGCAGAAAGCAAGATTCAGGACCTGTAGAAGTCCCAAACCTGCTGGACCTGACTCAGGGCATCATTGCAAAGATTTAGACGTCTTAGTTGAGCCCCTCTTCTTGATCCTGTCCCGTCGTTCCCCTCCCTCCCTGGTCCTCAGCTCCCTTTGGGTTTATTGGTCCAGCTGATCTTAAACTTGTCCACACTGTCTCCAGGGTCCTGGGTTTCAAACTGCTGAACGCTGGAGTGGGGATCAACATTATAGTCCTGAACGGTGAGAGTGAAACTGATCAAACATCTCATTGGCTCACCTGTGCTTCGTTTATTGACCCTCTGTCTTCTTCTTAACAGGTGTGACCGGAGAGGTGTCTCAGACGGGTCAATTCAACATGTACAACGGTGGTACGTACCGCAGCTGCTGATGGTCTCTCTGTCATGTGGTCCTGTGTGGATCAGAAACCAAGAACAATGTCCGATTCTTGTCTTGCAGCTGTGAAACCTCTCATCGAGTTTCTGGAGAACATTAAAAACGGTTCGATTGTGCTGATGGCGTCCTACGATGACCCCGCCACCCAGTAAACACCTCCTCTGTCTCCTTTTCCTCAGGCTGTCCGTCAGACTGTTGGACTCATTTTGACTAAAACCCTGAACATGTATAATAATAATAACAGGAGACGGGGACTAACTAATATCTATTGACTGATATTAAAAGAGTTTTTGTTTGTACACCATAAAAAATCTGATTCCTGCCTACCTCACCTTTAACTCTTCTCAACCCTCTTGATCTTCTCTGGATCCATAAATTCAAGTGTTTTTTTTAACTCAGTAACTTTCTTTGTGATAACATGTTTATTCAGATCAAATCCAGAGTCCACCTCTCTGCCTTTGCGTCATCTTCACTTCCTGTTCATACAGATTAGACGACACAGCGAGGAAGCTGATCGCTGACCTGGGGAGTTCCTCTGTGCAGTCTCTGGGCTTCAGGGACAGTTGGGGGTTTGTCGGAGCGAAAGGAGCAGTGAAGAAGAGCAACTTTGAGAAGGTATCTATCAGCTGTTTATGCTTCTGCATCAAATCGATCCAAAACATCCAAACTTCAGTTTGTTCAGTTGAACCCTTTCAGTTCAGACGTTGGTGAAGCGGAGAACAAAGTCAAGTCATCGGTGTATAAAACCGCACTTGTGTTCAGAATAAACTGTGGTCAATCGTGAAAATAATTAGAGGAGAAGAGGCCCTAAATACCTCCCCTGGGTAACACCACAAGAACTCTGTCTGCTGCTGTCATAAAAACAAACACTCCTCATAGGAACTCTCCGTCCAGGTGACATTTGGACACTCTCAGTGTGTCTCTCACCAAATCCACAAGTGTTATCATCCAATGAAATCTCAGACATGAGCGTGATCGGACAGAGACAGATGTGGTTCAACATTTTCAAGGTTTCTTCTTTTCTTCATGAGGACTGGTCTGCCAAGAGAGTCCTTCTGATGATTCTGTTTGTAGATTTAAGTTTTTAACACCCACTCTTTCTGATCGTGGTCAAGATTTTTTTGTTTGGACTGATTTAGTATCATCTCTCTCTCTCTCCCTCCCTCTCTCTCTTTCTCTCTACCCCCCTCTCTCTCCTTCAGCACTTGAAGAACGACGGAAATACTAATATGTACGACAGCTGGCCGGAGGTCATCAGTTTGGAAGGATGCCTCCCAAAGTTTCTGGAGGGACCTGCTGGTTCATCCTAAAGGACTATTTCACATTTTTATCAAACATCAGGAACATGAAACAGGGTGAGGGTCATCATGAAACAGGGTGAGGGTCATCATGAAGCTGGGTGAGGGTCATCATGAAGCTGGGTGAGGGTCATCATGAAACAGGGTGAGGGTCATCATGAAGCTGGGTGAGGGTCATCATGAAACAGGGTGAGGGTCATCATGAAGCTGGGTGAGGGTCATCATGAAGCTGGATGAGGGTCATCATGAAACAGGGTGAGGGTCAACATGAAGCTGGGTGAGGGTCATCATGAAACAGGGTGAGGGTCATCATGAAGCTGGGTGGGGGTCATCATGAAGCTGGGTGAGGGTCATCATGAAACAGGGTGAGGGTCATCATGAAGCTGGGTGAGGGTCATCATGAAGCTGGGTGAGGGTCAACATGAAGCTTGGTGAGGGTCATCATGAAGCTGGGTGAGGGTCAACATGAAGCTGGGTGAGGGTCATCATGAAGCTGGATGAGGGTCATCATGAAACAGGGTGAGGGTCATCATGAAGCTGGGTGACGGTCATCATGAAGCTGGGTGAGGGTCATCATGAAGCTGGGTGAGGGTCATCATGAAGCTGGGTGAGGGTCATCATGAAGCTGGATGAGGGTCATCATGAAGCTGGATGAGGGTCATCATGAAGCTGGATGAGGGTCATCATGAAGCTGGATGAGGGTCATCATGAAGCTGGATGAGGGTCATCATGACGCTGGGACCAGACAGTGTTTGTAGTGGGTAACTCCAGAGAAATCTCCCTGTCCTTCTGTTCCTCAGGTGAAGGTTGATGCAGCCTGGAAACTGAAGCTTCTGTTACTGTAGTTGGGATAAAAAGAAAAGACTGTGAGAATGTCTCAGCGCGCTTTCCTCTTTTTAATCTAGAGGTCATTTTTTTCAGGTTGAGGGATGATTTCATCCTGCGGGACAGCTTTGGATCCTTGACCGCAGTCTAAGAAGGACTCTGCTGGAAAACATGAGAGTCAAAGGATCAAACTTTTCTGCAGGAGATGAGAAACACACATTTCTTTGAGGCAATATTAGGACTAGATGTTGGGGGCTGTCTCTAAACCATCTATTAGGAATTAAAGGTGTATTCAACAGTTTATTTTACTTGAATAAAGATTAAAGGTGGCTGCTGTAATTCTCTCTCAAAGTCAAAGAAATGCTTTAACGTGTGAACATGCCCACTCTCAGGTGATTCAGTCACACAGCATGCAGGTAAAGGGAGATGATGATACTCTCTTCAATCGTGTATTTACTCATTGTTATGGTGATTTTGTATTTTCCCTGATTGTGTCTGTATATGGTCATAATGAAGGGATTCACTTAGGAGTCAATTCTTCTCTGTTTTTCTGAATAATCGTGATAATCATCTCAGATACAGGGGAAACTTTTTTTGTGAACAAAAACATTTCCACCCTGAAAATCACCGTAAAGGGAAAAAGAAGTGAAAGTTTAAATGCCTGTTTTTCCAGTTAATTATCACATAAATTCTGCAAAACAGGAGTTTTTATTTGTATGAAAGTTATCTAGTAATTCTGAGATTATTATTTAATTAATTTAAAAATAATACATTTGATTTTAATTTTGGCTTCTTAAGGATTTTATTGGTTTTTTTTTTCTTTTACGAAAATAGCACAATACTTTCACAATAGACATCTATAAGAAAGGCTAGATGACAGGAGTCAGCGGCGGCCATGTTACTCCAGTATTTCATTCTGGTCCTCTCTATGGTAGCTGACAGGAGGTGAGTAATTTGATCAGAAATCCTCTTAACTCTCTGAAATCCTGACAGATTTACAAACGGTTTAGTTTATTACAGACCTTCATAACGAGGCTCTGAGTCTGGATGTTTGGACACATTAAAATATCAGATTTACTTTGAGAAAAAAAAAAAGACTTAATCATGAAGAACAGTTGTTTCACGGTTAACTTTGAGTCACTTTGTCATGGCTCAGACCACAATCGAGATAATTTATTGTATAACAGTCTATTTTTTATTTATTCAGTCTAAGTGTCAGTCTTTGTGGATGGTCTTGTGTTTATCAGCTGTCTAACTTGTCTAACAGACTCGCCTTGACTGAGACCAAGTACATATTACAAAGTTGACCCAGTAATTTTACGTCAGTTAAAGAGGCAGAAATGCTCTTTAGATTCAACATAACTGAAGTTGTTCATGATTTCCAAACTGTTTGGTTTGTTAAAAACATCTAAAATGGAAACATGAGGCAGAAATTTATATTGAAAATAAATATTTATATGTTATTGTTATATGTTAGTATACTTATCCCTATAATAGAAATATTACTAATATAACAAACATGTAATGATTAAATGCTTTATATTTAAATGATTTAATATAACTGCCTTGTGTGTGTAGACCTATAGCTGTTTCTCTACCTATCTGTTTAATGTTTATTTATTAAAATCCATGGTTAAAATTATTCTTGAGTATGCAGGATCATAACTAAAACTGTGAGGTTTGTTACAAACCGAACTGTTTGAAAATCGGCTTATAGTTAATCAATCTATGGTTATTTAAAATTAATCAATCTATGATTATTAAAATTAATCAATCTGTGGTTATTTAACTGTTACATGAACCGTAGACTGTAATGTTAGAAATGGGCGAGCCGACCGTACCAAGATGGCCGCCATGCGCGGACGTCGGTCTCCTTTGGCTAACAGCGTGCGTAAGACATCTAACGTTTATAGATATATCTATGGACCGAACTGCTTTACGTGAGGACCCAAACTCTTGTTTCTGTTTGGTCATACCTTCCGCCAATGAGCATAAAGATAAACAATCAAGACGTCTTGATTGGCTGTATTAACGCGTCACTTCTACCGGATATGGAGGAAGAGAGAAAGCTGATTGGCGGATCAAATATACGACGTTTTAATGGCGGAGCTTTTTGTCAAGACAAGTCTAGAAACATGCTGTTTGTTTAAATGTGGTTTGTTTTAAAGTTATTAAGATTTTCTTTCAGTCAGAGTTATATTTGAAGAGCATTAGCTTTGAAATGGCGACGCTAGTGCTGGATAACGGAGCATACACGGCGAAGATCGGATACAGCCAAGAGAAAGTCAGGTGAGGCAGCGAAGATCAGAGCTTAAAGGAGAAAACTATAAATAAATAAACTATTAAAAACGTTAAGTTTAGCCCTGTTTTGTGAAATACACAGATAATGCTATAATTACACGTTTCCTAATGAGAACGCATAGATCCGGAGAGATCAGACAACCAAACCCCACTCAAATATGTGCAGCTTTTACTTTCACTGAAAAATCTGATTAATTTAAAACTTCAAACTCAATATTAAACTAAAACCGGAATTTTCAGGACCTTCTCTGAAATTCGGCTCAAGTTCAAACATCACAAGACCGGTATACTCCACAAACAGCAGGGTATTTTAGAGTTTTGTTTGGTTTTAACCATAGACTGTATCTACAATATATGGTATATATCATAATCATGAAATGATAATTATTAATATAATATAACGTATATACAGTCTTTGGTTTTAACCATAAAAATATAGTTACAATTCTCTCTAATGTCAGTGGAATCAGTAGAAAGTCCATCACATTTGACCTTTATCTGACCAGGTTGTTCACATTGATAGTTTCACACAGCATTATTTGTTATTTCACAGTGAATACCAAATAGGCCATTATAACTATAACATCTACTGGCAATTAGATAACTCATTAATTGATACTACAGAGTCAAATTTCTGTTATGTTTTATATTATACTTGTTTCTAAATCTATTTTGCAGCTCTTGTTATTGGTATCCAAAAATTATTTTATCGATTGAAGTAAATCAGTCAGGGAAATCAAAGCAGCCACGTTCTTCAAAGAACTGAAGAAATAGTACATATATGCATCTATCAGTAAAATGATTATTTCCAAATTGATCATCTCGTTTTAAACGTTCGCTCCTCCGTCTTTGTAATTTCAGAGGTCATTCTTACTAAAAGCCACATGAAGCTAAACCCTGAGTTATGTCTTTGGGATGGTAAATATTTGACTATGATAACTTTTTTTGTTATTGTCCTAATATTTCACAAGCATCAAGAACAGAAGTATAAACAGGAGAAAAGACCGAGTTGGAGGAACGTGTCTTCAGAGTCAGTCTTGTATGTGTGTTTCTGCGGTGTGTACTGTATGGTAAACTAAGTCTGTCCAGTTTGGGTTTGTGGCCGTCTAAGAGTTTTATACTCACCCCTGAAACCCTCAGAAACTTCATTTGTTGCCAAAACGTGTCCTGAGATTGACAGATCATGTATGTTCTTTTTTCTTTTTCTTCACCAGCATCATTTAGAAACTGTTTTCCTGTTAATATTCAGAATATTCATTCATGAACTTCCAGACAGGTCAATCATCTTCATTTCCCTTCTTATAAAACCGAACACGCTCAGTTTCCCCTCAGCTGTCCTGGAGTATAAATGAAAATCAAACACATAACCTCACCGTTTTCCTCTCGCAGCGTCATCCCCAACTGTCAGTTTCGCTCCAAGACGTCCAGATTAAAAACCTTCACAGCCAATCAGCTGGACGAAATCAAAGATCCGTCGGGTCTCTTCTACATCCTGCCCTTCCAGAAGGTGAGAGGGTGAATATGTGGACTCTTACGCATTATGACGGGCTGTTTTCTGACTGTTTTCTGACTGTTTTCTTCCTCGTCAGGGTTACCTGGTCAACTGGGACGTCCAGAGGAAAGTGTGGGATCATCTGTTTGGAAAGGAGATGTTTAAGGTTCAGTATTTTCTTCATTCTTGTCGGGAAACGATTTAAATCTGAGACTTTACAGGATGAATTTGGCTTAAATCTTCCTCGGCTGGGGTTTTTGTGTTTTTGTGCAGGTGGAGTTTGCAGACACCAGCGTCATCATCACTGAACCGTACTTCAACTTCTCCTCCATCCAGGAGTCCATGAATGAGATCCTGTTTGAAGAGTACCAGTTCCAGTCAGCGCTCAGGATAAACGGTGAGTTTGGGAGTCTCGACGAGGCTGAGTTCAGACGTCCTGCAGAGGAAACGCTCGTCCAGTTTCCTTCTGTCCGTCAGAAACCAAAGCTCAGGTGTAGATCAACATCAAACGCTTTACTGCAGCTAAACGTCGTGTAACGGAGTAAATGAGACGGCGCCCACTCTCAGAGTAGATTTTTTAAAAAGCGTTTGCTGTTGTCTGTCCTTCGCTGTGGCTCAGACACAGGGAACCTCTGGAGGAGGAGACAGCTCCAGAGTAGCAGGTTCCTGGTCCCTGAACCAGACCAGAATGTTTGAGTCTCATTGACCGAAAGTGGATCAAAACAAGATGAATGTGAACTGATCATTTTCCATCATGAAGATCAGACAGTCACGGCACACCCCTCACTGACCATCATTTATTGACTCCTCCTCTCAGTCTGCTTCATTCCTGTAATCATCTTCATCATCATTATTCGTCTCTCCCCTCGGTTGAACCCGTGCTCTTTGTTCTCCAGCCGGATCGCTCAGCGCTCATCACTACTTCCACTCCAAACCCTCAGAGCTCTGCTGTTTGGTGGTGGACAGCGGGTTCTCCTTCACCCACATCGCCCCCTACTGTCGGAGCAAGAAGATGAAGGACGGCATCTGCAGGTTAGAGGAGCTCCAAGAGAACATCCTGATGAAGCCAGAGTGGTGATAGATCTGCTCACACTGATGATCCGCCTGTTTCTTTGCTCTGTCAGGATCAACGTCGGAGGGAAGCTGCTGACCAACCACCTGAAGGAGATCATCTCATACCGGTGACTTCACTTTGTTCTCACATCTCCAACATCTAACACCGTCTGTGTTGTGATGTTTGCGTTATTTTTCTCTGTTCTCTTCTTCTTCTTCTGTCCTTTTGTTCGTCATAAATAAATTCTTTTTTATTGCACATCACACTAGATTAGGAAGAGGAAAGGGGTCTCAATCTCATCAAATTATAGTTCAGGACAACCCCTCTCCTCGGTTTTAATGCACAACATTAGAAAGCACATATATGAGAGAAATTAAGAAAAAATAAATAAATAAATAAAATAATAACAATAATAATAATAATAATAATAAAACAAATAAAAATAAATAAATAATTATAAAGTATATTAAGTAAATAACAAAGACTTAATACATATATAGACATAGGGCAAGGTGTTGTGCCGCATTCAGTCCGGGGCATGCGGGTGTTGGGGTGGGGGTTGGGGTGGGGGTCTGGGGGCCTGGGGGGATGCAGGCGGGTCTCGCGCAAGTAGGAAGGGACCTGAGGTGGTCCACAAATTCCTTCTTCTTCTTCTTCTTCTTCTTATTATTATTATTATTACTATTATTGTTGTTATTATTATTATATTATAATTTTTATTATTATTATTATTATTATTATTGATATTGTTCGTGCAGTATAATTTTTCTTTTTCTTTTGCTTGTCTGACAATTGTAATATTTATTTTTTATTTTTTTTTCATTATTATTCACATATATAATACACACACACCACAAACACACACACACAAAACCACAAATGCCATTGTTTGTTGTATGTCTTGTATTGTCACACTGCACAAAAAAAAATAAATAAATTCATTATTATTATTATTATTATTATTATTATTATTATTATTATTAAGTGATGAAGTTTCTCTTCCAGGCAGCTTCACGTCATGGATGAAACTCACGTGATCAACCAAGTGAAAGAAGACGTCTGCTACGTGTCGCAGCAGTTTTACAAGGACATGGAGATCGCACAGTGAGCGCAGACAAGTTTGAAGACTGAGTATCTTCTGAGAGAGCTGGTCCTGATGAGATGTTCCTCTTGTGTTCGGTCTGTTTCAGGTTGAAGGGAGAGGAAAACTCTGTGATGAGAGATTACGTCCTCCCTGATTTCAGCTCCATCAAAAAAGGTTTCTCCAAGGTGAGAGAACATCTGAGATCGGCCGTGAGATCCTTGGTGCGTCTGTCGTAACACCCCCTGTGGTTTTTGTGTCCTCCAGCCTCGAGAGGAGATGGTCTACAGTGGAAAGTACAAAACAGGCGAGCAGATCTTGAGGTTGGCCAATGAGCGTTTTGCTGTTCCTGAGATGCTCTTCCACCCCTCAGACATCGGCATCCAGGAGACGGGCATCCCAGAGGCCATCGTGCACTCCATCCAGTCTCTGCCTGAAGGTCAGACCATCATCAACAACAGGAATGAGACATTAATCATGTCCTACTCTGACCTGATAGAAGATCTCAGATGCTCAACAGTTCAGGGTCTCCTTGCTCCTGTTTTTGGGGTCATGATGGTCCAAATGTTTCCAAGTCAGGACCGCATCAGTCCAGGTTCTCAGCAGGAATCTTCTCCTGTTGTCAGGGAATGTGGTTTGGGATCATCTGAAGGTCTTTCCTGAAAAAATCTCTGTTTGGATGGCAGCAGATGTTGCTCCTAAACCTGGAGATATTGTTCAGCATTAATGAAGCCTTCAACAATGTAGAAGATACCCGTGACATGAACTCTGATGGTTCCCGGACCATCAGGGTGCTGAGAACAAGCCAGGTGGACCCTCTTCTCTTTAAAACTAAGGATGCAGCATCTATGACTTCCAGTTCTTCGTTAAAAGGACAGCTGGACTTACTTGAGACGTCTCTTAAGTCCAGCTGTCCTTTCCACGCAGTGACTTCCACTCCAGAGTCCTGTCTGTGTTTCATGCCCTGAAGATCAGGACCATCTGAATGATCCGATGTTCCACTCAGGAACTTGAGTCTGTATTTGTGAGTATGTGAGGTGTCTAACGGTGTTATCTCTCCACAGAGATGCAGCCGCACTTCTACCAGAACATCATCCTGACCGGAGGAAACACGTTGTTCACTGGATTCAGAGAACGTCTGGAGGCGGAGCTACGATCGCTCGCCCCTGCTCACCTCCCCGTGTCGGTGCAGCTGCCTGCGAAGTAAGATCGAGGTTGTTTCAGTAGATGAGATATAACTTTGTTTATCGTGATTAATCTATCATGATCGTCCATCAGATCTGTCTCACTGTTTGTTCTGTGAGAAGTACTGAAAGTGTAGTCATGAAGAGTCAGAGCGACCTCTGCTGGACAAACTGCGGGACTACACCATTTCTGAATCAACCCGATCATTTTCTCTGTTCGACATATTTAGACATGATTCCTACAAAAACATCTCTCAGGTACCTTCATGTGGACTTAAAGGTGGAGTCGGCAGGAACCCGTTAAAGAAGCATCTTTTTATTTTGTGGTGTATTTACAAAAATCTTCTAATATCAGTCAATAGTTATCAGTTATTGATGACATTTGGTAATATATCGATATCTCTGTGTTCTCTTATGTCTGTGTCGTCAACATTTGAACATTTTTGAGCGGTCCGCTCTTTCTGACTGTAAACAAAGCCGTTCTCCACCTCCTCTAACCTGATTGGTTGTGAGGCAGACGCTGCTCCCCCGTGTCGTTCAGGAGCCCAAACAAAGTTAGCGTGCTACAATATCGGACAGTAGAAACCAACCAGAAAGTTCGGAAAATTGTCTGAATCCTCCTTTGGCCACGACTGCCGACACAAGCAAGAAAACACTCAAACATAAACAGTCAGCAAGAAAACAGTCAGCAAGAAAACAGTCAACACCAAAACAGTCAACAAAAAACAGTCAACAAGAAAATGCTGTTCCCCCGTGTCGTTCAGGAGCCCAAACAAAGTTAGCGTGCTACAATATCGGACAGTAGAAACCAACCAGAAAGTTCGGAAAATTGTCTGAATCCTCCTTTGGCCACGACTGCCGACACAAGCAAGAAAACAAAGTAGATTCTCCTAAAAACTGGAACTTCCTCAGATCCTGACTACACCACCTTTAAAACTCCACCCTCTGGTATCTTCAGCTCTTTTTAATCTTTAATTTTCTGCATAAATCTGAAGTTAAGGGGTTGGATACTTAAATACTTACCTAAGCATTTACTACCATCATTTAAAAGGTTGACAGTAAAATGCATAAATGAGGGTTTACATTAACGGTGTTGACCTTTTCTTCCTGCAGTCCGATCACATATTCGTGGGAAGGAGGGAAACTGCTTGCACACAGTCCCGACTATGAGGAGATAGTGGTGACCCGGGAGGACTATGAAGAGAACGGACACTGTATCTGTGAAGAGAAGTTCGATATCTGACAGAGCTGAAAAAACACAGCAGCATCTTTTTCTGCATCATCCTGATGAACAGTGAAGAAATCTGAGATTACAGTCGTGGGAACCTGCAGACTGCTGGTGTGTCGGTTCTGATTGACCAGCAGCAGAGATGGCATGTACATTTAGACAGGAGGATGTTTGTTTTCTATTTTTACTCAGTGTTGTATGTTTTTGTAAATATGTTGACCCTCTTCTGAGTCGTTTTCTAAGTCTAAGTTGTACTCGACGTTTATCTTATCTGTGATATAAATCACTTTGAGACTCTCCACTCCTTCTGAATCACTTCCATCTATTTTCAGAAATCTAAATCCTTTTTGCCTCAAAATTATCATCAAAGTTCTCTGAAAGAAACTGGCAAGTATTTAATCTGGATTAAAGAAATCCTTAAAAAAAAATCTTAACATTTAAAAAGAAGGGTCTCAAATCTGCAGCATTACATTTACAGAGATGATGTTTTTATTGAAATAGTTTTAACTGTTGTCAGACAAAACAAGAGCTGACTGAACATCTGTCACTTTTACAGCATTGTTAACATTTAAACATGACAAATCACAAAATCAATTTGATAACGGAGAAAATAATCATGAGCTGATCTTCAGTTTAAAACACTTTTTGAAGTGAGTTACAACTTTGAGCCCTTTTTATAGGAGTTTTTACCTGGTTAGGAAGAAGAGGAAAGGTAAAACTGACTTACAAAAGTAGTAGAAGTAGTAGTCATCATCGTTTATTCAGTCATGACAACACCAAATATTGTACACAATATTGGCATTTCACACTAAATCACTCAATGAATAATCATGTGTTGAATATTGACTGAAAAGGCAGAAACAGACTGATTATAAAAGTCGATCCTGTGTTGTTAGATTACCGACCTCCAGAAGAGCAAAGAAACCAGAACAACAGAGAATTAATCGACTTAAAAGCTTCAAAAATAACTTTACAAACTATTTTCCTAAAAACAAAAAAAGACTGACATGTTTTTAGATTTATGTCGGCATCATTACAGAGTTTAACTCCAGTAACAGAGACACGTCTCCTTTCAGACCTTTTTTAGTTTTTTGTTCTGAGATTATACCGACTGTCCTGAACTGAAAAGAACCTCTGTATTCAGTCAGGGAGCATCTATGATTTTGCTCTAATCATAATTCGCATTATTTTATAATAAAACAGATCATAAAATGTCATAACATGAGAATTTAGAAAAAGTGGCTCGGTGTGATCATAATAATCAGTCTTATTGATCATACCTATAGCTGGTTTTTGCAGTTTTATTATTGATTACAGTGGTTTTTAAAGGTGGATCCCCACAGTTCCACACAGTCAGATATATAAGGAACAATCAATGAGAAGTAAATCAAATACAAAGCCTTGGAATTCAATACTTTTCTCGATTTGTACAGGATTGCAGGTGATTTTGAAGTTTTCCCTGTAATGTATTCAATGTGTTGTTTCCATGTTAACTTTTGATCAATGACAACCCCAAGAAATTTAGTCTCAGTAACTCTTTCAATGTCAACATTACAGATTCTTGATTTAACATTACAATCACTTTCTTTCAGATTCCCAAAAACCATAATTATTATTATTTTTTTTAATATTTAAAGATAAATTATTGGCATCAAACCAACAAACCATCAGAAAGAGATGATCATTTTTCCAGGGTGGCTAAAATCAACCCAAACAAACAAACAAAAATCACTCATAGGAGCTATAACCAGACCCTAAATATATGTAAGATAAAACATCTATTTTTATGAAAATAAAGCTGTGGTTTTAAGGGATTAGATAGGGATAAAATAAGATACTTAGTCCTACAAAGGGAAATTCCCATTTACAGTTCATCCTTTCCAAGAAACATACAGGGTGACAGGAACAGGAGAACTGTCTCATTCTGATGATAACAAAGTCATAAGACTGACTATATTGTCATTTGATACCCTGATATTAAAGAAATGTTTGTGGAGAAAATATCAAGAAACTTACACAAAACTGTTTTTTTAATCAATTTCTTTATTACCAGTTTGTACAATCACGTTAATATTAGAAATATCGCAGTGTTATTCTAAATGCCTCCTAATAAACTCCATACATGATGATCAAAGAAAAACAACATGGCTTCACTGACTGATCTAACGGTCTGTCTCTACAGAAGGGATGTATCCCATTGAAATTAACGGGGTTGTTTTTTAAATAAAGTTTTGACAGTTTATGAGGAAAAAAAGAGCGCTCTTTAATCTGCTGCTGGCGGGAATCCAGACGAACTGAGAGAAGCTACCTTAGCTCGGTTAGCTCCACTTTAGTACTACAGCACCCTTTAAAAAACACCTACAGATATAAGTCATTATACAAATCCGAATAGTTCTGTAGATTAACCCAAAAATTAGCCGTCCGAATCTATTTTTGTGGATAATAAACCAAACTACGACTATTAGCAGAAAATTGCTAAGTCTCCGTTAGCTGTTAGCTCTTTAGCATCGCTCCGTTTGGTTGAGTCATTAATTTAAATTTTCCTGGAGAACAGGGTCAGAAAAATGGCATCAGCGAGGAAACAAATGAAGAAGAAAGTTCCAGAGGAAAAGGCAGATAAGAAAGTGTTTGACTTTAATGAAGAAGATGGAAAGAAAGAGATGATGAGCGGTTCAGAGGATGAAGTGAGAGGAGGTGAGAGGAGCTAACTCAGGGTTTTAATAGTTATACTAAATAAAAACACTTTAATGTAAATCGCTGTGAACAGATGAGACTCCAGTAGCAGATAAACAGGCGAAGAAAAGACCAGCTGCTGACTTTGATGAGGAGGGAGCCGCCTGTGCTGTTGGGTAAATATATTCAAAATAAGTTTAAGATTACATTAATATGTCTGTGTAATATCAGCTGTCACTTTTAACTGTTTATCTTTTAACAGAAATGAAGTTCAGTCCATGTTGGAGAGGTTTGGAGGTGAGTAAATTTAAGCAGCTGTCTGTGTTTATGGTCCTTACCTCAGGTGTGGATATAAAATAAAGTTTGGTTTCTAGAAAAAAGTGAAAATCTGGGCATATTATAAATCTTTTCTCTTCTGGTCCAGGTGTGAGCTCACAACACAGTAGTAGAAGTACTTAGTATTACATTATAGTTTAGTATTTATGATTAAGTATGCAGTATTTTACATTAGATAAAAAGATGGACTCGTAGGGGAGAGTGGGGTAAGTTGAGCCAAAGGGTAAGTTTCCCCATTGGTTGTAAATGGTTAAAGAAATTGATCGTGTGACCAAATATTGAGGAGATGGGCATCAATTCATGGAGTCTGTGAAGGTTAGAAGCATAGACTATGTAAACTATTGACAACTTGGTTCCGCCTCCCGCCTGTATATGAATTTGAAGCCAGAAAGCTCTCGGTATTTCCGGAAAACATGAACCCCCTGATAACTTTTAAAAATGGAGCTGTACAGAAAAAAGAGGACTTGAGCACAAACCAGTCTGACAGTAACTACATGTCAACATCACAACCAGGGGGGAGAAACATTTATATTCTGTGTCATTAATTTATAAAGCTTGTCCACAGCTCCATAAGGAGGCGGGGTTTATGACCTTTACTGCAGCCCGTCACCAGAGGGCGCTGTTCTCAGAGAGAGGAGGCAGACGGCATCTATTCTAGATACAGTCTATGGTTAGAAGCACATGGGTGGAGGGGTTAGACATTTATTTTAAAAAAAAAAACAGTTTTTTTTTCACTCTGTAAAGTGAATTTAGTCTGTCATCAGTTTGATTAGAATTGTGTTTAGACCAAAAAAGATAATTTTAGTTTTTTACATCAATTGTGGTATCTATGAGCTCCAACATAAGGTCAAAAACCTAGCATAAAAGTCCACCATTTTAGTTTAGTGGACTAATAAAGTCATCATAGTAGTTCAGGAGGGGACTGAGAAAGTAAAGTAGTCTGATGCGGTGTTGCCAGATCAGATTGACAGTTTGTAAACCCGTAAAATCATAACACATGCAATAAAAAACGCTCATAATTATCCAGAGCTTCATATAGCATCAAATAACCACACATACATGATAAATAGGTTTAATTTCAACAAACAAGAGCGCAGTAAATCAACCATAGGCTACACAAATTACAAGATAAACCTCTGGCATCCTAGCGCCAGGCCCAGATTAGTAACAATGACTGCTGCACGTAAAAAGGTGCATTTTTAACCATGTAGGCCTAATGAATGTAATTATTTACATCACAAATGACCCGTATGAGGACTACTTACAAAACAATTAAAAACAAACAAAAATGCACAGAGCCCCTCTTCCTGCCTCTTTTTCTCCACCTGTGGGGCTGAAAGACGCACATGACCTGTCCGTACAGCATCTGACTGAGATTTCAAACACACAACCACGAAAAACTAGTTTTAAGATGAACGAGCAAATGCTGTAAGTGGGCTACAAATCAGTCACAGTGCAAATAAAATAAGGTGAAATAAAAACAACAATAAATGAACAATATTGAGAACCAAAAACTTTTTTTGTTCAAATGTTTTACTGAACAGCTTTTTATCAGTAATATGTATTAATAATAATAATAAAAAGAATGATTGTACCAGTTGAATGGAGTATAATAGATAAAAATACACATGAATATGAAGAAGTGAGTGTTATTAAGGGAGAGAGAAGGTGAGAGAGGGCTGGGGTGAGTTGACCATAGGAGACCACTTTTTCTGAAGATGACAGTTCTGTTCACACTCATTCTGTTAGTTTTCAGGGATGAACAACATCCTGAAATATCTGCAGAGACACAAGTCAGAGACTAAACTAGGACTCACTTGATGGACTGATCCCAAATATGAACATGGATCATCTTACCCCACTTTTCCCTACCTTAATCGATCTGATAAGATGCTGTGCTGTGTGTTTGCTTTCAGCTGATATCAGTAAAGTGATGCAGGCCAAGAAGAAACGTCTGGAGGTTCTGACAAAGAACTACATGAAGGGAAGTCAGCACAAACTGGAGCAGCTGTGGAACACCCACCACACCCAGAGGTTTGACGGTTTCCTCCTAAAACTAGAAAACTTTGGGACAACCTGCTGAAACTTTTGGCATCTCTGGGAAGTGAAGTGTCTGGAACGGGTTTATAGATACTGAGAGCAACAACAGCAGAATATATGCAGAGGGAAATAATCAAGTGATATGAGTTATATCACCAGAATCTGTTCATCATAGAAGTTGTAACTCCTGCCTGCTGAGCAGTGATCACATTTAACTCAGTAAAAATGTACTCTTCTTGATTGTTACCCTTTATTACTAATCTGTTAGTGAATGTAAGCATTGGTCTTTTCTACTGTTTGACATTTATTGATAGCTGTGGTGAGGCTAAGACCGTGGGAGATGATCTACAAATTAATTATGTTTTTAAAGATTAAGATAAAACTTGACTGATCAAAGGAGGGCACAAAAAAACTACCAACCATTATTATAAGTTATAAAGATGAGTTTCAGTTCTGCCAGAGTTCATTCAGTATTATCCCACACAGTCGAACTATTCTGCACAACAAGCCTTTTTAATGTTGGTACTTTAAGTCTGTTATGTTGTGGACATGTTTGTTATTTTGCCAGCTTTGTTTAAGATGTGTTTGTTTGTGTGTGCAGGCAGAAGATGACTCAGCAGTACTCCCAGCAGGTGTCCACCGCCCTGCAGCAGTGGGAGACCGAAGCCCAGCGAGCTGAAGAGCAGGAGGAGAAACTCAATGTTTGTTCACGCTCTTGTTTTATTGGATAGATAGAGAAGCAGGTTTGATGCCTTTTGGTGTCCGTTCTGCTTTTTAAGGTGAAATCTTCTTAATGCAGGATATCATTTTGTCAAACGAGCAACACGTTCATGATGTTCACATTCTCAGAAAAGAGGCCGGAGCTTAGTTAGGATCGTTGAAGTGAAACGTGACATTTACAGGATATTTTCCATGAATGTGCGCTGGAGGTGATGGGTCTGACTTCATGGAGAAACAGCAGAGGTGATCATCTGCAGTTCTTCTCTCTGTAGAACCTGTTCAGACAGCAGCAGAAGATCCTGCAGCAGGCCAGAGTGGTGCAGAACCAGAAGCTGAAGACTGTCAAACAGCTGTATGAGCAGTTTGTAAAGGTGAGGTCTTTGACACGGTGCTTCCTGTGACACTGTAAAAAGGGTCTTACTTTTTAGCGAAAAGTCCCAGGTACTGATCAGAGGTTGTTCTTGTTTGCGCTGAATCAAATCATCTCATCTCTGCTGCTCCTATACAGACGTTTACACACCAAGCTGCACTGTGGTGCCTCAGTCAGTGTATACAGGCTGACACTGCTGTTACAGAGGGACAGAAAAGACCAGATATCTGCTCATTTGCAGGATACAGAATTAGTCAAAGCTAAACTAAAACCTTTTAACCATGAAGGTAATTTTCTCTGGATAAATCCGGAGATGTAGTCCATAGAGGCGGTAATCGATGCAGCTGAATAAACGGATACCTGACCTTTCAGAGCATAGATACTGTAATATTTGTAAGACGTCATGGCATTTACCTGGACCCTTTACCTCTTCTGTCACATCTGACCTTCCTGTTTCTGTTGTCTTATCATCAATGAAATGAAATATTTAAACACCATGAGATCATTGAAAACTGAAGTCATGTGGTCACTGGATTCAGGAATCCTGTTGTAGAGATCCATGAAACCCAAACCTGTTCTGTGATTTCTGTAGAACATGGAGGACATGGAGAAGAGCCATGATGCTTTCCTGCAGGGGGCACAACAGGAGCTGAAAAAGGAGATGGCCACCCTGCAGAAGAAGATCCTCATGGATACGGTAAGTGTAGAGTGAAGGTCCAATCCCAAACCGACCCCCTCACACTCACCCTTCACTCCTGAGTGTCACTCGTAATGAAGTTACACTCTCAGCTGTTGGAGTGCGCCTCATTTGAAACAGGAAGGTAAAAACAAGACGGGCGGGTATGGGACGCCTTCTTCACTCCACCGGAAAACTGAAGCCGTTCTGAGCCGCACCGTCTGCCTCGTTTCTTCATCCTCCCAGTAAAATCATAAATCCAGGAACCATCAGAGTGACAGGAACTAAATTAAACTTCTGATTGTTAGTGATTCCACATGTCTTTGAACTCCTTTACTATTGGACATGTTTCTGCACAATCAAAACAAATGTCACCACAGAGTGTGATTTTGGAGTTTCATTTGATCTTTCCAAACCACGTCTTATGTGATTTTTTTACCTGCAAATCCTGTCGTGAGTGTGCGTTGGTGCAGACTCGCTGTCAAAGGGCTGAACGGTCCTCTCGCCCTCCTCGCTCTGTGGTTTGGGACGGCCTTCAATGTGGCAGAGCCTCCGCAGGGGCGCACAAACGGAGGGAGAGTGTTTAGGGGGCAGTTTGAGATTGGGCCAGAAAGTGTTAAACCCCGTATGACTGCAGAGGCTCAGAAGAAGAAAATCATCGAGATTAAAACATTTGAAAATATCCTAACATTTACACGTCGTGTTCAATATCTGTCTGAAATAGACCTAGTGACTTTTATCTCACCGAAACTTTTCATTTTAAATAAGAAGTGAAATTTAAAACATATTTACATTTTTTTAAACATGTGAGAAAGGAAGTTACAGACCTTACAGTTACAGACACACCTTAGAGGAAGCAGAAGTTTATAGTTGTGTGTGACAAACATGATACCATGATGAATGTTTACGGTTCACACACTTGTTTCCACAGCAACAGCAGGAGATGGCCACAGTCCGTAAGTCGCTGCAGTCCATGTTGTTCTAGTGGAGTGTAAAAGAGCAGAGAAATGAGGAGTGGTTCTGAGAAATGCAGGAGTGTCACGTTTACATGTCGTGTTGTTTTTAAACGTGACGTATTTATTCTGCTTGAGTTTATGATGGTTAAGAGCTTTTTTAGGAGTTAACTGAATTCATTTCCTGCTCTTATCAGTGTGTTTGAGTTTTGTTCACAGCAGTCATAGTTTCATGTGAATAGAGTGTTAAGTCTTGGACTGCTTAAACAATCTGTTGTTGAAGTTAAACAAACAAAAATATGTAACAGGAGCTTTGTATGAAATTATTTGATGTGAAACTTGAGACAAAAGTCCTCCCTCAGATTTATAAATAATAAATGATTCTTCCTCAGCTGTTCGGGTCGGTCTTTCTTTTTTAAGTCTTCAGTAGAGTCATAATTTTTATATATATTGATCACATTTAGCTCTGTCAGAGTGTGTTTAAGGTATAGTTTGTAAAAAAGGGATTAATTTGGTCATAGAAATCAAACTCTAGACTAAAGTGCTCCCTTACTCACTAGACCGGGGCATATATGAAAAAAACTTGGTTAACTTATATGTTTTTTTATTATTATTATTATTATTTCAGTTTGGTTAACTTATCTATTTTATTTTTTAGCTTGGTTAACATGTTTGTTTGTTTGTTTTTTAGCTTGGTTAACTTATTTTTTATTTATTTATTTATTTTAGCTTGGTTAACATGTTTTTTTTTGTTTTTTGTTTTTTTATCTGGCGGTTCTCGGCCACCGTATAATTGAAACAGGACTTATAGGTACTTTTTCTGAGCTACTGTGAGTCAGCTTTTCTTTTGACCTTCACTTTCTGTTGAGAGAATAATCACTACGAAACAAAATCCCCTAACTAGATGATATATATATATCAGGGTTAATGCGGGTGGATGTTATTTTAGTCATTTTTGTTGTCGTTGTGGGATTCTTGGTACTTATCCGCTCATCACCGCAGCGCTCTCCAGTCCAGTAGGCGGCGGTATCGCGCTTTTGAGCTGGTATTCAAACCGCCAATTGGATCGAAGGAGGAAGAAGCGGGAGACCCCGGTGTTCTGTGGAGACCTACGGCCGTGTTAAGTAAAAACACTGACCTGCTACTTTTAAATGTTATCTATTCGCTCCAGAGCATTAGAAGCGAGTTTTGACACCGAATTATAACATATAGAGTCTGAATCTAAAGCGAATCTTCATTAGATATTATCGTATGACGCTCTAAAAGTGAGCATCATACGAATCTTCCATTGCGCAAGCTTTTGGTTGTACGCATGCGCATAGCTGAATAATCCCACATCTCGATAGATAGCATTATTCGACGGAACACCTTCTACGAGCGGTACTTCTACAATCTACAGCGACCGACGGTTATCAAAGAGAAGTAAGACGGAAAAGTTCAGGTAAACCAGACTTTTGTGAGGATTTTTTGAGTTTAATTTAATGTTTTTATTCAGTAACGGTCATGTTTACTTGCATGTAGCTACTTCTGCTAACGAAGCTATCAATAAGACACCGCTGAGTTTGTTCTCCTAATATTCAGTCTCAGACAAAGCCGAGCAGAGGTTCGATCTGAGTATCGATCCCCCTTTTCTTTCTTTGATAAATAGTGTGTTATGTTAAAAATACTGGATTTACTCGAGTGTTGAGGAGTTTTCTCAGCATGTTTTCATCCTCCCTCTCAGGTCTCAGGTCTGTGTTGCTATGAGGTTGGATTTGAGCTGATAAACAGAGGAGATCCAGGTGTGTACAGGTGTAGGAGAGGGCCATGGATGAGACGTTTGCAGGCAGCTCTTCTGAGCCGGACAGTCCTGGAGATTTGGACCGAGGCTGCCTCCTGGACCCGGCTGATGTCCTGTTCGAAGACCTGTCCGTCATGGTCCCTGTAACACCCAGGTAACACAGATACAGGTGGTTCAGACTAGACCTGCTCATGTGGGAAACAAGTTATCATCTGACCTACTGAGTCTACTCCTGCCGCTGTAGAGAAGGTTGTTAAAACCAGGTCCATTTACGAGATTAAGTAAGACACGTTAGAAAGACTGTCTTTAAACAAGATCATTCAGACACAGGTACACCTTTGAGGAAGTTTTTATTGAACTGGTGAAACTGAAAAAACAGGCCATACATGTCGTACATACGTGTACAACATCCGGAAAGATGAACAAAGTGCTTTACACAGTCATCGTCGTTTTCTTCCTCTTCATCTTGGTCCGGGTCGCAGGGGCAGCAGCTTCAGGAGGGAAGCCCAGACGGCCCTCACCCCGGCCACCTCCACCAGCTCCTCCTCCTCCGGGGGGATTCCCAGGTGCTCCCAGGCCAGGAGAGAGATATAATCCCTCCACCTGGTCCTGGGCCGGCCACGAGGTCTCCTCCCGGTGGGACATGTCTGGAACACCTATAACAGGAGGCGTCCAGAAGGCGTCCTAACCAGATGCCCGAGCCACCTCAGCTGACTCCTCTCCACGTGGAGGAGCAGCGGTTCTCCTCTGAGCGCCTCCCGAGTGTCCGAGCTCCTTACCCTATCTCTAAGGCTGAGCCTGGACACCCTGAGGAGGAAACCCATTTCAGCCGCTTGTATCTGCGATCTTGTTCTTTCGGTCATTACCCAAAGTTCATGACCATAGGTGAGGATCGGCACGTAGATCGACCGGTAAATCCAGAGTCTCTCCTGACGGCTCAGCTCTTTCTTCACCACCACTGACCGCTCTGATCCACATGTCGATTTACACAGTCAGATACAGGAAAAAGCCTAAAAAGTGATGAAACAATGGAGGTGATGATGAGCAGATGCTGCCAGGATCTGTGACAGTCTGGAGCCCAGACTCTGGACTGTTGTCTTCAAGTGTGAAGGAGAAAAGAAGAGCGTGGACGTCTGTCGGGTCTCCTTCTTGTTCTGTAGAAAATGTAAATCTGATTCCAGGAAACAAACTCTGGAAGTTTTGGTTTTAGTTTAGTGACTCAGGAGGAAGTGAAAGTTGATGTCTGCGGGTTTGTTGACTGTGAGACGATCTTTTCTGCTAATCGTGTTTGTTTGTATTTTCAGCCCTGAGCTGGGTAAACGGAGGAGACGTGTTCGCCCCACAGAGGAGTGTTTGGGTCCTGTAAGTCTACATGTTCAAGGATGCAGCACTCACATATGTTGTTCATATTGCTGGTCTCATATTGAAGGTCTGTGTTTTTCTCCTCAGGCTCCCGGAGACTCTCCGGAAGTTTCCTCCAGGACTGAACGAGGATTTTCTCATAAATCCAAACGCAGGCGGCTGTCGGCGCCCAGAGGAGAGCAGAATGTCAGCTTTGTTCCGGCGTCCTCTCTCATGGCTTTTCCTCTGAGCAGCTGGTTGGAGGCATCATCCTCCTGCTCTTCTTCTTCTTCCTCCTCATCGTCCTGCTCCTCTTCCTCCTCCTCTACATACCTCACTCCGGGTTCCACAGTGGAGGTCAGTCCTGCTCCTCTCCGTGAGAGGATTATGCAGCGCCCAGCTTCTCCTCCTGCAGGGGGCTCTGACTCTCTGTCCTTCCTCACCGAAGAGGAGAGGAGGTGGCTGAGCAGCGAGCAGGGGATCCCCTTAACAGGTGAGGAGACTGAGGACAAACGTTCAGTTTGCGTCCTCGAGGTCCGTTTCTGTTTCAGGTGTCGGTTCTGATGTCTGATTTCTTCCTCCTGCAGCTCCAGAGCAGATCATCATCAGTGACGATGATGAAGCTGTGGTCCGCTCAGCGCAGGAGGTGGAAGACGAGGCGCTGGCTCGAAGCCTTCAGGTACGATCCGTCACCTGCTGACAGTCAGTACGTTTACACGACACTCAAGAAAACCGAATTATCGCCTTATTCCGATCAAGACCGGATAACTGAAGGTCATGTAAACACCTTAATCCGACTGTAATCGGAGTTTGAGAACTCTGACCTCTGAGGGACGAAGTTTAAAAGACATTTAAGGGTTAAAATGATCGGAAATAAAACAGATTTTTATGGTTTTCAGATGATTTCAAACCAACGTTGTCCAACAGGTTAGTCACATGACTCTGGAGTGGGAATCGGACAACTGGACTTAGAGACGAAACGTCTCGACTAAGTCCAGTTTTTCCAACGCTGTACGATGCTCCGTCTTCTTGTTTCTCCAAAATGCCCAGCAGCAGTTGTAGACACTTCTGACGTCTGACACCGACCTGCTGTTGTTGTTGACGGTTGTAAAGACCCATATCGCCCCCTAGTGTTGGGGAGGAGGACACGTTCACGTCAATAATTCGATTTTCTCATTCCCGATTCAGCGAAAGAAACGAATTATGAGTTTAGTCCGATTAAACTGTGACTGTAAACATATTGATTGACAGCTCACTGGTGCAGAGGGGGGCGGGACTAGTAATCCTCTGTTCTTCATCAGGCCCAGTTCGACCATGAGGAGGAGGAGGAGGCCCACAGCAGACACCACCATCATCACCATCACTACCATCATCTTCATCAGCAGCAGCAGCAGCAGCAGAGCTACAACAGGGTGAGACCTGCTCCTGGTTCTTTTCAGTCCACTAAAGTGTCTCCTCATGTCCTTTCCTCATGTCCTTTCCTCACCTGGTCCTGCTCAGGAAACAAAAGAGTAGACAGTGTGTGAATGTCCTGACGTTGACCTCTGCTCTCACTCCTGCAGCACCACCCTTACATGGAGTCCGGCTGGATGCCTCACCTGCTGGCTGCTGTCTCTCCTCTGACCGGCTTTGAAGAAGGTGAGATTCTCCTCACACACCAGGGCGTCAGTGACCCTCCAAACAGGACCAGATTTAGACAGTAAAGGGGTTCAGCAGACTGGACAGTTCTCAGTCACATGACATCAAACAGACTGACGTGTGTGAACCTTCTTAGAGCGGGCGTCAGGGCGGTCAGCGCTCAGACTCACTTCATCCTCTCACCTCTTCAGAGTCTGTGAATCCAGGACTCGGTCTCTGCTGCAGGACTCTTCCTAAACTCTGGATTTTGACCTTTCCCATCAATTTAGTCAGGTGTTCTTCTGAGTGATCGGGCTCGACTGATATTTGTTTTTCAGGGCTGATAATGAGCAGTTAATGAGGCTGATCGTTTATTCAGAGTCTTATTCTGAGACTCAGAAACATTCAGACCACGCTGAGTATCCTAACGCCACTCCTGGGCACCTCAGTCCTGGTCGCAGGATTTTTTTTTTGGTAGGATGTTAGAAGAAGGTCCCGCCCTACTTCACCTCTGATTGGCTAGAAGTGCTGCGCTCTGATTGGTTATTCCTTATGGCTGTGAAATGTCATCGTCTGTCAGGTTAGGAGATTCAGAAGTGCGATAATGTTCGATGTTCAGAGCCGACAGCCCGCGTTCGGCTTGAGTGTGTGATGACGCTTCACAGCCAATCAGAGGTGAAGGAGGCGGGACCTTCTTCCATCCTGCGAAAAAAATATCCTGTCCTGGTCACCACTGCACATGTGCAGCTCCTTAGAGATGGGATTGGAGTAAGGTGGCTCACTTTAAGGCTTTTCTGGTTAGGGAGGGGAATTGATAAGATTTTATCGATATCGATGTCGTTATTGATTCTGCTTATCGATTCAATTCTTTAACAATTCCCTTATCAATGTCTTTCTTTGATTAAAAGAAAGTAGACTTTAGGTTTTCAGCGTTAACTCAAAACTTCTGATACTGATAACAGAAACAGACGTCTGCCGCCTTCAGTGAGAGTCTAAAACAATCAAACAGAAATGATATTTATACAGAATTTCATCGTATTTATGTAAATACAGGACATATGTTAGAGTGACCATATTCTGAATCCACAAAAAGAGGACACGACCACACGGAGCGGACTTGAGTGTGCAGTGTTGAGCGTTTTTTTGTTTGTTTGTTTGTTTTGTTCTTCTAACTCAGTTAAACACATTATCCTGAGTTCCCAAAGACGGCACATGCTGCGTCGCATCAGTGACTTTGTTTAGAAGTGAGCGGAGGGGCGGAGCTGCAGAGAGGACTGATCCTCTGCTCTGTTTTATAATCAATGAAAACACGTTCAGGACATTTGAAGGATTTTATAAACCCCCCCGGACAGCCCCCCGTATGGTCACCCGTACAGACCCGTACTGCTCCGTTTCAGACGGCGCTGAAACGGAGCAGCAGCGGCTGACGACCGGTGTTCAACAGGTGTTGTGTCGTAGAATGGACCCCTGACAGGAGCGTGGGTAGGCCTGTCACGATAACAAATTTTGCTGGACGATAATTGTGCTACAAATTATTGCCGATAAACGATATTATTGACACCGTTTTTTAAATTATAGATAATGATATTAAATGGCATAATAATGCGAGTACACCGTGTCAAAAGTGATAAACTTTAATTTTACCCACGACGAAGACGTAACGTTGACGAGCTAAACATAAGTCGGAGATGACTAAAATGTGACGAGACGAAAGTGCGTTTACGTTGATGGGACGAGACGAAAATGACGAACAGAGTTGCAAAACTCAGTCAGTTAAACGCTAAACATACAGGAGCAGCTTCAGTCCGCTCTGACAGCTCTCATCAGCCTGCTGTGCTCCTCCAACACACAGACACACACGCGCGCACACACACACGTGGAGTTTTGTGGTTGACGAAAACAAAACTGGTTTAAAGCCGAAATATTCCCACACTTGGGCTGTTGCGTTCGGTTTAGACACCAAAGCTGTCGTGTTCATTCTGTTTGCTTGCTTTTCACTCACGACGCTCACTTGCAGCACTGTATCCAAAAGTCTGTGTCTGTGTGCCTGTGCGCGCGCCCCCCCCCCCCCCCCCCGTGACAAAGACACTGAATGACTGACAGGAGGGTTCACTAACTCCGTTCATTCCTCTATACAGCCAACGCCCCCAGGTGCCGAGAACAATGCGCAGAGTGAGACCTCTTCTCTCATCCAGCGTGTTTGGTAGCGAGAGAGGAGGAAAACAAACGCACGTCAATTATCGAGGCTGGTAAAGTTATCGACCTCGTTTTTATTTATCGAGCGATAAGGCGATTTATTGATTATCGCGACAGGCCTAAGCGTGGGTCAAAGTTCATAACAAGGTGAAATGTTATGGGATACATTCTACAACACAACACCGGAGGAAAGGATCGAGTTCATGTGACTCCTTATATTTGACGCCCCGTTGACAAATGTGTTTCCATCTTTGCTTGTTCTCACTGCTCGACAAACGTCGCACTGTCGTCGTCTTTCTGAGTAACATTAAACCACGCTCGTTTCTGCCAACTTTTCGGACCGTCCGCCATGTTTTCTCCTCTGTCTCTGTTCTCGTATGCAGAAGAAAGGAATGGTTTAGATAAAATGTAAATGATGTCGATGGACTGAACCATTTGGAACCAGTTCTTAACAAGAACCGGTTCTCGATGCCCATCCCTATTTTTGGTGCACACTGTCTGTACGGTTTCATCTTTTTGGTTCAGTGGTGTTTGAAGAAGCTTAGAGCCACGATTGAGTAGAAGTGTAGATCTCACGCCGTTCAGTGACCCCGGTGAAAGTTTGCTGGGGGGCTTTGATGAAACTTCAGTATCGAAAGTTAAAGTCCGTCATATAATCCAGAGTATTTAGATCAACACCTCCATCTTGAATTATCTGGAGGCTTCAGGTAAAGACGACTCTGGGTTTCTGTGAGCGTTTCATTTCCAGGCGTCTCTCTCTTTAGTGAATAAATGAACTCAGACTCTGTCTTCGTCTTCGTCTGATGACAGTGCGTTTGTTCTCTGCAGATCTGATTGGTCAGCCCAGAAGACGAGGGCGGGGCAGGAGGAGGAACAGACTGCCTGAGTTTTCAGACGACCTCCAGGGAGGCGACTACGAGGTGAGGAAGACCAGAGTCTGTTGGTGGTCCTGAAGTGTTCAGACCGTCTCTGTTCAGAGCTTCAGTCTCGTTTGTTATAAATCCTCCGCTGGGTTTTCAGGCTCTGCTGGCCTTCGAGGAGCGTCAGGGCGCCGTGGCGTCGAAGAAGCTGAGTCGGAGTGAGATCCAGAGGTTCCCGATCAAGTTTTATCAGTCTGCGAACAACGCCGGGAACACACAGTGAGTCTGACCCAGGACCAGGACCAGGACCAGGACCAGGACTGGAGTGTATTTAGGAGTCTGGATTATTTCAGGATGTTAAGTGTCTGTTTGATTGACAGGTGTCAGATCTGTTTCTGTGACTACACTGACGGGGAGAAGCTGAGGATGCTGCCCTGTTTCCATGACTACCATGCGCCCTGTATAGACCGGTGGTTGAAGGTAAGAGCTGGCGACAGTTTGATTGACAGACGGAGGTTCAGATTAATAATCTGGATTTTAAAAAAAAAAGGATTTTATTCATGAGGAATAATTTAAACTGAAGTCCTCACGGGTCTTTGAGTGGGCTGGGCGAGAAAACGATTAATTAACTAAAAAACATGATCAATATACTGTTTGATAGTCGTCATTCTGACATGTTTTGGTGGACGATACGAACAGCCAATACTATAATAATGATATTCTGGAAGTTTCTGAAGACTCTCCGTCCTCTGCTGTGAGAGACAGCTGATCGAACCCTGCTCGCTCTGACTGTGTTTCTCTCCGGCAGGATAACACCACCTGTCCCATCTGCAGAGCTAACCTGGCTGACAGCGACTCCCTCGCCCCCCAGCACCTCTGACCTCTGACCTCTGAACGTTCCCCCTGAGAGCCGACAGGTTTGAGCTCTCGGCGTGCCGGTGTTGGACTGTAGTTGGTGTCAGAGAGAGACGACTGCTTTGAGCGTTTTTATATTTTTATTTAATGTTTGCCTCAGAACTGAATTCAGAAATAAAACTTTTTAAAGATGTTGGTTTTTTTCTGCTTTTATGTCGAGGAGGATTTCCAGTCTGCTGATCATCTTGATTAAAGACGTCTTCCTCTCATGTTTGTCTCGTGTTTCAGCAGGATGTCTTTGATAAAGTGGACGTGTTTCAGTCCCTCAGAGTCTCTGCTGCAGCGCTCACTCCTCGTAGTAACGTTTCTTCATGGCTCTGTACTTCCTCAGGTAGTAAAGCGCCTCGAGCTCTCGGGACACAAACTCCCCTCGAGCGATCATCTCCTTGATTTTCTGCGGGTCCTGCTCGGACTTGTTTTTGGTGAACGCAGCTCTCAGACGGTCCCTGAAGTAATCGCCACCTTTAGGATACTCTCGGCCGAGGTAGAGGAGCTGCGGAGGGGACAGAGGGGACAGATCTGATCTGGATATTCCTGCTGCTGTTTCACGTGTTTGAGGAAAATATAATAAATGGGAAACATTTTCCTTAAAGTCAATTTATTCTTAAAGTAATTCAGATGAATTAAATTTGACCAGCCGAGCAAAAACCAGAAACACTGTAAATTAAAGTTAAAGAGAAAATCTGTTTGACAAATGATTGAAGAAGTGATCAGGACATTCAGGTCAGGTAACCCTCTGAACACCTGTGATTATTTCACACTGAGAGGAACTCAGAATCACTGCTGCTTCACACACACTTTCACAAACACACACACTCTTACACACACACTCACGTTCTTATAGAGTCGGATGACTTCAGCCCTCAGAGGGTTCGCCATGACTGCAGAGCTGAAACACAGAAACACGTCATTGGAGACCAGGTGGGTACAGAGACACGCAGGTGAGTTTAAGTCACATTAATGCTTTTTACGGTGGCCGAGAACTGCCACTGCTGAAGATTAAAAAGAATGCAAAAAAAAAAAGTCACAACGGAAGTTACCGATGCAACAAAAAGAGAAACTGAAGCCTGCTGCAAATAAAAAAAAGAAAAGGTGCAGATTTTTAAAAAGTCACAACAGTAGTTAATGATGCAAAAAGTAAACCAACTTGTTGTGAAATAAAAGGATGCAAATAAGAAAAAAAAAAAACTACAGAAGTGACCTCCGCAGGTTTTGGATTCAGTTTAATGCTCAGACTCATTTTTTTCGAATGTTTACAACGGGTTTTAGTTTGGGTAGAAAATGTTAAAATTAAGTATGGGAAAGGAAGTGTTAAAACTACGGTGGCCGAGAAACGCCACTGCTGCAAATAAAAAAAAAAAAAAACTTGAAGCCTGCTGCAAATAAAAACAAACACGGTGCAGATTTAAAAAAAAAGCCACAACGGAAGTTAACAACGCAAAAAGAAGTGGCGATGCAAAAAAGAGAGAAAAAAAAGTTACTTACTGTTAAAACAAAAATATGCAAATTAAAAAAGTCACAACAGAAGTGAGCTGTCAGGGACCAATAATGATGATGCACCGGTGTTTGACGATCTAGACAGAGAAGACGAACAAAGAAGTGGAAAGGTTATTGATTAATTTCACTTCAGTTTAACTTTATATGGACTCAGGAGCTACACAGTCTAACCACATGACACATTAAAAAGTTTATGAAGTGAAATTAAACAATAACCTTTACACTTCTTTGCTCGTCCTCTCACCGTCATCTTCTGCGTCTAGATCGTAAAACACCGGTGCATCATCATTATTGGTCCCCTGCAGCCCACTTCTGTTGTGACTTCTTTTATTTGCATCCTTTTATTTTCGCAGAAACTCTTTTTTCTTTTTTGCGTTAACTTCTGATGTGGCTTTTTAAAATCTGCGCTGTTTCTGTTTTTATTTGCAGTGGACTTTAGTTTCCTTTTTTTTTTTTTTTTTTCATTCTTTTTTATTTGCAGCAGTGGCGTTTCTCGGCCACCGCAGTTTTGAACACTTTCTTTGATCCCATACTTAATTTTAACATTTTCTACACGAACTAAAACACGTTGAAAACTGAGAGTCTCTGAACATCAATCTGAATTTAAACTCAGTTAAAAACCCTGAGGAGGTCGGAGGTGAACTTCTTTAACACCTAAACTCCCGGATTTAACTTCAGACTTTCATGAAGAGTAAACAGAATTGTCATATCAAACTCAAACATATTAGTTTAGAGTTTAGAGTTGATATTGAGAGTGAAGCTCTTACCTGTTCGGTGACCTTTGCTCAGCAGCACCTGTCTGATCTCTGTGAACTCTGAAACCGTCTTACATAACTTCACCTCACTTCTTTAACTTTAGAGTCCTCAAACCTAAAGAGAGAGAAAAAACCTCCTCAGTGTTTCTAATTAATGTTAATAAGTTCATTCAACTTTGGCCTCTTTTAAGTAAAACACTTACATAACTATAACTTTAACCGTGGGAGACTGGAGCTCGACCTGACAGCTGGGACACACAAACAACCAGGAACCCACCAGTCCGCGCATGCGCAAACCTCAAAGCGCCGCTCCATATTTAGATTTTCAGAATAAAAGCTTTTTATTTGCGTCTCTTTCAAATTAATTTACTGGAGTTTAAACTGGTTAGCTCAAAGTACCTCAAAAGGACAGTTTTCTCATGGTAATTTTATCATGAGTTTTTAATTGTGTTAATTTTAATTTTCTACGGAAGCCCAACACTGTTTAATTTTATCTGCTGTTTGTTTTTTCGTGGATCAGAAACATTTATTTTAATAGATGTCTGTGTGAAGTAAATGATCTATAACAGCCCTGAAGTGTAACTACACAAAAACAATTCAGTGCATGCCAAAAATATTTGTTTTAACACAAATGATCAAATGCAAAAACCTTAAAAACACATTTTGCAAAAAAAATATCTAATTGAACAAAATAATTCAATGAACCTGGAAGTTTCATGCATTTGTTAAGGGTTTCATCCTTTTAAAAATAATAATTTTACATCTCTTAAAATGTTTTTGCATTTCATGAAATATTGTGTTATATGATTTATTTGGTTTATTATTTCTAAAATGTTTGTTCTATGAATTGTTTTGTGAAGAGCTTTAGGATTTCATTTAAAAAATAAAATGTTGAATATTTTTTCATTTTGAGGAATATTTGTTTATTTAATTTCCTGTTTTATAACCTCTAAAGAAGGAAGTGAAATGCTTTGGGTTTTTTATAAAATGTTTATTTAGAATATTTTTGTGGTGTGATTTGTGTCTTGGGTCCTAGTGAAATTTTTGTGTAATTGGCCTTTTAGGACCACCGGAAAATTCACATATTTTTGGAGCTGAAATGTTTATTTCACTTAATACTTAAAATCAAAAAAATCAAAATGTCGTTTAAATTTAACAAATACTTTTATTTATCTCGTTTGACATATTAGATGTTTTTGGATAAACTACAAGAGGACATTTTTATCATTTATCGGACTGTATTCAGATGTTTTTATTAATTTATTGATCATATTGATTTGATAGAAATCTGATCGAAAAGTCATTAAAGGGTTAATCCGTGACCTTACAGGAAGAAGGCTCCCGTTGGTTCAGTTTGTCCCTCGCTGGGAGCCGTAGTGGCGGGTTACAGACGGATCAGAAAAACAGACGATCTTCGGAAACTTGTCTGTTCTAAATCTTCTTTTCTGGTCAGTATGACTGATTTCTGTGTGAACTCCGTGAATATCTGTGTTCTTTCGGACATGTTAGCGCTGGTTTGGTTCAGTTTGACGGGATCCTGTGACTGTTGAGTAACTTTAAAAACACTGTTGTGGTTAACCGTGTTTCTAAACCCGTTTCTATTCTAAGTAGTTTTTCTGTTTCAGGTGAACTCTCTAAACTGTCTCCTCTTCTCCGTCTGTAAATGTGTGTTTTTAGAGTCTAATTAGATAAAATGAGCTGATTAAGTCTCTTCTAAAAGTTTTAAAATGATCTGCTGTCAGCTGTTCTCCGTCCTCTCCATCTGATCCTTCTGTTAAATAATTAAAAATATCTCTTAATCATCTTAGTACAACTTTCACCTCCTCACCTGTCCCCTCTCTGTCTGTATTTTTGATTATTTTAGTCTGTTTAATCATATTTTTAGTTTTTCTCTCCGACTCTGATAAATCTGCAGATTTTAGAGTTAAAATAGTTAAAAATCTTCTATAAGAGTTTGTTTTGTGTCTCGTTTCTTTAATGAAAGTTGATCATTTTGTCAGTAATTATTCATGGAGCTCTCAGGTGGGTTAAACTGTCATCCTCTCTTCCATGTAAGATAACTGTGTGTGTGTGTGTGAGTGATTATTGTGTGTTTTCCTCCAGGTGTCGTCATGGAGGAGGTGACCCGCCTGGTGTCGACAGGAGACTGTGTGAAGATCTGGGATGCCGTTTCCATGGCGCCGCTGGAGCAGTTTAACCCTCACAGCGTCAGCCACCCTGTGTCACAGGCCTGCTGGAGCGCCAACAGTATCCTGAGCGTGTGTGTGTGGACATGGAGTCAAACAGAGCTCCTGTTTTTATGTAAAGAATCAAAGGTGATGATGAAGTTGATGATTTTGTTTAGTAAAACAAACGTCCAGACGTCACACGGCTCAGGGTTTCCTGGTTTTTCTCTCATCAGGAGCTCAAAAGTTTGTATTTTATGTATAAAAACAGTGAAGATCTGAAACAGTCAGTAAGACACCTGAGTCCAACATACTGTTGAACATGAAGCTGTAATGAGGAGTTAAAGTGTAAGTCTCCTGTTTCTTGTTAAAATCTCAGATCGACCTGAAAGTGTCTCATGATTGTTTGATTCAGCTGCGAGGGCCAAAAGCTCGGAGTGAGTCTTTCTTATAGAACTGAACCGCCGTCCTAATCCGAACCGCAGATCTTAAAGGTTTGAGGTTAAACGCTGCACCATCCTTGACGGGGTCTTTCAGAGCAGTACCTGGTCACAGCCTGCAGCAGCGGAGACAAACTGGTGGTCTCCAGCCTCAAATCCACTCCTGTCCCGGTCCTGGAACTGGCTGAAGGGGTGAGTGCTCCACGGCTGTCACTGAAGTAGATATTGTCTCTGAGAGAGCTGCTCCACCACAGACGGACACCATGTTCACAGAGTCTGGTTTTTACAGTCTCATGACGGTGGAGAAATCAGCTGTTCTTCTGTGAGCCTCAAGTTTCTGTTACTGATGTGATAAAAATGAGTGTTTAGGGTCTGTGAGGTTAGCTTTGTTGGTGGAGCAGAGTCTACTGTGTGAGCTTCAACAGGACGACTCCAGGAGGACGGTCCTGGTAAAGGTCATAAATATATGAGGCTTGGAATGAATGTGTGGTCTGAGAAATAACGATTGGACAGGTCTTCAGGTTTGTCATCTTCACGTTTTTTTTTTTTTTTTTTTTTTTTTTTTTTGCGTGTCTTTCTTTTTATTTCTCCCCTTGCAGCACGCTGTAACACCAGCAACGTAAAACCACACTTTTAAGTTATTTCATGAAGATATGTTCTCGAAATAATGTGATTTCATGTTGTAATGTGAAAATATATATCTTTTTTTAACAACAAAACAGAGTGATGACAACAACAGAAACAACAACAAAAAGATAAAAAATAAAAAAAATTACAAAAATACTTCTGTGAGGGAGGGGAGGGGGGAAGGAATTTATAGAATATGTAAAAGAGAATTTAGAAAGAAAAGAAAACAGAAAAGAAAAATCTTAATTGGATTACATTGGAATATCTATATAATAATTATATGTATACATATACATACACATACAAACATACATGCACACATGCATACACACATATATATATATATATATACACATATATACCCACACACACATAATCCCCCCGAATCACCGACACAACAGCGACGATACAACAACCACAATAGCATTAGCAGTAACAACACCAGAAATACCGGCGACAGCAATGACAGCAAACAAATGACCGCAACGACGCTAACAATAATGACAGTCCTACTAATGAGGATATGGAATAACAAAAGCCACCACAATCCACAACACTATGGCCCAGGCCAGAGGCCGGCCCGGCCCCCCGCACCACCCAAAAAGCAGGCCGACCAGCACCCACGTCCACCGTGGTGGGACGCCTGCGGGGCACCCCACAGGACCCCGCCCCGCGGCCACCCGCCAACCAAACTGACCGCCCACTCCACCTCTAGATACCCCGGGCCGCACATGACTCTCCTCTTGTGTTATGTTCATGTGGTGCATTAAAAACTTCACTGTGATGTGATGTGATGTCATCTTCACGTTTAACGACCTTTGGCGGTTTTAACGCCGACGCCTCTCTCTGCTGTGTGTCCAGAAAAAACAAACCCGTGTGAGTCTGAGCTCATCGTCTCAGTTTGTGGTCAGCGGAGGTCTGGATCACTGCGTTCACATCTGGGACCTGAAGACCAAGAGACTGCACCGCTCCCTCAGGGTGAGACCACAGACACACACACACACACACACACCTCTGAGTGTCCAGGGTGAACACCGGTCATCTGTTAAAGTGCGTCTCCTCTTCAGGACCACACAGAGGAGGTGACGTGTGTTTCCTTCAATGCCAACGACAGCTACATCGCCTCCGGCTCCACCAGCGGAGATCTGGTCCTCCACAGTTTGACCACCAACCTGTCCAGCAAACCCTTCGGACACGGCAGCAACCAGGTGAGTCGCTGCGTCACCTCAAGAGTTCGATGGAGGAGCTGAACCGTCCCGTCACAACATCTCTGCGACTTTTTACCGCTCACTTAAATGAGAGGTCAGAAAGTTATCAGAGTCCTCTACGAAATCAGAACCACAAGTTCATGCTCCCGTTGAGTTTCCAGAACCAGCTGTCAGGTCTTTAAGGAACTTAAAGATCTGTGGTAGTTCTGGACGAAGACCTGGTTCGGTTTTCTGTCAGAGTCCAGATCGCTGTTCTCCATTTTAACGTCAGGGAACTTGACCCCGAGTCCTCCATCGCTAACGGGTCTTTCCTCTCCAGCCGATCCACGATCTGAGACTCTCGCCGCTGAAGCGCTCCCTGCTGGGCAGCGTCTCTGACAGCGGCACCGTGGTCCTGTGGGACTCCAACACCCAGAAGGAGTTACACGTGTTCGACAGCGCCCATAAGGCCCCCAGCTCCGGCATCGCCTTCTCGCCCGCCAGTGAGCTGCTGGTGGTCAGCGTCGGTCTTGATAAGAAGATCGTCTGCTACGACACAGCCAGCAAAATGTAAGACTCCAAAAAACTAAACTTTTTGTTTTTCGTTTGTTTTTATTTATTTATTTATTTTTTTGTTTTTATTTATTTTTTGTTTGTTTGTTTTTATTTATTTTTTGATTGTTTTTTTTGTCTGTTTGTTTGTTTGTTTGTTTTTTCGTTTGTTTGTTTTTATTTATTTTTTGATTGTTTGTTTTTGTTTTTTATTTATTATTAATTTATTTATTATATTATTATTATTTATTTATTTTTTGTCTGGTTTTTTTTGTCTGTTTGTTTGTTTGTTTGTTTTTTCGTTTGTTTGTTTTTATTTATTTTTTGATTGTTTGTTTTTGTTTTTTATTTATTATTAATTAATTTATTATATTATTATTATTTGTTTATTTTTTGTCTGTTTTTTTTATTATTATTTTTGATTGTTTGTTTATTTATTTATGTATTTATTTGTTTGTTCATTTGTTTGTCGTTGCAGAGTGCTGAGGTCCATCCGGGTTGAGGGTCCTCTGACCGCGGTGGACTTCACTCCAGATGGAACCGGTCTGGTGGTGGGATCCACCCAGGGGAAGATCTACCAGTACGACCTGAGGAACTCCAGCGCCCCCACCAGGGTGACGGTGGCACACAAAACCTCTGTGACCTGCCTGCGCTTCCAGAGCAACAGCAGCAGACCGAAGGTACCAACGACACTGGAACCAGAACTCACTGAGCTAAAACCTGAAAACGGACCCAGATGTTCTGCTGGGATTCTCATGTGGTCTACCCTGACTCTGTAGACCAGGTTTTGGGTCTTTAAAGGAAGTCTTTGTGATCTGGAACCATCAGCAGCTCTGTTCTGATCATGTTCCTGTCCTTCTCCCTCCTTTTCTTGTCCTCCTCTAGTCCACTAAACTGGGCTCTACAAAGATTGCCAGCATCACCAGATCCTCCTCCAAGATGACCAGCAGCCAGACAGACTCCGCCCCTAGCACAGGCCCCGCCCCCCACAGACAGGTGACAAGTACAGGTACAGTCAACTCCTTTGACACACGATCGTCACATGAAAATCTGTTTTTAAATTTTGTTCTTATTTCAAAGTTTTTGTGATCGTAGCTGATCGTAACCATTCAAGTTAACGTGTCAATTTACACCGACTTCTTTACATTCCTCTGCGGATCGCCGGACTCCTCAGCTGATCACAAGAGTTCTATTTTTTCTGGGTAAGAGGATTTTGTCCATGGATGATGAGGGCTGTGTTTTGTCCAGCAGGGGGCGCTGGTGTGGATGTGATGACCCGGGAGGCTGAAGGACAGCAGGGGCCGGAGCAGCTTCCTGTCCTGGAGAAGTTTGGCGGTGTGGGGCGGAACAGTCTGGACATGTTCTCTCCGGCGCGGGAAGGTCAGCGTGGTCACGATGCGTTCACTGACTCTGTAAAAACGGACGCTCCATCATTTCTGACTCATTTTCTCCGTCTGTCTGTCGTAGACTCGCGGACTCAGGGGACGGCTGGAGACCCTCTGACGGGGAGGACTCAGGGTACGAGGAGAAGTCTCTCTGTAATCTGGTTTTTAGGTGGACCAGGCTGCTGCCGGTTCTGGACTCACTGTGGTTCTGGACTCACTGTGGTTCTGGACTCACTGTGGTTCTGTGTTTCAGTTTCCAGTTTGGAGATGCTGTCCAGAGAGGGGGAGGGGCAGCCGGTCGTGGGTCGGGCCAGTCTGGACATCTTCTCCCCGGTCAGAGAAGGTTAGTCTGGTTCACATAACTGGGATTCTTATCGGGGTTGAAACTGGTTTAAACTGGTTTAAGGTGTTTTAATGGTTGATCCCTGAGTCGGACTGAGACAGAAACCAGGTCCTAAAGTGAACTGGACTTCAGGGACTCTGATCAGGGTTCTGTGGTTCCTGTCTGGTTTTGTCTCAGACTCTTATTCTGGAGGAGGATCCCATCGTAAGACCCCTCTGGGAACCCCGCTGGGAGCCTCAGCAGGTCGATGCTACAGCCCGCTATCCGCCTTCCAGACCCCGCCCCCAATCAAAGAGGAGGAGCCAATCCCTGCTGCTGGTGAACCGTGTGACTCCAGGAAGGTGCTGACCTTTGACCTCAGTCTGTGGTGTTATTTCAGTCACACCTGCAGCTCTGTCCCGCTCACCTGAGAGGAGATCTAACGGCGGTGTTTGTGTTGATTGACAGCTCGATAAGGCCAGCAGCTCCAGTCTAGAGGTGGAGGGTCAGACCACGCCCACATCATCCCAGCAGACCAATCACAGTCAGCCAGGCCCGCCCTTCTTCACTCCAGAGCCCGGTCTGAGGAGAGCCAACGGGTTTCAGGCTCCGCTAAGCTACGGGTCACCTGTTCATGGAGCTCCGCCCACCAGCACAGCAGGTATTCAGTTCTACTGACTTCATTAACAACTTAATTACCTCAGGTTTACTTTTCAGTTTATTTTTGTATATTTGGTTTTATAATAAAATAATCACAGTTTAAAAATTGTTTTTATTTTGATATTTAACTTTTATTTATTTATCTTTTTAAAATTATTACATTTTATTTACTTTTCTGTCAAATTTATAGTTTGTTTTTATTATATTTGATATTTATTTTACTTTTTTTATTTATATTTTTGAGTTATTTAATTTTATTTTCAATAAATTAAAGTTTTTTTTCTAAATTTAATAGCATTGCTATTATTTGATGAACTGATTTTATTCTTTTTTCATTATTTTAATTAATTTTTTTTATTTTATTGTTAAATTTTTACTCATTATTTTTAACATTTTTTATTTTTTTTATGTTTTCTTCCTACTATTGAGGTTTTTATTTATTTTAAAAAAATTTTATTGTTAATTATTCACTTTTTAATTTTTTTTTCAGATATATATTTATATATATTTTTTTATATATTTAAATTATAATATATTATATTTATATATATTTTTTAATAGATGAATATCAATAAAAAACAAACATGTTTACAAGGACATGCTTACAGGACAGTCTTGACTACACACTACATGATCTGAAAGGATGAAACGACTGAAAACTAAAGTGTTTGTTAGAACATCAGGACTGACTCAAACTCAGGTCAGAACACGAGGGCTGAAGTTTAGTTGATCAGAGTAAAGATGAAAACCCTAAAATCCGGTTTATCAAAGTGTTTTTAAAAACATTCACATGTCTTCAGGTCCGGCTCTGTCTGCAGCCGTCTCCTCCTCTCTGTCCCAGAACATCGCTGAGGTGGTGGGACAGGCTGGAGCCGCTCCTCTCACCTCCCTACAGATCCACTTCATCCAGAACATGATCCACGAGACCCTGGAGGACTTCAGGTGAGTCTGAGCTTTAAATCTGACACCGCAGACTGACGAGTGTGGGACTCAAAGTTTGTCTTTGTCTCCACCTCAGAGACGCCTGTCACAGAGACATCGTCAACCTGCAGGTGGAGATGGTGCGACAGTTCTACATCCAGCTGGTACGAAAACATCCCTGACTTTCTGTCGTCATGCTGACGGCTGCTGTTAGTAATTTAGGAAGAAAAAAGGATCAAATTGAAACTGGTTTTTGTTTGTTGTGAGTCTGAACATGTGAAAGGAAAGGTCTGATTCAGGTTCTTCAGAGAGCGACCCGACCCGACCCGACCCGTGTTCACGCTGTGTTTTTTGTTTCAGAATGAGATCCACGGTCTGATCGAGAAGTACTCTGTGAACGAGTCTCTGGTGGAGGAGATCGAGAAGCTGAGGGAGGAGAACCGCCGGCTGAGGACCAACTACTGACCCTCTGATCCTGAGCGTTTCTGTGCCTGTTGTGCCCTGAGTTCAGACTCTCAGGAAGTGCCTTCCTCTGTGCTGAGGGATGAGGTTTGAATTTTTACCCTGAGACTGCTGAGAGTCTGCAGCCAAAGATGAGAACTTTCTTTGTGGACTGAAGCAGCCGCCGTCTTTCCTCCATCTCTGCCGACGTTCAGTCAGACTGCGGCTGACCAGCAGCATCATGGATGTTTGAGATGTTGTGTTTTCTGAATCTGAAGAATGAACGGTGAGAAGAGTGTTCAGCTGAGTGTGAGAAAACAATAAAAAATAAAGTCCTTTCAGACAATGTCTAACGCCATCATCAGCTGTTAGCATCATGTGTCTGTTTCATGTTTTTACGGAAAAAAAGTCTAAAGAATTAAAAAAATGTTCATATAAAAATTAAAAAGAGGTCCTGTTGTGTCTCTTTTGGTCAGTACATGTTTACCTGAGTAATGAGTGGACTTCATCTGATGATAGGGGATCGCTACGGAAAGCCAAAGAGGACATTCAGCAACACTTTGATTAAATAATGGTCTGTAGCGCTCCTCAAAGTGACCGTGGCGCCTGTTTGTAAAGCAGCAGCAACTTTTTCCACAGGGAAACATGTTTGCATGATATAATCCGCCGATTCTTCTCACAAGAAAACTTTTTTTTAAACAATTTATTTATTTTACATTTTTTCATAAACAGTATACAACTTCAATAACAAGAATAGAACTACAAATTTCACCCAAAACCGCCACCCTCCCAGAACAAACCCCACAGACCAACTCTAACCTACATCCATAATAATAATAATAATAATAATATTATATAAAAGAAAATATAAATAAGTAAAAGGATGGTATAATAATAATTATTATTATTACTACTACTACTTCTATTATTATTATTATTATTATGATATATAAAAGAAAATGTTAATAAGTAAAAGGATAAAAATAGTAACAATAATAGTTCAAATAATAAATAAATTAGTTGAATAATTAAATTCAAAAGAAAAAAAATGATGCAGCAAAGGTCAAGACATTGATGATGGTAAAGCACAGCTACTCCTGCAGATGTGCTTTAACCAACAACCACCACCACGGACGGAGCGCTACCGCAGGTCATTCCTCCCCTCTGCAATAAGACTTTACAACAAACTGCACTAAAACTGGACTCAAACCACCACTTGTTTCTGGTACTTAAATTGTGTATATTGTCGATAGTTTTATTTTCTTCTCCCCTTTTCTAAATTTTTTCTTAATAATTTCATTTATTTAAGTTCTTGATATTAGGATCTTTATTTTTATAACTGCATTTTTGCACTTTGTCAAACCTTCCTGATGTAGCAGCATTTTTCTTTGAATAAACCAAAAAATGCTAAATGATTGTGCCATGATTGACTTAGTAAAAGAATACAGCACAATGTACTTTCATTGGGTTGAATTTACTCCAGTCATGAGCCATGGCGAAGGTTCATCTCGAAGTAGTAAGGTAGTCAAGCAGTAGTCCGTTATTCAGCTGAAATGCTGATACTAATACTGTGAGATGGCTGAGGTATAATGCCCACATTACAATTCACTGGTCCGAACAAATGACAAACTTGAGCCAATAATTGAATGTCTGTGAATGTAGGCGGAAAGAGATCTGTGTGTTTAAAACGTCTCCTCGGGGACTCTGGGTTACTGTCCAGCTGTCTAAAAATTAAAAATGGAATATTTGGATTCCTATCAAAAAAGAAAAGAAACATGTACAGTAAAATCTAAAAATAACTGTTATCTTTGAGAGCAAAGTGTTTTAGATGTATTTTTAAGAAAATTAATTAAAAGGACAAATACATCCGGACAAAGAAGAAGAGCAAAGTCTGTCAGTAAGTCTGCTCCTCTCTTTCCTCAGTCAAATAACAGATAGACTCCTGGACAGGGAATGACTCACAGCATTTTTCCATCATTTACTGTAAGGTATCCTGGTTTAAAACAGGTACTGCATATTGTTTGAACAAAACTCTTTCTAAGACTTGATGTAACCGCTCTCAATAGTTAATACAGTTTTCTTATTTTAGACTATTGAGCTGCCAGAGACAGAATTCCCATTTACTGCCACTAATTTTGATTGACAGCTTTCACCCAGAAGGGGGCGTGGTCAACTGTGACATTCTAATGGAATCTGTGATGTCACAAGGACACAACTGTGACATTCTGATGTAATTGGTGAAGGACAGCTTTCACCCAGAAGGCGGCGTGGTCAACTGTGACGTCATCAGTGATGTCATCAAAGGCAACTCTGATGACATCACTGATGATGTAGATGCCTTTGAAGTTTATTTTAGGACCATTGCTCAGGCATCATTCTAAAGAACTCTCAGCACTCACAGTGACCAAGAGCTAGTTTAGTGAATTAGGTTTAAGCCAGGCTTAGCTATTTCTGATTTACAACGAGCTTTTTCTGCAGATAAGAAGATGAACAGGCTTGAAGACAACAAACTATTAAATAATAGGGCTCTATGCCCGGCTGCTCTGCAGCTGGCTCAGGCCCTGAAAAGATGTGGTATTCTTCCACCGTTAACAGTATCCAAGAAGTCCTCCCATAAAGAGACGGGCCATGATTTCCTGCTGGGGAAAACTGACAAAGAAGTGGACAAACGGAGCTCTGAGTCAGCACCGGAGGTATCTGAATCCTTCAAGGCTGATATGTCGAGCATGGACCTGTACGGACCAGGGCTGGATCAGGGCATTTCCGGTTTAAGAACTGATCCATCTGAAGTGTTCCCAGAAGTGGATGAACAGAGCGCCGAGTCAGCACAGGAGGTATCTGAGGATGAGGACATGGACCTGTATGAACCAGAGCTGGATCAGAGAAGTACCGGTTCTGAAGTTATCCCGGAAGAGGAGGAAGAGGAGGAATACCCCGAGGACTGGGACCTGTATGAACCAGAGCTGGATCGGAGAAGTACCGGTTCTGAAGTTATCCCGGAAGAGGAGGAAGAGAAGAAAGAGGAGGAAGAGGAGGATTACCTCAAGGACTGGGAACCGTATGAACCAGAGCTGGATCGGAGAAGTACCGGTTCTGAAGTTATCCCGGAAGAGGAGGAAGAGGAGGAAGAGAAGGAAGAGGAGGAAGAGGAGGAATACCTCAAGGACCGGGAACCGTATGAACCAGAGCTGGATCAGAGAAGTACCGGTTCTGATGTTATCCCGGAAGAGGAGGAAGAGGAGGAAGAGAAGGAAGAGGAGGAAGAGGAGGAATACCTCAAGGACCGGGAACCGTATGAACCAGAGCTGGATCAGAGAAGTACCGGTTCTGATGTTATCCCGGAAGAGGAGGAAGAGGAGGAAGAGAAGGAAGAGGAGGAAGAGGAGGAATACCTCAAGGACCGGGAACTGTATGAACCAGAGCTGGATCAGAGAAGTACCGGTCCTGATGTTATCCCGGAAGAGGAGGAAGAGGAGGAAGAGAAGGAAGAGGAGGAAGAGGAGGAATACCTCAAGGACCGGGAACTGTATGAACCAGAGCTGGATCGGAGCACTTCCAGTTTGGGCGGTGCAGAAAACGATCAGCTGATCAAAACTCTCAGGGAAGAACTTGAATCCATGCGTGAAGAAAACAAAAAAGTAGAGGCTGAGAAAAAGGAGGTGGTAGCCACCCTCGCTGAAACATTGAGTGTCATTGAGGGCGATCAAGAGCAAATTAGTTCCATGTCGCTCCATATTCAGACTCAGCAGGAGGAGTTAAAGGAGAGCAGAACTGAGATCCAAGCGCTGAGGGACAGACTTTCTGAGCAGCAGGAGGAGGGGGAGAAGAAAGATGTGGAGTTGGAGAAGAAAGATGTGGAGTTGGAGAAGAAAGATGTGGAGTTGGAAAGCCTCAGAGCCAAAGTGAAGGCCTTGTTGCAGACCAATCAAGAGAGGGATGAAAAAGTGTCTGAGATGACAAAAGAGGCTGAAGGACACAACATGAAGGTGGAGAAACTGAAGAGGGAACTGAAGAAGAGTCACATTCAGAAGGAGGAGTTAAAGGAGAGCAGAGCTGAGAGCAGAGCTGAGATCCAAGCGCTGAGGGACAGACTTTCTGAGCAGCAGGAGATGGGGGAGAAGAAAGATGTGGAGTTGGAAAGCCTCAGAGCCGAAGTGAAGGCCTTGTTGCAGACCAATCAAGAGAAGGATGAAAAGGTGTCTGAGATGACAAAAGAGGCTGAAGGACACAACATGAAGGTGGAGAAACTGAAGAGGGAACTGAAGAAGAGTCACATTCAGAAGGAGGAGTTAAAGGAGAGCAGAGCTGAGAGCAGAGCTGAGATCCAAGCGCTGAGGGACAGACTTTCTGAGCAGCAGGAGATGGGGGAGAAGAAAGATGTGGAGTTGGAGAAGAAAGATGTGGAGTTGAAAAGCCTCAGAGCCAAAGTGAAGGCCTTGTTGCAGACCAATCAAGAGAAGGATGAGAAGGTGTCTGAGATGACAAAAGAGGCTGAAGGACACAACATGAAGGTGGAGAAACTTGAGAGGGAACTGAAGAAGAGTCACATTCAGAAGGAGGAGTTAAAGGAGAGCAGAGCTGAGATCCGAGCGCTGAGGGACAGACTTTCTGAGCAGCAGGAGATGGGGGAGAAGAAAGATGTGGAGTTGGAAAGCCTCAGAGCCGAAGTGAAGGCCTTGTTGCAGACCAATCAAGAGAAGGATGAAAAGGTGTCTGAGATGACAAAAGAGGTCGAAGGACACAAGATGAAGGAGGAGAAACTGGAGAGGGAACTGAAGGAGAGTCACATTCAGCAGGAGGAGTTAAAGGAGAGCAGAGCTGAGAGCAGAGCTGAGATCCGAGCACTGAGGGACAGAATTGCATCTCTGCAGATAATGTTGGAAAATCTGCAAAATGCAATTAAGGAGAAAGACCAAATCGTTTCCTTGGTGAGGAACAAAGCTGATCGGCTGGCCTCAGACCTCAGAGAGGAAAGAGACAAAACCAGATCTCTGCAGATGGACCAAGCGGTTTGTGATCCCAAGCAGGAGGAAAAACTGGAGCACCTGACCAGCCAGAATAAAGAGTTGGCTTCTAAGAACCAAAGTCTGAAGGATGAGCTTCACCAGACTCAGATGGCTCTTCAAAAGCTCCAAATGGCCTCTGAGATCAGCAGGTTGCAGGCTGAGCTCAAGGTGGCCAAGAAGGAGAGGAGTGACGAAGAATGGAGCAGCAAACTGGAAGAGGAGAGGGATCGCTTCATTAGAGCTGACAGAGAGATTCAGGTTTTGAAGAAGGAGCTTTCTGACAAGGAGCTGGCTTTGGAGAAGAGCCTGGCTGCTGAGAAACATCTGCAATCTGCTCTTCAAAGTGAAAAGCAGGCCAAATCTCTGGACGCCTCTAATATCCAACTGAGAGAGGACTCCAGAGACCTGACAAACCTCAGAACTCAGTTAGTGGCAAGTAGGAGAGACTATGACCACATGTGGTCAAAATACCGCAGTCTCTCTGAGCGCGAAGAGGAACTGAGCAGCAAGTGCTTTGAAAGCAGGCTGGAGAACAGCAAACTGCAGTACATGACAGATGAGCTCAAGGCTAAAGAGATCGCGAATAACATCAAACTGGAAGCACTCAAAGACCAACTCCAAGAGGAGAAGAAGAAGAGCTTTGAGCTGCAGCTGAAGATAGACAAAGCTGCTCTTGAACTCCAAAAAGAAAAATTCTCCAGCCAGGAGCATGGAGCTAAGCTGCAGTACGCTCTGACGTGGCTCCAACAGGAACAGAAAGAGAACAGGAGGTTGACCAAGGATCTGCTGGATAGCAAGCATGAGTTCAACGCGTTCAGAGGCCAACAGACGGAGCTGAGGATCAAAGAGCTGGAAGACAACAACAAACTTCTGCAGCTTAAACCCAACATGCTAAACTTCAGCACACACGCTAACATTGTCACCTACCCGTAAAATACACCCAGCTCCACACACCCCATACGTATCACCCCCATGACCCCCATCAATCAATCAATCAATTGGACTTTATTGCTGACCCCCATGACCCCCCTGTTCTTATGGAGTGACGGACCCCACATATGGGTGGGCGTCTCTCTTTAGGTGTTGTTTGTTTTTGTGTTTGTCTTGTTTGTTTTCAGGCGGCACATAAGCGCCCCCTGTCGTATTGGGTTTACTCCGGGAGGCTCCGGTTCGCCCAGATTTATTTATTTTTTTTTTACCAAAAAAAAAAAAAAATAATAGTAATAATAATAATAATAAAAAAAAAAAAGTCCCCTCCTCGAGCTACCACCTTACCGTGGTGGAGGGGTTTGTGTGTCCCAATGATCCCAGGAGCTATGTTGCCAGGGGGCTTTATGCCTCTGGTAGGGTCTCCCATAGCAAACAGGTCCTGGAGGAGGGATCAGACTAAGGGTAGCTCAAACAGACTCCTTATGATGGACAAAATATTTTGCATCAAGTTTCCCTAGCTTGGACATGGGTCATCGCCTGGTACAGGTACCCCAGAACTGACCACTGATGTAACCCAGAACTGAACCCTGAGGTACCCCAGAACTGACCCCTGATGTAACCCAGAACTGACCCCTGATGTATCCCAGGACTGAACCCTAAGGTACCGCGGAACTGACCCCTGATGTACCACAGACTGAACCCTGATGTACCCAGAACTGAACCCTGAGGTACCCCAGAACTGACCCCTGAAGTACCCCAGAACTAAACCCTGAGGTACCCCAGAAGTGAACCCTGAGGTGCTCCAGAACTGAACCTTGAGGTACCCCAGAACTGACCTCTGATGTAACCTAGAATGGAACCCTGAGGTACCCCAGAAGTGAACCCTGAGGCACCCCAGGACTGAACCCTGATGTACCCCAGGACTGAACCCTGATGTACCCCAGAACTGAACCCTGAGGAATCCTAGAACAAACCCCTAATGTACCCCAAAACTGACTCCTGATGTACCCCAGAACTGAACCCTGAGGTACCCCAAAACTGACCCCTGATGTACCCCAGATCGGAACCTTGAGGTCCCCAGATCTGACCCCTAATGTAACCCAGAACTGAACCCTGAGGTATCCCAAAATTGACCCCTGATGTACCCCAGAACTGACCCCTGATGTACCCCAGAACTGAACCCTGAGGTACCCCAGAACTGAACCCTGAGGTACCCCAGATCTGAACCCTGAGGTACCTGAGGTACCCCAGAAGTGAACCCTGAGGTACCCCAGAACTGACCCCTGATGTACCTCAGAACTGAACCCTGGGCTACCTCAGATACCCAAAAACTGACCCCTGATGTACCCCAGAACTGAACCCTGAGGGACCCCAGAACTGAACCCTGAGGGACCCCAGAACTGAACCCTTAGGTACACCAGAACTGAGGTACCTGAGGTACCCTAAACTGAACCCTGAGGTATCCCAGAACTGAACCCTGATGTTCCCAAGAACGGAACCCTTATGTACCCTAGAACTGAACCCTGAGGTACCCCAGAACTGACCCCCGATGTACCCCAGAACTGACCCCTATATACACCAGAACTGAATCCTTAGGTACCCCAGAACTGACCCCTGATGTACCGCAGAACTTAACCCTGATGTACCCCAGAACTGACCTCTGATGTACCCCAGAACTGACCCCAGATGTACCCCAGAACTGACCCTAAGTACCTGAGGTACCCCAAAACTGACCCCTGATGTACCCCAGAACTGAACCCTGAGGTACCTGAGGTACCCCAAAACTGACCCCTGATATACCCCAGAACTGAACCCTGAGGTACCCCAGAACTGAACCCTGAGGTACACAGAACTGAACCCTGAGGTACACCAGAACTGAGGTACCTGAGGTACCTTAAAACTGAACCCTGAGGTATCCCAGAACTGACCCCTGATGTACCCAAGAATGGAACCCTGATGTACCCTAGAACTGAACCCTGAGGTACCCCAGAACTGACCCCTGATGTACCCCAGAACTGACCCTGATATACCCCAGAAATGAAACCCTTAGGTACCCCAGAACTGACACCTGAGGTACCCCAAAACTGACCCCTGATGTACCCTAGAACTGAACCCTGAGACACCCCAGGACTGAACCCTGAGGCACCCCAGGACTGAACCCTGAGGCAACCCAGGACTGAACCCTGATGCAACCCAGAACTGAACCCTGAGGAACCCTAGAACAAACCCCTGATGTACGCCAGAACTGACCCCTGATGTACCCCAGAACTGACCCCTGATGTACCCCAGAACTGAACCCTGAGGTACCTGAGGTAACCCAAAACTGACCCCTGATGTACCCCAGAACTGAACCCTGAGGTACATCAGAACTGAGGTACCTGAGGTACCCTAAAATTGAACTCTGAGGTACCCTAAAACTGAACCCGGAGGTATCCCAGTACTGACCCCTGGTGTACCCAAGAATGGAACCCTGATGTACCCCAGAACTGAACCCTTAGGTACCCCAGAACTGACCCCTGATGTACCCCTGAACTGACCCCAGATGTACCCCAGAACTGAACCCTAAGTACTTGAGGTACCCCAAAACTGACCCCTGATGTACCCCAGAACTGAACCCTGAGGCACCCCAGGACTGAACCCTGATGTACCCCAGAGGTGAACCTTGAGGAACCCTAGAACAAACCCCTGATGTACCCCAGAACTGACCCCTGATGTACCCCAGAATGAACCCTGAGGTACCTGAGGCACCCCAAAACTGACCCCTGATGTACCCCAGAACTGAACCCTGAGGCACCCCAGGACTGAACCCTGATGTACCCCAGAGGTGAACCCTGAGGTATCCCAGAACTGACCCCTGATGTACCCCAGAACTGACCCCTGATGTACCCCTGAACTGAACCCTTAGGTACCTGAGGTACCCCAAAACTGAACCCTTATGTACCCCAGAACTGACCCCTGAGGTACATCAGAACTGAGGTACCCTAAAACTGAACTCTGATGTACCCTAGAACTGAACCCTGAGGTACCCCAGAACTGACCCCTGATGTACCCCAGAACTGAACCCTGATGTACCCCAGAACTGAACCCTGAGGTACCTGAGGTACCCCAAAACTGACCCCTTATGTACCCCAGAACTGAACCCGAGGCGCCCCAGGACTGAACCCTGATGTACCCCAGAAGTGAACCTTGAGAAACCCTAGAACAAATCCCTGATGTACCCCAGTACTGACCCCTGATGTACCCAAGAATGGAACCCTGATGTACCCTAGAACTGAACCCTGAGGTATCCCAGAACTGACCCCTGATGTACCCCAGAACTGACCCCAAATGTACCCCAGAACTGAACCCTGAGGCAACCCAGGACTGAACCCTGATGCAACCCAGAACTGAACCCTGAGGAACCCTAGAACAAACCCCTGATGTTCCCCAGAACTGACCCCTGATGTACCCCAGAACTGACCCCTGATGTACCCCAGAACTGAACCCTGAGGTACCTGAGGTAACCCAAAACTGACCCCTGATGTACCCCAGAACTGAACCCTGAGGTACATCAGAACTGAGGTACCTGAGGTACCCTAAAATTGAATCCTGAGGTACCCCAGAACTGAATCCTGAGGTACCCCAGAACTGAACCCTGATGTACCGCAGAACTTAACCCTGATGTACCCCAGAACTGACCCCAGATGTACCCCAGAACTGAACCCTGAGGTACCTGAGGTACCCCAAAACTGACCCCTGATGTACCCCAGAACTGAACCCTGAGGTACACAGAACTGAACCCTGAGGTACACCAGAACTGAGGTACCTGAGGTACCTTAAAACTGAACCCTGAGGTATCCCAGAACTGACCCCGATGTACCCAAGAATGGAACCCTGATGTACCCTAGAACTGAACCCTGAGGTACCCCAGAACTGACCCCTGATGTACCCCAGAACTGACCCTGATATACCCCAGAAATGAAACCCTTAGGTACCCCAGAACTGACACCTGAGGTACCCCAAAACTGACCCCTGATGTACCCCAGAACTGAACCCTGAGGTACCCCAGAACTGAACCCTGAGGCACCCCAGGACTGAACCCTGAGGCAACCCAGGACTGAACCCTGATGCAACCCAGAACTGAACCCTGATGTACCCTAGAACTTAACCCTGATGTACCCCAGAACTGACCCCTGATGTACCCCAGAACTGACCCCTGATGTACCCCAGAACTGAACCCTGAGGTACCTGAGGTAACCCAAAACTGACCCCTGATGTACCCCAGAACTGAACCCTGAGGTACATCAGAACTGAGGTACCTGAGGTACCCTAAAATTGAACCCTGAGGTACCCTAAAACTGAACCCGGAGGTATCCCAGTACTGACCCCTGGTGTACCCAAGAATGGAACCCTGATGTACCCTAGAACTGAACCCTGAGGTACCCGAGAACTGAACCCTGATGTACCCCAGAACTGAACCCTGATGTACCCCAGAACTGAACCCTTAGGTACCCCAGAACTGACCCCTGATGTACCCCTGAACTGACCCCAGATGTACCCCAGAACTGAACCCTAAGTACTTGAGGTACCCCAAAACTGACCCCTGATGTACCCCAGAACTGAACCCTGATGTACCCCGGAGGTGAACCTTGAGGAACCCTAGAACAAACCCCTGATGTACCCAAGAACTGACCCCTGATGTACCCCTGAACTGAACCCTTAGGTACCTGAGGTACCCCAAAACTGACCCCTTATGTACCCCAGAACTGACCCCTGAGGTACATCAGAACTGAGGTACCCTAAAACTGACCCCTGATGTACCCTAGAACTGAACCCTGAGGTACCCCAGAACTGACCCCTGATGTACCCCAGAACTGAACCCTGATGTACCCCAGAACTGAACCCTGAGGTACCTGAGGTACCCCAAAACTGACCCCTTATGTACCCCAGAACTGAACCCCAGGCGCCCCAGGACTGAACCCTGATGTTCCCCAGAGGTGAACCTTGAGAAACCCTAGAACAAATCCCTGATGTACCCCAGAACTGACCCCTGATGTACCCCAGAACTGAACCCTGAGGTACATCAGAACTGAACCCTGAGGTACCCCAAAACTGAACCCTGAGGTATCCCAGTACTGACCCCTGATGTACCCAAGAATGGAACCCTGATGTACCCTAGAACTGAACCCTGATGTATCCCAGAACTGACCCCTGATGTACCCCAGAACTGACCCCAAATGTACCCCAGAACTGAACCCTGAGGCACCCCAGGGCTGAACCCTGATGTACCCCAGAGGTGAACCTTGAGGAACCCTAGAACAAACCCCTGATGTACCCCAGAACTGACCCCTGATGTACCCCAGAACTGAACCCTGATGTACCCCAGAACTGACCCCTGATGTACCCCAGAACTGAACCCTGAGGTACCTGAGGTAACCCAAAACGGACCCCTGATGTACCCCAGAACTGAACCCTGAGGTACATCAGAACTGAGGTACCTGAGGTACCCTAAAACTGAACCCTGAGGTATCCCAGAACTGACCCCTGATGTACCCAAAAATGGAACCCTGATGTACCCTAGAACTGAACCCTGAGGTTCCCCAGAACTGACCCCTAAGGTATCCCAGAACTGACCCCTGATGTACCCAAGAATGGAACCCTGATGTACCCTAGAACTGAACCCTGAGGTACCCCAGAACTGACCCCTGATATACCCCAGAACTGAACCCTTAGGTACCCAAGAACTGACCCCTGATGTACCTGAGGTACCCCAGAACTGACCCCTGATTTACCCCAGAACTGAACCCTGATGTACCCCAGAACTGAACCCTGATGTACCCCAGAACTGAACCCTTAGATACCCCAGAACTGACCCCTGATGTACCCCAGATCTGAACCCAGATGTACCCCAGAACTGAACCCTTAGGTACCCCACAACTGAACCCTGATGTACCTGATGTACCCCAGAACTAAACCCTGATGTACCCCAGAACTGACCCCTGATGTACCCCAGGACTGAACCCTGAGGTACCCAAGAACTGACCCCTGATGTACCACAGAACTAATCCCTGAGGTACCCTAGAACTGACCCCTGATGTACCCCAGACCTAAACCCTGAGGTACCCTCAGTCGTCTCCATCTGCTGAGGAGACTGAGGTCTTTTGGAGTGTGCAAGACTCTGCTCAGGACTTTCTATGACTCTGTGGTAGCATCTGCACTTTTCTATGCAGTGGTCTGCTGGGGGGCAGGGAGCACCGAGAGGGACAGGAAGAGACTGAACAGACCGGTCAGGAGGGACAGTTCTGTCCTGGACTGTTTTTTGGACTCCTTGGAGGAGATGGGTGAGAGAAGGATGTTAGCAAAGCTTGTATCCATCATGGACAATCCCTCTCACCCACTGCACCAGACTGTGGGGGCTTTAAAGATGAGAGAATTTGATTGATTCCACAAAATAATGATTTAATAATGACTGTAAGATAACTTTCAAATGACAACAACCTGTGCTCACAAAATAGTAATACTGTTTACACAAGTTAATTCACTAGATCCTGAAAAATGATCACTTTTACATCCAAGATAACTTATTTCCACAAGTCAGTGTGTTTAAAAAAACTTACCTTGGGCTTCAGAGACTCTAAAGTTCACTCATCACATGAAAAAAGTAAACTAAGAAACATGATAATTTAATGTGAATTTACACTAGCTACCTATTTTTCTTTCGTTGTTTAAAATGGAGGACTGTTAAAACTTGAAGCGTATAGGGAACCGAAGTCATGCTAACTTCCGGGTTAGCATACGGTCCTATGGAGCCCATCAAAATGAATGGACAGATATATATAACTACTGGTCCGCTTTGGTATAGGGAACCGAAGCCCCTACACATTTCACATATAATGTTTATCATGTTTAAATTTACATTTTAACCTCGAAAAAGCCGTGATTTTAGACATGTTGCTATAACTACAGTTTAATTTAGAGTGAGACCACGTAATGAACTACACCGCTCGTCGCACTATTTTTGCGTCACTGTCTAAGCTTTGACAGACGACGATGGCGGTGACTTTGGCAAGTTTCACGTCCTTCTTCCAGGATGAAGGAAAGAGTATTAAACGTGGTGAAAACCACTAATATATATATATATATATATATATATATATATATAGATAACGAGTTGACAGGAGTTGTCAGCTAGCTAGAAGTAGAAATACTGACGTGACGTCATTTACGCGACTTCTTGAGGTCTGTAGTCTCTCCATTTACGTGTTTTCAAAGACAAATAGATCAACAATTACACAACAAACAGAGCCTTTATTTACCTTAATGGTTATCATTTAAGTTAAAATACAACATATTTGTGACTCAGGGTGTAAAACAAAGCGGACCAGAAAATACCATAGACCTGTCCATTCACTCCTAGTGGGCGTGGCTTCGGTTCCCTATACCTCTGCACCGGAAGAGGGCGGTGTCGTGTCGTGTCGTGATGGCGCTCCAACGTCAACACTCGAAGCAGCAGAAGAAGAAGAAATCTCCCGCCCCATCCGCTGGTCTTTTTAAACCAAGGCGCGAGGTTTCATTTCACTCACTCTTGTCAGTTCAGTTCGAGTAAAAATACTAACAGACTCTAGAATCCGCTGCCAAAATGGTGAGGACTAAAGCCGACAGTGTCCCCGGAACATACAGAAAGGGTATGTAATATATCTCAGATAAACACTCTGTTTTAGGCTCTTAAAGCTGATTTTTTACGCGGGTGTAGCTGTTTTGTCATGGAGTCTGGCGGGCTTGCATTCAACCCCAACCGATGAAAAGAAGCGGGTAGGAACTAATTGATCTCTCTGCATTTCGCGGACAAAACTGGAGTCTTTACTTGTTAAATCCAACTCACTGGGTCTTCAGAGAGTTTGTAGAAGGTCTGAGGGTCAACTTTAAGGACTAACAAGCTCCCAAACAGCGGCCTCCCGCCAGCACGGAGGTCGGGCGGCTGCTCTCGTAGTGTCCGCCGAATCGACGAGTGGGTAATTTTACACAAATTAAATGTTTGCCCGCTCAATAAATGATAACCATGGTCAGTATTTCTATCCGTTAAATTAGATGACAATTCATACTGTTTTCTTGAGCTACACGTCTTACTTCCTGCAAACTGGCGCCAGTTTTTAGCGCCGCAGTGCCGCTTTGTGTGGACGTTGAACCAAACTCAATTGAAAAATTACGTAATTTATTGCTCTCTCACTAGTAGTCGAAAAAGCAGAGAAGGGTTAAGATAATGAGCGATATAACGCTAACGTAGTGAATCACCTGGTAAATTCGGCACATATAAGAGTCAGTTAAGGATCTACTTCCACAATAACTTAAATTTTAACTTGGTGTGTAGGATTTTATGGATACCACATTTAAAGGCTCCTTCAGTGTGAGTGCATGCACAAAGTCATACAATAATGCACATTTACTACATGCTGCAAGCTTTTTTGCTGTTTTTCAGTTTGCTTTTTGTTGTATCATGTGAAACCTGCTGCTTTCACAGTTGGTTGGGGCAGAAAGTTTTCCTAATATTTTATTCGTCCATCACTTTTTGTTGGACATGTCTGCTCTGAATGAAGTTAGAATCTGTATCTCTGACAACCCCTGTCAACATTTGCTCTTGTTTTTGCAGCTGTTGCAGCTTCTGCACCCAGGAAGTCCCTTGGCTCCAGTGCAGCTAATGCTGCAGCCTCCTCCAGCAGCCAGAGCGCCACGCCATGTCAGTCTCTGAACTCGCCACCAGCTCTAACACATCATCATCATCTCTGTGCATGATAAGATCGAGCTGACTCTGAGGTGTTTTCTCTGATTCACAGCAAAGAGCAAATATGCCGGTGGTAACCCTGTGTGTCCCCGTCCCACGCCGACCTGGCAGAAGGGGATCGGGGACTTCTTCGGTGGTCCACCAAGGAAGCCTGAGAAGGAGAACCAGCAGCCCCGGGTGGTGGAGGATGATGAAGAGGCTGGAGGGAGCGGTGTCTCAAAAGCCAGCAGGAAGTATGTTTGAACACTAAAGAAAGAGGTGTTAGAGCGAGCTGTAGTCCAGAGGTTTCCCCTTCAGCATGGAGTCACTCGACTCTGGAGGGTTTTTCTGATCAACTCCGACATGATCTGTCTTTAAAGTCTCGTGGTGCACCGGCTATTTGAGATGTCACCATTCAAGCAGACTAAGTCTCAGCTGCATGAAATAAGGAGTGAAACTAAAATACTCGAAGTTTAAGGAAACTTTGTAGTTACTGAAACATTTAAGGCCAAAAAAAGTTTCTGTCAATTTCAAGACGAAACATCCAAAATGCAATCTTACAGAATTCCACCCTGGTTTTAAAACTCTAAAACTACAGGAGGTCCTGGTGAGTGGGTGAGTAAACGGCAAGAGGGCAGAAGTGGTGATTGTGGAGCAGCGTGATAAAAACATCTGTGGTTGGAGGAGCATAGTTTTGAGGAGAACAGAGCAGATATTTTCACGCCCTTTAATGTGTTTGAATCATCCTTACTGTGAAGGAAGTGTACATTAATATTCCTGGACTCTGATGTAAACAGTCCGGTCCTTTTTGAATATCCTGCAGGTGAAGTTTTTACTGTAAACGATGACACCTGTTCTCCCCTCTACAGACTGATCCTATCAGGGCTCTGCAGGCGCTTCAACCAAACAAATCAGCAGGCGGGTCGGGCTGGGCTAAAATTCACCTCTTTTACCGTGCACCGATATATCTAAAATAAAAAAAAAAGACTCGTTAGCACACCCCACAGTTTTCATTCAAACTATGATGTTATTTTTATCATACTAGGCTAAGACAGATTTGTCATACTATAATGTGACATTTTTTTCATACTCTATTTGGATATTTTTATCATTATGTACTATGACATTTTTCAACAAAATTTACTATGACTTTTTTTCATACTATACTTCGATATTTTTTATCACAGAATAATGACTTTTTAACATTCTGTAGTCTGATATTTTTGTCATACTTTACTCTGGGATTTTTTTAATACTATTCTTTGATTTTTTTTTTTAAGGTACTATGCCATGACATTTCTATCATCCTCTACTATGATTTTTTTTTTAACATACTATACTATGACATTTTTTATCACATTACTGACTTTTTTAAAAATACTATAGTTTTGCATTTTTTTCATACTTTACCCTTAGATTTTTTTATACTCTTCTTTTAAAATTTTTATCGTACTATAATATGAAATTATTATACTCTATGATCATTTTAACATGCTTTACTATAGTAAGTAAACTTTATTTGTATAGCATTTTTCACAGACAAAGGAGTCACAAAGTGCTTCACATAGACAAAAATAAAAAGACTGACTGACTTTTTTTTATACTATGCGATAATTTTTTTTAAATTCCTTTTTTTTTTTTTTTTTTTTACTTCTTTACTCTGACATTTTTATCATATAATACTGACTTTTTTTGACAAACTATAGTCTGAAATACTATTTCATACTTTGAGTTTTTTCTTGTACTATTCTTCGACATTTTTATCAGACTATACTATGACATTTTTTTTAACATACTACACTTTGGAATTTTTATCATAGTATACTATGTTTTTTTTTATAGTCTATACTATGAAGTTTTTTATGATACTATACTCTAACATTTATTTTATACTACACTATGGAATTTTGATTACATTATACATTGATATTTTTTTATCATACTATCCTATGACATTTTTTAACTCACTATCCACTGACTGTAAAATAACCCTCCTCTCGGTGTCTGTCTGTTACTGACTGGTTTTTCCGTCTCTGCAGGTCCAGACCTCTGCCTGCTGAGGATGAGGAGGACGACGAGTGAAGTCGATGAATGAAATTCTGACCGCTGTTCGTGTCTTAGTGTCATTTTGATGTACATCTGTATATAATTTCTGCTGAATTTTGTATAGTTCATTAAAGTTTTAAATTCTTTCTCACCCCGAGAGCTCTGGAGGTTTGTCTGTGAGGATCTGAACCTCAGTGTTCGATCTGTTCGGCTGTTTTAAAGAAAAGTGTGATTTTTATCTTGAAGAGACTCACTGACCCTACGAGAACATCTGTAGGACCTGGGGTTGTACAACTTCACTATCATTTTATTATGACCAATCCCCACAACTTTATCATCCTGAGACTTAAAGCTCAAATTTGTTTTTTCTTCCCCAATTTGTACCAAAATTCATCGTCAATCATTTTCGAAGGACCAAAAAAATCACTTCGATAGTATCAACAACTAAAGTCTGAAGGTGTTGGCAGATTTATTTACATTTACTTTTGTTAAAGAGAAGTCATTTACCCTGTAATTTTGTTGATACATTTTCCCTCACGTTAGACTCCGCCCTCCTGAACTGTCCCGGTGTATGAAAGTCCAGTAACGTTCCTGTGGTTAAGAATCAAAGTTCCTAAAAGCAGCATTTATATTAGAAACTACAAATATAAGTGAGAAAGTTTATAGTCTCTGCTGAATATCAAGTTACAGTGGACCTGTTCGTAAAGCGACAAACAACCACTCCTCAACAGTTATCCATTAACTCACCGCCTTACCGAGAGGTCCGAATATGTGAAACAAACATCACGATCAGTCCTGTACGGAAGCCGGCACAGCCAGATTCAGCGGACAAACAGAATCTGTAACGGTCGGTTTTGATCCCCCCTGTGTCTCAGTTATCTGATAAACTCTCTGATGTTAACCTCTCCCGCTGTTTACCCACTAATGGTTGCTTTAATCCTGTTTCCTCCGTTATCCTGCTCGGTTAACTCCGCCCGGCTGCTCGTGTTTGTCGGCTGACAGAAGTGATCAATCTTGTGAGTAACGGTTGAACAGCCTCACTCTAGGTTGGCTGTATGTCACCTGTGAACGTTAAAGTGTTTTTATGAGGGTTTAATCCGCCGTGAACCGTCAGAAGATGTCCCGGAGCGGCTGCAGCGGTTTCTCATGGACGGTGGTTGTCCTGACTTGCCAGCACAAAGACAGCGTCTACGCTTTCCAGAGAGGTGAGGATCATCTGCCCTTCATAGACGATCTTCGGAATTACAGTTTGATTGTAGTTGCACCGATCGGCCTGAGGGTGGTGCTCATGGACAGGACGAATGAGAAAAAAAAGACTCGTACTGTACAAAGACAGTTTTATCATACAATAACATGACATTTTTTAACATAATATATGATTACTTTTTTTTAACATACTCTACTATGACTTTTTTTGATTACTATACTATAACATTTTTATCATACTCTCCTATGATTTTTTTTTTTACAAACTATACTATGAGATTTTTTTATCATACTATACTATGACATATTTATCATACAAAACAATGACCTTTTTAACACACTATAGTCTGACATTTGTAACATACCTTACTCTAAAAAAGTTTTAACTACACTATGACATTTTTTTACAAACTTAACTTTGTCTTTATAACACTTTACTGGGACATTTTCATCATACTTTACAATGACATTTTCATTATACTATACTATGAGGTTTTTTTATCATACTTTACTACGATATTTTTGACATATTATGCTAAGAAATTTTTAGCATACTTAACAGATTTTAAGAATGCTTTCCTATGACATTTACTGTCATATTAACCATGACTTTTTATTAAACTATACTATGACAATTTTATCATACTATCCTATGATTCTTTCAAACATACTATACTGTGACATTTTTATCATACTACACTATAACATTTTTATCATACTGTACTGTAATGTTTTTAGGATTCTTTACAGTTTTTTTAATCAAATTATACTGTAATTTTTTATTATACTATACTATGACTTATTTTAACCTACTTTACTATGAGGTTTTTATCAAAGTATAGTATTTTTTTATTATGATACTATACTTTGATATTTTTTATCATACTATACAATGATTTTATTAAAACATTTTTTTCATTTTTTTTTTTACAAAATATAAAAATTGACCCAGCAGGAAAATGTTCTTAACAAATCTAAAAATGGATAAATAATTTATGTAATACCAAAACATTTTAAATCCCTCAAATTTCTATAAAAGAAAAAAAATCACAGAAGAAAAAATATTTCATTAAATACCAAATATAGTTTAAAAATTAAAAAACAATCAGAATTTCAATAAAGATATTTAATGAAATGCAAAAAAAAAATCACCAAAAGTAAAAATGTGTGTATGTGTGTGTGTGTCAGAGCTGGAGCTGAGGCAGCGGCGTTGCTCCCTCTCTCCGTCTGCGTTGGTTCTGACCGTCAGGGACCGTCAGGAGCCTCTGGGCAGCGGCGGAGCGACTCTGAACGCTCTGCTGATGGCGGCCGAACACCTGAGCAGCTCGGCGGGACACACGGTGAGTAAAAACACACCTGAGACGGTCGGACCTGCTGTGAGCAGCTTTAAATGTCCGTCTGTGTCCCTCAGGTGGTGACGGCTGACGTCCTGGATGATGCTCACATCCTCATCCTGCACACGGTGAGTCCGCGTGTTTCAGATGTGGTTTAGAGCTCCTCAGTCCAGGTCCAGGTCCAGTGAGCGTGGTTTTTCCTCCTCAGGGTCGAGATTTCCCGTGGAGCTCCTGCAGTCGGGCGTTCTGCTGGCTGCCCACAGAGAAACTGGATCAGAGGGTCCAGGCTCCGGTCTGCTGTCTGGACCTGCTGCTTGACTGCCTCACTAACCAGGTGTGTCACCCTGACCTCCTCCTGTCCATGGATCAGAGGGAGCTGGTCCGAGTTAGTTCACGTATCTCTGTGGTTTCTCCGTGTGGCTGATGAACTCTGATGTTTCTCCTCTCATTGGTGGATCAGATCTGTCCCGGTTCTCCTCCTGGGGTTTGGGTCTGCAGCACTGACATGATCCTCACCATCCCCTCCGACTTTGGTGAGTGTCTGCAGCCTGAAAGTGTCTGTTTGATTCCACTTTGTTTAAAAAGGCCTCAAATACGAAACTGCTGTTAAAACATAAAGACCTGCAGGTAAAGGTGAGACAGACCTGTCAGAGACGCCGGCCAATCAGAATTCAGTACAGTCTGTGACGTCATTACATATCTGATTTATTCTGTGTTCTGCGTGTGTCAGTTCTGTCCTGGGAGGGTTTCTCAGGGGTCCGTGTGCTGGCGTTACCAGGTGACGTCTCCTACGCAGCTGATCACGGCGTCTACCTGTCCGACCAACAGGTGCTCACCTTCGACTCCTCGTTCATGTCAAAGTTTCCCTCATTCTATTCTATATGCTATACTAGGAGGTTTTTTTTTTTACATATTACACTATAATATCTTCATCATACTAAACTATGACATTTTTATCGTACTATACTATGATAATTTTAAACAAACTATACTTTGACATTTTTTTTATCATACTATTCTATATTTTAGGCATACTTTCCTGATTTTTTTTAACCTTCTACACAATGTCATTTTTATTAAATTATAATAGTTTTGATCATATTATACTGACATCTTTTGACATACTATACTAAGGCATTTTTTTTATCACACTACACTATATCATCTTTATCATACTAAACAACTATGGCATTGTGTCAATATTCTATCCTACGACATTTTTCAACAAACTACACTTAAACATTTTATAACATACTATATGATGTTATTTTTTATATTATACCATGACATTTTTTATCACAATAAACTATTAAATGTTGTTAACATAATATCCTATGACATTTTTTCTTTTACTTTACTATATTTTTAGACAAACTTTACTTTGACATTTTTTTATCATACTATTCTACAATATTTTAAGCGTACACTCCTGATTTTTTATCATACCAACTATGACATTTTTTTAACCTTCTACACAATGAGATTATTATTATACTATACTCTAATATTTTTGATCATATTATACTTTGATGATTTTTAACATACTATACTTAGGCATTTTTTTTATCATACTATACTATATCATCTTTATCATACTTAACTATGACGTTTTATAACATACTACACTGTAACAATTTATAACATACTATACTAGTACATTTTTATCACAACATACTAGGACATTTGTTTCATTCTAAACTATTACATTTTGTTAACATACTATCTTCTGATATTTTTTCTTTTACTTTACTATATTTTTAAACAAACTTAACTTTGACATTTTTTATCATACTATTCTACAAGCATAGTTTCCTGATTGTTTTTTTTTACCATACTATACTATGACATTTTTTTAACCTTCTACACTATGAGATTTTTTATTATATTCTACTATAATATTTTTGATCATATTTTACTTTGATGATTTTTTACATCCTTTACTGTAACATTTTTATCTTACTATACTTTGATATTTTAATTATAATTAATGTTTTTTTTAATACTTTAATTTGATATTTACACTGTAACTCTGATTTATTCTTTCATGATAGAAACTAAAGTCATAAAGGTGCGCTTGTTTTCCCTCACAGGGTCAGGTGACGGATATCATCTACAAAGGGTCAAAGGAGCAGATCCAGCGAGCCGTGATGCCTGATGGGAGGGTTCCTCTGGTGCGTCCTCTCCTCTTTATAACATTCAGAGTCATTTTCTATAAACGATGTTTCAGTTTCTCGTCGGTCGAACGTTTTCCTTTGTTTTTGTCGTTTTTTCTCTTCTTTATTTTCTTCTCCTGTCTGTTTTTTTGTGTCCAGGTTTCAGGTCCGGTCTTCTTCAGCAGGTCTGTATCAGAGAAGTTACTGCAGACTCACGTCACCCCTCCTCTGGACGGATGCACCTACCTGGGCCTGGACTCTGGAGCTCCGCCCCTTCAGGTGTGTCCATGGAAACCAGGAAAAACAAACTAAGGTATGAAGAGACAGGAATAAGGCGTCTCTCTCTCTCTCCTCAGATCTCTCTGTTCCTGGACCTGCTCAGGTGTCTCTGCTCAGATCTGACCCTGGATCAGTTTGTGGGGGAGGAGAGAGCAGGCTGCAGTTCTGTCATCGGACCACAGGGGGCAGCAGTGAGGAGCGGCAGGGCGGAGCTGTGGAGGATCCTGAGAGGAACTCCACTCGCACTCGGTGGGCGTCTTTCACTGCTCATCTTATCCTGTTTTAACCCTTTCACAAACTGACCTTTAACCTCAGCGCCGCAGTGACATCAGAGCTGTCAATCACAGAGTCGAACCCGTTAAAGAGTCAAAATACCCGAGTCATTAAAAACTGAAGACTTGGACGTAAATCAGCTGACTATAATGTTAGAGAGACGGTCATCTGACCTGGATTTGATTTTTATCAAACTGTACTCTGATATTTTTTACTGAACTATAATTTTTAAACATACTTTGATATTTTTAAAAAAATATACTATAACATTTTTATTGTACTATACTGTGGTATTTTTATCATACTATACCATGACACTTTTACAGTTTTATACTATGACAATTTTATCACACTATATTATGGCATTTTTATCACAGTATGCTATGAGTTTTTTTTATCATACTTAACTATAATTTATAAACAAACTATACTCTGACATTTTTATCATGCTGTACCATGACATAACATTACAATATGATATCATTTTTATCATAGCACACTCTGATATTTTTTATCAAACTACACTGTGACATTTTGTAATACTATACTATGAT